TAGAGGGACACAACACCCTTTGACCAGGCGTCAAAAACACTGATACCAGTCCGCCTCGGACGTAACTGGTCGTTTTGCAGATGAGGTGTCCTTTTTAACGATCGCAAAACCTGCAAATAATTCCTTAGCATCCTCATTGTGGTCGTAGCCTCGATCCATGGAGGCGAAGAACTTGGGAAGTCAACGTAGTGGTCCTGGATGATAAGACGCCAGAATGGGTGAGCAATGGGCTCCTTGAGAGGAAGGGCCTGAAGGAAGGCGATAAGGTTGTCGAAAGACTTCTCAGTGGCATAGAGTTGGCGGAGATGGAACGTCTCCGCAATATGTGGGTCAGAGATGCCAGATGAGACAAGTGTCGCAATGTGCGGTGCTTGCGCGAGAACAGTAGAAGAGATTGAAGTTGACTTCTGAGCAGAGAATGTGTCGAGACCAAGAAGACCGGCGAGTAAGCTTGTGGCATCTGTGCCAGGCTTCGCCAGCGATCCTGCAGTCCTGAGTGTGTGGAGCTTCACATGCAGACTTGCCCAGGCCGCGTCTTCGACCGCACGCAGTCTATTAGCCTCTTGCTCCTTTGCCTCCATGGCCAACCTCTGTTCTCGTTCCCTCCGGAATTTTCGACTTGTTCTGTGGTGAGACCTGCTGGTGTCCTCCCTCGCTCTGGCGCGTCAGTGTCATCTTCGTCACCATTGCCCTCATCGTCGTTGTCTTGCCAATTGTCTCCAGATCTTTTGGGACCAGCTTGTGTGAGATGCTGCTGCAGTTGCTGGACATAGTCGGCCGCGACCTCGGGAGTGATCCCCAAAGCCCGAAGCTTGAGGGCAAAGTCTTCGACATCGAAATCTCCGTTGACGCAACCTTTGAGAAGATCTTCACATTTCTTAGCAAGTGCAGCAACATTATCAGTGCTTCGTTCGTCCAGCATGAATGATATTTAGATTTCGAAGGAGAAATGAACGAAAAAAGCGAAACGGTGAATGAAACTTCAGGCACACGGGGGCTGATTAAAGGCTTGTAGAGTAAGAGGATAAATAAGTAGGCAAAGCCTACTGTGCAACCTGGGATGAAGGGTTTGTAATGAGTGTAAAGCTGAGGGAGCGAGCGAAGCTCAGCTCACCTTGGATTGCAGGGAGAAGAATGGGTGCAAGTGAGACAACTGCCCCGATGTCTCTCAGTTTTTCGACCTCCGCCAGAATTCTGGCACCGAAAACTGAGACAGAGCAAAGGCCTCACTCTCCCGGATGAAGCGGCGCTTCTAGGCGGAGCCTAAAGGTGACGTGGCGATGCCAGTTAGCCTTGACGAGCCTGCAGAGGCCTACGAAAACGCTCCTTACCCTTGGAACCCGCGTTTACAACAATCATACACTGCACCGGATTTTCGAGGTGTACACCAATGCTAACTGGTTCTCCATGTTCGATTGTGCTCATCCCCATCACTTTTCATTCAATTGTGTACCCTGCGAAGAGTCTCTACTCCGTGAGACGCACTCAACAGTGTGATTACAACGGTATGAGCCTTTGCAGCCACAGCGCATGGTTCGCCATGTCAGGGCTGTGGACCCAGCCGTTCCTTATTGGGACCTGGCGCCAGTAACACCACCACCACCACCACCGCCACTGTTCCGCGCAATACGTATGAGCGTCTAACCAAGTATTAACTGCAGCTCTTTTTTCAGCGCGTGTTTCCTGGCCAGCCAACCCTTATTCTGCGAGAGAAGAACGAGCGGCTTTATAATATGTGTTCAAAGCCCACTCTGTGCGACATCAGTCCTGTGCTAGGGAAGGACGGGATTCATGTTACACCAATGTCCGACTTCATTGCGAAGGATAAGCGGCTGAGTTACTTGACGGCTTGATGATTAACTCGCTCAGTTGGGCTGAGTTAATACCATGGATGAGTCCCTATGAAGGTCACGAAGATTCTAGTATGATAACATTATCTGTGTGTAGAATAATATTTATTGGATTTGGTTGGCTGTACATGGTCGTAAAGTAAAATACAAGGGGGAGCCTGAGGAAGACACAGACATTATAAAACGTCGTATATAGTGTTGGAACCCTCAGTGTTGCGCAGGGTAGACTCCTGGCTGGTAAGGCCAGTTGATATGTACTTATTATTCGAGTTTGTAGTCAGTGGTTATATCTCGATCCTCCGCTTCGGTATCATCCGCTTCCTGAGCAACTATTTGGCACCTCGCTATTTATCTGCCGGATTGCCTGGGGGTTGCCCGAGGCCAGTGTTGAGTCGATAGCATCTAGAAAATAATAAATGTACATGAAGAAATGAAAATGGATGTTTTCGAGACTCCGACACTCGAGAGTCTATGCATTGTCGACTCTCCAGGTATCATGATTTTTCAGTGGTACTATGGTACTATGGTATTTTCTTGACTATTGTGGAAGTTACTGCCGCAATGCCATTGTCAATGCCTCAGTTTATCATTACATCACTGGCTTTCTCAAGACTCAAGCCCGCTTTTTAGCGTTAAACGTTAAACATTCTATGTCGACAAATTACAACCTCGTTTTTAGAAATTTTACAACTGAACAACACTAAGTATGATCAGTAATGCACAATAATTTTATTTGTGGGTCTAGAGAAAGCCGTGCTGTGTCGAAATTTGCACATCGCGATCTGTTTGCACATGCTGACCACCCGCAATAAGCCGAACATTGTCGGTGTTGATGTTTTACCCCAATGGACCTTATCAACTGTTTCTGAGCCAGTAGCAGAGTAAAAATGTCTTTTAATTCTACTATAATCTACAGAACGTGACCACAACTCAGCATACATTGCTGCAAGCCAAGCGTGTCCGCGGAAGTCCGAGTACTAAGTCAGGCCTGATCATCCGAGTTTCTCCGTTGTACTTCGCTTCATCTGGGGCTTCTTCGTTTCAACATCCTCAGGTACCCGGGATCGAGATATAACCATTCACTCGAGACTGTTATTATTCTATGGCTCCTACAGAGCCAATATTTATACTACTTCAGACTGTAATCTAGAATATACTACAACTTTCTACTGCTCTCGTGCTTACTCAGATACTCTCGGCTTGATGCCGGATTGCCCCTTCTAGAACTTTCCGGCAAAATCCCAACATATAGTGACTCGAAAATTCTGTGCAACATAACAACGATAACAACAAAACACAACGAAAGCAGGTCCAAATCAAGCGAGAACATTAATAATCTAACATCTTCTGGCATTCCATCTCTTCTACGGATCTCGAATTCCCAAAGTTCCTCCTGGACTCCCCGGGAGGAAAATACTGCGATCGTCCGAAATCTATGAGACGGAAGCGTCGATCTTCTTTCTTCCGGAAGATCGGCCAATCAGTCATGTCGCCGTGCTGCATGAGGATGTTCCTTGGGAAGAACGAGTTGTGCAGCCACCCCTCGCAATGCATGCGGAAGAGTAAAGAAGCGCATTCGTGTCTGAAATGGGCGTTGGTTAGCCCGGGTGTCCCGGAAAGAAGAACCAGACGTACCGGTCATCTATGTCCAGCTCGTTGACGTTGACAGGCGTGCCGCAATCTTCCAGGAGCATAATTGGACTGAGGTATTCCCCTTCTTTCGCTTCACCCTCCTCCGGAACATAATAGCCGTAAAACTGAGGTACGACCGCAAGCGCAGGCGTAGGATCGTGAAGGGGATCAATAACATTATACCCGCTCCAGTGCTGGAAGAAATGCTCGGGGAATTTTTGGTAGTTCCTCGCCTCGCGTTCGAGATGGCCGTCGTTCTGAACAGAAAGTTTGGCTCCGACGCTGACTTTGAACGTTGTCGGGGCTTGGTTACGTATCTCTTCGTGCTGGCAGAAATTCCCGGGAGTTGTCCACTTGACGTCAACAAGGACCCGACGGGAGGGACCTTCATAACACGTACGGGAATCTTGACCGCCCTCAGTGATGATGGTCTTCCGTGGTTCACCCGCGCCATCGACAATCTCCAGTTACTCGCCAGGCCTCATCCTTTCCTCGATCCACATCTTTCCCTGCCTCCCGTGCTTCGTAGCGATAGCTATCATCAGGTCCTCGATCTGCATATCAAGAGGCTGCGTCTCGTCGATCTTCGCTTCGGGTTCTTCCTCTCTGAGCTTTTTGAAGAGCGCCTCCTGGATGCATGTTTCACAGAGGGACGGTTCCATTACCAGGCTGCGTGGAATCTCCCACGCAACACGATAGACATACGAGTGGTGACCTTCGCCAAGGCGGTCGTGAGAATTGATGTACAGGTGAGCTTCGGGAGTAGAAAGAGGTGTAGGTGGGGCACGGGGGAACACTGCGAAAGTCGCTTCAATGACTGGACCTTCCTTCACTTTGCCAGTCCTGATTTCCTCGGAAGCGGTGGCATAAATACGACCTTCCCTGGGTTTGTCTTTAGCAGCCGCGCTGAGCTTTGCTCGTTCCTTAGTAATGGCGTCTCGAGTCTCTTGGGTGAGATGAAGCTTGTAGGTGCGGGGAATAGAGCGTTCTTCAGCGGGTCGGCAGTTACCAGGATGGACATGCAGAGTATCGTCCGGATCATGAACGATTAATTTCTCGGGAAGTAAATGAAGTGGAAGACGGTTTTGGAAGTGAACGTAGCGCTGGGCGGAAATTCTGCCTCCTTCCTAGGAAAAACTTATGAGTTTACTTACAAGAGGGAGATCTTCTAACGTACGATTTTAAACTTTTCATCGAACCCTTTTTGTATGAAAGGTGGTCGATGGTCATCATCCCTGAGTATCAGTGCCATATCACATGGGAATAGCTCCTCAGGTTCCGCCTCCTGCTCAGCCCAGGCGATCTCGTCTTTCGCATGCTCAAGCTCTCCAATCTCTTTCATCCATGCACAGAGCTTGCTCCCAGTAGAGATCGTCGATAGATATGGACAATCCGGTATACGCATCGTGCGGAAAAAATCCAGTACAGTGGCACCCCACAAAGGCTGGTTATTACCTGCGAATTTACCAGGAGGTGTCGATTTCATGACGGGGCCCTTGGGATCTCGAGGCCAATCTCGAAGAATGGCTCGCTTCCGGACATTCTGAATGGCTGAGCTTGGAGCTTTGGGAAGGTCCTTCTGCTCCGAGTCCTTCTGTTTCTGTCGGCTATTGTGATCCTTCACAATTGCTTCGGCAAATTTTGCCTTTGAGAACATGCCTCGAAAACCGGTTTCGAGATCATCAGTGAACATTATGGGCAAGTACTATAAAACAATGGTAGGAGAGAGCAGAGGCGAGAGTGGCGAGTACTCCGAGTCCAATGATAGGGAGTACGGATATGGGAATGGAACAATGGTAGAGTGAGTGGCAACCCACGAACTTCGAAAAGGGGTCGAAAACGCGAACTGTCACAAACATTGTCGGGATCACGTGTATCCCGTCACCAGTGGCAACGTGTCACGAGTCTAATACGAGACCACGAAAGACTGTGCTATAAGACGGTATATAGGAGAAACTGCACTTCGAATCCCAGATTTACAGTTGTTCCCAAGAACGATCTTAACCCGAATCAAGGCACAACTCAACTGCGTCCTTAAACTGATGTCTGAGAAGAGGCTTCAGTTTTCAGGCATTCTGTATCGGAAGACTGTCCTACTCACTCGTGATTTTGGGTCACCAAAGTACTTTCGACCGTTCTTCTGCAAGTCATAAGACGGGAACGCAAAACGTCAGCGCAGAATCAGATTTGGCATGAATACAATGTCGTCGCAAAACACTGCCAAGCATCAGCGGTAAAGAATGGCAGAAATCCAGAAAGTCAATTTGTGTATTAAGAGTATCACACGTCCGCTTCTTTACTTTACTTCTCGGCATGGATAGCGAACGAAGAAGGAAGGAGATCCAACAGAAGACTGAAGAAATTCTACCGCGCCACCATTTCAGACTCGGATCCCAACAGGGTCTGGAAAATAGCGAATGAATTGGGATCTTCGAAGGATTGGCAATGATCACATAAGTATTGTCGTGAGCACGCCTCCTCACAGCGATCAGTGGAAACAGGATGATGGAGATGAACCAGGTCGTTGAGAAGTGTTCGAGATGGATGTAACTGCACTGGCAGCCTGGCGGCGTATGGCCTACGCGCTGTGCATCTGGTAAGGCACCGAATATCGCCAAGGAGGAAAGTGAAAAGGCCCCAAAATGCGGCAGATCATCCAATACATCAGTGTTAGCAGAATCTCTGAGGACGCTGTTTATAGTCAATGGATGATGCACAATGGGGAGTACTATTGAGCTAGTTCCTGTATTCCATGCCAGCGGTTCGGGTGTCGCGGGTTTAGAAGTGCGAAGTTCTCAAATGAACAAGAAATCTTCCGGCACGTTGTGCGGAGAGGTGAGAATCCGGTTTAATGAGGAAGCTAGCCAATCGGGTGCAATTGGCGTCGGGAAGACGGCTGCGCTAAATCGGCATGTCGATAAGCGTAGAGTAGGGACCGAGAATAAGGAACTCTTGGCACTGCTTTCAGGTGTACATATACCTTGACCCTTCTGTCTGGATGAAAACAGTAAATTGTGGCAGGGAGGGAAAAGAGGAAGCCTAAGAATATCAAGGCACTGATGATAGCGTCAAGGGGTTAGGTTTCGAATTCAAGGGTTCAAATCAAACTTCATCGATATCTGTGAAGATGTATGTTTTATTAATAAAGCGTGATGCAGCATGGATAGCTAAAGACCCACAAGGCTTACTGAAACCAAAAGATCCGAACATCTGAAAGCATATTTAAAGCCGATTCTGAGCTTGGTCCAACTGAACAGCTGCCGTGATTCGCAGTTGCACTCACAAGCGCCTCGGTTCGTTCCTGATTCAAGGGCAAGAACATTAAGATGTCGTGCGTACAAACCGGAAGATCTGGTGGCTGAGATTCGATGTTAAAAAGGCGCAACAGTCGCGTAGGATATCAGGCGACATGCGAGATTTCTTCGCGGAAGCACGGACGTAACACATTCTTAGTCGAAGGGAAGTTGCCATAGTTGTCGACCGAGACAAAATCGAGACCTACGAAGCCTAGCAACGCGAGGCACCATGCCGTCTATGCGAAGAGACGCCACCCCCGATGAGCGGCGTGGAAAACTATATTGAATCCGATATAACATCAATACAAACTGCAACCAGTGGAAAGAACACACCTCTGTCAAAGTTCCATCCTGACATCGTGGGCCACGGAGAGGCCTATGGCAGGCGACTGATTCGAACCAGTCATGATACGAGGAGAACAAGTGAATTAGAGATAAAATCTTTTGGACTACCGAAAATACATACGTCATTCCTTCAACGATAAAGCCGACAGATCTCCCTGTTCAGTGTTCAAGATGTCTAAACAGAAGCCCGTGTGTTATCCACAAGTTGTCGACGAATTTTCGCCAGTTCTTGCCCCGAAATAGCTGCTTACTACGAGTGAGCTAGTCATGGCTGGTGGTTACTCAGATGAGCGCGCCGCGTTAAATTACTTCCTTCGCATTCTGAGTCAGGACGATGATGCCCTACGTCTAGCCGTGGACAGAAAGCCGGGGCCGGAAAGAGGTATGGACGAAATCAAGTGGTACAAGAAGATTGTACAGCCCTGACCGCTTGATCCTCGTGGAAAGCATGACAATGAGAATCGCATTTTGGCCAAGTTGCTGAGATATCAGATCGTCGCTTCACGCTTAGTCGACAATGACGACGATTCGTCCTGTGGATCATAATCAGGGCACGAAGGGATCATGCGGCAAGACATACAAATTGTGGTGATACAGAGGAAGATCTTCAGAGTTCGGCTAGGATGAATATCGTCATTGCTACGGTCTATGACATAAAGACGAACATAGCTTAGATGATATGTGAAAGGAAAGCGGTCTCAGGGATATTCGGTGAGAGTCCGCGGGAGATCCGACAAGAAGCAAGGAAAAAAAGCTCGGTCATAGTAGTGGAGTCAGCGGGTCGTGTATAGCAATGAGGATAATGAGATGCGGCGCCCATCACTTGGACTGCTTGACTATCCCGCCAGCCAGCGTCCCTAAACCAGCGCCACTTGAGACGACAAAAGATCTCGCCTTGTCCAGAAGCCCTGTTGTCGAAGAGGCCGCAGCACGCAGAGTCTTGGATGCTAGACACACCAACGAGCTCAAAGCCCGCCCAACCATACGAGATCTTTCTTCTCCTGGGAGATATAGCTGCGAATCGTCGGCGAGGAACAGTCACCGTGATTGGCCCCAATCATGGTTCAAGTCGGCTAATGCTGCCAGACTGTGGAGCTGATGACAGTGCTAAGGGAATGCCCGAGAGACAGCGCCCCGAAAATGGTGATACGGCGGTGCTGCGCTGCCGCAGAGCGCGTACCATGTGGCTTGTCTTATCACGAGTCTTGTCCTTTTCTATACGGCCACGAATTTGCTTGCCGCATGCTCCTCCAAACTGTGGTAAACTGCATGATCAGTTTTACAGAATTTGTGGATGATCGACCTTTCGCGGGACACAAAAAAAAACACCTCGATAAGAATGAGGAACTACTGCCATTGTAAGCGTCTCTGGAACGATGGTCAGTGTCGTGCCCGGTAACGTGCAAGTAGCTCACCTGTACCAATGAAATGCACCATAAATAATGGACAATTGCCGAGATATCATCATACACGCTTTCCGGTGTGAAAACGGCCGTGGTTATGAATTCAGCACGAAGAAAAATCGAGGCAAAGAAGCTGTCTTCTTCTAGACAGATGTCGTGGAAGATACGCGCGACCAAAAATAGTCGCCAGGACGCTCTGGAAAGTTCATCGGCCATGCAGACTGGCTGCTCGAGCTCCATCAAGGTAACATATGGCGAACGGGAGTCTGCGACGGCACAGGCCGAAATGCTTAACCTCAATATGAAAGCGAGGTTTCCTGGTCAACGTAAAATGTGAGCAGGAATCATGAAATGATACAGAGAAATGCTAACAAATGGGGACTAGCAGATGCGGCAGGCCGCTACAGTTCATCTAGGGGCAATGTGAATCTCCTTATGTCTGCAGACCGCTTCCCTACCAACGGACATCATGGAGTTGAGCATTCTGGGCAATTGCATAGCGTCGATATCCCAAGTCTGGTCTGTATTCTTCCACGATGCGTCGCAGGACTGTCGTGGATCAAGCCGAAGAACGAACGGTCCCAGGATTTTCGAAGGTAGTGAAGGCCTGCGGAACTGGCTCATTTGGTTCGGTTTGAGAGAACAAGACCAAGACTGTGGGCTTCTATTTGCATCGATACATGACTGTTTACATTCTCAAATGAATACCCCATTGTCGGTTGTTATAATCGCAAGCTGAGAAGGTCATCAATATCCTGCCGAAAACAAAGAAGTGTATTGACCCATGGAACTGTTACCGATATTATATTGTTCCTTGAGGATAGTCGTCGCCACGTCTGCGAAACGTGGCGAGCTTTCTTTTGAGAAGCGACCGGATGCAGTGAAGGACCGTCGCTCCATGATGAGCTCTGCGCCGACTTGCGCTATCGATACTACTTCGTCACGAATGTCCAGGAGGTTGCCAAAACATCGATCATCACTAATGTGACGGCATTGTGAGCAAGAAGTTGTACATCGTTATTTATGACTCACTATGCGATTCCCCAAGCACATTAAGAAACAGTTCATTGCGTAGCACTACCGTTATCACATAGGCAAATGACTGGTGGTCGTTGGAAATGAGAAAATGGCGGCGGCAGATGCTCAGCATCATACTGACAATCGAGTCAGGTCATTGGTGCATGAATGCGACATGCATCTGATTCCGTGGCTTCGTAAAGGCAGCGCTTGTTCAATGGTGTTTCGTGATGGGGAGAACACCTCATCCGCAAGGAAGTTTCATGAAAAATGGAGTGACCCGCCCTTACAAGCGAAATGAGAAGTTTACTGGCGTTTACATCTTCTGTCGAACGAGGTAATACTCGTGAAGAGCAGAACACGCGTCCCGTATGTTTTGCAGAGCGTTCAATACGCTGTGCGAGTTCCACCGGCACAATCCATTGCCATTGATGAGATTTTCAGAAGACAGTGTTTGGAGTGGGAACGGACGGAACTCCTCGCGTTTTCTTTCTAAGCGAAAGAAGAACACACATCCCCTGCTGTGTTTGGGGTTAGTGATCACGCCTATCACCGGAATCGTCTCGTCAAGCTCAAACAGGAGACGATTCGTCTACACTTTCCCCAGTCTTCCGTACGAAATTTATCCACGACGGCGGAAACGAGGCTTAGCTCCAATTCCATCCTTCCCCTCCTGTCATCTCGAAGCGAGTCCAACAGAAGTCTCTCGTATATGTTAAGATCCTGCCGCCTCGAGGCGATGTCCAAGACGCGACTGACGCCTTGTCGTCTTAAGCGACATATCGTCTGACTCATGAGTTCGGAGGAGCTTGGAAACGAAGACAGTAGTTCGTTGACGCCCGCTCTACCTGCGTGCTCTCGGAGACAAGATACCGGTACACGAGAAATGGGAGTTTGGTTCTGTGGGGCGCTCAGTAAAGCGTATGACCGAGGAGCATCAACGTGGACAGCATAGTGCAAATAAAGGTCGGAGACTCCGAAACTACGGTTGCTTGGCGAGTACTGTTTTTGTATCGTTGCGGTGCTGATGGACTGTGCCAGAGTAATCTGATGCGATACTGCAAACTGGGGACAGAACGACCGAAGGCGGCCAGAGAACTGGGGAAATCTACAAGAAAGGATTTAGTCAACATTATTTTCAGTAATTATTCAACAGGCTCACCTTATTAGAGAAGCGAGCATGGGGGTTGCTGTTATAAACCCTGGCCTTCACCGGCGGAAGAATGGTTGAATGATGAACCATCTCCCTGGTTGTAACTAGAAAGTAGCGGGAATGAATATGGGCCCCGCGAGAGATAAAGCCACGAACCAATACACGCCAAACATGAGCGCTTCATGGCCATCTTGAAGAAAATGAGGACATTATCATGATCATTCCAGAGGTCCAAAGTAGGGTAAACGGAATCGGTGCAGTGATCCCTGACGAGGCAGGCGCCGAGGGTAAACAAAATGATTCTAGTCGTTGAACACGACAACCTTCTGCGAGGAACGTCTCGATACTCTCAAAGAAGACATCTAGATACGCCTGTAAGAATACTCGTCACATCAAGGCTGGAGTATATGCGCCTGTACATCGCTGTGAGCCCAGGAGAGCCCGAGGAATAGTGACTAGTCACACATACATAGTACCACTCTCCAATCATTCTGGGCTGAGCTCAGCGTGCACCACGACGGTACTGGTTCACCGCAGTGTATTGACCTCAAGGACCTCCGACTTACGGTGGCTGGCCGCAGCACCGATTTCGTATGAATGTGGCACCGATGAACAGTGTATAAAGATGCTCTGATACGACGTTGCGATCTGGAGACACAATTGCGGAATGCGGAAAACATTGAGCCAAAGCCTGCAAAGAAGGAGTCAGTTGACATGACTTCTAGCAGATGTTCGATTGGCTCACTTCATGAGAGAAGCAAGCATGACAGGGCTACCGGTATGAACCCCTGGGTTTCACTGGCGGAAGAACGAACTGTCGCCTCGGGTGTAACCAGTGGAAATCTATAGCGGGAATGAATATTGGTTCAGTAAGTGGTGAAGCTTGAAACCAAGTACCGATTGACACCAGACAACCGTCTCGATGGATAAATGGCGCTAGTCTTTGGTACGACAATTCTTTTCCGACAAACGCCTCAACGCTCTCAAGGAATACACCTAGACACGCCCGGAAGCATAATCGTTACTTCAAGAGCTGGAATCTCTCATCCTGCATCCGTGCATCCCTGTGAGCACGAGAGAGCTTGACAAATGGTCACACATACCTAGTATACTGTATTACTTTCCAACATTTTGAGCTGAGCCCTGCGTACACGCGACGGTAACGGCAGTATATTGATTATTGACCTCAAGGGTCTCTTCCTTAGCGGTAATCGGTTGCACCTGAGGTAAGCGAAACGAAGACATGAATAACGGTGAGTACGCACAGTGTACTCTGCTGTCTCAAGAATGCAATACACTTGCTGAGTTTTTGTTTCTGTTAGTACCAGATATCCAATCACGCTACACCGGCCATCTGTACGAAGTCAAGATCGAGAGAGACGCGTTTGAAATGCCTTTTCATTGAGCTCGATGACCGGAGAAGAAATGTCTTCCAGGAAATAGAGTAGTTAATCGGAGCAACTGCCATAGACATGCTAAAATATATCCAAGCTGGAGAATTTCGAGAGGCTTAGCATTCGTCCTTTTTTGCGTATTTTAAGAGGTTTGTTCAAATCGCATTCGGCCCCAGTCGCAATTTGAATAAAAGGGCATTTTTCTGAATCCTGCAGTGTATTGGCCCGGTGCTGTATTCTTTGCGAAAGTGAGCGAGACAAGTATAGAAGGAAACAATAAGATACCCAGGATACAATCCCGTATGGCGAGGGTATAGAGAGGACACTAGGAAGAAGAGTGTAGAAGACAAGTCGCGAGTCAGAGGGTTAGGGTTACAACGGTCACGCGATGAATTGGAAATTACGCCTTCCTCACGGACCGGAATAGCCAGTGCCGAAGGTGCCGGTACCACAATTCAAGGTCCGCATCCGTACGGACCTATCGGCATCATAGTTGACGTTCATCACCGTCATCAGAATCTAGCCAACGACGAACTGTAGGTGCACTAATCTCGTCATTCTTGTTGTAGATTCACTCAATCCTAGGCAATTTGTAGAAACTATATATCAGGTGTATTTCTATGGCAGCAGTGGGCGAAGTAGCATGCATGAGCTATGTTTTACCTCAAATATGCTACGGAGACATAGTGATTGAATGATTGAATGGAAGGTGTTATGTGAGTAATTCTTCCTTGTTTCGACGCGTTTACATATTCAACTAGGTCAAAGTCAATCTGACCATCACCGGGCGCAGTTGGGAAGTTTTCACCATTCAGGATCCTGTGCAAGCGAGAACCAGGCCTACTAGGGCTAAGGAACGGAACGAGACTACGATAATTTCGGGGAGTGAGTGCCAAATGATGCAGCGTAGTACTTTGACCAGGATGATAATTCAGGTCAGTGCATTTTTCTTGATCATCTATACATCCTGACAGGTATTCTAGTGCGAGGAGAAGCGCCCAGTAGTGACGCTTGAGAGGGAATATCGATAATGATAGAATAATACGATGGTGGAATGTTAGATGGAAAAAATGCCAGCAGTACGTAACTTTCAATTGTGATGAAGTTAACGCTCATCTGTCTGTCCAACAAGGTAGTCCTGTACCCCTTCCCACGCTTTTCACGAATACTGGTTCTCTTCTTCCGCAACTGACGGCTTGCTTGTTCTCTCTGCCATCAATGCGGAACGGCGCTTCCCGCCTGCGCCCCTTCAGCAAGTGCCGGCTCCACCACTCCGCCCAGCAGCGCTTTATTTTCGTCTCCATACATGGACGCGTCGCTGGGCGTACTGAACAGCACTTCGTGATCATCCCCGGCCGATTCCCAGCGCCCCACCCTAACCTTCAGCTTTTGGATCTTCAATACCAACAGAGTGGTAAGGATAAGCATACCGATGGCGAAGAATACTGCCACGGTAGCGAGACTGCGCGCAACGGGGTCATGGCACTGTATGATGGTCGGCTGCACATATGCTCCTGGGTTTGGACGAGTGGTTGCCATCGGTAGGGGGGAGACGCTTGGCATGTCAAGAGTTTTTTCAATGGTGGTAGCAGCCTGTGTGATCATCGCAACAGGGGAAACGCTCTGAGAGAATGCTGCGCTCATATTGCAGTGGGGTAAAGTGAGTGTGGGTGCTGTTCTGAAGTCCTTAAATTCTGATGGTGGCGTTTTTGTAGTTTGATCAAACCGGTGCAAGCGGTCCGTTTTACCAAGTATATCATTCCGCACCTGGGCGCCTCCCGGTGCCTCTTTTTGATACAATTCAGATATTTTCTGCTTTTGTCGCGCTTGGCTCACGTTCTCCATCCCATATTGGCCCGGTATCCGCAAGCGGCGGAGAATCAAATCCATTCCAGTCCCAACAAACGGAAGTCTTCTCACTGGCCTCGAACAAAGATACAGCGTCTTTCTTTCATGCTCACGAATTCTTCCCTGCTTCGGGTCTCAACAACCAATTCTACCCACCCACGAAAAGGTAACGCTTGTCATGCAATTGACGAAGCACTTGTTTTAACATGTTTCAGAACCAACATCTCCCCATTCATCAGCATGCCTGACTTCTTGGTCCGCGGGTACCTATCTACGCTCTAGATTTTCACCAGCAAGATCTTCCCGAAAAAATTTCTATTTGTGTAGGTCGAAGGCCAAGCTTTCTTGGGTCAAATTGTCATTGTCGTTGAATTGGGATATCTCCTTCTGCTTCTTTCAATGGTACCAACTGTTTACCACAGCGAGATAGTTTGTATCAGCAGGTGTTGTTGCATCCTCAAGTACTTCCCGCATCTTTATTTCTCTAGCGGCAGGCTAACAGGTCCTTAGATAGGGTAAACTCTTCAGCACGTATTCGTCTGGCGCTAACAAGATCAAAATGACAAGATTTGGATGACGTGGTGTTGCGATTGCAATACCAACTTTGCACGACTCTCATTTATCGGATTAGGCTGTCATCATGCTCGCCCCTCCGGGGTAGCGCTGTGTGACTGGGCGCTTGGCGCACTGGTGATTCATGATATACAGGGAAAGCAGACCAATGTCTGTACGGGAAAGACGCGGAGGCCTTTTGACTACCTCACGTTGGATGAAGTGAATAGCAGTAAAAACCTGGAGGGATGCCGACGTACCCCTTCCAGAGAGGACAGACAACCCTAACCCTAGTTTTCTTAGGGTTAAGGGTCGCCCACTCTCAACGTCGTCATCGCCCTTTCATGGGCTAGCATTCACGCAAAAATCACATCAGTGTCGGTAAGTCCTTTGCCTTTTTCTGTCTATCGTAGCTGATGCATGCTTATAGGGCATATGATCGAAGTCTTCAGCTGAACGGATATCCCAGCCCTACCACCCCCACCGTCCATTGTACGCAACACGCCGAGTCTCATAACCTGCATCTTTCTCTTCGCACAAGTCCCTACCGCTGAACCACTTCTCTCTGCATACTTCGGTGTCTTTTCAGAGGCACGTCGTCTTGGTCTTCGAGGAGCGGCAATGTGCAGTGGGGATGCCTAGAGCATGCCATAGAACATTCGCGATGGGAACCGATGCCTCACCTCTTAGCTGTAGAGACAGCGGATGCATAGCAGCCGTTGACGGAAGAGGCGGATTCGTCGTTGTGTCGTTCATGCTACCATTATAATCAACAACTCGGACGCTCGCCAGGCGCTATGGCGGGTCGAATACCATCATCGTCTCTCCACCGTTCGGTCGTAACGGTGAATGTACGACTTCCGGTGTATCACTTTCTGTTTGAGATCGCAGGGGGACATGACGATAGCAGAGTTGAAGAAGAACAGGTAGCAGGAGATCGCGTGATCTGCTGTTGTGTAAGCTTCGTATGCAACGCATCAGGGCAGCGAACAGTGACAGCTGTGCGTCTTCACAGACAGGAACAATGAGAGATCCCTTCCGATCGACGTGGTTGCCAGTGTTAGATGCAATTTAGGCACACACTGCGTTGTCATCTCCGCCACCATCGTCTTCGCGTGGTGGTGAGTTCTCCTCTTATCCATGACGGAATAAAAGGCTTACAGACGAACAGAAGATTTGGTTGGCTGGAATGATAAGGAGTGGGAGGCGCTGAAGCATGGTTCGAGGGAGAGTAGCGAAGGCCTGGGGAAGGACGGGGTTTGTATATCTTCTCTCCTAACGTTGAATGTCAACCTTATCTTACGTTTCTCAGGGTTAGGGTCTTGTGAATCAAGCTTGGTCGGAAGCGCATACATATGCCCTTCAAGAAGCTCCTGCCTGCAATTCTGCGAAGGATCATGTCCGCTCGTTCGTGTCAGCCGTCATCGGTGGGCAGTTCTGCTACATGCTATGCCTCGCAGTTGTATATACAAATGTGCTGTTGTTCAGCATCCCAAAATGCTCTTCAGAACGGTGCGCTAGGGAGGACAAGATGTCGTTTTGAACCCCCCGAGTCGCCAGGGTTCAGCGAACCGTACGCAATATCTCATGGAGGAAAAATGTATTTTATCTGTCAATTCAAGATTTCAAGTTGTCGATGTACAGCTGCGCTGACTCAAACCCAATACTCTCCATGAAAAGTCTCAGGTGGTGATGACCAAATCAGGGAATTTCAAATGTCGCCTCACGTCCATTTACGGACGACTTTCTCGTTTGCTTTCGACCACAACCATCTCACTCTCTGTCCTCTCTACACCATGGTCAATCTTTCTGAACTCGTAGTGGACTTTGAGGTGAATCCGCATGATGAGTGTCCTGAAGTACTGCAGACCATCAGCATGGAGGTCGTGCAGCCTGGCAACTCAGGCGGTCGGATAGCTTCTCTGGACGGGTTCATCATCTCTCGAGGACGCTGTGGCGATGGTTTTCACTCAATTCTGGACGAAGAAAGTGATGAGCTGCACCGGTTCTCTGTAGCTCTGTTCGATAAGTACGGCAAGGTCAAGTCTCACATTGTCTCAGAGGGATTTCGGAGTGGTACTCGCTGCTGGGGGAGGGAACTCAATGTTGGAAAGATTATTTATGTGGTCGATGTTACCGTGCACAAGGTGAGAGACTTTCAAGATCTTTTGATAGGTATTCACTGAGAACTTGTGCAGGATCGACGACAAGGAATTGGATCGTTCGTCCTTCAGAAGCTATTCGAGTCTGAGTACGTGCAAGACGAAGACATCGTCATATCCTGGCCGGTATCGAGAGATGCTTCGAATGACATCCTGGTTGCCTTTTTCCGTAAAGTAAGTTTTCAAATTACATCTTTCGCATAGCATATATGCTGATAATATTGCAGAACGGCTTTCGCCGGATTGGACGTACAAATTTCTTAGGCTACTCTCCCAATCCAAACCACCCATCTCGTCGTATTCTACCCGGGAACGACGTCGAGTCTTTGGAAGACAAGTTTCCAGAAAGCCCCTCTATCCCTTCCAACGAACTGATAGCCCGCGGACTCGATGTCATTAATGAGGAGCGCTGGAAGAAGTATCCTCTCCACTATGCTATCGTCAACAAAGACACGCCCGATATCACTACGGTCATTCAGTCTTTCTACGACAAGGATCCTGCAAGTATTCACGTACCAGATGACCGAGGTTTTCTCCCCGTTTTCGTTGCTGCGCGTGCACAAAATGTTCACGCTCTCAACAAGCTCATCGAACTCGGCGTCGCTGAAGACCTGAACAATACCAACAATGCCGAAGGAGTCACTCCCCTAGAGAGCGTGCTGGATAGCATGCAATCAACCCGCGAATTCTGCGAGGCCATGCTCGGCACGTGGCCGGGTAATTCGGAAAAGGACATCAAAATCGTTCGCATACTGAAGACGGCGATGGAACTTCCTGAAGATAGTGATGGTCAGCTTCCGTTTGGCTGCACATGTGGACAGTGCTCCGGCGGTTGGCTCTCTCCTCGGATGCGATTTGCTTTGCAAGGTAGGATCAAGGGATATTTTCCAAGTTGATCGAAAACTGATATCTACCTCTAGTTCAGGCTGCCTTCTATATGGACACTCTACCGATGGACCTAAGCAGCTTCACGCGCGGCGAAGCGCTTGACGCCTCAGAAGAAATGATCGGATGCGGGACGACGGCTTATCTTCCACCGGCGCTTCAAAGAAACATGTTCAAGTCCTTCTACAGGGGGTTCACGACCATATTCGAGGTCATCTATAAGATCCTAAAGAACGACTCTCAAATTCCGAAGCTCCAGGATATTGAACGCGACGCGGTATTTGAGTGGGGTACTTCGTTTTACCTTTCCAAAGGTGGGAGGGTGGAGTATGCTCTGGATGCTGTCACAGCTATTGCAAAGGAGCAGTCAAACTTGGGTGACGGGACGTTCTATGAAACGTTTGGTGAGGATGAGGGCTTTGTTCGGCTTCCCGAGTGTGTGAATGATGAAGAGTTTGAGATGGTGAGGGTGATGCTAGGATTGGATCCGAGGAAGTGTTGGGGTCCGTTCTATTTGGACTAGGTCTCAATGTTTAACCTGTATAGTAGTGTCGATTGTGATTGCTAGCACAAGTATGCCCTCGGTTGGTGCGGATTGGGGATTGGTGGACCAGATTTGACGAGAAGAGTGAAGATTGTGGGTGTTTCGTCTTCGTTTTCTTTTCAGGTCAATGTTTCCATGGTAGGCTGACTATGCGTCTTAGCTGTCCATTCCTGTATGCTCAGACGCCGGTGTATGCCTTTGCGGAGAGGATGGCGGATTTGATCATTGTATTCCAATTCAGCTTAGTTTCGCGCTTCCTTCGCTCTGAGGCTCTTGACAAGCGTTTTTAGCATCATCTTCAACAAGATCAATTTCTCTTCAACGACCTCTTTTGTCTCATCTTTCTTACGCCTTCTAGGCGTTGAGATTAGGTCACTATGGCGGTCAACATTGACCTTTTATTTGCTATAACTACCCAGTTAAGGCGATAGCCGTATTGGACCACTGTGCGTATCTGGGTGGCGCTTAACTGAGTACGCTCTTTCCATCCCTGTGTCTTCAAAACCTTCTTACACAAGCGTTCTGCAGGTACGTCATCTCATAACCAGTATGAGTCTGTATGACCGCGCCTCGAAGGGCATTTCTGATTGTCGACATTACATCGACCGGGTAGGCTGAAGCACTGGCCCTTAAAGGAGATCACTTACCGCTGTACAGCAGAACTTGTCGGGCGAGGAGTATGACGCCGACAAAACTTGAGGGTGGCGTACACTGCCTAGAACTTTGAGGTCATGATGGGTAAATGCTACACACCATGTCCTCCGTGAATAGACCTGGTGACTGCAACAAACACAGAAAATAGCGCAGGAGTTGCCGGAGCTATGGCATCTAGCTGGCGAAGAAGCGAAGGCTCTGGATTCGACTTCACTAGATCCACATGCCACGAATCTAGGTGCGTCCAGAGCAGAACAGCATGGATAGTCCAGGCAGTCGTCAAAGGGGCACCCGGAAAACGTAGAGCAAGCAGCTGTTGCATGAGAAGTATACACTGGATCAAGGTGGCGTTGATAGCGATGACTACTTAGGGGAAACAAGGCCTAGCTCACGACGGCGTCTTCAGCCTGCTGTTCTAGATTTTTGATATCCCCCCCGGCGATATCTCTGATTTCTCGGTTGCTATCTTAATTGACGTGAACATACTAGGAGATCTGAACTATACGTCCTGATTTTATCTATTCAAGTCACACTCAATTACCGAGGTAACCTGCGAGCTTTACGCTGTATGTTTTCTAGGCCCCAGCGAGTCCCTTTACAATCGATGATAGTTGATCAAAAAGCGGTGTCTTGGAATCAATAATATCATTTCCGTTATGCTATACTGAATGGATACAGCGAGAAGGAAATCTTCTGATCTTTTCGAATGCCCAACTCGGAGGTGGTCATTGAGCCGCCAACGCTGTTCCGGTCTGTTCCTCAAGCACAAGCAATGCAAGTGCAATGTCCAGCCAATGGAATTCTACTTCACTGTAAGCCTGGAATACGCACAATTAAATATCTTTCTCGAGATCTTACTACACGCCGCGAAGTCTTTGGATGCAACTATTGCAAGGTCGTTGTGTTTCTACTGAGAGCGGCCGGCCACTGCCGCAGCACTGAGTTCAGACATTCTATGCCCTAGGGTGAAGGATGATCCACTAAATCCACGAGATCTTTTCTGTGTTGTTATACACATGACTACGAAAGGCTACGATTGGTTGAAAACTTTTCAACAGCTCGGCGACCGGATATTAATATCATGAAGGGGAACCAATCAACAACAATTCAAGCCTGGATTGCTACTGGGCTCTAGATCATATTTCCGTCCAATCGCAACAAAGCAGATTTAGCATCGATGCGCAGCGCCATTCTCTGGCTTCTGATTGGCTGGACTTCTGATTGGCTAGTGCATCGTATATATTATCGTTGAACGGACTCTCGTTGAGGCCCATGTTCTAAGACCTTTGGGCGGTGCAGCTTACCCAACGTATCCCGGAGCAAGTACTACTTAAGAGAAATGATGTTGAATACCACCCTCCCCATTTTCAATGGCTCGCTTCAAGTTGGAAGATTTTGATGTTCAAACCCTTTTGTTTCTCGCCTCTACTATTCTCAGCCAAAACCCAATAATATCCGCATTTCTTCTTCTCACCCTTGTTTTCCGCATCCTCATATGGCCTTTGTTGGCGCCCTTGATGCCGACCGCACGTCTCGTGCAGCTCGAATCAGCGCTGAAGGCGACTTACCCACTGCTCGAAATGCAAAGCCCGTTATTTAATAATTCACGTATCCGCCTTAATGAGTAACTATCCTAGCTTGGCTTTGTGGCGCTGACATTCACCCGATGATCAGGTTCGAGCGGGAGGTCCTTGCATTGTTAAGGATGCGCTTAAATGTACAACGGCGATTAATTCTCGGCGGGTACTCCTGGAAGGAATATTTTCTTGATATGTGGAATATATGGCATGGGACTCAAGCCTGTCGAAGAAGGGTTGATGCATTTCGGGTCGAATTGGAGGTGAGGGTTCTAAAATTTTTAGATCGATTATTGGGCTGGATGACGAGTATTGAGTCAGATTGCTATTGTAGAAGACTGGGAGGTCAGGCATGAGGATATTCTGCGCCATTATGGAATGAGTGAGATAGCCAGGTCAACCATAATCCCCCTACAGTTCCGTGATCCCTACCGTACTGTGTAGCACTGCCTACCTACCTACCAACTTTGATCCTAGAGGCTGACCGGTTTATGAAATCCTCCCGTGTCACAACCGCAAATAGGGTATTTTGAAAGAAAGACCTGCGCGCAAGATACCCAAACATTGTCACGGATGGCTCGAAGGCTGGACTTCAGTGTCCGGGACACGACGAGATCGAGGCCCGAAGAACGAGTTTCCGGAGAAAATGCCGCATAGGTGATATGAAAGTGTGATGGCTTCTATGAACCGCTTATGCGACAGAGTGGGGTGAACCGGACTGGTACAGATACTCGCAGAACGGGCATTAGGTTTTGCCCAGAACTCAGCTATTGCAAAGGAGCAGTCGAACTTGGGTGATGGGACGTTCTATGAGACGTTTGGTGAGGATGAGGGCTTTGTTCGGCTTCCCGAATGTGAGAATGATGAAGAATTTGAGATGGTGAGGTTGATGTTAGGATTGGATCTTAGGAAGTGTTGGGGTCCGTTCTATTTGGACTAGGTCTCTATGTTTAACCTGTATAGTAGTGTCAGTTGTAATTGCTAGCACAAGTATGCTCTCTGTTGGAAAACGGGGTATCGGTTCGTTCCCAGTGTCACATGCACGGTAGCAAGCCAATAGTATTGCGTTTGGCTGAGCTCTGCAAACGCATGAGGATCTACACTAAAGTACCTACTTTTATACTAAATGTACTTTTACTAGAACTTTCCACACTTTTCCTCAGACTTCTTCCTTAATAAGCGAACTTGGCATGATGCCGGATTGCCAAATCCCAACACCCTCGGTTGGAGCGGATTGGGGATTAGTGGACCAGATTTAGTGAGAGGAGTGATGGTTGTGGGTGTTTCGTTTTCGTTTTCATTTTCAGGTCAATGTTTCTGGTAGGCTGACTATGCGTCTTAGCTGTCCCTTCCTGCGTGCTCAGGCGCCGGTGTATGCCTTTGCGGAGAGGATGGCGGATTTGATCATTGTATTCCAATTCAGCTTAGTTTCGCGCTTCCTTCGCTCTGAGGCTCTTGACAAGCGTTTTCAGCATCATTACTATCATCAAGATCGATTTCTCTTCGACGACTCCTTTCGCTTCATCTTTTCTTACGTCTTCTAGGCGTTGAGACTAGGTCGCTATAGAGATCGATATTGATGTTTAATTGCTATAACTACTCAGCTAAGGCAACAACCGTATTGGAACACTGTGCGTATCTGGATGGCGCTTAACCGAGTACGTTCTTTCCATTTCTGTGTCTTCAAAACCTTCTTACACAAGTGTTCTGCAGGTACATCATCTCATAACCAGTATGAGTCTGTATGACCACGCCAAAGTTGAAGGACATTTCTGACTGTGCACATTACGTCGACGGGGTAGGTTGAAGCACTGGTCCTTATAGGAGATCACTTACCGCTGTACAGCAGAACTTGTCGGGCGAGGAGTATGATGCCGACAAAACCTGATGGTGGTGTACACTGCCTAGAACTTTGAGGTCACGATGAGTACATGCTACACACCATATCCTCCGTGAATAGACCTAGTGCCACTGCCCTAGAACGAAGGATGATCCACTGAACCCACGAGATTTTCTCTGCGTTGCTACACATAACTGCGAAAGGCTACGATTGGTTGAAAGCTTTTCAACAGCCCTGCTTTCGAAACCACATTCGCCGACCGATATTAATATCATGAAAGGGAACTAATTTAAATGAACAGCAATTCAAGCTTGGATTCAATGCTACTGGGCCTCGTGTAGGCTCGTGATCAGCTCGTTTCGCACGTGGCTACGCTATTTCACTTTTGTTTATAAGTGAAATAGCGTAGCCACGTGCGAAGCGAGCTGGTCAGTGGTCGCATTTACAGCATTGATGTGTCATTACTTCTATGTCAGCGTCATTCTCTGGCCTATGATTGGCTGGACTTAGCTTCTCATTGGCTGGTGCGTCGTATATATTATCATCGAACGCTCGTTGAGGCCCTTGTTCCAAAAACTTTGGGCGGTGCAGCTTACCCAACGTATCCCGGAGCAAGTACTACTTAAGAGAAATGATGTTGAATACAGCCCTCCCCATCTTCAATGGCTCGCTTCAGATTGGAAGATTTTGATGTTCAAACCCTTTTGTTTCTCGCCTCCACTCTCAACCAGAACCCAGTAGTCTCCGTATTTCTTCTTCTCACCCTTGTGTTCCGCATCCTCGTATGGCCTTTGTTGGCACCCTTGATGCCGACCGCACGCCTTGTGGAGCTCGAATCAGTACTGAAGACGATCTACCCACTATTCGAAATGCAAAGCCCGTTATCTAATAATTCACGTATCCACATTAATGAGTAACTATCCTAGCTTGGTTTTGTGGCGCTGACATTCACCCGATGATCAGGTTCGAGTTGGAGGTCCTTGCATTGTTAAGGGTGCGCTTGAATGTACAACGGCGATTAATTCTCGGCGGGTACTCCTGGAAGGAATATTTTCTTGATATGTGGAATATCTGGCGTGGGGCTCAAGCCTGTCGAAAAAGGATCGATGCGTTTCGGATCGAATTGGAGGTGAGGGTTCTAAAATTCCTGGGTCAATTACTGGGCTGGATGACGAGTATTGAGTCAGATCGGTATTGTAGAAGACTGGGAGGTTAGGCATGAGGATATTCTGCGCCATTATGGAATGAATGAGGTAACGAGATCGACCACAGTTCCCCTACAATTCCGTGATCCCTACCGTGCCGTGTAACCCTACCTGTCTACGTACCAATATTTATTATTGACCATGGAGGCTGACTGCTTGCGTCGTAAACAACTGTTTCCGAAGGGCATAGATAGATTACGCACGAAGGTAATCTGGAATAGCATGCAAGACTTGACAGAAAATAGGGCATTTCGAAAGAAATGCTAGTGCACTAGATGTGCTATGTTTGTTGTTGGGAAAAGGGAGACGACTTCTTCCTTAACAACGTCACATGAAATAAACCAGGCAGATATATGCTAGCACAAAGTTAAGCTACAATTCGGGGGTGAGGATAAGACAGGGCAACGTGCCAATGAAATGAACATGAAGTAAACAAACGAACTAGACACAAACAAAAGATTAAGAAACGAGTCACAACCTAGACTCGTACTGAACACACGCTCTTGGACCGCCCGAAAGGGCTGAACTTTCAGTGTCCAGTGTATTACGAGTTCGAGCTCCAAAGAGCGGGATTCTGGAGCAAATCCCGCGTCAGTGAAACAAAATTACAGCTTTTAATGATATGAAGGAGTGGGATGAACTGAGTTGGTACTCGCAAAACAGCTTGAGCGTCTGGCTGTGCATATTCTCCGTGTTTATCACCAAAAATTGCCCCCAATAATCTGGCCACGACGTGAAAAATATTAAAGATAGATGGAAGGAAGTAAGCACCCACACGAGAGGGCTGATTCAAAGTTTCTTTGAATCCCGCGGACGAGCTAGTTAATTTGAGGTAAACCTGTAAGCTTAGCTTGAACCGGATAGCGTACGTAGGGTGGCAAAAGTGCCAATGGTTTCTAACATGGACATGCGATTGAATATAGTCGTCCGCGTCAAGTTCCATGCGGTTGAAGCATACTGTATGAAATTTCGAATGATGGAGTCCAGGTATCCCGGCTAATTCCGGCGTGCAAAGAAACTCGCCTAAACCCTAACCTCAGTTTTCCTTCTGCCACCATCATCTTCAGCTTGCGGTATTTCATTAACTTATGCTCGTTGTCTCTTCCCTAGGACCCTCATTTTATTCTCTCCCTTGCCTTGAATGGTAAATCCTTCGTTTCCCTACTATTCAAGCTGGCCAGAGAGTGCTTGCTCTTTGCTACCGCCACTATTGTTGCCTGTTTTCCAGCTTCGCTCTGTCTACGCCTACAGCAGCATATGAAACACGCAGTATCGATAATGAAGAAGTCGGTGGATAAGCAGGTATGTAACTTCCAATAAGTACTGTGGTGAAATCAGCGCTCATATGTCTATCCGGTATGACAGCACCGTGCCATAGCCCATGCTATGTCCGCAAACCGGTTTCTTTCTCTCTCGGCCGACAGCTTCAATTTCAAAGTATCGTCCTCCTGAACGTTACTCCCCGCCTGCACCTCGTCAGCAAGTGCCGGTCCACCACACCACCTAGCAGCGCTTTATTATCATCCTCATACATGGCCACGTCGTTAGGTGATCCCAACGGTACCTCGCGGTCATTCCCCGCCATTTCCCAGCGCGTCACCTGAACCTTCAGCTTTTGGATCCCTACCAGTAGGACGATAATGACAAGTAAATCAACGACTACGGTGGGGAGACTACGCACAATGCAGTCGTAGTATTTTACGATTGGTCGGCCACGCATCCTCCCCTGTGTTTGGATGAATAGTCGCCATTGGTAGGAGGAGGCAAAAAATGGCGGTGCTAACCCTCGATGGGAGGGAATCCTATGGGGGAATACTGCCGCCATGTCGCAGTAGAGAAAGGTGAGTAGTGGGCATTGTTATGAAATATTCAAGTTCTAATGGCCCAAGTGATCGTGTAGCTAGCTCGAGTTGCCTTCCGGATGCACTCTAAGATGCCCGCTTTCACGATGTACAAGGTCGTCGAAGGCGAGACTACTAAAAACATCATCGCTTGTGTAATGTCGGTGGATGTGAATTGGGACACCAGGTTCTGATACTATCCGATGCCGTGGCGAGATGAGTATTGCGTAAGTACTTCCCGTCTGAACCTTTCTTTTGTAACAAGCTAATGAGTCTCCGAAATCTTCAGCAAGCCCTAAAAAATGACAAGATTCGGACAACGTTGTCCTGTGATTGAAATAATGAAACTTCTCAGTGTGTTAGGCCGTCGTCGTGCCCGCCCTCTGGGATAGCCACGATGTGACAGGGCGCTTTATACTGCGGTGACTCACGATTGGGGGAAGAAGACCGACGTCTGCATAGGCGACACACAAAAAGCTTTTCCCCTGTCCCACGCAGGACGAATTCAATCGCAAAAGTACAGCAAGGACTCGTAGGCTACGGGCGTGTTTAGGCAGGCCAGCAATGTTGGGACTGCCGACGTCCAATTGGTTGCTTGGAGGTGTAACCCTAACCCTTCTTTTCTTCGGGTTAAGGGTCGTCCGAGTCGGCAGCCGAACTGTGCTGTTCATGCCCTAGGACATCACGTCAGCCTCCGCTCTTCCAAAGGTAGTCCTTATCTTCATCTGTAGACCTTGGCTGACACATGTTGTAGGGCATACCGTCTAATGTTCAACTAAAAGCAGACGTCACCTTCCTTTGCACGGAGACCCATGAATCACGTTCCTCTCAAATACACCAGGCTCTCGTTCTTCACATGCCAACATGCGCATTCCTGATTTTCGAAGGAAGAGCAATGTCCTCAATGGGACGCGTATGCGTAGAATACACCATGGAAGCAATAGGTGTACGATGGCTAGTAACAGAAGAGACGCGCTGGTTTCCGCCCTCATAACCAATAAGTCGTACACCTGTCAAACTCTGGGCGAAGTCGAAAGTCGAGCTCTGTCATCACCTCGACCGTAACAGTGGATGTACCACTCGAGGTGGCTGCAGGATAGGACGATGGTACGGTTTAACAAGGGCAGGCAACGATGACGGCGCGATATGTTCGCGGACAGATACCGTGTATGATGCGTCGGGCCTGGGTACATAACACGGTCAGCTGCGCTTCACGTTAGATGGGAATAATGAGGGACGTCGGTGTACAACGCTGCTGCTGGTGACAATGGCAGCTCTCTGCCCTGCTGCGCTGTAATTCCTGTTACGTTTTCTGGTTGAACACGCATCGCAGGCTTCCTGTCGCAGCTTCATGGAACGAATGAAAGAAGAAAGACGTAAGGATGGATAGGGAGGCCTTGGTTGGTTTGGATGACTGGAGACGGGAGGTGTGGAAGGAAAGGGTGATTCCAGACGGCGATTTCTCTATCTCTCCCACCGAAACTCCGTACCTGCGGACCAGATACCTTCCGCGAGGAGCGCCGGAAGAAGCTCTCTGTTACGCTATCGCCAGCAAGAGCACCCCCGATATCGCTGCGGTCATTCAGTCTTTCTACTGCACGTATCTACGTAGTACAGGATGATCGAGGTTTTCTCCCTGTTTTTGTCACTGCGCGCACTCAAGATGTTCAAGCTCTCAACGAGCTAATCGAGCTCGGCATTGCTGAAGACTCGTGGGCAGATAATTCGCAAAAGGACATGGAAGTCCTTCACACTGAAGACGGCGGTGAAGCCTAGCGGTCGCAACTTGGGGGACGGGACTGTCTATGGCACGTTTGGCAAGAATGAGTCTGTTGTTCGTCTTCCAGCGCGCAAGAGTGACTGAGCGTTTGAGATGGTGTGAAAGTGATGTTGGGATCGAATCCGAGGGAGAGTTGGGGTCCGTACTACCTGTGATGAATATTTCTTACTGTCTAACGTGTATGATAATGTCAGTTACAATTGCTCTGCGGGCCTCCGTGATAATTACACTGGCAGAACTTGCCCGCGAGTCGAATCCTACTGCGTGAGAACCAGTCTTTGGTTAGCCCAGGACGTCCAATGGACGTGCCTGTACGGTAGTTCTTAACAGCTGCTTGAAGGATACGTGCTGAGCGAAAGGAAGGCCCGACTCTGATTCGATCGTCTGGAGTCAGGACGCACTTATAAGGCTAAATAGCCCCTCTTCTTGGACCTTGACTCATCTTGTTCCACTGCCAACACTTGTTCAGCGCTCACGTCAAATGCAAGCTCCAGATCTGTCAGCGTCGCAGGGCCCCAAGTTTCTCTTCCAACAAGAGAACGGCGAAATCATTCTAAGACCTGCACATCCCCAGCAAGATGATCAACTATGCCCAACGGTGGGTTAGAACGCATCTAACTAGGTACCTACCCTAACTCACAAACCTTCTTGGACAGGGAGCACGGCGACACCACAAAGATCTTGAAGGACGGCTACGGGATGTCGAGGTCCTGATCGCTAACCACCTCGGATTTCAAGAGCGCATACGAGAAAGCCAACACCAGGAGAAGTATTTGGCTTTACATTATGGAACGGCAGAGCGGTTCTCTCGAGGTAAAACCGCAACTTATCTTGAATGAACTGATCAAGTAACCACTTTCCCTAGGTATCACAGACGACTTGCTTAGCACCAACCCTGAGATCGAATATTATATCCTCCGCCTCTCGCAAGCTATTTCCCGAGTATCAGTTCAATTGGGCCGTACGATGATATACAGTATGTACTCACTTTATCTTACTACTAGTCACGCTGGTGTACTCACTTTTATGTCGAAATCACAGTGCCCAACATCCTCGTCGCCTGGTATTACCATCGTGCCATCACCAGTTCATCTTCACACCCTCCATACCCTACACTCACACAGCAGCTCCCGCCACACTTACACCAGAGAAACATCGCCGCCGCAGAGGCCCTCGAGCAAATTTCAGTATTTTTCGACTTGAAACCGCTGAGTTATTTTGCACTGTCGCATATCGAAAAGGTTTCTCTGCTTGTCGATACGCGGATACTGCATTCGATTCTTTCCAACCGAAGTCAGCTACTTATCGTTCCCCGCGCTGACGTTGCATGGGATCTTCTTCTGGAACAGAATAGAATGAACAGCTCTCATAAGGATGTCATTCAGACGATCATGTCATCTCTCATCGATGTTCTAAAGAGATCCGGAGGTATCGAATATTTCGCATCGTGAACCTCGAATGAATCAGATAGTTTTATGTAGTTCTACGGTAGATAGCTCTCATGAGTTCTGAAAAGCGAATCTATTCTCGAATAAAGATAACGGTGCACTATTAGCCTACATCCGGAATGCGATAAATAGTAATATACAATCATACAACAAGATAAATAACAAACGAATAAATAATTCCTTCATCACAAGATTTGTAAAATGACCAAAACAAACGCCCAGAAAATACAAAGAAACCCAGAAAAGCGCTATGACAATGACGCCAAACAAACCTTCCATACCCCCGGTTCATCCGTAGCTTCGATCCCGATGAACCTAGTATACCCCAACAAGAAGTCAACTCTCCTAACACCCTTCCTCCTCTCTTCCTCCCCCATCCCCTCTACCCGGTTCGCAAACGCCCTCATCACGCCCAACCCTCCCACAGCCTTCAGCTCCTCCTCCGTCACCCTTGTACGCAGTGCAGTATATAGCGCCACGACCACGTCCCTGACTGAACTGGGGGAGATATGAATCCGCCACGGGAGGTACTTGGAAACCAGAATCATGCCTCCGGGAAGGGGAGGAGAGGTAGCAGGTTCGTCAGAAAGCTCAGAGATGTACGGCGAAATGTCCTTTGACAAGTCGATGCCGAGGTGAGGCGGGCGGAGGAATTCATGTAGTTCAACGGTGGTTGGCTCAAAGTCTTCCTCTACTGACGGGAGGCTGATAGAGTTCCGGAGACCATCGGGCGTCGGCGGTGGGTGGAATGAGGATGGCGACTGCTGTGGGGAAGGAGAAGATATGGAACTTGGGAACGAAGAGAAGCTCGGCGAAGATGGCAATGGAGACCGATAAAACTCGGGAGACGGGGTATCGTTCACCGACCGAGAATGATAATACATGTTAGGTAGCTCCTGGCTCACCAACGGGTTTCCAAATAGCCTCTGAGACGATCGAGTCGCGATTGGTGAAGGCGTCTGGTCCGAATCATACGAGTACGTGTCGTTAGGCGAATCCGCGAAACGAACTGTCTTCGTGATGGGCATCTTGGAAGAGATGTGGCGGGGCATTGTGGATTCGTTCGTCGAGAAACGTGGTCTTCTTTTATACCCCGCCACTCTCTCTATATTGAAAGGGCGGTTCCGATATAGCCTATTAGCAATGCTTAACAGGGCGTCATTCCACAGCTTGTGTCCGGCACAACACAGCCTTGTATGTCCCAGTTGAGATGATGGCGCTTCGATGCGCACCGCGCCCCTGGTGCAATGTAACAATGTTGGGATGTCCCCTTGACGATGGAAAGCTTGTACCTTGAACGGTCCTAATGTGTTGTGGTACCTGTAACACCATCTTAGCGTCTATCTAGTTCTTGAGAATAGGTAGCTATACCACACACCAATGTATAGAAGCCTCATCACCAGATTCTATGGCCCTGGCGGGACACACCAATTTCTTCTGTCGATGCCCAAGCTTTCCAACAATGGACGATCCTAGCAATCGGGGCTATGTCCGTAAATCATATGCTGATTCACCGACCCTGGGTATATTATCAGTGATCGCGTCGTTTTCAGTCATTCAGATCTTTTACCATAGGTAGTAAGGATACAGAAAGAGTCATCACGACGAATACTGATACCAATGCGATACAGTATCGCCGCCCCAGGGCGCCTGTTCATTCCATACAAGCACTACAACAGCATCATCAATAAATAGTTCGTCAGGGGGTTGTGAAGCGCTTACGATAGACACTGTCGAAAGCGATGAAGCGCAAGTCGCCGTATCAACCTGGAAGTTCCAATTCCTCAGACGTCGGTATGGAAGACGACGAACAGCAGCGGCCGTCATCGGACATCCGAGCATTCTCAGACCATAGCCCAGTGTCCGAATGGCCTCAAACTATCGGGGAATCAGATAACTTCCTTGATGACGCTGTCCTGTTGGAACTGTGCCTTTGTTGTAAGCGCCCATCAAGTTTCCCAGGACATCTTGGTAAAAGTATACATACGGGATAGGCTGACAATCTCCTTCGTCCTCTAATAGTCGCGAAGAAAGGATACATGACTGCTGAAAACTAGGACTAGGTAACAAGAAAGGTTAGATCAAAAACGCTGAAATGGAAAATACTTACGGCATACACATAACATGCTGTTAGCAGGGACTCGACATGCTGGTCATCGCATCGGACTCTTCTTAGAATACACCTTGATTCATCGGCAAAGCAAAGAAAGCGCGAAGTGAAGAACAAAACGCGGGACTTTCGGAAATCGGGAGCTCGGGTAGTCGTCCAAGACGATTTGTTGGTGATTACAAACATTGATCGCTCAGACTAACAACACCTGAGGCCTAAGACTGATGGAACAATGGGGTAGCAAGACGTTTAGAGCGTCGCAATGCAGGTGATGTAAAATTGACAGTTTATTGCAGGACCTGCGAGAATCGTATTAGCGCTAGTATCATGATAGACAGAATTATAAACGAACTTTCTTCGACCTGAACATTCAGAGACGAGAGTTTCTGTGGTTCAAGTTACGAGTCCGACTTGGATCTTTGTCCGAGGCTCGCAGCTTTCTCGTTCGAGCAAAGGGCGCACTCAGGGTACCGCTGTTCATGAGAAGCACCTGTGGTAAGCTAGTAAACTTTCAAGAAAGTAACAAATACGCACCAGTGCCAAGAACAGTCTGAAGTTCCGCTTGCATCTGTCGGTGCAAGTCTCCTCATCCTTCTCGTGCTGCTGCCTAATATTGGGATTTGAGTGGTGTATGTCCCTGAATAACGCGCATATTGAGGGAAGGGAGCCGCTCCCGGGGAAAACCTTCTGTTATGTCATTTTTCTTGCCGCAAGAAAGTCGGTGGAGTAGAAATGATGGCTTTATCGACTTGCACTGGTGTAGCCACACTTGGAATTCAGTGGTTCTAAGAAAACGCAAAGGAACGTACCTAGGAGAGTATATTGAATACGCGTCACTGATAATGTACATCCTGCTCTGTGACAAGCGAATCGATACCTGCCAGAATGTGAGTAAGATAAGAGAAGAATAAGGCAAAAGCGCACCTGCAACTTGTGAATCAATCGTTGGTCCAATCAAGCTAATGGCCTCCGTTCTTCATGAATATTCCTAAGAGGTGGTTCTGTTCAAGGTGTGCTACACTGTGTCACGACTTGAATATATGCACTTCATCAGGAAAGGCCAAAATGATTCAAATATGACAGGGAAACATACCGACAACATCATGGCAAATCCTGCCCCAACTCTGGGTTACGTCGGAGTCCCGAATGCGAATAGGTATCTCCCCCGCCTTATCTCTGGCTTTCCCAGAAGTGTCGCCTTTCCGTTGATGGATATATCCTTTACCGTCTTCATGCAAACCTGAAAGATATAGGGCTACTTGTATCCGTGAGGATGTCCTGTGTAGCACACTTCCTGCATTGAAAAATCACGTCTTGAAGGCAGCGCAAAAGGACCCAACGTACGAGACCTCACAATTAGATCGTCTTCTCTAGTGCTTCCAATGAGCTCTAAAATAGCAAAAAGGCTGCAATGGACAGGAGACAAAGTCACGAAAAAGCTGACAGAAACGAAATTTGGTGGGTCGTGGATGTAGAAGGGAAAGGACCGCGTTATTTGGTTGAGCTTGGCTGAGATGTCAACAAACATCCAGCCACCGAGTCCCGACGTGCTACTGGCGTCCATGTGCATATGGCAGAACGGACGAAACAACTGCTTTCCCTTCTACTACCAGCATCCCTCACCATTCCCAGAAGATGCCGTGAATCTGGTCCATACCTCTTCCACCTTGAGGCTGACTAGACATGGGTAATTATGCCTTGAACCCTGAGTTCCATCTTTTTCACGGGGCCTTTTGGTGAATGGCGCCGATTGGTGAAGACTTGCTTGCGGGAGGATGCACTGCGCAGATTCTTGGCGGATACATTACAGGATCATGGCGACGACTAAGGTACGAAATCATTTTCTTCCCATCCCTTGACCTTCAATCTCATATGTTGTCTAGCACTGCAACTATCGTAGACTATGTGCTACTCGCCGTGTGCTGTTAAATTACTATTCAATATTTCGCACAAACTATTAGGTACGTTTTTCTCCTGCCATACTCCTCAGAATTTGATGCAGGACCATTTAGCAATTTGAACGAGAACGGTGAAGAATCAGTAATACGATGGGCAAGGGCAGGCAGGAAGGAAGGTACGCCTACGTATCTCTTTTCTTAAGCTTTACTTACCTCGAAGCGACAGTCCAAGAAACTCCTACATACCCTGCTGACCGCCAATACACGACTCCGCCTTCTCCTTGGAGCAGGAAGAGCCGACGACGGACGCATATCAAGTATACAGTTTACTTCGGGGGCCTGTTCTTCGCGCGCGCGACACAATTGTTCATCTCTTCAAGACTACATCATCCTTCCCTCACGACTCCGGCACGGAGAGGGTGGTCAAGCGAGGATTCTCTTTAACCTGCTATCGCGACGAGAGCAACATCACTATTCTTACCGTCATTCGCTGACGCTATTAAAAGCGTCACACGGCACGGTCGCTGTTGCTGCAAAGCAATGCTAGAGATGAGGTCCCGCCTCGACATCCTCCTTCATCGATCTCCCTGATCTACGTTCCTGTCCGTGCAGCAGATCCTTCATTTTTGATGGCATACCACCACAACGGCACATTATCAATAGCCGATACGGCCTTTCCCGCCTTCATTTTGTCCTTGTCTTTCACGCTACTCCCGCTCACCTTCAACGTCCGAGGCAACGAGCCATCGGCGAAGAGAGATGACCATCCTCCTTGGATGCAGCCGTTGCATACCAGCTTCGTATCTCTCGCCCTTCCTCGAAGCCTACGAGTTGGCGGCGGGCTTATCTCCAATGTGTCCACTTCCGCCAGTGTCCTCTCCCCAATTTCAACTCGTTCAAATGGATCGCCTCATCCTTGCCTGAACATCCTCTGTGTACCTTCTTCTAGCTCACGACTTGGGCCATGTTGCTCTGACCCAACGCACCCACTTTCTTGCAGGGAGACATTGTACTATGAGAGCATTGCGTATCGTTCAGCCTTACCTTCTGGAGAGGAACTTCCATTATGGATCTGGCACCGTTTCAAGGGATGCCCGCATACTTTGGCTTCTCTCCCAGTTGCGTGTCTGTCCGGTGAAGGGCTGCAATACATAGCCAGCTGGTGGAGCGCACTATCACGAGAAAATAATGTTTCATTGCTTTTTAGGGAGACGAACGAAGGTTGCCGTGGGGGGAGAAGCGAGAGCAGGAGAGGGGAGCGACGGGATGGTCCTGTCGTGTTCTCTGCCCCATCGTCACCGGAGAAACATGAGTCAGCGACTCAACCGAAGATCGGATGAAGAGGTAGACTGAACTTTGTGTTACGAAGGCGCGTTTATTATAGTTTACAGTTCACACTTCCCATTGATCTTCTTTTTATTGCCTTGTCCGTTTTACCGAATTTGTAGAGGATACATACATTCTGGATGAACAACCTGAACGTAATATCTTCTGACGGACAAAGACTCGTCTATAAGGTTTCTTGCAACATCCTAACGGTTCCCTTAAGAATCCTAGAAAATCCCTCTCACTGGCAATCATAACCGAGTCAGCATGGTCTCGGCTAAACAAACATAAGCCGATTTCTGAGGCGCGGTTGTCGAGATGTATGGCCTCGAGAAGGGAGGTACACGTGATACGTCCGTGGCAAAAGGACACGAGAAGCCAAAGAACATGCCATAGGATCAGAGATACGGTCAGTGGATTTGTCAGTCACCTTGTCCAGTAGCTCTGGAGGCGGAGAGGACATGCCGTGTTTGGTAAGTGAATTGAACAACTGACGAACTCGTAATATGTTCTGACAGATGGAGATTTCTTCATATAGTTATCACTGCAGAGAATCCTTTCACATGTCAACAGGTATCTTGAACCACGACGACGACGACTGTTCAAACGTGTATCAGCAATGGCGAAACAACTGACTTTTTCCCAAATAGCAACACTTGCCCTCGCAGTTTGCCACTTCGGTAAGTAATCGTATCGATTCGACCTCAAATTTGGCTGATATCTCTTGAATTCAGCAATACATTTCTCATGGCGTCTTTGCAACTCATTTTTTACACGCGAACGTAACAAAACCTGGAAGCAAATCTGCACTTCGGTAATGATGACCACCCTTGTGAGATATCGCAAAGCGCTACCTATGCCAGAGTCCCTCACCAACTACACTACCTGGACGGCAGCGACTGGCCTGGAAGCCAGCGTCGAAGAGCTATGTAATGGTGCTAAGCTCTTATGGGTCGGACCAAAACGCGTGGATAAAGTGATGTTGTGGTGCCACGGTGAGTCACTCACTCTCGTCTTACCTCATACATCCAAGAGTAAATAATAATTGAAAATTTACAGGAGGCGGATACATGATCAGCGTTGGTCCGGAAACATTCTCTTGGCTCCGATACATACAATTAGAGCTCAAGAAGCGTGACGTCGACCTCGGTATCGCTATCGTCGCATACAGTGCGTATAATTATCTTAACACATCCACCCACATGTTAATCTCGCTGCCTCAGATCTTCTTCCCAAAGCCGTCTTCCCGAGCCAGCTCCGTGAAGCAACCGACGGCTTCAACCATCTCATAGCAGCGGGTGTCCGTCCCGAGAACATAATCCTCGGGGGCGACTCCGCAGGAGGGAACCTCGCACTGCAGCTTCTCTCCCACATTCTCTACCCCCTGCCCTCTGTCCAGCCAACGCTAAAGACCATGGCGCATCTCGGTGGTTTGATCCTTCTTTCTCCTTTCGTGGGAGTTAAGAAGACATTGGAAGTACCTTCATCACAGCTAGAAGCCCTATACGAGCGTGATTTCATACCGTCGGAATTCCACCGTGAGGTTTGTCGAACGTTTCTCAAGGACGTTCCAGAGAGTGATATCGCGTACGCAGATGGTTTAGAGGCTCCCGAGGAGTGGTTCAAGCCGTCAGACGAGCTTGTGGGTCGGACCCTCATCATGGCGGGCGAATGGGATTATTCGAAAGAAAGTTGTCGACGGTTTTATGAGAAGCGTCTGGAGCCACTTCATCGGGATGTTAAGTTTGTCGTGGAGAAGAATGGGGAGCATATTGCGCCGATACTTGACTTTATTTTGAAGGAAGAGAAGTTAAGTGTGTTGACACCATTGATGGTCGAGTGGCTGGCGGATACCTTCAAGGCTGCTCGTCAACAAGTTTGATAGATAAATAATGGACAATGACATATGATATGGTTCAAAGAAATCAATGTCAACACTGCCGTTCTTTAGGATTCCGAGACTGTATAAACTTGACCACAATTTAGCCATATTCTAATATTATAATATGTCCTGCCCTTTTCCCGTCCATTACACGTAGTTAATATTATCGCCTTGACCACTGGCCGCTATGGCCTTAATTTCAATCTCAAGGCCGCCTGCCTTGCAATCCTTCAAAGCCCGAATTCCTTCGTCTGACAGCCTCTTGAACTTCGCACTGGGAGTAATCGCCTTTACAACCACCTTCGATAATCGGGCACGCTCGGATAACACATCCCGCCGCGCTTTTATCATGGCCACAAATGCGTCATCCACGAAACCAAGCCCTTCGTTCATCGAATCGCTTATCGTCACCTCCATGACGCTCAGGATTGGAAGGAAATTGAACTGTGGAGAGCCCTGGTTATCAGGCGTCGACTGTCCCATGCGTAAGATGACATCCTTGATAACATTGTCATTATCTTGGATCCAAAGGCCTAAGCTGAGCTGCAGCTGTACGAGTCGTGGGGTTATCTCGAGGATAGGAACGACAAACTCGTCGAGAAGCGCGTTCGTGATCTTCAAACGTCGTAACCGGCAGTGTGAATTCATGATGAAGGTGTGTAAACCGGAGAGTGAATCCCGAGGGCATGTAAATGCTCCCGGACTAGGAGTGAGTCTGAAGGATCGGAGCGCCGGAAATTCCACGCTCTCCAAGAGCGCGGTTTCGCAGGCAGTGAATTCGCGTACCATGGGATGAACGATTCGCGGCTGCGCGGGTGGGATCATTCCGATTCCCTCTTTCCTGTAATTGGTATTGAATATGACAAGATGTGGGGCGGTTTCGACGATGCTGAGGAAATGGTCATGGGCATCTCGACGGCAGACTTGTCTGTCATTAGTGTACACAACCAACTTGGATGTTTGCAAGCGTATCAGTGGACCATCTCCAAATCCTTTCAGTACAACCTCGCTGAGGCTTGGAGCAGCGGATAAGAAATCAAACTCCCTGTCATGAGCCTGCGCCCAGATGTCTGCAAGGTAGATGTGACAGCACGTCAAGGTGTCCAGCTTGCCAGTGACGGCGGAGAGTGCTGGAAACATCGTCATCGGGATGGACAGTCGGGCGTCTTCCCAGCTGTGTGATCTCTGCAGAAGGAGGTCCAGGACCCCATTCGTCACCGCCTCGTCGGCATCGGTCTCGGAAACGAAGAAATGAAAAACGTAGCCTTCGGACTTGTGGCTGGCCCGGTCGAGTGCCGCGCTGAGGATGGATGAATAGTCCCTCTTCACCATCTCACCGAGCTGGGGAGTATGGATGCTCATGCTATTCCAGATGCTGGGGCAGAAATTGAGAGCAGCGACTCTCCATGTACGGCATACCTGGCTCAACGACCAGGGTTCTGTTGCTAGATTGAAGGTGTTATAGAACGAGGGATTGGTCTCGACCGCATAGAGAAAGATCTCTGTGAGGATCTCGAGGGGAACACGACGCGCAGGAGAAAGCACAGTATCATATTGGGATGATATTTCCTGGATTCGAGCACGCTCAGCTTCTAGCTTTGCAATGGCGACGTTGAGTTCGGCAAGCGAGGCGCGGACTTCAGCTCGACATGCATTGAGAGTGCGCGTATCCGAGGAAGATGGAAGATCGTTGTTCCGTAGAAGGGAAGACAGGAAAGGAGGTGAGGTGAACTCTTTATCGCAGTGGTAGATCACCATGCTCGAGTTGGACAAGACACGATTGGAGCATTGTTCGCACTGTACCGGCATCTGGTATCGACTTTCAATAGGAAGAAGGTAGCTTAGAGAGTGTCGCGACGTCCACAAGAAAAATATCCACTCACCACTACGACAGAAGCTAAAGAGAAAGACAAGGTGGATATTATAAGAAAAGAATGAGTGTGGTTATTTGGGAAGGTGAGAAGTATGTCGCTGAACCGGTAGTTAAAGATGGTGGTCGCAAAGAGAGTATCGGAAGATTCGGAATGGAAAGCTTCAGGGGGGCCTGCGCCGATATGGAAGTGATCGAAAGACTAGCCGTTAGCTCCTTTCACATTTAGATAGATAACCGGTCTAGGTCCCAAAAAGGAACGCCGGGGCTCTGTGCCGACACGGAACGTGTCACAGACCACAATCCCTCATGCCGCTGTGATATCCTCGGTCGCCCGCCAAGAACGTCTCACGGATTTGAAGGAATTGCAGGGACAAGTGAATTTATCACAGAAAATATGCATAATATGTACCAGAAGGAAGACATCGCAGTGAGATAATTGCAGTGTAAGGACCTTACATCGAGGACATCACGGCACTTGTATAGAGTGTTGCCAGTGTAGCATCATGAACGATGCGGGGAGCAACAATAAGGACAATATACTAGGGTGTGAAATACGGAGGTGTGCGATGCCTTCTTTCTGTGTACAGTGAAAAGGCTCAGCAGCTTTCAACGAGCAAAGAGGAAGAGATAGCGCCAAAGACGACAACGAAGATACGAAACCCGTCGACGAAGCATACAAACAACGAACGAAGAAATGGTGTCCAAAGACGACATCTAGCAGAAAGAGTAATTAATTGCGAGGTGGCGAGTAGAAAGAAAGATCAGTAATGGACCGAATTTCCTTTCGCCCCGCTCAACGGGGCGAGATGAGATTGAAAGTGTGTGAATCACTGTGATCACTGTCGCTCGCACACCCAGATTCAGGAAGAAAACACTCTCCGGCTATCATCATGAATTCGTCGATATGATCTGTCATCGACCACAGTTGTCTACGAGGGTCTCAGCACGCTGACTTGTAGACCTTTTGTGATTGGGGACAGCGAGCTCGGCCGTCTAAAAGGGAGATGCGAGGAGATGGGTATGATACCTGTATCGAGGTGTGTGAAGGGAATACTATTTTGGTTGTACTGTTAGTGGCAAGAAGTTCGTAATCCAAGAAAATCATGTCGAGTTATTCATATAGATGGGGTATCACGACTGGTCGACGCAGTCGCTAAAGCCTGTTAATAGACTGAGGGTTGGGTGTTACGCTGAATATGTACTGGCACTTGATGGAAATTTTCTCGATTGGGGTTCCCATGAACTGCAAGTGAATCGTGGACCTGAAATATGGGAACGGTTTTGGCATGGAAAGCGTCCTCGGCTCCTCGTAATCAATTGACTTGTTTTTCATTGCCCTGCAGGATATGGATTTCAGCATGACACACTTTCGCCAGGATCTCAAAAGTTACTTACCTTCGCAATTCAGCTCGCCTGGATATCGCCAGACTGTACATTTTTGAGTGCTTCAATATAGCCCATCAATTTCATGTACTTTGCCGGGGACGACGAAACGCCTTTCCCTCGCGCACCCACGAATTCTTCCAGCTTCACGTTTCCATCCAAGCCGGTCTGATATTCTGCCATATAGGCATTCAAGGTCTTGTCCTTCAATCCAGAGAGCTCCTTGCGTGGGAGAACACCGAGAAGTGTCTGCGCTCGTCCATTTGCTGTCAATTTCTCGGGGTGAACGAAATAGCGGTAAGGCTGGGATATGAAATCCACCCGGGGGTGGGTAAGAGATGCTGTGGTGCCAGGATGGGAGAGATCGAGGCCGATACGAGGGGATTTATATATGTCGGGTGTGTGGTTTACGATTGGGACTGGGCAAAGGAACATGCACGTTTTTCTTTCACCAACATATGCGCCTTTGAACGCGTTAATGTCGCACCCCCAGAGATTCTCGACCAGGTCTGAGATCTTTTCTGCCCCGCTGAGCTGTAGGATATGATCCACTAGAAGAGACGGGCCCGAGATGACTTTTCCAGAGCTCAAGTCACGGAGGGTGCGTAAAAGCACTCCGCCGTATGCTTGGTTCTCGCTAGGACGCGACCCTGAAGAAAAGTATGGTGATTTGGTAGGGCTGTTGCAGCTTATCGTGAGGTCCAATCCCTTGCGCGTCCCGCCTCTATATCCAGAGGTGCTAATCAGAGTCTGCGTAGAATCGTCAGACCGTCTTGGAGTGCGGTGAAAATACCTGTACATCGTTTTGCTGGATCAGTTTTCGCGTAGGTAATAGCAGCAGAAAGAGGTTCCCTACCATTGACCTGCGGTTTTCTGCTCCTGGCTTCCGTGAGTAAACGGGTCACGATGGCAAGCTGAATTCCAGAAATAAAACTCCATCTCCATGATTTGAAGTTTGGTTTCTACGAAGTCTGACTCTCTGTCTGATCCCAGACGCGTCTGAACCACAATGAGAAAGTTGTGTAGTAGCGCAGAGCTAATATCACTGAAACGTTGTCGGATAGATGACGGCTCCTGAAGATGAGAGAAGTCAAGAAGACGCTGAAAGGCATGCAAGCTCTCCTCGTCAGAGTTGTTCTTTGCCTTCTTTGCTGGATTTGGAGGGTCTGATAATCCTGGAGACGTCTTCCTCTTGCATCTGCTCGTCATTCTGATTTCGCTTCAACAGGCCAGGTGACGAACCGATACACAACTGAGGTAAGTATGCTCGTACGGCCGGGCCGAAAGACCGAGGTCAACAATGCGTGCTGCCAAATAGAACCAAATACCTTCAAAATTCGGAATTTTTGCTCCGTGCTCACTCTTGGCAGCGAACGACGCTGTTGTATATTTCCTTTTGCCTCTTCCCCAGATTTCCTGTTAGTTAGCTGCGTAAAAATGCTGCCATTTTCTCTGTTGTGCCTTGGCGATTCCTATCAAGTACGTTATCACGGCTGTGAATCTTGCTTTTCATGATGTGCAGCCTCCAGCGGTAGCCGTAAAGCGTGCCATCAGACTGAGCACGGCAACTCTTGTGGAGTACTGGTGAGAAAAATCTATACCATGCTTGTTTTCTTTACTCAATGTGCATATGTGCACTCTAGGGCCCGATATATGCGCATGTATTAGGGTATAAGGGTCATAGCCCGGAATGCACAGCATTCACAGTAACGCCGTGTTGGTACATGTGCATGCTCCGCTTTCGGAACTACCCTCGAAGAGCAGATATTCCAGGAGAGTATTGCAGATAATAACGACGCTAGCGCTGTTTATCGGCTGGTTGACGGAAGTTAGTGTTTGCGCCATTGCCTTCTCCCTCCGAACGCAAGCGTTTCTCTACCATCTGGTGCCCGGGGCAGTTGCCACATCGACGAGACGCGTGACGGAATGGGATAAACGGGCCTGATACATGATACTCCGAGATACTTGTCAAAAGCGATGAAAAAACGTTGAACTCGACAGCAATTCCACTCGTAACGGCAGTGCTTTTTGTTTCGGAATATCCACTGACCTTGCTTTTCCAGGCGTCGAGCAGACAAGTGATCCTTGAGACTTGAGATTGCCTTTCGGAAGAATTGAGCTCTTTAATTCGGGTACGTGGGTAGTTCGTTTTTCATTTTCTGAGATGTATGTTGTACTGATGTTAATCCGGCAGGTTAACATGGGTTAACAGCTCGATATGGTTTCACCTGGCATAGTCATTTGTCATGTGCATCGCTTTAGATGCCGTTAGACGCTTAACCTCAAATGGTAATAGGAGCAAATAATATAAACCTTTGACCAACTCTCCCACTCAATCTAATGGACGTCCCACCAACATATTCCGCACAACCGAGCCGTGGGGATGAAGCCGCCGTCGAGCCACCCTCATATGAACTACCTTATCCATTGCTTGTGGGCCGCCGTGCCGTTCAGACATCCTTTGTCAGCATATCTCAACTTAAGGGTCACCTATCCCTCTTGAAGCACTTTGCTTCCCTCAAGAAACGAGTCGAAGGGATGGACCGATCCAGATACGGAGACGCGCCTGAAGATAAGGAGCGTAGGTGGTCATGGTTTGTTGGATTGGCTGTCGAGAGGTATGTTCCTTGATAACCGATAGACTTTCGAGAAACCAACCTTGTTCACTAGGTTCGAAAGGTGGTGCAAGGAGCTGACAGTTTACGACGCATTGGATTTCGCTGACCACCGGTTGCCTCCTGTTGATGTTATCATGGTGAGTAACGTATTTTGATATTTAAAACTTTGTTAATCTAAAGATTTATAGGTGTGGCATGCCTACTTATTAAATCCTGCGTATGTTGCACAACGTTTCTTCTGTGATGTAATGCTGATAGTATTCCAGGCGGTATTCTGAGGACTTCCTGCGAAACGAGCATATTAAGATACTTGCAGGTATGGGCGACTGGTTCCAGGCCCTGGTATGCTTCCTCGCATATATTTGTTCAGCCCTTGAGCTGATTGGGCGCATTAGGAACGGACATGCTATACCGTTGGCTCACCTCCATCGAACGCTCGAGCTCAGGACTGGCTGCAGAAGACCCATCTCCCCTACGATCCTTTCGAGTCGGCAATGGTGTTGACACAGCGAGAAATAGTGTGCCCTCAATGTCTCACGAAGACCAACGTTCGTGAGTAAGGTTTCCGGTTTTGATAACAATCTCTGAACGAGATCTAGGCCTGGCAAATTCTACCGGGAGCGGATATCTCCAGAAGGACTTCAAGGGCAACTGCTCGGGATGTTGGCTGACGATTACGAAAGAAAAATTGGCTTTCCATAAACTCGTGAAGGACTTGGTAGGGAACAATGCTGTCCTTGCGTACGTTCTGACTGTTACCTTTTTCTTTCTGCTGACTGATATCTTTCACTCTAGCGGAACTCTTCACACCTCTTATAATATAGACAATTCGCATCGTGCGAAGGTGATCAAGACCGGGATTTTGGAGTTAAGGCCGCGTGTCTTCCAGAAGGGAGATGCGAAAACCGAACAGGAATGGGCGGTCAACATACAGAAGCACATGGATTATAGTATGCAGAAGATTCAAACCGCTATGGCGCAGCGGATGAGAACATACGGAGGACACTTGTACGTCAGTATTTTCCATTGCTCTAGCTGTTCTAATATCAAAACGATAGGTTATCTCGGATCATGAGCTCATACGAAGACGATAAGATATTTTCTTTGGATCTCGTAGGAGCAGTAGGTATATTCGTGACTGTCGTACGTTCGGAGCGCTCACATCATGAAGGTACTCCGACAAGGCTCCTTTGTCGACAAGATGCATAAGCTGGGTTGGACTGATCCAGAATTTTTTTCGTCATCCAAGGATGAAGTGGCCTTGAAGCACTGCATGGCTCGTTATCATGCGTAAGCAGAGCTTATCCTTTTGTACTTCTTCCTCAATGAAATTGGCACTTCAGATTCTTGGATCTCATGTCTTCGTCACCGGCTGGTTTCTTCGTCCCGACACTGGACATTGATCTAGTGTGGCATACCCACCAGCTCATGGCTCGACAGTACTCCAGCGACTGCCTCGAATATGTCCGTCGGTTCGTCGACCATGATGATAAGGTTGCTGAGAACAGACTTTCAAGAGCTTTCGACATCACCTGTCGGGCGTGGCAAGTATGACATTGGCTACCTCCTTTTCCTCAGCCTTACTGACGCCTTGCAGGACCGATTCGGGATCCCATATACGCACTGTGGGTGTCCACTCCCAGGTGACACGATTGGGCAGAAGATAAGCAGACTAGTATCAATACATAAGCAGTCGGGGACACCGTCTCATCTCGTCCCACCTCGGGATCGCAGTGATCTTCTGGCAGCTACCCACCCGAGTGATCATAACGCTGTTTATTCATTCCAGCACCAGGGGCAGGTCGATGCCATGAGGCGGGCAAGGCTGGAGAAGCGGGAAAGGAGGATCAGACGAGAGGAGGGGAAGGGAATAAGTCGGAACAGGAGTGTTGGTCATGATCCAGCTTTTTTGGTGCCCGTGCCGTTGTATTATGGTGTAGGCTGTGTAGCGACAACGGGGCATGTAGTTGGTGGGGGTGGTGGTGTCGGGGGATGTGTGGCTGCTGTGGGTCGTTTCTCTATCATGATTTTGCTCTGCTTGGGACTTACTTTTTTGTTTCGAAGGGTGTTGGCGGCTGCGGAAGTGGTGGTGAGTTCAAACGTAGGCGAATGTTGAGTGACATCTAATTTTGATTTTCGTCTAGGTGCTGGATGTGGTGGGGGAAATAGCGCAGGTTGTGGCGGTAGTAGCGGTACTGGCTGTGGCGGAGGTGGTGGTGGTGGCTGTGGTGGAGGAGGTGGCGGATGTGGTGGTGGTGGCGGTGGTGGAAGTTAAATGTTCGGTGTCTACCATTCGAAGTTGTTGACTGAAAATGTTTTCATTTTTTTTCGGCGTGATTTACAGTACATGTAAATTTATATTCGCCATAATGCCTCAAGATGGGAGAATATTAGTCATCACCGTTTTCGGATTCACCGAGGCTCTTTAGCTTGTCTTTCCTTCTTGCGTTGACTGCGTCGTCGTTTCTACTTCATTCCTAGAGTACATCATGAACCTGGATTCTTGGTCCTTGATGGATATCTGCTCTGGTAGAACAAAACGCTCGGGCAAAAATGCCTCATCAACGGATTGCTTCACCGACAGCGGGCTGGATCGCAGCAGAAAGCAATCTGACGTGATATAGCTTTCCAGCGACGTTCAACGCATCACAGGTGCATTTGTTTACTTGTGGATGGCATAGGTACTGAGACGGGAATAGGACAGAGAACACGGACGAACAGCTCGACAACCGCATATATCCAAGTTCAGAACCAGTTCGCCTCGTTCAGAGCAGGAAAAAGGTCCTTGGGTCAGCCTAAGGCCTGTATGCGAAGAATCGAAGAAGCAGCGTGCGAACAGGATCTGGCCCGCACGATTTGCATCCTTCCCCGTTCATTTGCCTTCGCCTTGTCCTCCTTGCCGTTCTATTCTATGTTCACTGTCGCTCTTCTCTCTATGCTCAAGTCCTTGGCAGTTTCTGATTTTGGTGTCACCCACTTCCTTGCTCGGGAACGGCATCGCTAGAAGTTGGTCGAACTCGAACGGGGGAGGTTGGACTCATCGTTACTGGTAACAACGGCAAGAATATGCTAGACGCTGTCAACAGGACTGCTGAAGTGATGATGGTCAGTGTTAATTGGTTTCAAATATTGTGTCGCCACTGACGCCATTCAGTTTCTTTTTTTTAAGCTGCTCCAAGCAAGTCTTAAACCTCAAGTCTGCAGCATAAGCCGTAGGCACGGTATCCGGAGACTGGTAACCCAAAACCTCTCTCAAGTTCGCCCATATCCCTGTACATGGTATCCATGCGCTGAGCTGACAAGGAAACTCAGAGAAGACACCGCAGCGCCTCATAGAACCCCGCCAAAGATGCAAAACTAAAGAACGAACGACGGAACACAAACTGGAACTGTCTTAATGGATTTGTTCCTGTCTACCCTCCTCTTTCTTCCACGTATTCAGTGTCCTACTCGGTCCGTATCCCTTTTGGACGCGCTCAAAATCGTTATCATTCACGATGGTAGACTCTTTACTTTTCCCTTGACACCGATTCGGCTCGATGGTTGGGGGAAGTTATGGGTCGGTATCCTTTTCGAAGAAGGGATTTCAGCACATGATAATCGTTGGGATGCCCTACGCTAAAAAGCGCTAAGCGCTCTGTGACAATGCCAACGGTCAGTTTGGGATGCTGTTCCGTATACTGTGTCAACACTAACTTTGTTCCCTCTTTAGTCGAATCCATCTTTTATGCTATGGCCGGCGACAGCCGCAAGGTAGAAACTAGGAGTCCGACATACGAGTCTCTCCATGGTTATTTTGTTATGCGGTGTTCAATTGGTACTACAGGCGGAGGATGTACCTGGGAAACCCCATTGCAAGACACGGGCGCTTTCGGGTCGGTCGAGAAAGGTAAAGTATACTTTTGTCAGTAAGTTCTTTTTGCTCATGCGATTCATTCAGGATTGGGAATCTCCTCACTCGCCAGGGGGAGAATAGGATATGATATCGGAAACTTCACAGATCCGGCCGGAGTTGGAACGTCCCATTTTGGAATGCCGGAAGATGCCGCTGTCCATTCGCAGCCACCAGTTGGCAGTGATCGTTGACCACCACCTCCGTCTGCTCGATATTCATCATTTCTTCTCGTTTCATTTGACGCTGACCGACAAACACTACACCTATGCCTCATCGTGTCCAAAGCGCCGATAGGAATCCCTTACCTTTTCCTCGGGTTCAGCAGAGTATGACTACGCAGCCAAGCTCTACCCTGCCATTCAAGATATCCATTGGTGGTCGGCTCGTTCCCGAGCCGTTTGTGGCCGTCCCTCAGTTAAAGGGCCATCTGGCCCTTTTACACTGCTTCACTGAACTCAAAGACAAAGTCGAGAATATGACTGAAGCGGAGCAAACATGTTACCCTCAGATCCCCGCTGACAAGGAACAACGTTGGAATTGGTTTGTTGCACTAGCTGTTGAGAGGTGAGTGCGCTGCCTTGTGGTGACATGGGCCAAAGCTGATCGTACTGGCTAGGTTCGAGAAATGGTGCCTAGCGAAATCCAGCATAGGACGAGATACAAGCGAAGACTTTGTTGTTCGTCATCTGCCTCCGATAGACATCTTAATGGTACATATCCTTTTTGTGCACCACCTATGAGCACTTGAACCCTCAACTGACAGTTCTGCAGGTCTGGCATGCCTATCAACTAAACCCTGCGTATGAGACTGGGTGCTTTCCATTATCGATCATTCTCTGATTATCCCTCTAGTCGTTATCTTGATGACTGTTTCCGAATTCAAGGCCTAGGGGATCACGGATACTGGTTCGAGATCATGGTACGCTTTAATCAAACATTGGGATTCCAGTCAGTTGACGTCATCATACAGGATCAAGTTTCTTCTGCCTACACTAAGGACTACATGATAGCCGAGAGGTCCTACCATTGGACTGAACTCACAGGGCTTCCTTTCGATCCATTTGATTGTGCGAAGAAATTGACTAGGCGAAGCGTTGAATGTCCCAAGTGTTTCGATAGCCTCTCAGTTCGTAAGTATCTTCCCAGAACTCGTCCTCCATGACATTTAGTTGAACGTCGTCTATAGCGCTGCTTGCTGCCAATGGCAGCGGATACCTACAACCAAACTTCAAGTTTACCTGCCCCAAGTGTAGTCATGTCGTTACGAAAGAGAGTTTGGCTGTTCACAAGCTTGTGGCCGATCTTGTAGTCCGCGATGCGACACTATCGTAAGCCTTTGCTGCATGTAATTGTACTGAAAATGTCTTATCCCGCGTAGACAGACGCTCCATTACTCGGGTACTGCAGCTCTCTGTGATCCCATACGTGCTAAGCAAGTCAAAGCGGCGGTGTTGCGATCAGATTTCTTCATATCTAAGGGGGACAATCTATCTCCCAGAGAATGGGCAGTGAATATTCAAGAAGCCGTAAGTTATGATATGATGAAGCTCAAGCAATATATGGGCATATATATGAAAGACGGAGGAGCCAAACTGTATGTGAGCTATTTTATTTCTTCAGAACGTCTGTACTGATTGAAATAGGCTGAACAAGATCGTGAGTGCATATACAGATGACAAGATTTTCTCGTTGGATCTCGTCGGCGCCGTGTGTACTTGTTCCAAGGTGTTTCTCATACTGTCCTAAACCCTCATTTTAGGTTTTACGTCAAGGTTCATTCACTGCCAAAATGCGCAGATTTGGATGGTCCAAACCTGACTTTTTTGCCAGGCCAGAGGACGACTTGGCGCTGAAACACTGCATCGCGAGATATCATGCGTGCGTTTTCCATACACCTGTCCCGTTTATAAAGCTTACATACAGATCTCAGATTCCTCGACCTTATGTCAAACAAACCGAAGGAGTTTTTCGTACCTACGCTAGATATCGATCTCGCCTGGCACACTCACCAACTTCTGCCGAGTTATAACGATGATTGCATCAGCTACCTACGTCGTTCTATTGACCACGACGATAACGCCAAGGAGAACGTGCTCTCAAGCGCCTTTGATAAGACCTGCCTGGCATGGGGGGTACGCTAAGGTTCAATCATTAGTACATACGGAGGTTAACATCCTCTCTTTCTAGAAACGCTACAATATCCGATACACACCCTGCGGATGCTCCGCATTCGGCACTAGCATCGGAGAAAAACTGAGCGGACAGCCGTTGCATTACCTCATCCCGCCTGATGATCGAAGTGACTCGGACCTCGTTGCGTGTGCGCAAGGTCAGGGCACGGAGGAAGAGGGGTGGCGGGCTGATCTGCCCTTCTTGGCTCCTGTCCCGCTGTACATTGCCCAAGGTACGACGGGCGGATGTGGCGGTAAGTCTATATTCTGTTTCAAGGGCCAAGTTTTGACGACTTTTAGGTGGTTGTGGTGGTGGCTGCGGTGGAGGCGGGTGTGGTGGTGGTTGTGGTAGCCGTGTTAGCTCCTGTGGTGGGGGTTGCGGAGGAGGATGTGGTGGTGGTTGCGGAGGGGGCGACGGTGATTAGGACCACCCCAGCCCTAGCCGTCGATTTCAAACGGCGTGTATTTTGGTATCGTTTTCATTTGACTTTACTTGTGGTTGTTATGAAACTGATAATATCATTGCTTACCCTTGCTGTCATGTATGTTGAAGATAATGAACGACAGTTGTATCCAGCCTCAAACAGGGTTCGAATGACAGCGATGCGCAGATTTGAAGCCATAGAAGTTGTTCCTGTAACAGGGACTTGTTACCAGCTAGTCTCCACCTACGAAAGTGATACCTTGGTGCGTAATATTGCATTTCTTCACTTGCGGTCATCATGATTTTATTCTGGAGATTTGTCTCAGATTCTCGTTGAGTACCGGAACTGTACCGAATGAGATTTCTGATGCCATGTGTCATTCATCCCTGCAGAGTACGACATGAATATTAATCCGTCAGTGGCACATATAGCCATTTCCTCGACGTCATGATAACTGGGTACGGTTACAAGTACAGAACCCAGGATGGGGGAAGATGATACTAATAAATATGGAAGCAGTGATTATCTGCGGTTATGCCATTCAAGGACCCTATTTTCTGTACCCTTCGACCGACCCAGATTCCGTTGCAACTCTGATCAATTCAATTTTTATTCGTTGTACTGCCGCGTCGATCACGATCGTTATCCTCGTGGATCTTCCTTCACATGTGGAAGCACCCGGTTCTTCCCAGACGGTCGTGAAAATCTTCATAACGCCTTGCGTGTGCCTCTCCCTCCCCCCTCCCTCCTCCCTCCACGATGAAAAATGCCGCAGAGATAGCGTAAGTATGGTACTCTCTACTGCTTCGCGTCGGTTGCTCACTTCTGAGACAGTCATGGCCCTATGATCATTGGTCTCTACATCAACATCATCCTTCTGGGCATCATTGCTACCCAGATGTATATGTATCTGAACGCGTACAGGAAGTGAGTTTTTGATTATCAGTGGTCTTTGTATCCAGAAAATGACCGGACCGCTACAGGGATCGTTTATGGATGAAGATCTTCGTGAGTAGTTTGGTTTAGCGACATCTTTCATCCTTCGTTAACCGTGCCAATAGATTGTTGTCCTCTTTATCGCAAATGTAGCAAACACGGTTTTCCTATGTCAATTCCTGTATACATCTCTCATCCTCAATTTCGGTAAGAGTCAGTTGTCCAGGCAGGGGCATGAAAGAGTCTCAAAATGGCCTCAGGCAACGACGCGTATCTGGCTAGAGCGGACTGGGGTATGACCTTCATTTCGATACGTAAACCAGGCTAGTGCTGAAAAACTACAGTTTTCGCTACAGGTACGGGATCAATCATGTTTCATAACCATTGTCATTCAGCCGCTTTTGAATTGATGTGCAGATCCTGCGCTTACGGTGAGTTCCCTTGATCCGACGTTCCGATCTTCCTGAACTATTGAATAGGGCATCATTGCGGGAATGGTCCAATTATCCTTTGCGTGGAGAGTCAAGGTCCTCACCAACAACCTCTGGCTTGTAACAGTTGTAGCAGCGTGCGCCCTGGCTGGGACTGGTATATTTTCTGCTTGCTACTATTATCATCGGTCTCATTTTTGACACCGTTTTCTCTAGGCGCCGCCATCGCAACCTCATTTGAAGTAGGCAGAACTCCCGAGTTCGTAGAATTTCGAAACTTCAAGGTCGTCGTCATCATCTGGCTGGCAGCTGAATGTCTATCTGACATTCTCATCTCCGGGATCCTTGTCTGGCAACTGTGCGTATATTCTTCTATGTCCGATTCGGAACATTAGACTCACGAGTTTCAGGGTAAGTTTCTGATGGACTAAGTCCGCATGCGAGCACTCACCATTTGACAGAAAAGACGCAAGACTGGATTTCAGAGCACCGATGAACTCGTTGATCGAATAATCCGACGTGAGTGATACCGTACCATTCAGCCAATAGCGTTATAGCGAAACCCGTTGCATTTACAGTGACTGTTCAAACCGGTCTTATCACGTCCATCTGTGCCATTATAGATCTAGCTCTCTTCCTTTCAGACGTCAGTACTCGTGTTATAGTTGACACTAGCGTGTGTTCTGACATATTCCCGTTCTCGTCGTAGCCTACCGGAACGTGAGTGCCCTTAATGTCTTCTGCTTCTCTCAAAGAAGGTTTGAATCTACTCAAATGGGCACATTGATACAGGCACCTTATCTTCAATTTTCCTCTGTCCAAGCTCTACACAAATACGATGATGAGCACATTGAACTCGCGACGTGGATGGGATTTCAGTGATCAGGAATCTACTTCGCATACTCACACCACCAGTGGTATTGTTAGAGAGCGAGGGAAAAAGGTTTGTCTAAACTTGCCGAAGAACAGCTAGATTGATATTCGTTTCTAGAAACGCATCTTTCGAGTAGACACGACCCGTCCGCAGGTTTTCGTTGACGTTGAACAGCATGTTGAACAGCATGAGATGCATACAAGAAATCTTGCTGAAAGGCACCTTCATGCTAACGATGACTATGACGTCAAGTCCGTTTCGCCCGATGACTCACTGACAGCTGCAGCATTGCCAGGGGCGCCTTGGGAGAAGTAAAGCGGCAAGATCGTATGAGCATGCCAACTTTTCTTTTAGCAGTTGGGCTTTCAAGTACGAGGGATATTTTGTAGAGTGAATCGGGAATATGATACAGCCTTGGAACAAATTACTTCAGCAGAATGGGACATGTAAGTTACGTCAAGAATAAACGAAGGTGTAAAAGAATTATACGAGTATCACGTAAAGTATTGGTGTATCTAAACATCCCAGCGTCAGGGACATGCGGTTCCATAAAGGATGACGTAGAATAGTGTCGATAGCAGTTGTAGGTTAGCCAACGTTGGCAATGGAGGTGAGTGAACAGAAACGGCCGAAGCCAAACCAAGATAGCGGTGAAAGCCTGGGGATCGCTAAACAGTGCTGATAGCAATAACGACGAAAACATGGGTGACAAGAAAACCAAACAACCAAGAAAGTGAACTGAAAGCTACGTGGGGTGGGGGCGAAAGGCGGCGGTAGCCCGATCAGGGTGTTCTCGGGTTGAATATAAGTTTGCACTCATGCGCTGAGGGAAATATAACCTAGTCACAGAATTAGTATCCAAACGTGTAAAAGTGACAGAGGTTACTCACGAAACTGTCTTTGATCTCCATACTTCTCTCGTTTGTTTCCGGTGGGGCAACAATGTTGAAGTTCCTCACGATGGCGGCTATGACTACCCTCATCATTGCATGCGCAAGGTTCTGACCTCCGCACATCCTGGTTCCAGTCCCAAACGGCATCAGGTGCTGCGTCATTAGCGTCAAAGAATCATGCGAAGCATCCAGCCAGCGATCAGGGAGGAACGTTTCAGGCGAGGGAAAGACGGCTGAATTGCGGTGCATCGACCAAGCTTGCGTAGCGACTACCGTTCCCGGAGGAAGTGCGAAACCCATGAGATCGAACGCTTCGTGTCCGAACTTAGGAGACGTAGACGCTGGGACCACACGCTCAAGAAGACTCGGAGCAGCCGAATACACTCTCAGTCCTGCACGTACCATGTCAGCAAAAAAGCAAAGGATATTTGAGGGCACTTGCCTTCTTTGATGAATGCGTTCAGGTAAGGCAGGCCATGGAGAACAGCCATGTCCGGAATGGTCCGCGCATTAGGCATAATTTCGTCGAGTTCTGCCTGGAGTTTCTTCATAACATCCGGTCGACGACTAAGCTCCCAAAGGAAATATGAAAGCGTCGTAGATGTCGTGTCGGATCCTGCAATCCTAACCGGGGAGTCAGATATGCTTCACGAGAGTAGGGGCAATAAACATACATGTGACCCATGCACTCCGAGATGATATCAGTATCAGGCATGGATATGTTGGTCGAAGCATAGCGATAGTTCAGCAGCCGATGCAGCATGGGCACCTTTTCCGATTCTTCTAACTTGCCCGCGTTCATCTGTGCACGCATCTGGTACACGCGCTCGCTGACAAACTGGAATAACGAAAATGAGATTGTTGAGTGCACGGAAGGAAGGTGCTTCACCTCAGCCATGATCTTATCAGAATCACAGAGCTGACGCCATCGAGCATTCGGGACCTTGCAAACAAGATTCCAAGCCCAAGTGGGAACGACGCTTCGCTATGGCTGAAGATTAGGGATGAGGAACGGGAGTAGGAGGCCTCACATACCAAAATTCCACGCTTAGGAAAGTCATTGATGGCAGTGGAAAGGGGATCTTCGGTATTCATGGACCACTTATGGACTGCACCAAGGCGGTAGCCATATGACGTCGATACGACAACGTCGACCATGAGGTTGCGGAACAATGAAAGACACTCAAGTGACGTTTTTCCGCTCATACCATCTAAAGCCTGCGCAGAATCAGCGCGAGCAGCGGCCATGACCAGCCAAAAACATACATTGACCAGCTCCAAAGTTGGATCGTGCATCTCGGCTTGAAATTTTGATAGGTTGGACGGCATATAGTGCGGGGCGTATCCCTTTCGTCGGACAGAGTGAGAAACGTGGTCGAGGGTGGTCATTCTGCCTTGAAATCAGTATACAACCGCATATATGCGCCCAAATACGTACGCGTGGTCGTTTTCGTTGCTGAAAAGGCAATATACTGTCAGTAAGTTCAAATAACGCGAAGAGTGGAGACACACGTGAGGAGACTCTTGTAGTATGAGCTCTTGTCGAACTTGTGGACAGAGTAGACGTTTCGCATAGTAGAGAGATCGTTGAAGACAACCTTGTTGGGTCCAACGCGAACCACAGGGCCGTATTTTTCGAAGAGAGACTGGATTGTCTGGCATTGCTCGAGACGCACGACGTGGACGGTAAGCCAGATGTCGGAAATCGCCGCGTACCATGGACCAGGGATAGCGCTCAGGGGAGACAGAAATACGTTGTAAATGGCGTAAAAGGCGATGTATGCGACGAATAGAGAGGCAGCGGCAAGCGCGAAACTGGAAACAAGGTCAACGGCAGTAATCTGAGGGAAGGAAAACATCGCGACGGATTGGCGGGTAGGGGTGACCGGGGAAGGTGTGAGAAGGGAAGAAAGAAAGGTGGGCGTCGCAAAACATGCCCTCCGCCCTTTTATGCATTGGCTTGTGCTGACAAACAACCAATCTCATGTCGCGGACGAGGGAGGTCAACCCGTTTTGAAACTCCGCTCTCTAAACTCTTTCCCCTTTTCTGGCTATTCAGATTCCTTTTCGGGATGTCCGGCATTTAAAGCTGCCAAACGCCACAAACAAAGGGCACTAGTTGGAGTTCAAGACCGGGAGCTCCAGCGCCTGCAGAAAATGCGCGATGCTACCGCCACGTAGCATGACTCTTAGTGAAGCTTGGCTCTGCTGCAGGCTTGCTGGCGAATTGCACTGAAGACCCGCTACTTGGCGAATACCTTTTTTTCTACAGGCTCTACATCCGTTGATGCAAACCAGAAGCCCGAGCTGCCTCATTTTCTCCCCGAATGACCGAGCCACCAAAACGGGGATCCTATTTCCATCACAGCAACGCATATCATCTCGCATACATAATATTAAATATGCTCTTCAATGAGGCGTCTCAACGCATGACTTGGAACTCTGATCAAGAATCACGATCAGCCATTAGTTAATGACCATCATTGGACAACCTCATGTTCGGAGATATACCATTGCGAATGCCAGTAGTAGTTGTTGTAGAACTTTCCCAGTTCGCTCTCTAGCGTGACGGCTGCAGATGTCAGGTTTTAGTCCCACCAGTTTCATTCGGGTGCGATGGATACTAGGTCGCAAATAGTTAAAAGCAGTGGCATTTTGACGCTCGCCTGACTTCATCCGGGTTCATCAAAGACTGACTTGTCCATTTTCAAGATCCACATGTCCGAGATTTTCGGTTTTATTTACAACAATGACCAACATTGGCTACCACGATGTGAAGCACCGGAGGATGTTTCCGAATTAAGAATTATCCCTCAAGTCGACAAGATCTCGACTATTTGAATCTGGATACAAAGGGCCTCAATATTAAAGTTAAAGCTTAATCGCATCGCCGCTTCCTCTATCACTCGATTGTGACTAAAGGACCTTACCGCCTTGCCAAACGGCTTGGTAGATCCAGCAGAAGAATGAGGGACATGATATCTTTAACACATATTTTGTGTACTAACTATTTGAGAGTCCCATCGTATCGGGCCAGCAGCGGCCAGACTCTGCTGGTCGTACACGAAGTTCAGCATTAGACTGTTTCATTGTTGCAACCCATTGAATGCGTATTTATTCATTCATACTCTTATACACCTAGAATAAAGTCAAGTCGCAAATGAAAATCTGGTGGATATTTGATTTATTTTGGAGCCTGGGGTTGAGAATAGGGTGAATGGAATAAATAACATCAAGTTTAATATTTGCGCAGTACAAGTTGACTAGCTACCATTAAATTTGTGGTATTCTACCGTCTACCGTTGCGAGGTGAGAGTCTATTAGATATCCTTAGTTGTATAGTAGTAATTTACTTCACGTTCATATCAACTGTCTGCGCGAACTATTCTGGGCTACATATCTACCTTGGTCGAATGGTACCAACGAGAGAGCAGGCGAGGCTAGTCCAGCTATCGAATAAGATGCCTGCCGTCCGAGGACTCTGATGCTTCCGACGATCTTCGTGCCTCACAATTTATAGACTACGAGAACATTTGCGGCACAACAGCAAAAATCCATTGAAATGAACGCTGTTTTTGGGAAAGCAGTGGCCGACCAACGCGGTTTCCTAAAGACCGTTAGTCCTAACACGGCGACTGGAATGCACCTACCAGTGAGATCCTTCCGACCACCGCAAGGGTAAAGATCGCTGCGATATCCGCGACGACCCCAGTCGTATGAGACATGAGGCCAGACAGAAGGATGGTACAATCTAAGCCTGCCATGAAGCTAAGCACGACGAGAAACAGATAGATGTTCTTCTGAGGCAACACGCGCACAGCATGAGGACGCCGATCGTGATAATTCTTCCGAGCTGTATGCTCATTGCATAATAGGACACGATGAGAATTACGCCAGCGTCTCCTTGACACAAATATCCAGGCCGGGATCTCGGATTGATGGTATTCGTACGTATTATTAGCTCAAACATACGAGTCTTGAAGCTTGATATCCCATATGTTTTCTGGGTTCTGCGTATTAACATAGATTAACTGGAGTGAATAGTCTACAGACCTGTGAGAGGTAGCACGTTGGGTGGATCCAATCGACATTGACGCACAATAAGCATGAGATCTTCATTAATTTATTCAAGTCGCAAGTAACAAGCCATCCTTTGTGGAGCGATCAGTTGCCGGTCAATACGTCCTTTATCCTAGGATCATACTTAATAATCAGACACGAACCATAAAAAAGCACTGGATGACAAAGGTACACAGTTGGGGAGAATTGAGTACGCGATTTAGACACGATGATCATCGCCGTAGGAGTAGCAGTGAGAAGCTCTGGGGTATCCATTTGAGAAAATGAAGACACTTCACATTTTAGTCCGTGAAAATGACATCGCATTTCATTGACAGAGATTTCTCAGAGATGAGCCCGTCGTAGATCGGTATGGAAGATAATGTCAAGAAAATTCAAATTCAAATTCACCGAACTCAGCACAGCCACTACTTACAAATCAGATGCCAAGTAGCCGGAACAACTTTATGCCTCCACGGCAGACGTTCCGAGATGAGTTTTCATCAACATAGGTCCATCACTCCTTGCAAATAACTATTTTGAGTCAGCGAAAAACCGGGGAAAATAGTCGGATAACGTGTCCAACTCTGATCCAAGCTTTTAACCACAGGAATTCCCTCTAATGACCACAACAATTTGTGTTACACCAAAAGGCAGGGCTAAAATTCCGATTCTTTCTCTTGCATATTGACTGGTGGAAATCAGTCACCTCCCAGGAGCGCAACACGGTACTACTTATCGTGGCTATAGAAGGCCGTGCGAATTACCGCCGCCGCAAAAGGGTTATAGGAACATCCGAGTCGGTTTCACTCAGCAAACATTGTCGTTGGTGCGGGCATTTCAGGCCGCCTCAAAATATCCGAAGTAATAGACGGTATGAAAAGGTTGATAGTCATCAATTTCCTCCGAGGCTCAAACTTTGCTGAAATCTCACATTTTCTGTAGGTCTCATGTTGGATTTGACGACATTTTATTTTATGGATGCTCTCTTGTCGAACATCCGCTTCAATGATGAAATGAGGCCAGTCCAACTCTCACGCAGACCTCCATCGACAATGATATCAAGCCGCGGAGTTAAGTATATCTTTCAAATTCAGAACACAGAGCTTCTACGTGGAAACGAAGAAATATCTCACCGTCATACCCGCGATCAGTGATAATAATACAAAAGTGTGCCGAAATGATGCTCAAGGACATTCTAACCACCTTTTTCTTCTACAGCATGAAAATCCTTACACTCATTCTTTTATTGGCTCGAATTCTCTTCACCCATGCACTCTATGCCCCGTTACGCGAATACGCGGGGCAGAGCTTTTTTTCTGGGTGGAACTTTCCAGGCAATTACGACAATACCACTTGGGGTGCGTGCTACCTTACCTCCCGCGTTCAATCACCTCACATATCGCGTCTAGGGAACGTCACATTTGTTGACCAGACTACTGCGTCCATGAATAAATTGGCATACGTCAACGATGCTGGTAACGCTATCTTACGAGTAGATAACACTACCGATATCACTGGTACTGGACTCATTTATCGCGACTCGGTAAGTCCATAGGCGAAGATGTGATTATGTTGCTAATGCTGTGGTGTAGGTCAAGTTGACTTCTCAGGATCTCTATCCTTTGGGAAGCCTCATTACAATAGACCTTATTCACATGCCATATGGATGTTCGGTACGCTGATAAAAAACCTTTTTTATTCTCCGTCCAACCTAACTTCCATCCGCAGGTTTGGCCATCGTTCTGGACTTTCGGAGGCACCGACTTGGAGTGGCCTATGTACGGGGAGATCGACATCATCGAAGGTATTAACCTTAATGCCAACAATCAAATGGCGCTACACCACAACGATTCGTCCTGTGTGCAATCTCCGAACCCTGGACAGAGCGGAAAGACAGTTAACGCAGACTGTACCAACGGTGATCCTGTAGGGGCCACTGGATGCGCCGTCACTGAGACTAAGCCGAATAGTTTTGGGGAAAGTTTTTCCCAGAACGGTGGAGGAGTCTTCGCGCTGCAATTCGACGTGTCTGGAGCGTTCATCTGGTTCTGGTCGGTATGTGCTATGTTCCTTTTTTCATAGAATGGTGTCTGATTTTACATGAAGAGACAAAACATACCGAAGTCGATTACATCCGCTACATCGACATCGAACATGGATACGACAGATTGGGGCACGCCTTCAGCATCTTATCCGTCTAGTGGATGCGATCTTCAGAAACTGTTCAAGCCACAAAAGTTGATTCTCGATATCACGCTTTGTGGGACTTGGTAAGAGCAACTTTCATTTTCCGGATGTCCTGTCTCATAGGTTCATAAATAGGGCTGGCATACCTAGCATATTCAATACCCAGTGCTCCGGACAATGTGTACGTAGCAAACCCTCCCTCTCAGATTTTCTGAGTAATATCCTTGCAGGTGCAAGATTATATCATGGGACCAGGCAGCCCAAAATACGACAACGCGTGGTTCAAGATATCCTATATTAGAACGTATTCTGCTGCTGCCGGCAACGCCACCAGCAGTGGAGTAGTATCGACCGCTACTGGAACGACAACTCATGTAGTGACGAGTACTTCTGGTAGAGCAACAGCATCTGCATCTGCTACTGCCACCTCTTCCCCGTCTTCAGCTGGACGTCCTCATTCCACTATTTCTTGGGTTTTAGTTGTGTCTTTGCTGTGTCTTGTCTCGCTGGGCTTGTAGCGGTAGAGTGCTTTCAGCCCTTGATTGACCTTAATATGATTATACCCCTTGCTTACATATGCAGACATGATGGAAAACAGGTACTTGTATCGCTTTTTGTCCATGTTTTGGTGAGAGTATTTATAGAACACGCCTTTGTGTATCGTGCTGTTCTACGTTCAAATGCTTCCGTCCACTTTCATTGTCAATGATGTGCCTCGTACTTTATGGTTTACTTTTAGCTACCGTAGAAGTTGGTCGTGTCCTGTCGTGGGGTCCGGTTGCTTTCGTGTCCGAGGTCTTGTCAGTCAGCAAAGTTCCTGGGAGATCGAAGTGTCTCTAATTAGTATGTACTGTGCTGAGCTTGGAGGCAGTCCCATCATAGTCACTGACAGTGGTAGAGGTTGGTGGGACGGTGGCTGTATACAAAAACTGAAAACGGAAGGTGACCACATCATGACATGTAAGGTACTAGTGCGCTTTGCCACTTGCTGGCGCTACTTGTTATATCTATCCTCTTCATTAACCACCATGAGCGCCAGGTTGTTCGAAATCAAAGGATGGGCCAACATCGCAATAGCCATCCTACTGACCATCAAACCAAGTGTCGTATATAATTCCCCAATGACCCGTGAAGTCTCAAGATTGAGCGGTTTGGTATGTCCTTTAAATAGTAATTCTTCAGCAATGAAATCATTTAAATAAAATCATCTATAAGCACATTTCTGATGCCGCCGCAGCACCCGGATTCAATCAAGCGGTAGCATGTATGGTGGCGGCAGTCGGCGTGGGTTATATTGTTGGAGCACGATCTGGTCCGGCTGCGAGACCGGCACTATGTATGTTGCGTCCTTCTGTCACGCTACTATAACTGAAGAGCGTTCAATTTAGTTTCAATGACTTTGACATGGGGTGTACTGAGCCTCATAACGTGCGCAACTTCAAGGGGAAGCGCTACACTGCTGTTTAGTGGGATCAATCACATACTGTTCAGCGGGCTGTCATACTATTTTGACTCTTCCCTTGTCAAGTAGCACAGTGTTTATGTCTGAGCGCTTGTATGTAGTAAATGTTTCCTGCATCACATCGTACCTGTGGCTATAGACGATTGGCTACGTGTTACATTCTATGGTCACTAGCATATTGAATTCATCAGAATTGGGAAACTCTTAGAAAGCGAAATATACACTCGAGCTCGGTCACATAGGTCTGCTACTGAACATTTTATTGACAGCTATCGACAACATGTTTACACCGGCCTGTCCAGGATCAAAGCAGAATTCAATCCTGCTACGAGGATATGCCGGTGCCGAAAAGTCCCGGAAATCATAGTGACATCATATAATAGTCTTGCGGACCACCATAGTCTGGATTGCTCGTAGCCTACTCATCTATCAACGCCAGCTTACGGAGCAACGATGAGCACGGAATCTCCCACCAGGAGTTGCTGATCAGATGCATTTAGTCAACATTTAGTAGTATTACTTGGGCGTAAGGTCGTTTTATTTCCCTGTCGACATCATACAGAAACATCTCTGCCGCCGCCTGTCGTCGCTCGAAAAGTATTCCGTCGTCTAAGGGACGTCAGGAAGTTCGGGCCGGTCGCCTTGAGGAAGGCCATGGAAACTGACTAAGCAAGATGATCGGGAGATGACTAAGCATGCAAGCCATGCAGGATGCACGCCTGTCCACCCTACCACCAGCACATCTTTTTCTTGACGCCGCTATGCCTAACATTTATCGGACACGAATCCCTTCATATCCTTCAGAACCTGATGCCAATGACCCCGGGCCCTCACCAATCGATGCTGACGACTCTATCGTGCTGTCGGACCTTGTGCGGACCGGTGAAGCCTCTCGCCTTCGACGACGAGGTGCAATGAGACTCGACCACGGCCACACAGCATCGCAGACAGGACCTTCCAGCATAATAGCGCCCAATGCCGGTGCTGTCGTGGTGGATTCACCGTCATGGGAGTCGGATCCAGAGGACCGAGACCCAGTTCTTGAATCGGCGTTGAGCAGGAACGACCGGAGTTTGAGGTACGCACGCAGCCAGCGGGAGGTTTCGCGGCATATGAAGGACGAGTATACGTGGAACTTGTTCTGCGGAGGCCACGAGGAGGATGCAGTAATAGAGGAGACCTTGTCACCTGTCTCGAGAGGTTCGTTCGTGCCGTCTATCATGCCTCTGTACCCGTCGACTGCTCAATCGCCGCCGTCGTCTTTCAAGCGAACAATTCGTAGAACAAATGGCTGTGGGGCCCTTGTTCATATGCGAGCTACGCCCCGGCAGCGTTGGGTGTGTGGACCGCGAAAAGTGAAGCGTCGGATGCCGTAGTGGCCATGGACTCTTCATATTTCGATCGCTCTGCCGTCGCTAAGATCCTCAGGAGTGCCTGCGGATGTGTGCGCGAAGGTGTTGGTTGTGCTGTATGGTAAGGATCCCACTACTTCTATGTCTACGTACACGTTCATTAATTTTTTTTTCAGTGGAAATCCTTTGGGCACCCGGTATAGGCCGTGTAAAACTGCCGGTGATAGTATTTTCACCACTCCGTCGAATATTTCGGCGCCACGTTGTCCCCAAGGTCCTCGATATTGGCACACCTCAAATCAGTCTCAGTCAACACCTGGGACCTATAATCCCGAATTCTACATCTACACTTTCTTTTCAACGGCTGTTTCCTCAGCTCCGGGTTACACGTTTCCCCCACGTCTTCCTCATCATTCATCTTCGACCCCCTCATCTGCTTCGCAACGGCAGCAGTCATCTTCATATCCATTTCTTCCGCCACCGCCACCACTGGTTGAAGTCGATGATACCGAAGAGGCGACGCCCACCTTTGGTAACATCATGTTCTCCCGCGTAATGACTTCGTCGCCGACACAGCTCTCCGACGTCGGAGAAGATGATCGCGAGTCAGACCGAGGTGATGACTATACCCTGCCATTACCGGCTGACTGGGCAGATTTTGCCAACCGAGCGCCGCTCGACCCCGACGGCGAATTCTTAACCGACGTCGAGGCCCCAAACTCTCCGGACAAGAACGAGGTCATGCTCATACCGGAGCGGTAGCGACCCTCTAAATGGCATGTTTTTTCATTGGAGTTTTCATTCTCCTACATTTTCGTGTGTTGCATCTTCTATTTTCATCACATTTCAAGGAATTTCTGCCATTACCTTTTCGTACGGACTCATCTTTGTTTTATATATAATTCGTACATCATCTATTATCTACTTCGACTGTATATTACAATGGCATGCATCTTATACCCAGGCATATTCGTAGCCCTGTATTATACGTCCCTAAACTTTATATCGGCCATACTCAAAATATATTACTTACCAACACACCGATCCAGTAGAGAATATTGTACTAGAGGCTAGAGCCGGACGAGACTGCATCAAGGCATCTAGGCCAGACTTGTCTTTGGATCGAAGAAATACTTGCACATTTCCTTAGGAAGCTACTGGGTTAATGAATCCCTATGGAGCCCATACCAATAGTCACGGACATACCAGAGGAGCCAAGGGAGCGCCTGATTGCCGCTACCGACGTGAAATCAGTCCCTAATAAAGAGGTGACGTGTCGGTAAGTATTAGATGGAAAGACCAGCCATCGCTACGGCATCGGACATAGACCAGCTGCATTCTGCGCCTGACGCAATGCTACAACATCACATTGTCCTAACAACCCTCTTAGAGGTTCCGCCGATGTCGACTGCGAGGTTTCTACAATAGACAATAGACGGAAACGCAGCATACAAGCGAGCAATTCAAACTGCCACCGTGCAACTTAAGCGCCATTTGTGATCGCACCCTGATTGTGAATTCTGGAAAAAAACACCAGATGAAGGACGTTCCAAATATGCCACATGCTGTAGCCAACAAGACCAATCCTGGTTCGAAGGATCTTTCCTACCCCTCTTCTGTCGAAGTCACCCACACCGGCTATTCGTGTAGCGAGATGAATGATCTGGGGGTCGGGTACCAATCGCATCGTGTGTTAGGCATCGTGATCAAGAAGACCACGACTAAAAGATAGACAGGGACATGATATCATCCCGTTGTGGTACCAAACCTGGTTCGCTGTCCTCCAGAGACGGCCAACGTCCAGGGAATTGGAGCTAACACGTTTTAAACGCGCTTGGGTCTAACCCTGTATGGGAGCAAAGAACACATATATACACGAGGTCCACACGCTTGGGTTTTGCGCCAGCCCTTTACCGCATGATCTGTTACGTTGGCCCCAGTAGATCGCCTCGTCAGTTCAGTCCCACGTAGCCAAATATAAGTCCCAGAGAATAAGAATTAATTGAACGAAGAAACGATACAAGGAGAGCAACAGTGAACCAAGCAATCTATACCCGGGCTCATGTCGCATCTACCAAAACAGCATTTTGACTTCCTGCTCCAGGGTCACAGAATTAGCAGATACCTAGTCAAAAAAAGACCTGCTCCTTACCCGATTCCTTCGCCAAAGCATCCTCCCATCCCTCCTCGAACAAATCCGCATTCGCCGAAGGATGCGCAACGGACGCCGCGATCTTGGGTCGGTTCTTGGCTTTGAGATCCGCTTGCCACGCATCGACGGCTTTGGGTACTTGGCTGCACAAGAACCACGTCAGCCTTGTAGCATGTAATACATCCGTCACTTATTCTTACCTTGGCGCATACGTCCTAGCAAACAAAGCTGCCTCTGGTGCTCGTTGTGTCTTTACCAAGGTCCACGCAAGACTTGGCATCTCCAAGCTGGAACATCGACGCAAAAGCCAAGTTGTTCAAGCCTTTCTCAGCTGTTTGCGGTATCAGTAATGTTTTGACCTTGATAAGATGGCTTGGCTTACCGGCTTTCGACGAGAGGGCTTCAGGCCATCCCGATCACCAATTGCGAGCAGAAGAAGCATGAGAGCGCTCAAATCATTTGCTTTCTCGAAGCTTTCCCGTGCTAGGTCGAAGCGCCAGACAGTGAGTGCACGGTCGCCCAACGACTTCCATTTCGCTTCGGCTTCCAACTCCGGTATTGAGCGGGCGATCTCTACGGCCGTGTCTAAGTCATCAAGTTGTAGGGACAAGTCGAATTTGTGATCTGGATCAGTCGTTACTTTCAACGCGAGTTCCTTGAGGTCTATGCGGGTGTGTCTGAGTTATAATCCTCCTTTCGTACTAGACGGAAAGAACGTCTTACCTCGGCCTTCCAAGAACCGGGCGACCTTGTTCAGCTGCTCCTTAGGGAGTGTTGGCAGAATTTCGTCTGCGGCCGCCATGTCGCCGCGGAGGACGGCGGTTTGGTATTCGACGACACTGAGCGATAGAGAGTAGCCATAGATGTTGACATCCTTGTCGGCGAGGTAGACGCGGTTGTGGGCGGGTATGTAGCCAAGGAGGTATAGAGGCCTGGAAGTGCAAGTTCAGAGTGGGCCGAGAAAACGCCATTGTACTTACGTGTCAAATGGACTGATAGTATATGACTCGCTGCCCACAAAGTAGCACAGTCGCTTGGAAGATGTTGTGTAGATGAAACAATCGCCAACCCATTTTGCTGTCCGTACTCTGCGAGTATGATATCAGTAAAGACCTGCAGGGGAGCCCGAAATACTGACCCTTCTTGTACATCAGCAACAACTTCAAAAGCCTCTTCAACGCCCTCATCCGATATTTCTGCTCCTTCCTCAATTTTCGCATTATACGCGTCACGGTCGAACCGCAAGATATAGAACGAGTCGGCGGCGGTAATAGCCACTAACGAGCCCGTTCCCGACCAATAGATATTCTGCGCCTCGACGTCTATTCTCCGCACGATCTCACCAGACTCCCAATCCCAGAACATAACGAAACCAGATCCTCTGGCGCCTAAGAGGGTTCCACCGTGAATGCCGTCCATCGACCAGCTTCCAACACCTGTCATTCCAGCCCCGCTACGTTCTCGGAAATTCTTGTAGACTCGTAGTTTTACTCTGTTTTCGAGAACGGCGTACGTGTTGGAGTCTGGAGCCCAGGCGAATGAGATGCCATTTCCAAACGATTTGTTACGCCATGCAAGAGCAGTGTAGGTAATGTACTCTCCATCTCCAACGACAGTGACGAATCGGCCGTTTGGAGAGTGGATGAGAGACGTAGCGAATATTTCGGATGAGCCAATTTCTTTGAGAGAAATAGGAAGGCGCGCGCCGTCAGACGCGGGAGAGGCGTCGTCGTGTTGGATCATCTGGACGTTCCCAGAGAGAACTTGCTGGTTACGCGTAAAAATGAGTTTCCCAGAAGGGTCCATGCTGAAAGTTGGTTCATCGCGACCAAGCTAATCCAGAGTGAGTATTTGATGTTTAGAAAGATGGGTGAACTTACCTTGATGACCACAGCACCCTCATCGAAACCAACAGCAATCTCATTCGCGTCTTTCCGTAAGGCTATACACCATGCACGCTCCATGGCGTAACTGAGTGTGTTCTCGAGACGGTACGTGCCACTATTCCACATCTTGATTGTTCCATCTTCGCTTCCGCTGATGATGATGGGAAGATTGGGATGGAATATGGCAAAGGAAACGTTGTTGGTGTGACCTTCCATAGTCTGTACGCAGCTTTTGCTGAGGTAGTCCCAAACTTTGACAGTCTTGTCGTCGCCGGTGGTGACGAGATAGGGTTTGTCTGCACCAGGATAAAAGTCGACATAGTTGACACCCTTATCGTGGGCATCCATGGTGAAGTTAGCAGTCGGTGATCCTATCGACCACATCTTGACGGTACGGTCGAGACAAGCTGAGGCAAAAGTGTTGGAATCTTTAGGGTTAAAGGCAAGGTTCATAATGTAATGCGTGTGGCCTTCGTATATCTGACGACGAAGTCAGAAATGATGGATATATGCGCCGTGGACCTCCACGTACCTGGATATTCTTCCAGCTCTTGTCCCAGTCCCAAGCCTTGATAGTCATGTCGTCGCTGCCCGTCAAGACGATGCTAGCCGTCGGGTGTACTGTCAAACACCGAATATAATCCGGGTGCGCCTCGAAAGCGGCGACCTTTTCGTGCGTGTTGTAGTTGTAGACACGTAGCTGGAAATCATCGGATCCGGCGACGAACCAGTTCTTGCGCGCAATGAACTTGACGCATCGTACTGGGACCTCTGCGACTTCAAATGTCTTTACGAGGGCGCCAGTTTCGTGGTTGTAGATATTCACGGTGCCATTGTAGAGGCCGGTGAGCAGCCAAGGCTCGGTAGGGTGAAAATCGATGCCCTTGACCCGTTCCGACCGATGGAGTTGTTTTTTCTACAGAATATGTACTCAGAAAGGAACAGCAAAGGCTATTGAGAAACATACGGTCACTTCAAACAGCATGGCAGTCCGGGTCGAGGTGGATAGAGACAAAATGGAAATACTTTGTGCAGTGTCTCGCAGCTCACGTGGCAAAGCCATCACGGTGTGACCTTCCCACCGTTTGTTATGCACCTGCCGTTTGCCTCTTTCTTGGGTTCGTCATCGTCTTGAACAGCGCCGAGAGCGTCTTTTCTTCCTTCATTCTAGGCCATGGCCTCAAATTCCACACAGGCCATCGCTTCTGGCGACCTAGTCGACCTTGTGTCGTCTTCAGGTTCGGCCACCATCTATCCTTCTGACGACGCTATTCTCGCCGTTCTCCAGGCCCGCTTTCGAGCAGATCTTCCCTACACTAGAGTCGGCGCCTCCAATTTGGTCGTCGTCAATCCCTACAAGACCCTCGCCAATGTCAACGATATCAGCGCAAAAGAGTATGAAGAGCGGTGCTACAAGGACACCAGCCTTCCTATGGTGGACTCCCCAAAGCCCCTTCAGCCGCATTTATACGACCTTGCAGCGAGGGTATACCTCGTAATGAGGCGCAGGAATGAGTCGCAGGCTCTTTTGTCGAGGTACGCAGTTGTCTCTCATCGGCTACCTTTTGCCGCTAACGAGACATTCGTAGAGGTATCACTGGCGCAGGAAAATCCTCGAGCATACGTCTTTTCATCAACCAGATACTTCGTCTCTCCAGCCATTCCAACAAGGAGGCAAAAGTTGCTGATCAGATCAAGGCCCTGGGAACCATCCTCGATTCATTCGGAAATGCCAAGACCCTCATGAGCCCCAATGCCTCACGACACACCCGCTATCTTGAGCTGCATTTCAACGACCGAGGTCGAATATCTTCAGCAAAAGTCCTTGCGTTCGGACTGGACAAGTCGCGCCTTAACCGGCTGACGCAGGAGGAGCGGTCATACCACATTTTTTATCAGCTACTTGCCGGTGCAACGACTACGGAGAGAGACAATCTGAACATAGAAGACCCCTCCGATTACGCCCTTCTTGCGTCGTCGGGAACGTACCGGCTGCCAGCCGGCCCGTTCAGCGATGATTCCATAGCGATGGGCGATTTGCGACAAGCTATGCGAATTCTTGGTTTCAAGCCCAAGGCTATGTCCTCCATTTTCTCCACCCTAATGGCCATTCTCCTCCTTGGCAACCTCCAGTTTCATGATGGCGATACCCACGATTTTGCCGCTTACGTCGCCAACGCTCCCGTACTTGATCATATAGCGCGTCTCCTCGGGGTCACGTCGGAAGACCTCGGTCAGACACTTACGAACAGGACAAGTTATGTTCGTAAGGAGCTCTATACAAGTCTTCTCAATGCCGAGCAGGCCGCGTTGCAACGAGACCATTTTGTTCGTGATCTCTATGCCATCCTATTCGCCTTCGTGGTGGAGACCGTCAATCATAAGCTTGCGCCATCACAGAAAGATCCTCCTCCCCATACACAGGTTGCTATCCTCGACCAGCCTGGCTTCCAGACACGTGGTCCTGCGGGTACTGCTTCTATGGCGCTTTCGGGGGTTACGCCACTGATTTCCGCGTATGGCCAGAATGGGTTTGATGAGTTCTGCATAAATTTCTCTGACGAGTTGCTCCACTCGTATGTTCAACGCCATATCTTCGAGGACACCGTCGGGTACAGTGGTCAGATATCCGGGGATGGTATCTCACTACCCTCAATCTCCACCATGGACAATATGGCGTGCGTGGAGCTTTTACGGGGACCTCAGACCGGTGAACGGCCCCAGCGAAAGCCGGGTGGTGTGCTAGGCTCTCTGAACAAGGCGTGCTCTGCGCTCAAGTCGGGCAAGGGTGGAGACCACCGCAACGATGATTTGTTGCAGGACTTGGTAACCAAGTTTGGTGTCCATGCATCTTTTGTGGCGAGTCCCGCTGGTGCAACCAGCCGAACCTCTTTCGGCATCAACCATTATGCCGGCTCTTGTATGTATGACGTCAAAGACTTTATCGAGAAGGATACGGACCTTTTGGATTCTGCATTCGTTCCTTTGTTGCGCAATTCCACTGATCCTTTTGTGGTGAAGCTTTTCTCAGGTCCTTCACTGGCTGCCGAACGGCACAACAGGGATGAAAGTATTGTTGTACAGGCCCAGGTTTCGTCGCTACCCCTTCGTTCGCCCACCCCCATCGCGTCTTCCAGCTCTCCGACGATAGAGGAGTTCCCAGAGTTGGATCGCCAGAAGACGTACCCCGTGACGACCCAAATCAACTTTACCCTCTCCAACCTCTTCGCTACCATCAGCCATGCGCGTCTTTGGACGGTCTCTTGCATACGCCCCAACGACTCTGGCTCCTCGAACTCATTCAACAAACAGCGAGTGAAGTCGCAGGTTCGAGCGCTTCTTCTACCCGATCTTGCGTCGAGGCGCAGCGCGGAGTACATCGCGGACTATGAAGTGTCAGAGTTTTGCGAGCGTTACGTGCCCACGATGCGAGGATCGGAGATGGAGAGGATAACGCAGTGCGCGCGCGCGCCAACGGATGGAAAAGGGCGTAGACTTTGCTCTTGGACATCGGATGATCTGGCTTTCGTACTCTGCGTGGAAGATGGTTGAGGATCCTCTCCGTGCATCTGAGAAAGAGACACGGAAGCTTTTGAAAGAGGGAGGTATGTTAGACGACGAGGATGAGAGTGTTGAGCGAGATGATACCACTGAGTATACCCACCAGGAAGGGCTGGCCCCTGAGGTTGGGCAGGAGAGCGCGGAAGACTTGCTGCTGACGCGCACTGGTTCCCACGGGACACAGTATCGCGATCCGAATGCGGGGACGTATGGTCAAGGAGGTTTGCTTACGCCCAATCTTTCGGCTACGCAGAGAGGGTTTGGGCCGGATCGCGACAACGAGGATGAGTACTGGGACAAGTCAGGCGGTGGAGGTTCGTCGAATGGGGCACCGCCTTACAACAACGATCCTTCGAAAGAGGCGGACGGGCTTGTGGTCAAGGAAGTGGCGAACGCCGTCGAAGAAGTTCCTTCGTCTCTCGCTCACGGCGCGTCTGGCTTGGGATAGTCTGGACCTGCACGTTCTGGTTGCCGACCTTCCTTTTAAGCTGGATTGGCCGGATGAAGCGTCCTGATATTCGACTTGCCTGGCGAGAAAAAGTGACCATCTGCATGCTCATTTCTTTTCAACGCCGTCGTCATCTTCTACAATCATTCGAATTCGTCGATTGCTATGTCCTAACTATGACAAGGCATGGAACGCGACGAGGTCTCTCAGCACGTCGACAATGACTGGTGGTTTTCCGTGCAGGGCAAGGTATACGATATGACGAACTTCGTGCAAGGAGATCACAGTGACGTTCCGTCCGGCAGCCAGTAATGGCGCTGACACCCTGGAGTCACTGGCTGGTTCGGATATGACTTACTACTCCCTGTTCCCCTCGTCCTTGGTTGTGCGGGTCTCGTCACTGATGACACCTTGGAGTTGACCATCAAGAACTTCTCCGATGTCGCCCCTACTGGCCGATCATACGTCTGGCGCTTTGACTAGTTACACGTCGAGTAAACTAGCCAACGCTGATTGGTACACCTCGACCTTCCTTCCGAAAATGAAGAACTACTACAAAGGTCCTTGTGTATTCTTGGAGCACGATAGAGGCGGACGCAAGCGACGATGATACAGCGAAGTAAGCACCGACTCATTTTTACTCGCGTATATTTACTCATTATATTTCAAGAATTTGGGCCGTTTGGGACGATAATCTGTACGACCTGACAGATTATTTCAATACTCAGGACACGTATTCGACGTATACGTCGTATCAATTCTTGGATAGCGGTGTTGAAGATGTCTTCAAGCAGCAATCGGGCAAAGATGTCACAAATGATCTCAATACAGCGCTCAACTCCTTGAACGAGACTTATCGCGCTCAAACGTCAATTGTCTGAAGAACAATTTCTACGTCGGGCAAACGGATTTCCGCAAAAGCGCCCGGTGCCAAGTGCAAAACTACATGCTGATCGTCTTCACTGTAATTATTATGGCTTCCCGTGGCGCTGAAGTGTTCGTTATTTCCTACCTTACCGATGAACATGTTTTTGACTTGCTTTCCCTAGTCCTTGCCGCGCTACAGTTTGGCAGTAAACGCAATCCTGAACTTCAGGATAAGTTCATCCTGTGTCAGGTGCCGTGTTACACAGAAGGAGAGGACTCATTACGCCGCACGATTGATTCTCTTGCTGCTCTTAACTATGACGACAAACGCAAAGTTAATTTTCATCATTTGCGATGGTAACATCATCGGTAGTGGTAACGATCGTACGACACCCCGAATTGTTTCTGGACATTCTCGGCGTTGATCCGAAGCTCGATCCTGAGCCTCTATTGGTTCAAATCCGTTGGTGAGGGTTCGAAGGCGCTGAATTACGGGAAAATCTATTCTGGCTTGTACGAGTTCGAAGGTCATGTTGTTCCGTATGTCATTCCTGTCGTTTTTGCTTCAGACCGTGCTGATTCATCTTCAGATACATGGTTGTCGTCAAAGTTGGCAAACCTACGGAGCGCTCGAAGCCCGTAATCGTGGTAAACGAAGATAGTCAAATTCTCCTTATGCACTATTTGAACCGCGTCCACTTCGATGCTGCCATGTCGCCCTTGGAGCTCGAGATATATCATCAGATGCGGAATGTTATCGGTATAGACCCGGCATTTTACGAGTATATTTTCACTGTGGATGCTGATACGGTGATTTACATTCCTTTACCTTGATGAGCGCTACTGACGCATCATTCTTATAGACCGTCAACACCTGAATCTCTGAACCGACTAGTAGCATCAGCCGCTGATGACTCTAGTATTATTGGCATTTGCGGTGAAACCAAGCTCGAGAACGAAGAAGGCTCCTGGTGGACGATGATCCAGGTTTACGAATACTACCTTTCTCACCATCTTTCGAAAGCCTTTGAGAGTTTGTTCGGGTCGGTTACCTGTTTGCCGGGTTGTTTCTCATTATATCGCATTCGGACGGCCGACAAGGGACGACCCATCATCATCTCTAACCGGATCATCGACGAGTACGCGGAGCCTAACGTCGATACCCTGCACAAGAAAGAATCTATTCTCGCTCGGAGAAGATCGTTTCTTGACGACGCTTTTGATGAAACATTTCCCCACGTTCAAGACAAAGTTTTGTGCAGATGCGATCGCTCGTACCGTGGCCCCAGACTCGTGGGCGTGTGCTGTTTTACTCAGCGTCGTCGATGGATTAACTCCACTATCCATAATTTGTGCGAGTTGTTCTACTACCGGAGCTTATTGGTTCTGTTGTTTCTCGATGAGATTCTTCGTATTCATTGATTTGCTGGGAACTTTGGTACGTACATAATTCAAAAGTATCGGCTTTTACTTGTCTAACGGATCCCACGCCAGATCTTACCTGCCACTGTGGTTTATGTATGTCTTTTTAAAAATTTCTGGGGTTTCGCTAACGTGTCTGGTGCAGCTGTTGTATCTAATCATCGTTGTATCAACTGGTACCCTCGGCATTCCCTCAGATTGCCATCATCATGTTAGCAGTCACGTATGGCTTGCAGGTAAGTACTAAATACGCACTGTACGTTCTGGCCGTATATGTTTGCTGATAATATCCAGGCTTTGATCTTCATCCTCAAACGGGAATTCATGCTCATCGGCTGGATGGTTGTTTACATTCTTTCGTAAGTCCCGCATGTACTACCTTTTGTATGCGACCTAAATACGGTCTTGTTTTCAGGTATCCGGTTTACAGTTTCTTCTTACCAGTCTATTCCTTTTGGTGTATGGATGAATTCGGTTGGGGTAATACTCGTCTTGTTATCGGTGAAGGCAAAGACAAGAAGGTCATCATCAACGAGGATGAAAAATTCGATGAGTCTATGATACCCTTGAAGAAGTTCAGCGGTACGGGAGATTCCTGACATGGTCGTTCGCAAATTACTGATATTTCGAAACGCAGAATATGAAGCCGAAGCTTGGGAAACTGGTTCGCGTCATTCTGACGAGACAGGATACAGCAGCAAGCCTCGCTCTCGTCCTAATGGCTCGAGGGAGGAATCGCCTCACACATACCACCAGGCTTCTCAAGCTGGTGATTACTACCGGGATACGAACTTGACGCTCAACAACTCGTCCAATCCCAATTTACGCCTTGGCAGTCAACCCTCCATCAGCAACATGTCGCATCGTGCAGCTCAGCAGGCACAATACGGGGGACCCTTCACTGGGGGACCCGGATCTGCGCACGGATCTGATTATGGTAGGAGCATGCCGCAAATGGCTCAGATGGGGTACCAGAATACGGCAGGCAGCATGCCCTATCAGCATACCGCAGGCAGTATGGGCATGGGCATGGGTATGCCTCAGATGGGATATCAGAACACCGGGAGTATGTATGGTATGATGCCACCTATGGCTCCACAAAACCCGATGATGCCTATGAATATGCTCGGGGGCAGTTTGGGAGGCGGATCACAATCAGGACATTCGGGCGGATTTGGCCCACCAACACTTCCTTTCGGAGGCGGCGACCAGCGGCCTATATCGACGTTCTCATTGGCCACGACCGTCAATCCCTTCGCAGGTCCTAACAACAATCCTAACCCTTCGGACGAAGAGTTGATTGCGGCTCTACGGAACTATCTCAGTACGCAAGATCTGATGACCGTATCCAAGAAGTACGTTTCACGCTCTATTTCTACTGTGTTTTTTTTTGATTTACTGGACTTCGCAGAACTGCCCGTGAAGCCATGGCAGCGCGCTTCCCCATGGCGGACCTCGCATCTCGTAAGGATTTCCTCAATAAATCCATCGACGAAATTCTGTCGGATTCGTAAACACTCATTACATTATGACACTTTTATTTTTGGCATACAACCGGACTTACTGGCAACATCCCTCATGACTTTCCTTCTTTCGAATTGCTTTGCATTGCAGTGGTTGAACATGTTTTGGCTCGTGTAGTACTTAATGGACCTTCACATGGACTTCATATATATTTTTACCATAGTCGTCATTTTTGATTCAATCACATAATGGGACGAAATATCATGATTTCTGGATTGAATTTGAGTGATGTAAGACGGAGTAATAGTGGACATGATTTGGAAATGAACGTCCAAAGTGTTTACTCTGTTCTGTCCTCAGTATCTCCTTTCCTTCAGAAACGACTGCCAATGTGAATTTATGAGGATGCACGTACACTCCTCTTCTCTCCGGGCTCCTATCCTCGCTTAAATGTGTGGAACCGTGTGGTTGGTTGGTTCACTGATTATCGGAAATCGAGACCAAGATAACACAAGCTTGCATCGCTCGGTAGGCCCAAGTTGGAGGGCAGCTGGAGTGTTCGAGGTCTCCGGGAGAATTCGGCTTCCAAGAGTACTCGCGCTAAATGGTACTTCCCGAACGAGATGCTCGGCGGCCCGGTCCCGGTGCAATAATTTCGGTCATTTTCCAATCTTAGCTTTGTGCGTTCTTATCGAGTTCTTATTTGTTGGCGAGCTCTTATAGGCTCTTGCCTTTGTACCACCATGACCATCAAGTCAACTACACACCCTCTTTACCCTCACATGCCCGCTAGCCTCAATGAGATCGTCAAAGGACAGCTATTTCTCGGAAAGTACGTTGTGGCGGTCATTGTCTCACTCTGGTACTGATGTTTTCTTCTTAGTTTAACTTCTGCGATGTCTGCTGGGCAGCGTTGTATGCTCGGAATCACCCACATTGTTTCTGTTTGTCCTGAATATTCTTCCACGGGCCCAAATCATTTGACAATTGCTGTGGACGATTCCGAGTACGATGATCTTTTGATTCACCTCCCCAGAGCATGCGAGTTCATCGAGTCTGCCCTTGCCCAGGGCGGCTGCGTGCTTGTGCATTGTGTGATGGGAATCTCAAGAAGTACCACCGTTGTCGCTGCTTACTGTGAGTTCAATATATTCACTATCTCTTATCACATTTTAAATACCAATCCTTCTGTCAGTGATGAAAACAAGGGGTATAAATACGTCGACTGCTTTGAAGCTAATTAAGAAAGGTGCTGTATCGTCACCTGATTATCTGCCCTCACGGCCTGCATCTCATTTGCTTTTCGGCCCCACCAGAGCGACCATGTGCCCATCCAAACTATGGATTTATCAAACAGCTGGACACCTTTGCTGATTGTGCATATGCCCCGAGTCCTTCTCACCCCATTTACATCTCCTGGAAACGGCGTCAACAGCAAAACATAACTGCCTTCCTCAATTGCATGATCGATACCACGCCAATAATCCCCGACCAAGTATATCTGAATAGGTTAAAATAAATTTTCACTTTCAAGATTAGACACTGACGTCATTGATGTGTTCCTACCCTTCGCAGCGAGTTTCCGACCGACCCGAAGCAGGCAGAGTCACTCATTTTCGAGCTTGGTATTACGCATGTTTTGTCAATGGCGCCTGCGACGATGCCGGACTTACCGTCATATGTAAAGCACCGGCATTACAATGTCCATGGCGAGAACCGGGCCGACCTACTTGTCACCCTTCCTGATTGCTGTAGCTTTATTCGCGATGCTGTGGCGGACAATGGCGTGGTTCTCGTCCATTCGATTATGGAATCAAGAGCCTGTATTGTCGTTGGAGCTTACCGTACGTCCATGACAAGTAGTAATTCTTTGACTCTCTGACCATTTATTGCCAGTAATGGTCCTGCGGAACCTCACACCAAAACAGGTGTCTTCTTGTATAGAAGAAGGTGCGCTCATTATGTCCTCTGGTCGATTTTTTGTAGCTGAAGAATGCTTGAACCCAGCCCTTCCCCTCTTTTTGCCCTCTTCCAATTTTATCCGTCATTTAGAGCTATTCGAGTCTTGTGGATACGCGCCGTCGCTCGAACATCCCATCGTCGAGGAATGGACCGGAGGCGAAGTCTCTCACTCCGGAATGAAAACCGCTGGCATCATGAACAGTCTCAGCGCGTCTGTTCTCAGCGAGACCGCTGTAGATATGGAGGCTTTCGGAGAAACCCTGACGAATATTGCCAGTTCGCAGAGATTGAAGAGCGGTCTTGTGCATGCGTAATTTTTTGCCATTTGCTTAGATCTATCAACCTGCATCTCTTAGACATCATTACCGACATTGCATCTGCCTTCTGCCGTTTTGATAGATACCATACCACGTCTGTTGTATAATAGTCTTCTTGTCGCATTGACTGCGATTATAGCTGCAGTCTTGTAATCTTATAATTGCATAGTTCTAGAGTGGATCACACACGTGCGTTGTATTGCTAGTTCGAAAGAGTCTGGGATAACGGGGATCTGATATAAGATAGATGAGCGAAACTCGGATGAGCTTCACCTACTATGTAGTGACATAGATGGCTTTAGATGCTTTTCATTCCATGCTCTTCGGAATCTAAGTAATCTTGGAAATTGATAACAGAATGTCTGGTAGTTCACAAAGAAGACCAAAAGTGCTGCCATGAAACATCGACATGTTCTCAGCCTTGGATTGCCAGTAAGTATTACTTGCAGATTCATTCATAACTCATTTAAATGAAAACGCTATCCTAATCTGGACTCGATTTTACGTGACATATCTACTTGATTTCGGTTGAGGAAAGAGTAAATTAGTCCCGCTCCCACTTCCTGTTACGGAGATATGTCGGGAGCCCCTGTCGATTGTTGACGTGTGTCTGTGACGCAATGTGTGACACATCCCAAAGTAGACTTGTCGCATATTCGCCACCACGCACGTTTGAAAGGCGTCCATCGACGTCTCCATGTCTCTTCCGCGCGTTCCTCCATGAACGCATGATTTCTGGCTGCGCCTCCCGGCCCCATCATGGTTACTTTCTTTTCCTCGAATTCCTTGACCCATAATGGCCTCTTACCCCTGGAAACGAAATTGCCCGTAGCTTCGAAGAACTTGCGTTTTTGGCACAGAGCAACGATGATCTGGGTCGCCTTTGCAGCTTGTATTGGGATGGCGTTATGTTTGCCCGTCTACTCCTTTGGATCCTACAAGGCGAATCTCTCTGTTGTTCCGTTCGCGCAGAATTGGGCCCAGTATTCTCCATTTGTTTCTCTGGCAGAATACCAGGTGCCAAGCGGCTGCGTAGTGACCCAGGTGAGAGATTTGCCCATGCCCTGTCATACTTGTATTGATGAGAATACTAGGTAAACCTTGTGAGTGTCTGGGAGATCTTTGTACCCGATGTGCCGTTGCTGAAGAATTGCATCAGCTCGAAAGACACGGCGCTCGTTATCCTACTGTCGGCTCCGCTGCTGGCATTATCTCCGCCATCAATAAATTGACTGCCGTTGGTGAATTTACGAATGAGCGTATGCAGTTTTTGGCCAATTACACATATGACTTGGGAGTTGCCGATCTCCTCCCGTTTGGCGCAGCCCAGCAAGTCTCTAATCTGATTTATTTTCATAATCTAACAGATACCGCAGGGCGTATGAATCCGGAGAGACTTTCTTCCAAAGGTATTCGTATCTCATCGATCAAGACCAAATCCCCTTCGTTAGAGCTTCAGGCTCGGATCGAGTCATCAAGTCGGCAACGAACTGGACTGCCGGATTCTCAGCTGCCAGTTATCATGTCTACAATCCATCTTTATCCGTGATTCTGTCTGAAGAGGCAAGTCGGAATTACGTCATTTATTTCCGATGCTCATAAAACCTTTATCAGTCGAACGATACTCTCGACGACAACCTGTGTGAAAACGCGGGTGACTCCGATGACCAAACCAACACCTGGCTGGCTATCTACGCTCCTACCATAACAGCTCGCATCAATGAGGGTGCTCCTGGTGCAAATGTTTCCGACGCTGACACGTACAGTCTCTTGTCAATGTGTCCCTTCGATTCCGTGGCCAAAGAAAAGCGTAGCCCCTTCTGCGATATGTTCGAAGCTGCGGATTTCGGGGGTTTCGAATACTCGGGAGATTTAGACAAGTACTATGGCACGGGGTTAGTGTTCATTCAGTCCTTCCTTCCTTCCGATTGCTGACAGGCGCAATCTTTGTAGCTATGGACAAGAACTGGGGCCAGTCCAGGGTGTTGGATATGTCAACGAGCTCTTAGCGCGGCTGACTTCCTCCCCAGTTCAGGACAGTACCCAAACAAACCATACCCTTGATTCCAACTCTGAAACCTTCCCCCTCAATCGCACCTTCTATGCGGACTTCTCGCATGACAATCAAATGATAGCTATATACTCTGCTATGGGGCTCTTCCCACAGAGTGCCAATCTCGACCCGACGAAGCCGGACCCAAGCCGGACCTGGCTTGCGTCGAGGCTAGTGTCGTTTTCGGCGAATATGGTGACCGAGAAACTAGAGTGCTCGGGTGAAGAGTATGTGAGGGTTTTGGTGAATGATGCGGTACAGCCGCTGGCATTTTGTGGCAGCGGGGATGGGCTTTGTTCATTAGACGCGTTTGTCGAGAGTCAGTCATACGCGAGGAACAACGGAGACGGAGATTGGGAGAAGTGTTTTAGTTAGGTGGGTGTTCCTATTGCCCATATAGATCGTTCTCACCCGTCATCTCTACCAAATAGTGTTTCGTGATATTTGTTACCGTCGTTTGCAACTGGATAGCATAAATGAATAATACTCGGTCTCAGCGTCCGTGTCGCCTTGCTGAGAGCAAACGAGGCCTTTGTCTGGCATATGGCATCCCAGTACGATCGTCCAATTACCCTTGACTAGTAGGCATCTTGAACATTATTCCTAGTCCTGCCTGTTCCACGATGCTGTCAAGGCACGCAGCGTGGCCTCGAGCTCAAGAACCTTTGTGGCTCAAGACGCTGATAAGATATGCCAAGGACCCAATTGTATATGCTAGTGGTCACCTCCACCCTGTGGCCGTTTTTTTTTTGCATTGGTCATCGTCGTTAAACTTTTTTTCATCTAGATATACATATTACTGCTAGTAATATAAATAGCCTCCAGAGATCAATAATTATGGCTACCTGGCGCAATGGTAGCGCGTTTGGCTTCGATTGCTGAATGGTTACCAAAAGGTTGCAGGTTCGAGTCCTGCGGTGGTCATGTATTTTTGTTTCATTTCTCCGGAATGCCGGATTCTAGCACACCAGCAGACTGGAACAGTGGAACTCCAGTCTCGCATTGTCAATCTATTTCACAAATTTATTACACCGTAGGCCTACAATCACAGCTCCAACAACAGTGATAGGTATTGGCACTGCTGTCTCGTTAGCTTTGGTGCAGCCAGATACAAACAGCCCCTCAGCTTCTTTCCTGGGCAGGATTAGACTTTTGTTTAAAAAATTCCGCTGCTTACCGGTAAATTACTAGTAATTATATGAATAAAATAGCCGGTTGTAATATTGTGATCAAAACCCCAGGTTTGATCCTAAGTCAATATGATATTGATGTTCCTTTCCCCACCGTCCAGGGATGATTTCTCTTATCTATTGAAGTCCAAAGTCTCCTACATTTTGGTTCTTGGATCCTGACTCCGACCGGTCCTAGAACCATCTTCCAGCGACCCTGGACCTAACCACACGTGTATGGATCCAGTACCTCGCTGGTAAGAAAATGAATTCGGATCCCTAAGGTTTCATGCGTATTATCTCACGAAGGCCAAGTTCCCCGAACGCTTCCCTACACGTTGAATGCGTGACTTCTCCATCCATCGATACGCTTTTCCCTGTTCTCCGTACGCGAAAAATTGTCTCCATTGCTATCAATCAATTCCTCGACAGCATTGACGCCTTCTCTCACTTGTTGCCCCACGTCCACGAGTCTCTGTTCCGCGTGGGTGACCTGGTCTGAAACTTCTGAAGCAACGTGCGAATACATAGCCGGGGGAGATACCAAGGGTTGCGGTTCGCCTTTGCAGGGAAGGATCTGAGGGGCGATACCAATGGCTATGGTCGACTGAGACGCACCACCTGCGTCTGCTTCTGTGCGCTGAATGTGAACACCTTTGAACGACACCGTAGACTCAGTACGCGCATCCGTTCCATCGGCTGAGCTAGCACCAAGCAGTTGCGCCGAAGTTATGACGTTCATGATTGCAGTCCACACGGATTGTCCACCGTCCTTTTGTGTTTCATCTCGGACAGCGTGTAGACCATTCGCCAAGGTATTGATGGCCGAGCGTATCCACTGCTCCACCACCTTCTCCAGCTCCCTTCGTACGAACCACTTAACCAGGGCTAGAACGATGGGTGTGAGCATAGCGTTCAGAATCCAGTGTCTCGAGTCTGTCAATTTGACGCTAATGTCAAGGGAAGGAGGTAAAGTCACGGCGACGCTGGCGATACTGAAGTCGAATTGGTCCTCGCTGGCTGTCTGAGTGTCAAGCTCAAGTATGATGTCGATAGTACCTCCTTCAAGCCCACCAAACTCAAAATCAAAGCCCAGCATACCCTCGTCTTCATACCCCATAAATGGCTTGTACCGGAAGAAATACCCCAGGGCGTCTAAACTGATAACCTTATGTCTCGATCCCGCAAAAACGCCGTCGATACGAATATTAACCTTGTTCGAAGATGCGACGGGAGTCGTGTTTTCCGGTGTTGTCGCAGCGGCAAAGTCAATGTGCAACTCGCTCCATCTCTTCACAATAATTGAACTAGGGGTAAGCCAATTTGGCATACGGCTCTCTGGATCGCCTCCAACACCGGCGGACCATCCTTCATTCCGTGCGTCGTCAACTAAAGACACCCTCATCAGTCGACCGTCGACTGCCACATCTAGTTTCGTGTCGCTGTATTCTACACGTGGTACTGGAATGATGACTGCTCCGTTAGGCTGGAATATAGTCTGCGTGAATGAGAGGACTGCGTTCATGGCGACGGCGGCGATGTCATTCCACATAGCTTCTGACAGGTAGAGGCCGCCTCTTGTGGCGATGGTGGTGGGTGCACGAATAGCTGACAGATAACTCTGAATGTCTGTCGAAAGGGTCGTGAATGCTTTAAGTAGCCGGATTGTGGTATGGTCTTCAGATAGAGAAGCTATGAAGACCTGGGCTTCATGTACAAAATTCCCAAGGAGATTTTCGGCTTTATGTGCTGCTTTCAGAATAATCCGGCCACGATGGATCATCTGCGAGATATCTGTTTTACAGATATTTGATTCCACATAGGAGGAATCTGAAAAAGCGCGGTCTAGGTACCTTCTGAGGTCCATAAAGTAAGCGTGAAGTTGGATGATCGTATGATCTTCACCTGGATCAGATGCGACTGCAGCCATAAGGCTGTTCATCGAGGCGCAGAGCGGATCCAGAGACTTTCCTGACGCTAAACGTTCAAGCAAAATCTTGGCGTCCGCGGCAATGGAATTGAACCTGGAAACTGGAGCACTGGGCTCAGTGGGCTGCGACAGTATGATTCCCAGATCCTGCCAAATGGAGAGGTACTTCTCAAACAGTGCGAGAAGGGTCTTAACGGCCGCAGTATGTTATGGATCTGCCGAAATCCGGAGATGCGAGCACGAGGCGAGGAGTGGTGATCGAAGTGAGGTAAGAGTAATTAGGAATGATGTACGTCGTTAGGGAATATAATGGATTCCGGCGAGGGTTCGTGAGGAGACCTGAGTGGTCCGGTTTGCGAAATAAAGGAAATCAGTAAGCGCGAAGCAATTACTGAGGGAAGTGGCCGGTAAGCGCGGAGCAATTACCAATATAGAAAGCCTGTAAGCGCGAAGCTATTACGGGCCGAGGGTGAAGGCAAGCGCTAAGCGTAACCTTCGGGTTGGTGTCAGAAAGCGCTAGGCGTATCCAACGAGTTGTTCAGCAAGCGCTAGGCGTAACTGAGGGTTCACGCAGTGAAGGTGTCCTTAAAGTAGTAGATTGGTCAAGTTTTTTAATACAATGTTATCTACAAGTTTATATACTAAGGACAGGTTCGAGTCATTATTATTCTATAATGTTCTATAATATTCTAGTATCAGTACGAAGAATAGAGAAGGTAAGAGAAAATAAGAGAAAGTACGAGCGAGTCACTACTAGGGCCGAGAAGGCCGAGTACGGGCATGTGTTGACTCATGCACCGAATCAGTGGATACCCAATATCCATAACACAGTATGACGCGGATCTCGAAGCGCTTCGACCAATATCTATTGGCCGACATTAACTAAGCACCGATATCGTAGTTGAAACTTACTGCTTGAACTCCCTCTGCCGCGGAGTCCATGTGAGCATCGATGTGGAATGGCGGTGTATTGGCATAGTCGTCCGCCGAATCTCGGTGCTTTGTATTCTGCGCAAAGGAAGCAGCCACGTTCGCATTATCTGCGACTGCCCTAACCGCCGCTTCGACCTGAGTGGATGTATGCGCGTCTTTGGACACGGGCGTGTTGATATCCGCCTCCAGATTCTTAGATACATCTTCCACAGTCGCTTCGATGCCCTCGGCAACCTTTTCTACCTCTTCAGCTATGCCTTGAACTTGTTGTGCAACATCGCTGATATTCCCAGCAAACTCCGCAATTATTTCTTGCACTAGGGTGGCAATACTTGAAACGACAATCCATGTGGTGGTCGACGTGAAGAGAAGGACTACAAGCGCCTTTGATGCTTCGAGAAATTGATCTAAATCGTGTGCCAAATCCCGAGGATGTACAGCTAAAGAATTTAGAGGCAGTCTCAAAGATAATGAAAACGCTGCACCTTCATGCAGAACGCCCTCAGTTGCTTTTTCACCTCCTGCGACAGCATAGTCTAGCGGTCTTGGAAATGTGTTGGCAAGGAACAGGAGATCCTGCAATCTATCATCACCTGTACGTTAGGTAAATTATCAGTCATGGTGAAACGAATCATTAAAGAACAAAAAGGGAAACGTGCCGTTCTTTTCCACACTAAAAACTAATAATACTGTGCACAGCTGACGGACATCGTGAATGATTCTTTGACCCTGCCTACTTGTCCGCGTATACCGAGATTCGCGCAGAATATCCGATTGTAGAAACCAACGTAAGAGGCTATCCATCTGGTCCTGGGAGGGATATTTCCCTGTCTTCAGGGCAGCGACAATTTCGACGAACTTGTTGACTACATTGAGTGTACTAGTGGTCGTAGACTGAGCACCGCCAAGCGAGCCACCAAGAAGTGGAGATTCCTCCGAATACTGATAACGGCGACTCGAGCCGTTACGGTGCCGTCGACGACGACGACAACAGGAAGAAAGGCAAAGTCCCATGGAGGGAGGTGAGCAAGTCGTCGTCGGTGAACATGACGTCAAGAAAAGATCGCAGATTCGGCCACCGATGCGCCCCTTCCTTTTTGGATGCCGCTTTTTTGATCTCCGATTTCAACGCGGGCACCGTCCAAATTCTATATTATACGCCGTCCCCAGCAGTTCCAGCTACGGAAACTCATATACGGAGCCGCTGGATGTGGCGGCTGTGGGTATGAAAGCTAAGCGCGCCTGTCCTTTAACCTTATTTTAGCTTCTTTGCAACGAGTCGCTCGAGATCGCGCCGAGGCATCATCTAGTAAGCACTGCGCATCTCGCATATAGGCGCCCACAAGTCAAAATCTAACTCGAAAAAAAAATACCGGATTCTCTTGGCTTTTGTCTATTTTCCCCGTACTTGTTTCACTCCTAACTGTTGAAGGGCTGCCACAAATGATCTTCTCCCGCGCCGTCGCTTTAGTAAAAATATCTCTTCTTCATTATCAATCTCCACTAGACTCGGAGGTCTTTTCTTCGCACAAATAACTTGGCCATACTTGCCGACAACCAAGTCGTGGTAAAGTGATGGCTTCTTTATGATCGCGCGAGAATGACTACCTGCTATTTGTGGTGATCCGTATGAAACTGCCTGGAAGTACTCTATTGAAGATCATGATGCTATGATGCTTCGAATCCTTCTCCCTTAACTCCTATTCTCACCGCAGGCGTTGGCAATCGCTCTGATGATAGGCAGGATAAGGATCAGGCTATTACCGCCGTTATACCTCTACAGCACCGGTCCATGCCTTTGACGGTGATATCGACATGAGGTCTACGTCGGTGAAACATTGTAACCGTCAAAACTGTTACTACCAGGACGCGCCGCCCATGAACTTTCGAATGCGAAACTCAGATCAATGCTAATTTATCTAGTACGATCATTACAAGTTAGCATCAATTCCACAATGTCATGTTGGTTGTTCGCGACTTAGAGAGTATCGACGCGTGCGAGAGTTCCATTAAAGTTCTAGCACTCATGACTTGCAGATGTACAATGTTTCGGGTCCAAATTGACAGATGGAGGAAACCTCAGTGCCCTTCGCGGCGCATCATTCACAACCCTGGGGTACATCCCACATACTTTTGCAATTGCGTGTGGATCCGTCTTCCCCCCTGATCTGTCAAGCATTTTTAGATACCTCTGGCACTGTGCTATTCTGACATCGTCGGAGAGACGGGTTACATGCACCGTGACCACCGCCGCTGGCCCTTACCGCGGCTAGCCTCTGCCTTTAGTCTGGGTCTTCGTTACTATACGCTCGTCGGCAGAAAATCTTCCAACATTGTCATTGTTCCTCCTCTCATTGTAAATTGCCCGGCCGTGTGATGCAAGCGATGGATCCTGTCGTTCAAATTGTACAAAGATTTCCGGAATTTGTGACAATCCAATGCTGCCACTCTCACCGTTGTCAAATCCATAAGGTAGACGTGCCTGGAACTATAGCCATTGTCTATTATGTCCGCATATAGCCTATGATCCGCCCACGGTCTCCAACTCAAGTTGATTGGCAGAGCATTGGCATTGGCAGTCGCGGGTGATGGGGGTCGTGATGCAATTGTCCCAACCGTTTCTGGTCTACTACACAGTGTAATTTTCCGAGTCCATGGGAAAAGGCAATGAAAGGCCGGGGAACGCGGTGCATCATTCAATCTACCATAGACGACATTAATCGTAGTCTGCCCATCGTAGCTAGCAATGAGCCACACAGTAATATAATTAAAAAAAACCAGACGCAGCAGAATACATTGAACTTGAAATAATTTAACACGGCTTTTCATTTCACTTTGGCGAAATCGACCCTGTATCCTTGTGTTTAGAGCGAGGCTTGATCTTGTTTCTCTTCAGCGATAGCGGCCTTTCCCTCCCCCTTAGTCGCAGGTATACTCCACAAGCATTGCACAGCTGTTCCCCCGTCTTGCTCCGCCTCCATACCGAAGTATTTCGCGTGTGGCAATGGCTACACTCGGGTCCAGTCGCGTCTTTGTCCGACTCCTCGCTGCCGTCATCCAAGTCCGCGTCAATGAGCTCCTGCGGTCTCAGTTTGTTGCGCTGCTGAAGGTAGAGACCACAAGCATTACAGAGAGGCTTGAGCGTGACTGGTTCCCGGCGCCAGAGTGGTGTACTCGTGGCATGGCAATGGGAACATGATTTTTGTTTCGCGGCAGCGTCAACGGAGGGTGTAGTGGGCGTTTTCACGCCAGATGACGAAGGGGAAGGAGTGGGGGAAGGAGAGATGGGCGCATGCATCGATCGCTGCATTCGAAGGAGGGACAAATCGGGTTTCACTTCCAATGATTCGTTTAAGGAAGAGAGCCCCAAACTATCCCACGGCTGCGAATCATATGTCGGTCCCGAAGCAGGCGCCCATTGCGATGGATCAACATATTGACGGTCAGACGGGGGGCGATGATTTGAGGTCGAGCTCCACTCGGTCCCGCCTCCCGACCTCTGCGAAGGCAAGCGACGCGGGTAAAGGGGATATTCTTCCCCCAGGGTCGAATTGACGGCGTCTGAGTGGTAGCCAACATTGTGGGACCAGGCGCTTCCAGAAAGGGGACCGTTAGGCATGTTCATGCCGTTAGACAATGACCGCCCGTTGCAGTGATCGTAGTCTGGAAGGCGGGAAGCAGATGAATGACGGGGAAATTGAGGGACGTCGTCTAGAGAAGCATTAAAAAGAGGGAGAACAAGAATGACTAAAAACGTACCATATACCCAGACGCTGGGGGAACTCTCTGAATGATCTGACGCGCTACCAGGGTATAAATCGAGGGGGTAAGATGAGAGGTCTATATCCGAAAAGTCTTCCTCGGGCGTATAGAGTAGGGTATGATTCACGTTGGGGTACATGAAGGGCGGCAAATGGCAGGAGACGGGAAACGAGACGGGAAACGGGAGCGGATAAATAAACGTGTTATAGTTGGCGTTTAAATGATACCCAAATCGAGATTAAGCGACGTGTGCTGAGTGGACCCTGGGGAGTGTGTGGGGTATAAGAGGGGACCGCTAGAGGAACGATAACGAGTTTGATGATAATTCAAGATCGAAAGAGAGAAGGATAGTCGCTGCCTCGATGCTTTTAAATGGCGGCACGATCTTTGGGAGATCTATTGCCGAGTCAGTTCAACCCTTGTAAGTATCAGGTTTCCGATTGATGTGATGTTAACAAGCGCTCGAAACGGCTAAGTCCCTGGGTTACGTAAATTCAGTAACACCCCGACATGGGCGGAAGTTTGCGAATACTATATGGAAGGCGTGGGCTGTCCCCTCGCGAAGGAGACTGGATTCATGGACTATTTGCCAAAAGCGATACAACTGTCCAACATCAGGGGGATTAACATCCAAATGAGGTAACAGGAGAATTCGAGCTTTAAATGGGTACCTGAAATCAGTTTTGAATTTCTGATTGAGTGAACCCCCAAGAAGCAGTGCCAATGCGAAAACAACCGCACAGCTCTGTGAAGCTGTAGAAATTGTAAAATGGCACGGGACTCCTTTGGAAAAAAAGATCGTTCTGTTAGGAGGTCCCATCGAAGCTGGACAATATGAATAGGTGTGGATCAACAAAAGGCACTGGGCGCTGATCTATTCAGCAGAAACATCAAAATCAATTACCACTCACGGTGGCTGCAAGCACTTTATCAGCATATCATGATTCGCACAAGCAGGGTGAATAACCGTTTCTTTTGACATCGCTTGGTACCTTGATACGTTGTCTCTAAGACAACAGATGAACTGAAATACCGCTTTTCAGAGGTAAAACCCGGACATTAAAAGCTTACCGAGGTAAAAGTATAGTTAGGCAATGCATCAAGGCGTAAGTACCAAGGCATGAGCACGCGGAACGAGGGTCTGGGCCACTGGTCAAAACACTGAAAAAATACGACATGGATAGCGGATTCTGGGCTAGGTTAAGGCAGACTTTCATCGTTTACGGTGCCGCCGATGAATGGTTCCTGCAAGTAATACCGAGAAGAATGGAGACCTCTTCGAGTCGTGCACTAGGCGCATCTGATTCCAAGGAGTAGCCGTCAGAGTACAAGCTCAAAGTCCTTCTGTGGAGCAACTTGATTGATTTTTCCCAAAAATGATCTCGAGTCTAAGGGGAAACCTGACTCAGGACCCATCGGTTTGCAGATGATCATCGGCTATAGTAGTGCAAGTTGGTAAATCGTAGAGTTAATATTCCTCGGACCGGAAAGGAGTCATAGAGAGTCATAGGGGGTCATCTGGAACCAGGATCCGCGTCGATTGATGACGCGATTTTCCTCGGATGTATGAGAATCATTACCCGCGCTTCGCGGAAGGAAGGAGGATATCGAGACGGAGCGGACGGAAGGAAATGGAGAGTTGGTGCGGTGAACCCGCTAGTACAATGAAATATCATGGAATATAAGGGAATATACCATGTACCATGTGGACCGAATAGCTTGAGCTGACCAAAGGATAACAAAAGTCTACAAAGCTGGACTATTTGGGGCTAAGGCAGTCATCAGACGGAGCCGAACTTCAAGCTTCAATATTAAAGTCTGGACAACTAACCGGTATGGACTTTGGCAGTTCCTCGAATGAATCGGACCACGATAGAAGGACGTTTGATTTGAACCGAGTGTAGTACATTTTGTTGTACGTCGGGTTCCATTCCCAGGCCACGGATGGGGTCACACAGAAGGGAGTACTATTCTCGCAGCTCTTGCCTTGCGATCAGGTCGAAACGTACCGACGATCGGTGATTGAACGTTTCTACACGGATCTTTGAAGAAAGGCCGAAATGAATCTAGGATTTGGTACCCACCTTGGCGCCTAACCAATGTGCCCCGTGGCGTGTAAGTGACCCGAAGGGAACAAATCGACGAGACCTGAAAATGGTCGTTATTTACTGGGAAAAAATCGTACCGGAATTACAGTATGAGATGAAACGTGTAATTCGCTGTGGACGCCACGCGAGGCGCGTTTGATGGAGGCGGTGCACATTTACCTCACCTGTAAACGTCAGCACAGGAAAAGAAAAACACGAGGCATGCAGACCCACCTCGACACGATGTACTGCATCAACAAAATCGGAGGATCAAGGAACGAGTCATAAGAAGAATTCCGCTTCTGGGATCAGGTGATCGTAATCCCTGTCACACACGTCACATCCGCGTGACATGGCGAACACGATCGCTGTCGTCACCGCCTTACACGCCTCTCAACCCACTAGTACCTTAACGTGAAAGTCGGCTGTGCGCCGCAGAAATGTCGTTTTTGTTCTCCTTATTCCGAAAGGTATTGCTGTGGTGGTTGTTTTCTTGGAAATACTTCGTTTGACACTGCCTTTGCCAGACCAAAGAGGATGACTACGAGACCGTTCTAGCTTCGTTGGCCTTGGACATCCAGAAGCGCCAGACCAAACTCGCTGACATACGACTTCGTGAACGGCGGTCGACACTACTGGTGACGCTGTATACATTTGTTGCATGGGTCGTGTATGTCGCATTGTGGTATACTGGTGCCTTGCCAAGTTTGGCTGGATATTACCGGAATTTGAGAGTGGAAAAGGCGGTGAAAGGATTACCAGTTGTCATTGGACCTATCATGTGCGTATTTGAATTATCCCACAGGCGAGTGTCGCTCATGGTCGAACAGCATCTTGTTCATAAGGCGCATCGTGCAAATTTGGTATACTCGCAAAGGCGATGCAGAAGGCATGGACATGTACTGCTATTTATAATGTCATTGCGAGCTCATACTCAGAGCAGAGAAGACGTTACAGAAGTTGATGAAAGAGCAACGGACGAAAGTAGAGGAAATCAAGAAGAAGACCAATTATTATTCCACACGGGAACTGCTACAACGTTACGATGAGAGTTCACCCGCACCATCTCCTCTTCGTCAAAGAATTGTTGCCCAGCCGCAAGGGTCGCCCAGTACTCCCACGCGACCCATCAACGGTAATGCTGGCGGTTCCGCATTGAATACACCCCAAAACCAAGCGGCTAGTATGTTTCTCCTTTCCTTGCCGTCTTGACATCGCTAACAAATTTTCGTAGCGCTTGCTTCCCCACCCCAGCCTCCGCCTGGTCCTTCACGGAAACAATGGTACGACAAACTCGCCGATGCCGTCCTCGGAGACGACGACCAAGCCCGGTTTGCATTGATCTGCGAACAGTGTTTCGCCCATAATGGCTTGGTCAAAGAAAGCGTCTGGGAAGACACTCGTGGGTTTGACAGTTTTTGCCTGGCGAACATGTGTTGACTTATGCTTCAGAATACGTTTGCCCGAAATGTAACCATTTCAATCCATCTCGTCGTTCGAATAAGCAGGGCATTCGGCCCCCGCCTCAGGCTGCTGGACCGAGGTCTCCTGTCACCCAGGTGATACCGCCTACGCCACCGCATGTTAGCCGAGAGCAACAAGTACCGCCGACGCATAATCCAAGTGAACCTGTGGTGCCAGAGAGCAATTTGATGGAGGTAGATCAATCTTGAGTGGGTTTTTATTTCGTTAATGCACCTTTCTTTCTAACGACGTCGCTAGGAAAGTCATTTATAACATTCCGTAGCTCGTCGAAGGATATTTATGTTAATAACCGGTGTAGCCTTACTTTCTTACTCTTTGTCACTAATCCATTTGTTGAACACTTGCAATCAGTGGCTGAACAGTTTATTTTCATTCTGTTGAAAGGTTACAATTTCTAGCATTTCACCCAGCTCTACACATAGGACTAAAACAATGGGGTTTGGAACTATCCGACCTCGAGGCGATGATTTTGAGGAATTTTCCGGTGCATCGTCTTTGACAAAGGGATTATGCCGCCCTTTTACATACACACTTTTTTTTCGGCGCTCATCATCTTCCCTGACTCGTGCTGAACTTCCCCGATTCCGATTACGCGCTCGGATGCGCAAAAATTCTTCCAGCGGCCAAACACTAACCAACGGGTGTTGGTATGAAGAGATTTGTACGTACGGGCGTCCAGGAGCGCCGCCACCTCCACAGAGATTCATTAATAACCTCTCATATAGAAAGAATGTGATTGTCATTCACGTAGGGCGTGTTCCTTGGGTTCATGTGCAAGGTATAACCTTAACTGACACCCGTACAAGTAGTACTCCATTCTACATTTACCGCGGTACCCCTCCGGACACTTTCGATGGGACTGGAGTTGTTGTTCACTCCCTTGAGTGATGGGAACTGCCAGATCTCATCGTGACATTAATAGTACTTCTGCGCCCATGATCAACACTACGGTTTACACGTTTACAGGGAATATACTAGGAAAGGGTTAAAATACTGTGGATTGAAAAGCGCCGGCCCGGATTTCTCAGTACCGTCTTGGCGTTTGTAAAGGCTGCACCCTCGGTACCTTCTGTGGGCCGCCGGAGAAGCAGTCGCAAGGGGAACTCTCGATGATTATCATGAACACGTCCAATCCAACGCCCCGGGGTGTGGTTGTTCTTAGACACACTCCACATGTCGGGAAAACACAGATATGTTACGCAGTAAATACAATGATGATAATCACTTGATGATACAGAAAAGAAGATGCAAGGGCTAAAGAAAGTCGTGCCAAAGATTTGTCGAAGTATCAAATAAATGTCCGTTGCGTGATGTCCGTTTACAATGCGATGGAAGGATCCCGATACCACAAGTGGCATTCGACAAAGAAAGGAAAGACGATCATCGTCGCCAGAAGCCTTTCCGCTTAGCCGAGAGAAGAGTGTACTTCAAACGAGATGGGAGCCAACGCAATTGATCGCCCAACTTGACAGTGTCGTCGGCTGGTCGGAGAGCTGGCGTTTGAATGAGAACTAAATCAAGAGACAGGGTATTGATAACACGTACGAGGGGTAATCGCGTGAAGTACGATGGATGACTCGGTTCGCCCATCCACATCTGAGTCCTCCGTTTCCGTCTGCACCTCGTGTTGCTGGAGTAGAAGGTCGAGGTCATAGTCTTCTTCCACACATGGTTGTGCGGTAGCAGCGCGACGGTTGCCAAAAGGATAACGTTTCTTGTCCGAGGAAGAATGGAATTCATAGGGAGGGCAGGAGGTGACATTTAACGCGGCGGGACTGATAACAGCTACCGGAGAGCCTGGGAAGGTCATGAACGTCCTAAAAACAATCGGTTAATTCTGAAGGAGAGCATCGAAGTGGCGAAACATACGGTGAGGTGGAGGCTTGAACGGAAATGTCCCATCGTGCGTTTTCCTTGACTCCCTGACGCCACTTTTGTATGTAGGAAGCTTTGTGCGTATCGTGCTGGGTCGACGCAACAATCTCAGTATCAGCCGCGACCTCACGATCTGGTTCCACGCAGCTACAATAAGGGATTAGTTAGCAGAACTCCAATAATCTGTGCCGATTCGTACACACTTTGCACGATTGAATAAGGCTGCAAACGCATGCAAGCCCCTTGATAAGTCGGCATCATAACCCATTACTGGATTTTCTCGCGTCTTGCCCTCTAGAATACATCGCGTCTCGTAGTATTTGTCTTCAACGTCGTTCTGAGGATGGCCAGCATCATCCGAAGGCAGAGCATTGGCCCTTGACTGAAATGAGTGGTCATACAAGGTGTCTGAAGGAGTGAACATGGTGAGCGTAATGGATAAAGAAAGAGAATAAGATGCCTTTACGCCACTTCTTGGGTTCTCTTATATGATAACAATTGGTAGTTCCAAAAACGTTTGAAAACAAAAGAGAAAGAACAAAGGCGTTCCCAAAAGGGTTTGCTCCATCATGTGACCCTTTCATGTCGCCGGTTGCTGTGGGAAATGTCGCCCGCCACAGCGACGAAACGAAAACAAGGACCAAAATCCATCGGCTCTTGCCTATGCTTCACTTCTTTTTTTCTGTATGCATTATATATCTGTCGCGCGTATCGCAGTAAATCAAGCCGTACAAGGTGCTTTGCAAGCTGCAACAAACATTCAGCGTATCAGGCATTTGTTCTGCTGGCATTTACCTCGAGAAGATACATTTCCTTCAGGAGGGTTGCAGTAACGGTCCTATTTTCTGCTTTCACTGGAGCCCTTCACATTCTACGCAATGAGCGCTGCGGACACAGGCCTCAGCTCAGGCCCAGGGCGGAATCTAATTATCATAGCTTTTGTTCATTCAGGCCTCGTATCAGATTTTCAATTGTTTCTTGTTCTCCTCTAATTAACAGCGCAACGCGCCCAATATGTTTCAGCTGGTCTTGTTCTCGTTGCTGGTCACCGGTCTGTCGAGTTTCGAGCCACAATAACGTTGCTACTGTTTCCATCGTTTATATATACGAGAAGGGTTTCCGTTTCCTCCAATAGTCTCGTCATCTCCTGATGCTGTATTTTCCTTCTAGCCCTGGCCCGATATGCTTACATCCTGTCCGCTCTCCTTTATTGTGCGAAAGGGTCGTGACAATTGCTACTCCGAAGACTGATGAGGACGGCTGGGATACGTGCGGCTCGTGCGTAATGAATATATCTTTATCAATTGCTCCTTCCTAAAATTTACATGCGTAGCTTGCATTCGTCCTCTGCTTCTCAATCAGCTGCAGTGTACGATGAACATGGCAAGTCAACGAGTCTTCACTCAAGCATTATCAAATGGCGAGAAGGCATTCCCCTTGGCTATTCTGACAATGAAACTTTGGAGTACTGGGAGCTCATTGGTCCGCTATCCTCGTCTCCGTATGTCCTCTGTCGTTGCATTACTTCTACTACATCATTAAGGTTATCTTCAGATTATTCATGACCACTTCTCCAACTTGTACATCGTTTCTAGCAACCCCTCCATCATCCCCTCAGCAAGCATCAACTGTCAGATGTCGAAATCCTATCCATTTATCGAATTCTGCTGTCAGCTCCCTGGTTTACAATGTCGAAGAACGATTCCGAGGGGATCGAGAGACACACAGGCTCTTTATGGGTGCCAGAAGCTCTAATGATGAATACTCGTCTTCTGATTATGTAACAGAATGTACAGTGGTTGATGACTCAAGAAAGGGTGAGCGCCACGCAAACAATCTTGCGACTTCTATCTTATTAGGGCTATTAGGTTTTGGAATTTTGCCGACCTTGCTTTCGTACTTTCATCGCTTGCTTTCTGGAACATCTGCAGAGATTTGATTAGATCTTAACCTATCGCTTCTGTAGCATCGCCTGTATGTACTGATATTTGAATTCTAATAATACTATAATGAGTTCATCAGGCCCGTCGTTCCGTGAAGGGCGCTACATTGTCGTCCTTTCACGGCTACACTTAGTTGCGTGATCACAACACCTTCGGATCCCTGCCTGGGTTTCAAACTCAGTCTTTGCATGAATGAATAGTCGCGGATATTTATGCAACATATGGCATATACCCGACACCCACGGATTGTCCAATCCAGGTTACTTCCCCTTATCTCATTGACCCCGTAGTATCTGAATGTGAAATCACCATACAACGCAGCAGAAAGCTCCCACCCACTCTAAAGATGACTGATACCGATCCATTTCGAGTCGATCTCATCGCCTATGCTCTGGGACGGCTGGCAATCATCACAGTCCAGAGATATGATGGCCCCGCCAGTTGGGACACCGATCTATTCTACGTTCCTTGGAAGACATCGTAAAGCGTACGCATGCCGCTGAGCAAGTCCTCAAAGAATTCCCCGTACACGAAAAGCTAGCGTCTTCCATCGCCGTGCATAGGTGTGACGTCAACAGCATCTTAGAGGATTCATCTACCAGCTTCAGTAACCTCAGCGGCACACCTCGGGATCCATCTCATTTCGGACTCATTCGCGACGCAATAGTATCTATTCCTAAGCGATCCAAAATTCAAAGCGTGGTGCGGTCGCCGATCTCTACATGACGCTCAGCCTATCATCTTCCGTTCATACACATGCTAGCTCATCGTTCGCTAGTACCGCCAAAGTGAGCGAGCGGAATGCAGTCGAAGACCTCCAGGACTTCACGGATCAGAGAGAGGACATCATCCGCGTTTGTGACGCTGTAGCCAAAGGTGATCTTACCCGCCAGATCACCTTCGAAGCCCGTGGCGAGGTTTTCAATAAACTGAAGTGTGTTGTCAATACTGTGGTGTGCCCTGAGGCTCTGAGGCCACCTTCTTTCTCTGACAAAGTCTTCTAGATGAAAAACATTGGCGGGTTTGCAGCGGAGATCTCGCTGGCTTCAGAGTCCTTGATGGGAGGGTGCGTAACAATCTCATCTCTGTTTAACAGGATATCCATCAGCGATGCTCTGGGAACCTCGGAGGACATTATTTGCGTCACCCTGAGCTCGAAGGAACGTGGCACTTCTGGTCGACCATCTTGTTGGCATGGTCACTGGTCAAGTACGGTCCATTACCTCGGTCACCAAAACTGTCCCTCTTGGAGACCTTTTGAAAGAAATAGAGGCCAAAGCGTCTGACGAGCCTCTTGACCTCAAAATCACGGTCAATGGCATGATCACGCGACTGAGAACTTTTGCTGCTGAAGACGTCAAAAGTTGATAGTTCTAGTGACTTGAGTCGTTGTGCAGAGGTTGTAGATATCGAAGGGTGTGCAGTCTGAGTTGATCAAGAACGTGCGTGGATTGCGTTCGAACGTCGATTTGGATTTATCAAAGCAGCTTGCTTCGACAGTGAAAACTGCTGTAACTGAAGGACATTAGCGAAGAATGGACTAGATCGAAGGTCAGAGTCGAGGGTGCAATACTGTCGTTCGCGATTACGTTTGTTTTCCATTTCCTAGGTGTAATTGTCGGCTCGGGTTGCTCACATATACATGCTCATAAACCTATTGCAGATGCTCGTCAGTAGACAGTCAGAGAAGTACGAACGTGGAAGAGGCGAACGCAGTGACGATGAACTGATGTCATTAGGGCTCTTCGGGAGACAGCTTATCTATGGATATAAGACCGCAGCTAAGATGTCACCAGCATTCCAGCGCTCTCAGCCTATTCTCTACAATGTCTTTCTAGACGCTCTTTCCGGCTTCAACGTTTCCCCATTGCCGGACACCGACTTCGAGACAACTCCTCAAATACTCTCTTACGTCGCTCACGGCTTTCCCCTCTCTTCCAAGAATCCGTTCCGGATCGGATTCGAATATCCATTGGTTATAGATCGACGGAGACGCAGTTTGTCCGCCGGAGGCGTCGGTTCCGAATTGTAGGCGAACGAAATGCAATTTCGTACAGGGGAGGATGTTTTATGGAACGAAGGCTAGAAAACGAGGGTCGTCATATACTGGGTAGTAAAGACCACAAAGAACTTACCCCTACGCCGGAGAACTCCCAATCGATGATAGCCCGAATATTCCCTTCGTCATCGGCTAGAAGGTTACCGAAATGAAAGTCCCGGTGCCATAATCTTCCTTGGAGACCCTTTTCATCTCGGAGCCTACGAACCCAGTCTATTTCCCCTCTGTCCAACTTCTCAATTAAGCGTTGTAATGGATCAAGCAGGTACAACAGGAACGAAACGGATGGGTGGACCGAGATGACATGGTGATAGCATTTGAGGAACGCCGAGATGTAAGCCACCCATGACGGGTACCATCCGCATGGGTTGAGAGCTGCAAAATTTTCTCTTGTGAGGTTGTAAGGGGCGGCATGGAAGTATCGCAGAATGTCCGGTCTAAAACAAATCACCAGGACCTGTCACGACTCGGATGAATTCCTCGGCCACGTACAATTACCAAATCGTTTCTTCTAGAACAGGCCCGGGAGCAACATCCCTTTGTCCCTCCATTTCAGTGACGCAAAGACTGCCATAGAATTCCCCTCCCCGAGGTAGCTCAAGGGTGAACATTCTAATAAAGAAGTCGACGAATTGATCAAGGATATTGTCGAGAGTTCCCGGGCTCAGTGACATCCAGGTATCCTGTAGGGAAGGGTGCGGCGATTCTAGAGATGTATTAAAGGCAGAATAAGCAATTAGTGAGAAACCTGACTTTCGACACAAATATATTCGAAACCAAACTTGTTTCCCGGGTCGCTGTTGTAGAAGAGCACCTCAGGTACCGGCAGTCCGGCCTTCCTCACTACATCAATGACAGCAACTTCGTTTTCGATCTTGATTCTTTCGATTGCTTTTCTACAAATTGGGGTGCCAAGTCAACAACAAGGCCATTAAGCGAGGCGAAAAGACTCACCTGGCTACTCTGAGAACGACATCTTTGCCGCCCCACCTTGAATGAGCCGATTCTGCTAGAGTAACAAAGTAGACCTTGTGATAAAGCCCTTGACTTGACGTCGGCGATACTATGCTAGTGGGTGAAAGACCCAGTGAGCCTTCGAAGAGAGATGATATCGAAGATGGAGATAAAGGATCAGTTTGAGGGAAGATGGAGTCGCTGGGATGTAGCATAGCCATCTTTGCGGTCGAAGCAGGCTTTCACTGTACAATGTATTCCTCGTTGGAACCCTGGGACCGATACGGCTGTGATGCGAGGGTTTAAGCTTTCGATGATAACGGTCAGGCACTGAGGTAAAGAACTTAAACATGGATCGCGCAGGAACGGGCGTTATTTCATCCAAAACAAACAGGGAATACATGACGAATCTTGAACGGATTGAAGGGAAAATGGATTCCACTGGAAACGGGAATCTGCTCAGTGTTTGCTGGTGTCCGGTTTTCTTTTATTGCCAATATATTCGTTGACATTCGTAAACAATAACACCGCATGAACGCTGGCCGGAGATCATTTTATACATTCCAACTGTATCATAATGAGTATCAAAAGTATGATGGAGGACCGATGGCCGAACACCTCGGGAGCCATCTCGTGTGTTAGTTCTGGATCACTAGTAATTAGAGAGAATCAAGCTTGCATAGAATCAGCCAAAAACATACCTTCACTTAGACAATTTCCTGATCTCCGTGTCATATGTTGCCCGAGATACCTTACCCGATTTATATTTCTTCGTCCACTTCTTCAGGTTCTTGAACCAGGCTTCATCTTCTTCCACCGTAGAATAATCTCTTTCGTGGGGATCACTGTCAATAGCCAATAGTGGCGACTCTGGCCACTTAGTCCATGTCCGCTTCCTCAAGACTTCTCTGAGAACATTGAGATTTTTGAGCGTGTAAACGATGGGTAGTCGCTCATCCGGGGAAGGTGTGGTTCCTTCGCCGAAATCGTTGAGGAATTCCCAGATGAGCTACAGTCTGCGGCTTTGAATCCCTCAGCACTGTGTCGAATAGCCCGTCTCAGCTTCTCATTTCTAAGAATTGAGACGCGTTTCCGCTCGGTATGGAGTTGGATGACGTTTTTCGCAAGCGGCCTGTCACGGAAAAAGGCCGGAGCGTAGTCAAGCCCAGGAAAGTCGCTCAAATCGGAGATATAAGGCGTTGCAGAAACCATCATGCAGAAGTTGAACGTAAACATTCCAATGTCGAGAAGGATCTCTTCGCCTCGGACCGTTCTGAAGTAGATCCAGTAGTGGTCGTTAGGATCCTGTCCTTTCCAGAACTTGTTGCCATTGAAGTAAGCGAGCTGGTCTTGACATTTGACGTCGACGGAACCTTTGGCAATACCAAAGTCTGAGATCGGACAACTCTTGTACTGGAGGCGTATCCGACGGGAGCCGCTCCCTCTGGAAGAAGTCGTTGTGTACATGGTCGCCAGAAGGCCGAGACATAGAGATGTTACAATAGGCAGGACCTCCCCCTTCTTGCATAGTCGAGCGAATAACTTCCGCCTAGTCTGGTCCGTTGCGCCCGCTGCTGTAGACCACCACTTCTCGCTCATGGTGTCATCCACAGATATTTCTGGGCCTAGCTCGACAACTTTCGCCGCTGAGCCGTCGGGGAAACCTACTATGGTGGGCGGAGCGCTGATACGATGGGTTAATGCAGGGTGCGTCGGTTTCAGGCCATTGAAACGGGCCGTCTCCGCCAATATGGCCAGGAGAGGATAGAATCTCCCAATGTCAATGCGATCTGTTTTGCCTGGGGTCAACGCGGTTTTTCCGTTAAGAACCCGGAATGAGATAAATGTGAGACAGCACACACCACACGTTTGCTTGTGCTCCTTTTCCCAATGAAGTTTTTGACATTCGGTGGAGCAGTACATTGCCTACAGGCACGGATAAATTAAGGTATACGTGAAGCAACGAAGAGACGCACATACTTCCGCGCATGCCGAACAGAAGCTAAGGTTCAACTTTTTAGCTGAACAATGCGAACACTGTTCAAGACTCCCCGGAGGGTAAATACACGACGAGAGGTTGGTCGTTCATAATGAAGTAATGAAAATGTGGTGAACGAAAGCATATTGGGACTACATAAGGAGCTACTATTCAGCTATAAATTTGAAATGTACTATTATGGCTTCCTGGCGCAATGGTAGCGCGTTTGGCTTCGATTGCTAAATGGTACCAAAAGGTTGCAGGTTCGAGTCCTGCGGTGGTCATATTTCTTAATTTTTTCTAAGCACGAGGCGCACAGTGTACGAGTAACGAATACACATTGATGATTGCACAATCTACAACGCCAACTAAGAACTTCCCAAAGGTGACGATTCCAAAGTTCCACCTTGATAAACCTTTAACCCTTCAAGGTCATTTACTTATCATCCACAAATTCCGTGTAGAAATGTGAAATTGTTAAAAACAGCTTAAGTTCTTGCCTGTTAGGTAACACCATGCGAATTCATAATCTTTCGTTTATGACGACCCTCCCTGAGCGCTGCGGAGGGATGTATTTATCAAACCCCAACGCGTTGCAACCCTGACCTTGATCAGGTCGATCATCGCTTCTGCCAGACCAGTTCACTCATTTGTGCATCAGTCCTTTTGGTTCTGGACCCCGATAAAGCGGTAATGTTCTAACCGATAGCTGACTTGTTTCGCCACTCGTCTTTCGCATTCTCTTGTGGGCCAGTATTCTTTCGCACAGATAAGATTCCACAGAGCGCCGCAGTACAACAATTTTATACTTTTTACGCATTCAAAGCTCATACACTACGAAGCGCCGCTGCCACGAAGGTTTTCCAATACATTTCCTCAGAAACCTACGTCTGCTACCCGAACATGCAGGCGCCCTGTTGCGCTCAAAGAAGGAAATATATCTTCAACATCCTTTGAAGTCAGAGACCCGCTCCGCCACAAGCGCACATTGAGTCCAGGAAGTCCAGGCCGCGAAGACATGATGGTATCCAACTTCCTCCACTCGTCATACAGCGCCATGACATCAGCGGAAGTATTGGACTCATTCAGTTGGAATAGACATCGTTCAAGGCTAATCGACTTCATGCCAGAGAAGGACCGAGTTAGCCATCGTACCCACGCCTCTAGATTTTGCGAAGCGGGACGAGGCGAGGAAGCCATGGTTATATGTAAGTTCCGAATGCGCGCAGGATCGACAAGATTGAATAGGTATTCTAACGATAATGCCGTCAACCAACTAGTTCCCAAGAAATCTTGATTCAACACACCTTCGGGACATACATTCAACACGAGATCTCGCAAGGTCTCTTTATTCCGACGAATCAGATCTTCTGTGGTCGGGACCAGATCTGCTTCCATCGCAAAGAAAGATCCACGGATGATGATCTCTAATCGCTTCAAGTGGCTGAAATCAACGATTCCGCGTGGTGACTTATTAACGAAGCGCATATATGCGTCCATACGGGAAGTTATGGCGAGGAATTGCAGTTTCAACGGAAGTGGCGGGAACGAGGAAGGGTTAGGCGTTTCATCATGGAATGTTATATCCCCCACATGGAGGTCGCGCAGGGCCCGGCATTGACCCAACATGGCGTATAGATCGTTCGAAGACCCGGATAGCATTGCGAACGATGTCAGCGACGTTGAACGCAGTACACAACCTAGTCCATCGATCACTCTCTTTGGCACGTTCTCTGACAGCGGGTGGCGCAGGTTTTGGGGAAGGATGAGCTCCTCTACCCTGTCCAAGCTCCGCAGGAAACATGGGAGGAAATAGTTCCAAAAGTGTCCTAGCTTGGTGTTGACGATGTCAGCTAGGGTCGCCGGAATGGAGCAGTAGAACCAGTGATCGTAGGAGGTCGTGATAGTTAGTCTTTTGACATAGGAAGAGATGTGGGGGGAAGATCTGAGTAGCCGGTTCAGTGCACCAACGTTCTTTGATACGTGAATAGAGGGAGCGAAGAAGAGAAGGGGAGACTTCCAGCAGTCTATGTGAACTGTTATGTGGAGAGAATGGAAGATATGCATATGTGCAATTGGTGTCCATGCTCGGCAGACGAGAGCACAGGAGCGCAGGGTAGATTTTTCTTCTGCAATTTCATCAATGATCATCTTGATGAGCTCTGTAGGTACCGAGCCCGACCAGCAGGGTTGCAGTCGAGCCCTCGCAACGAGACTATCTTGCATGAGATCCTGGTCGCCGTCAAATCTATCTCACAGAACGATAACGTTGCAGACGCACCAAGATTCTCCGTGTCTCCGATCTACAATGTGACTATCTTTGCCTAAGAACAGGCTAGTGGGGCATTAGAACTTGAGAATCAGAAGAACAGATAGCTTCGTACCGGTTCACTAGCAAGCGCTACCGATACATGTGTTGCTGTTTTCCTCCTCATCATGATTGTGCCAAGTAAGGATGTTGCTCCTATAGGCTATACCAATGGTGGGCCTTCGTCCATAACGGCGCATACATTCAGGTGCGGCTTAGTTGCTGACCAAGTCCGTACGTCGGATCGCAATGACATCATCGGAATGTGCATCATGTGATCTGACAAACTCAAAATGCCCAAGCTTCGGCTCGGGAGCACTAAGGGACCGGTAAGGAGCACACGGTGACTTCAACCAAGACCTGAATTTACGGCACATGTTAGCCAGGAGGATATGTGTTGCTGAGCGGGCATACGATTAAACTATAATCCAACCATATATGTGCAGAGATTCAATTAGTTCGCATTTACGAATACATGTCAGAAAGATGGCCGATGTATGTAAGTATCTAGGGTTAAGCTGGCAGGAAAGAAACACGGTGACTCACTGCGCCCTGCATCCGTCAAACTTTGAGAATTTTCCAGCCTGGCGAGTGCACATCTGGACCAGGCGTACTCACAGGTAACCGAGAAGATAACCAATATGAGCTCGATGAAGGGGTGACGTGCCAAGGCACTTACTTTGATGGACGGTGCAGCATACCCACATTGAGCGCCACAACATACCTATCCATGGTCAAGTGAGTAAACTTACCAAAATGGGTGTAATGAAATCATTCCTACCACAGTCTTCTCCCTGTCGACAGATCAAAATAGATGATGGGGATAGTTCGGACCGGTTGGCCACAGGCAATTATCATCTCTGATCCGCAGAACCGCAGTGTCGTCAATAGCACGGAGGACGAATCTCTGGTAGCGAGGTCGGTCTGTTGAGCGGCTTCGCAACAAATCTGTATTCTTTTCTAAATGTTTCAAGTACAGACTTCGAAATATTCCAAGGCAGATCGCAGTAAGCGCTGTCATTCTAGGGAACACGCGATAACCCCTCAGATATAAGGTCCGCAACGAAGGTAAGGCTATTCCAACTGCCCGGTATGAAAGCACATGAACAGTAAGATTGTAATTGACAGCCTGAGCCTGAGAAGACAGAAGACCACCGTGAGACCGGGTGGTAGAACTTGACTCTCGTAAAATGAACATTGGTCTCCAGGAAAGTGCATGATACTAGGAGATGGTGCATGCACGCATATAGTATAGCAAAAACGATAATGAAGCGTAAATGAAGGAAGTAGTGATGAAAGCCTAGAACGGGACGACAGGGTTGCGTTGTAACACGATTGACAGCTGTCACAAAATTGTCACGGATTTCAACATATTGCGCACGGCAGACTGACGGGCGATGAGCCAGCCACTTGTCAGCCTATTTACCTTCTCTCACCTGTACCACCACCATTCCCTCTTCGTAGTGTCTGCCCCCCCAGCATCTACGCGTCTCCGGGTCGCTAGAATGGGCAACTGCACCTCGCAGCCCAATCAGGACGAGAAGGCCTGTTCCGATTTGATCGACAAACAGCTCGAGGATGACGGCAAACGATTCAAGAAGGAATGCAAGATTTTGCTCTTGGGTGCGTGCAGAAACCTTCCAGCTAACGCGCTTGGTCGCTCACCGCATCATCCCAGGCTCCGGCGAATCAGGAAAATCGACCATTGTCAAGCAGATGAAGATTATCCACCAGGGAGGCTTTACCACCGAGGAGCGGGATTCCTACCGTGGGACGATATACAAGAATGTTCTTGATTCAGCACAGGCTATTGCCCTGATGATGCGCAAGATTGGCATTCAGTACGCCAACGAGTCGAATCAGGCACGTTGATTTGCCCCAGCATCGTCCCGAGGTATTTACTTGTCCTTTTTCCTAGGCCCTCGCAGACAGAATACTCGACTACCGCCTAGAGAGAGCCGATGACGTCCTTTCGCCCGATATCGCCAATGCCATACACCTCTTCTGCCAAGACACCGCCTATTCCGCAGCTCTTGGATGAGCACTCGAGTGATTTTTATCTCATGGACAGTGCTTTCTAGTCAGTCTCACAGGCATACCCTCTTATTCCTCCTAATCACCTCCATCAGCTTTTTCACAGAGGTCCTTCGTATCGGCGCGCCTGGATACACCCCCACCGAGACAGATATCCTACGCGCCAGAGCAACCACCACCGCCATCACAGAAACCAGGTTCACCATGGGCCAACTCCAGTCAGTCACATCCATCTCTTCTCCCCTCTCATCCCTCATCCATCCATCATCCCCAGAATACACATGTTTGACGTTGGTGGCCAGCGCTCAGAGCGTCGCAAGTGGATACACTGCTTCGAGAGCGTGACGTCTATAATTTTTTGCACGGCCATCAGCGAGTACGACCAGGTTCTGTTGGAGGATAAAAAGCAGGTCCGTCTTCTTTTTTGCCTTCATCAACCCTCGGCATCCTCACCCCTGAACAGAACCGCATGGCTGAGTCACTCGTATTATTCGAATCAGTCATCAATTCTCGGTGGTTCCTCCGAACTTCCATCGTGCTATTTCTGAACAAGAGTGACGTGTTCAAGAAGAAGATACCAAAGATACCTTTAGAGCGCTACTTCCCCTGAGTTTCCGGGAGGTAAAGATATCAACAAAGCAGCCAAGTATATTCTGTGGCGGTTCATGAAGGCAAATAGAGCCAGGCTGAGTGTTTATCCACAGTGAGTTTTCCATTTTCCAGCATGTGGCTGACTCACTCATTTGACACTCAGCTTGACGCAAGCAACTGATACTGCCAATGTCAGGCTGGTCTTTGTTGCGGTCAAGGAAACGATACTGCAAAACGCATTGAAAGACTCAGGGATACTGTAATTGACTATCGCCTTTTCTTGATTTTGGGTTTTGTCTGACGCCAAGAGGTATGTATATTCTAGCTGTCGGCTGGCGCATGACTGACAGTTTCTCTGGCAGAATTCTTGAATTCTTTTATGCACACTCCCTGTATGCCTACCTCTCCTACTGGATGGTCGACCGAGGGTCACGCCGCATATGTGGACAGCGAGCCGAGTCGTAGGGCCCTTTCGTGGAAGTTCTTGATGGGCGGAAGTAACGAGTCTGGTATATTTGAGGCATAATTGCTCATATTATATGCTAACTTATTTGTATTCACGATTTGTACCCATGTGTGTATGCCTAGTTTTATATAGTCTTTGGACATCGGTATTGTGTTTAGAATTGGAGGGAAACCCATTGACCTATTGTTTATGACAAACTTCTCTTGCAGATAAGACACATTGCTGTCAAGCTCTATGCAAGTGGCTGTAAGTAAATATATAGTTATACGTATATCCCGCACGCGCTGCTTTATTGCCTAGCGGCTGATTTACGCTACTTCGGTGATCTCGGAAACCCTTAGATGTGCTCGACGTTCCCAAAACCCGGCGTAGGACAAAGTCCGAGTGTTTCTTCATCATCCACCGAAAGGCCCCTGATTGTCAAGCTGTGAAAGGGATCATTTAAAATGTTGGCATAACGAGACTTTTGGGGAACAACCATAAACCGCCATAAACTCGTTTTGAAGTTCGCAAAACCTGGTTTTGACAAGTTATGTAATATTGACGCGTCTTTTACTTTTACTGTTTTATGAAGAATGTGATTTCCCAACTTCGTCATAATCTACGAGTTTATGGGTGGGTTCAACAATCGTCGATCTCGGTGATTTTAAGCCCCTTTCACGCGAAGTCCCCAGACTTATGACCCATGTCATCCACGTCATCGACAAAATCTAGTAAGCCACTGTTGGATCGCTCTCTTAACTCACGGAACAGAAGTATTAGCCGTATGTAGATGGTTAAAACAGTGGTAATGGGTACTACTACATAAAAAGTTCAATCGTAAGCGTTTCGTCACCGGTAATAAAGTTCAAAGTCATCAGCGTTCCTGTATAAGAGCAAGGGCACCTCGCTGCCCACGAGGAATTTGAGTCCTTCCACACGGAGATGCACACGACAGCCTATATTAGTGTTTAACGCCCAAGCTGCGCTATAAATATCTTAATTAGCCTATACTTGTAGGGCTAATTGCCACTCTTACCATAATATTGAAAAGAATATATGGGGCTAGTAAGAAACAGTGATGAGACGATGTCATTTTGTATTGAAGGTTCATACCTCTTTCTCCGAAATGATGGATACAATCAGAAGCAAGAGCCACAGGACTAGAATCGTTTAACATTGACGGACAAGGCAGGATGGCGAGAAACAACATGCGGCATACACCCTAAGAGACGGTCAGCGGATATTAATGCGGAATGAGGGGACGCACCAAGTAAAGACGGGCACCATCACGATGGAAGGAGTTGATCGCTTCGATATGGGTTCGCCTAGGTTTCTCGAGCGCCCTGTACAGAACCATTAAGACGATTAATATGTCGAACGCGAGCTGTCATGATATATTGTTCTCAAAAAGGTACTTGACGTGAATAATGGATTCATTCATACCAGTGTCGCGAGAAGAGCAGGTACAGTCCGCGGCAAATCATCAAGGATGTAGCACACGTTTCCTAGTCGTTGTCCTAGGTAAAGTACCGCTGTCGCAGAATACGCGTCACTACACGAGGAACAGCGCGAAACGAACGCAACGGACTTACCTTTCGACTTCAAGAGAATGATGACAGTGATAACGGCAAGAATGAACGCAACACTGATGCAAACAGACAACGCCACGAGAAGAATGTAACCAGCTCTCTTTTGGTTATCCCATGACCTGTATACCCGCATTGCGATGATGACTGGAGGTGGTGGCTGAAGTGAGAAGTGATTTCGAGGAAGCTGTAACTTACATTGAAGCAACCCGACCATCACTGTTGATGACATAGTGAAAAGCCATAGCACCCGAGTGCAGCTGGCAGGAAAGAGACTTCAGAGGGCTGGAAAGAAGTTGCGAGAGGGTTCCTCACTCCTACGCTAGACTGAGTAATCGGGTAGGAGGTAAAGAATTCCAGAACTCACTGCATCAGTCAAGCTACGGCTATATCCACCCCATACTAAGTACTCCGCATCAGCCTGGATCCATAATGTGGAGGGCCTACGCGCACCATATGCTGTGTACAAGAGCACTCCTTCCGCAAAATAACGGTTCAGAACATAAATGACTTTGGGAAGGCATCCTTTGTTACGGGAGATCCATATCGCGTCTACTTCCTGATCGACGGTGAGGAGATGGTCCCAGATCATCAAGCATATCGCGGCCGCTACATACACACTTGGGTTAGGCAAACAAAAAGGGATTATGGGGACGCACTGGGTGAATATCGGACAGCAAGGAAAGCGGTGGGGCTCGTTTCCATTATGGTCAGAGCCGCCATCAGCGACAGACAATCCAGCTATATAGCAGAAGGCATGAACTGATAAACGAACGCAGTTACCACTCATAACATATAACGTACTTGGTGCAGACGCTTTAACGTCTAGACAGCTGAAACTGATGTCTGCAGCAGAGTTTCTAAGGACAAATAGACCACAAATTGTCGATGCAACGTTGGCTTTCCGTTTCGAGTGATGCGTGTCCTAGCCGAACCTCGCTTTGACTTATCAGATGTTCTCACAGAGAAGCCACCCCTGCGGAAGGAGAAGTCAGGAATGCGTAGTGGCTGAATGTAAAGCTAGACGAACCTCGCGTCAGCATGAAAGAAAGGGGGGAGGGGGAAAGCTTGAGAGGCGGGCAGGGATTATAGTTGGGAAGAGAAGCAGATAGAATGCCGGTTGCGTGCCGTTAAATGTATGCATCCGTCAGATCGTTCACAGCGAGACGTATGTATAACAGTGAAAACAAAGATCCTCCGGTATCCGAAATAATGGCTGATTCCATTGTGCTTGTTCGTCAGAGGGAGACATCAGTTGTTCGTCGTCCCGATAAAGCCGCTTAGACCCGAAAGTACAGATCAGCGAGCATGTACCCAAGTTAAGCTTGGCCTGCTGTACGGGTCGGATGTTTGTGTGATCGACGGTGATAATGTTGCCTTAGAGAAGCGGCTTCGAGGAACAGAAGAGTGTGAACATTTAGCATGGGCTGACGAGACCAGTAAGAATGCTCGCAACAAAAACGATGCCAAGAAAATTTCTCTCGTCTTGTAAGCGTCCAGCTCACTGATCATGAGACAGGTAACCACGAATGTGTGATGCTTGCTGATGACCTCCAAAACTATCCTCATAAATCAGCCGGTGATCGATGAGGTATGAACAACGGGAAAGCTTCTGAAAGTTGCGGGACAGGCATAGCCTCACTGGTAATGATGTTGACACATTCTGGATTGCGGCAGGTACCTATAAGGATGTGAATACCTTTATATATGCGCGTGCACCGCATCCAGACAAAGGGGTATCTTGTATGTACCAACGAAGGTATCGCTCCACAGGAAGCAGCACACGTGTTTTGCATAGATACCGTTGTTTGATGCAAGGGCCAAGGCGGTGATTGCCCGATTGGGACAGACACGCAGCACACCAAAATCCGCTGGGCTCGGTTAGCGGCAAGCCAACTTACGAAGTTTAAGCCAAGACGACTCGGTTTCTAGCTCTCAGGACACGCTATCCACGAGAAGTAGCTCATCAATCAACTCCAGGTAAAGAGAACTAAAAATACCTGCGGCTTAGCATGGCACATTCGGCTCGCACCCCATCCATTATGTACCTCCAGAGAGCGGGAATGAGATAAAGGACGCACTACATATTTACAGCCGTGATTGTAGGAGCTGCCCTTGCGCCGAACGAGATAAGTGAACTGCCACAGGGCACAACAGCCATTCCTTTATGATGGTCCTAGCCTTTTCCCATGTCATTCTTGTACCTAGAACCTCTGAGCGTCAACCAGTTGCCGCGATGCTTTGAAAGACTTGGCCATTTCAGGATCCTGATGGACATCATCAGTAAGAACTAAACTTTACGTCTTGAGAAAGTATCTCGTTTTATATAGACACATAAACATGAGCATGACTCGAACATGACTTGGATGAGCAATAGGGAAAGCGGCGTTATAATTGACTCAGTCCAAAAAGGGTGACACTGCGATCACAGTCGTGACTTGATGTGACTCCGTCCGTGACAAGACCCCAAGAACATTGGTTAACACTTTATAATTACACCCCTTGTATTGCACGGAGCGCCCATGCCTCTCTCGTAGCCACTATGACTGACCGCCCGCCTCAACAGAATCATATTCTGCGACGGGCTCCAAACGTTCTCAATTCCAATGGACAGCCAGTTGATGGCCTTGCTGCTGAGCCTACCAAGTTTTCGAGCAAGCGTTCCAACAAACTGGGCGCTTCGATACGCCGAAAATTCAACAGCATGGTACGGTCGCGGTCGCTTTCTATCTCTCCGCCGGCCCAGGATGGCGAATTCGACATCGAGAAGCCCGCCTTGACACACGCTCATACTACAGACGAGACAACAGTGGATACCAAGAATACTTCACATCTGGAAGTGCAAGTACCACTCATATTGCAGAAGGGAACGCCGATGGTAAAGGTGTCGAGCAAGAAGCGCAGACAGGTCGTCTTCCGTTTGGATCCTGACCAAGGCCGTATAGTTTGGGAAGGAAAGGTGCATCGATACAGTACGTCTCATTTGTTCTATTCGCTATGGCAAGCCGAGACTCTGCTGTAGAGTTGGGCAAAACTGCAAGATTTTGCGACGCGTTCTGGATTAATGTCTTTCAGAGCGGATTTCTTCGTGAAGAAATACGTGGCAGAGTGTCAGAACGCATCCCAAAGTCTCGCTGTTTTTCCAAATCCACTCTATTGTTCCGGCTTTTTGGAGCGACATTTCATATCCCTATCTGACTGTTTGATAGTTCCTATTGAAGCTATCAAGGAAATACGGTCCGGTCCCGACGCTCGATATTATCGCCAGCAATTCCAACTTGCGCCTGAATGCGAAGAGCGGTGGCTCACTATCATCTACATTCTTGATGGTGACTACAAGACCCTCCATGTCATCGTGCCTACCAAGGATGTCTTTGAAATATGGAATTACACTCTCCGGAGCTTACATTCTGTCCGTCAAAAATTGATGAGCGGTCTTGGATACGTAGAAATGCGACAAGCCATGTGGGACAAGCATTACTGGAAAGGTGCCGACGAGGAGCGCGATCAGAAACTGGTCTTCGAAGAGGTGGAAAAGCTTTGCAAGAGGTTGCAAATCAACACTGGTCAGGACGATCTTTACCGACTCTTCAAGGTATTCCTTCCATGTGTTGCTGTCTCCTCTCATTGACTTGGTTCAGCAAGCCGACTTGAAGAACCGTAATTACCTGGACTTCGATGATTGGAGGCTTTTTGTCAAGCTCCTAAAGTCACGACCAGAGTTGGACCGCCTTTACAAGCAGCACTGCAAGGTAAATGGCGGTTCCTTCGATTTCGGAGCATTTGAAAGTTTCATGAAGGAGAAGCAACATGTTCGTAAGCATCTAATATTCATCTAGTTCTCACTAATATCTTTTTAGTCTACTCGCACTCGATCAGAACTCCAGGCGGTCTTCAATAAGTATGCTACGGTGGAACCTACAACTCCCGCTCCAGGCGAGGATAAGACCTTGGAGACGCCCTCAGATCTTTGCCCCAAACCGGTTATGTCCCGAAAATCCTTCACTAATTTCCTCATGTCTAGCGACAATCCAGCCTTGCCCGATCACGACAGGAATATCCATCACGACATGACACGTCCCTTGTCAGAGTATTACATCTCTTCTTCGCATAACACATATCTAGTTGGTCACCAGCTCGTTGGAACAAGTACAATTGAGGGGTACATCCGTGCGTTACTCCACAGTTGTCGGAGTGTTGAAGGTACAGTTTATAACGCTTATTCGATATGTTTGCTGACATAATTCTTCTGCAGTGGATGTATATGATGGTGATGACAGCCCAGTGGTCTACCATGGCAAGACGCTCACTACCAAAGTGCCTTTGCGCGAGGTCTGTAAAGCTATCATGAAGTATGGCTTCGTCGTTTCTCCGTACCCCATCATAATCTCCGCCGAGGTCCACTGCAGGCTCGAGCAACAAGACATGATCGCTGATATTATGTTGGACGTTTTTGGGGACGCGCTCGTCCAGAGGCGACCAGACCAGCCGATCAAAGTCCTCCCTAGTCCGGAGCAGTTGAAAGGGAAGATTTTGTTGAAGGTAAGCCATTAGTATGTCGTTTTGATTTTGACGACTAACGACCCCTACAGACTAAAAATGTCAACATTTCCACCAACGAGGGAGTAGAAGGAGGTCTTTTTATAGATGCTTCCGCATCATCAACAGACGACTCGGAGGATGACTGGCGAAATCCGAAGCGGCGGCAGTCCGACGCCATAATGATGGGTAAGCTGCCTCTTCTTTTGCATCATATCTTGGTATAATCTGATATCATGCCAGAGTACAGTCAAGAATACCAACCAAGGCCCACTTTTCTGGAACGAGTCCGCAGTATAGGCAGATCGCCAAGAAGACCTAGTGTTGTCTCTAAATCGTCCACATCACCTAGAACAGGCAGACGTGTGTCGCACTCCAGGTCGCCCTCGGGTACCTCAACCGTCACGTTGCCTCCGAGTCCCATGGCGTTCTCGCCTCCTACCTCGCCCATGGTGACAGCCATACCCTTCGAAGCGTCGCCGAAAGTCAAAATGTCACAAAAGCTACTGGATCTCCTGGTTTACACAGTCGGCGTTAAATGTCGAGGCCTCAATAAGAAGGAGGAGTATTTGCCTGAGCATATGTTCTCATTATCGGAGAACACGGTGAATAAGTATCTGAAGGATGGCATCATGGTGATGGATCTCATCAAGCATACGCGCGATCATTTGGTCAGGATATATCCCAAGGGGACGAGGGTTAACTCCACCAACTATGAACCGCATAGATGCTGGTATGCGGGCGTGCAATTGGTCGCCCTCAACTGGCAGACATTCGGTGAGGTCAGGTATTGTTTTACCTCAGTTTCGTGCTGATGTTAGGGTCAGATTTAGGATACATGATCAATCAGGCAATGTTCCAACGGAATGGTCGCTCTGGATACGTCCTCAAGCCCGTAGTCCTACGGACCCAAAGTAAGGATATGCTTCTGAAGCGGACGAAGCATCGCCTCGAGGTCACTATCATCTCGGCTCAGCAGCTACCGCGGCCGAAGGATGCGACTGGGCGGGAAGTCATAGAGAAAGGGTCGGTGGATCCTTATGTAGAGGTGTCGGTGCATGTGCCAGATTGGACTACGCTTAGCCCGGAGCAACGCAAACCTCCTCGCACAAATATGGTGAAGAATAACGGGTTCAACCCCGTATGGGAAGAGAAGCTGAGCGTACCATTTGAGTGCGTTGGGGAGATGAAGGAGCTGATTTTCGTCCGCTTTGCTGTTAAGCAGGGTGGACAGGAGGATGGGGAGCCACTGGCGGTTTTTTGTGCATCGCTTGGATCGTTGCAGTTGGGTGAGCTGTTTTGGCTTCTTCTGCGATGGATACAGTTACTGATTAGGTTGCAGGCTACCGTCATCTTCCTTTGCATGACGCACAGATGTCGCAGTATCTTTTCTCGACACTGTTCGTTCGTATCGGCGTGTTAGATGTTGTGTAATCCTCGCCTTTTCTCTTTCTTTATCGTTAGATTATACCTTTACCTTGTGATGATATGTGCCGGATTAGCTAATTACTACAATTGTATATACATAAGCCCTCATGTAGCAATAATATTTATTCTCGTTCATCTCGTAAATACAATAAAAAAAGAGCCTTCTGAACATCTAACAGGAGGTGAATAACCACCGAACAACCAACTTCTCTGGGCTTTGAGTGGGTGAAACGGGTTCCGAAACCTCCATTTGAAGTGGGTCTGTGACGAAGGTAGTTACTTACTTGCAGGAATATACAACATTGTCAGCTTCTATGGGAAGGAGGCGGGGCCGGGCGCGGCACATCCTTTTTTGGATGAGGCGGATGAGCCGGCAATAGCCGCGATGCTTCAACTTCAGCTTCATTGCTCAAGGACGCACAAGCATTCGTTGGTGATGCTCGCAACTATGAAATATTTGCACAAGCAGGACGTCGTATTTCGAAGCACCTTGGATTTTCTTCGACAAGTAGCTGGACTCTACCCGAAACCGTCTTGACAGACTCGGGGATCTGTCGCGTAACGATTCTTTCTTCCAGGCTTAAGGTTACGTTTTCGCAGATGAACCACTGGGTGTCTCACGCTGATGTTCTTGTATAACATCTTCGGCTTCTCCAACATATTAACGGACATCTTGTACGCAACTTTTACGATGGTTTCGATGTCTCTTGGATGCCTGTGATTCAATTCCTACGAGATAAGTCCGCCGTTGAAGGAACTTCCTCTCATAAGGCCCTGATTTCCGGACTCGCGAACCCACCAACGAGGAACAAATGTCGTCAACACGCCGATTAATCACCTCGCGGAAACTCTAGCTTCCATCAGCAGCAGCCACTGAAAGTGCTCGCCGATCATTCGGTGTCTACTTCCATGGTTGCGACAACAACAAGGCGGTCCACCTCTCCGTTCATTGATGTCTCCGTTGTTTGTAGCCCATTGCGAGAATTTGGACTCCGGACTTCACATCGGGACCGCAATGGCGTTGATTGATACAGTAAATTCCTTCTAATACACTGAGCTACGGGTACACTTCACCATCATAATGCGGCCATGTCATATCTCCCTTGCCAGACTCTGGAGTTCCGTCCAAATTTCTTCTTCGGCGATCTACAAACACGATGGTAACCCGTGCTTCCTCCGAGCCGGGTACTATGAATTCTTCTAGCCTTTCTCATGGCAATTGGTGAGAGTTGCTATAGCTTCGATCTGTCTCTGTCATTAGAATCTTTAACCGACACATGATAGTACTCCGAGTATCACGGGCCTGCGACATGAATGATCCTTGATACGTGGAGGGTGAAACATTCTGAACGATGAAACTTGGAAGGACATCTACTGTTATGACAAAACTTCGTAGGATTTCGGAAGTTTGTGATAAAGAGCTGTCACGGGCACGATGGGGATCCAACGGTGCCGTCGCAGGACAGTGTTGTTGAATGTCATGCTGTCATAGAAGAACATCTTCGATTCTGTGGCTCTGACATAGTACATATCCGTCTTCAAGAGCCTCGTGTTACTCACCCTTCAATGGGGACCATCACAAAACACGACATCCTCACCCTCATTTTCTTGCTCGGGAGACGAAATGCTCTTCTCTCTTAGATCTTTCGTCGAGTACTCTATCCATTTGGGCTCCTGACTTTCTCCTTCACCAGCATTGGTGGTGGCAACTTGAAGGACCTTCTTTCGCTTCCGAGGTAAGCAGGCCTTCCCGTACTTTTTTACGGTCATATCGTTTCTCGTGCATTCTCCATCCTGAAACGTTGTCCCAGACTTCGAGAAGTGGTCTTGTCGAAACTTGATAGGACCGATTCCGCTTAAGCAGTTCGTAGCTCGCTAAGCAGGGATAATTCACACATCGTTGTTCTGAAGAGCGATGACATGTCTTTGGTGGCGGTAGCGTGGAACTCTTCTCGTGAAGTCTCGGGAGAACTGTTGGAGAACTGTGAGAATTTTGGACGACAAGAGAACAAAATGTCGTGGTAGTATATCAATAATTACAAAATTTTGTCGACCCGATTCTCGTTGTATGTGGTTTGCCCGGGTAAAGAGCATGCCGCCGCGTATGCTCGTACCGACAAGCCGACGGAAGCGGTGATGCCTAAATAAGGATATCATTGAGGGCCGGCATTATCGCGTGGCAATTTTTTTTTTGTCAATCATCAATAAACGTTACATGTTTCGCCGACTGTCTTTACATCCTCTTCGCCTCTTGAGTCCGAGATCTCTGAGATGTCGCCACGTGTCTACGGCTAAACCTTTCTACATTACTACTCCCATCTTTTACCCCAATGCTGGTGAGGTTATCTAAACTACATTCCGAGTCATAGGCTGATATCATTATATTTGAAGTTCCTCATATAGGCCACTTGTACTCCCTCTTGATAGCAGATATTTATTATCGCTATCATTCCCTTAAAGATCCCTCTCGACCAGCACAGTTTGTCACTGGAACCGACGAGCATGGCCTGAAGCTCCAGAAAGCCGCTCAGACCAAGGGCCTTCCCCCGAAGGAATTCTGTGACCAGCTCAGTGTTCACTTCCGTGTGTGTTCCCTTGACTATATCATGTTGCGCTCGTGCTTATACACTCAACAGCGACTGTCCCAAACCGCGAACATCTCGTATACTCGATTTATTCGGACGAGCGAGGAGGCGCATGAAGAGGCGGTACAACACATATGGGTATGCAGGGCTCTCGATCCAAGCTGTGTGCTCACTAACGTGTTCCACAGCGCGAACTAGATTCCCAGGGTCTCATTTACAAAGGGACCTACTCGGGCTGGTATTCCATCACAGACGAATGCTTCTACCCAGATGGCGCCGTAACGCATATCTCAAGGTCCCCAACGCAAACCATAGCCACAGAGACGTCCTCTCCTGTCGAGTATACCACGGAAACGAACTACATGTTCCGTTTATCGGCGTTTCGTGAAGCCCTGTTAGACCATTATACGACACACTCAACGTCCATTTTCCCTCAACAATATCTCACTGATACCATCGCCATCCTGTCATCTCCGCTCCAGGATATTTCCATCTCCCGGCCACGCTCGCGGCTCTCTTGGGGTATAGAGGTTCCCGGTGATCCAGAACATACGATATATGTCTGGATAGACGCAGTGATATCGTATTTGACTGCTATTGGATACCCCTGGAAAAATACCGACTCTGGCTTCTCCAACGGCTGGCCTGTTGATCTTCAGATTATTGGGAAGGATATTGTCAGGTGCGGCCAACCACAAACCGGCTCCACCTCCATGACTGACTGGCACATAGGTTTCACGCGATATATCTGCCAGCTATTTTGTTGGCGCTCAAACTTCCGCTGCAGCGCCAACTCCTTGCTCACGCGCACTGGACGTCGTCTCAGAAGAAGATGTCCAAGTCCTTGGGAAACACTACAGACCCGTTTGATGTTATGGGCACGTATGGCGTTGATCCTATCCGATACTACATGGCAATAGCGGGAGGCAACTTTCGAGATGACGTCGGTGGGTGCTTTAAGATTGCCGCAGCTTTTTCGCTGAGGTTAATGTTGTCCGGTTAGACTGGTCCGACGCACAGGTGAAGAAAGAGACAACCGAGCTACGGAATATCCTTGGCAATTTCCTGCTTCGCGTAACCTCTTCAAAGATACGGGGGATTATCCAAGCCGCCAGGGAAAAGGGAGGTCTAGAACCTGCCAAAGATAGTCGATATGAACCTCTTTCAGCCGCCTTGAAGGTTCTCCCCAGCCAGGTAGCGAAAGATTTAGAATCGCTCGAAGTCTCGGATGCTTTAAAGCGAATAATGGAAGTGGTCAGATTGGTTGGTACTCTTGCTCGTAGTTTCTTCATCACACTGACGTTCGGTTTCCTCTGTACAGGCAAATAAGATACTGACTGACGTGGAGCCGTGGAATGGAGATTCTCCAGCTGTTACACTGACGTCGTTCAATACCTCTATCGAAACATTACGCGTCGCTGGGATATGCTTACAGCCTTTCATTCCTGGTACAGCGAGGAAGTTGCTCGATTCCCTTGGCGTCGGAGAGGAAGAACGGACATGGGCATATGCGGACAAAGCGAGAGCAGGCGTCGGTCTAGTGAAAGGTGTCAAATTGTTCGAAAAGTAAATACGCTGAGAATCTAGAAAAAATTTGTGATTGCCGCGTAATGCTAAAGCACACCATTGAAAGACAGTGGGTGCCATACGTAGGTCAGCGTCATCCGTCACCGAAGATGGCCCTCCATTAATATTAAAGGACGAGGCCTTATCCTTCAACGCTAGGCAACCCGGCAGTTTTCAGTCACCCCAACTCCTCGACAGAGATCCGACGTCCAGCTTCGGCATATCAGGAACTGCATCAGGATCCTAAAATCGCTTGTCAGTCCTGCATCCGGTTCCGAAATGAAATCAACCAACTTGAGCCGCATCTGTATCGGTTGATCGCTCAATGCCGTTAACACCGACAATGCGTGCAGAGAAAATAAGGTTAGGCGGGTGGTCGGGAGGTTCGTTTGAGTGACGAGAGATAGAGCTGGGCTGCCTATACAGTCCCGGATGTATGAAACTGTCGATTTCTGGTATATGCTGCTCTGGGTAGGCTTGCGATAGGCTATTCCTGTCGACTGGCTCGTCCAGGCTACCATTACTGGGTGTTTCTGGGAGATATGAAGTAGAAGGGTGGTTCTGCAGACTGAAAGGACCGTGGGCGTTCACATTCACCATCCGTCTGTTGTGTGCAAGTCAGTTCCAATGAGGCGACAAGCAAGGCAGAGTGACACACCCTTCCTTAGCTCGAACGATTGTACCCAGCTTCCCTTTTAGTTTTCCGTAATCTACGTTCATTACCGTTGGCCTGCAATAAAAAAGAAGGACCTGAGTTTTATATACGAAATTAAATATAGGAGCGGCGTACGAAGGTTCTTCGGTAGCGGGTATGAGGCGGGAGGTCTCATCAATGATGCCAGCATCCGATTTATTATCGTTTTTGCTGGAAATACAACAAAAAATCCGCTGAAAGGCAACGAGCGCCATGTAGGGGACAGAACCAGGTCATGGGCCCAGCTGAACGACTTTTGCAATTTGCGTTAGGTATGTCAGCTATTTTGGGCACATTTTGGCCCGGAATTGTCCAAATTGGGCCTCGTTTTCTCCGTACCTTTATCCGGCGGGTGTCCGTGTGGACACGATTACACAACATTACACGACGAACTCAGTGTGTAATAGCCATACAGTTGACGTACAATTCCGTTCTATTAGAACACCTTGTGCAATGAATACCATTTCGCAGTTGAAAAGTAGCAATGATAATAAGATGAATAAAACATCTGAACGGTACACCGCGACAACAGGCCCAATTAGGATTCAAACTTTGCAAAAATCAGACGGTCAAGGAACGTACGAAACGCCGTCTCTGATCACCGTGTAGTTAGCCGATACAGTCAGGGTTCGACGAACACGGCAGGCCCTCCCCTGGTTCACGAGCCATCCTACGAGTCGATACCGGATTAAAGGATCTGCATGAATGCTGGCCAAGAATCTAGGTTGTAGCAGCTGCAGCTACAGGCCTAACGTCCCAGACTGCAGGTCACGCCTTATTCTATTCACACGGAACCAACGAGGGGGCTGCTGATGACGACCCACACTTTCATTCACAAGTGAAAGGTAGAGAAGCCAAAGGTCCACGGGACACCCTTCGCAATGCCACTAAATAAGATATTTTGTCAATAATTTTCAACACTTTGGATCGATGCATACATGCCGTTCAGAAAGAATAGTAACTCTAATTATTCTGACGATGATTTCTCGTCAAGTATCGGGCAAGATCCTTGTGATAGAGAATGGAGGTGCGTAATAATTGGTGTTCCCATGGTACATATATTATAAGTATCCTGTAACCGAGGACTGTGGTGCTTCTGTCCTCTTGCGGTAGTCTTTTGCAGGTTCAACACCTAGACGGAAAAAGTTGAGACAAGGCTTCACTGAAACAGCAAGGCAACGTACCTTTAGCATGTACTATCTATGCTGGTACCATATACTCTCCCCACGTTCTAACAGCCAGTATCCCACCAATGAACGTCGACACCCCAACGACGATACTGATATTTCCCGGCAACTTTTCGGGCGCGTATATCTCCTCGCGGAGGAAACGGGCAAAGGCGGATTCGTTAGGGTCATGAATCGCACGTCTTTGGACGTGCTGGTTTTTGGGGATGTAGGCAGGGCCTGAGTTGGGTGGTGCTGAACGGCGTGCCATTGTGGTTTTTTGGTAAAAACGTCACCGTTGATGAGGATCCCGTTTAAGGAGGTCGGGGTTTGAATTATATGGGCCGGAGAGCCGTTAAATGCCGAGATCGGCATGTCGTACTGTGCCATATCAGGTAACGGGTCACGCATGGTAACGGGTCAACCGCTCATATCTCGACGACTATGGTACCTTTTCATGAGCAGTTTTTTTCAGGTTGGAGGTTGGGCTATCTGGCATCTATGTACAAGAGCTTTTGTTCTTTCATCTTAAATTTCCCTCTCAATAATTTTTTTGATCTGAGAAAAATGTCAAATTGCCATTTGCAAGCAACTTCATGCAAACAAGGCCGTTTTTCACCCGTTATCACAGTCGTACACTTCCACAATGTAATTCAGGATCATAGCTTACTTTATGGATGCTCCTGGAGAGGATAACAGCATAACAGTAAGGATAGTTTGCTTTAAATTATGTAAAATACTGGTTGACCCGTTTCCATGCTTTTGAGACCATCAATTAGGAAAATATTCATAGTGTAAGAAGCTCCCTTTCATACAGGCTCAAAACCTCATACAATAATAGAACAGATATTTCTCTTATTACAAGTGGTGACTAACATGGGACAATTGTGATGCTAGATTTTTTACAGTTAAAACAAACTAGTTCGGCCCGCTTCCCGGTCAGGCACAGTATGCGGTTCACTCCACGCGACCGAAGTGAAATTCGGCGTGATGTGACTGATGTGTGACCTACTCTTCCTGCTAGCGTGTTCCTTCCTTCATTTCTGCCCACCATTGTCTCTACTTACTTCATTCTTTCAGTCCAAACTATCCAAACTATCGATTTCTGGCCTCATTTTCTCTACTGAAGATACCCCTTGTCTTGAAGGTCACTACTTATCTTGATAATCTGTACCATGTCGGATTCTTTCGCAGATTTATGGAGTTCGACAGCACCCTCGACGAAGCCTGCACCTCAGAAGCTAGGATCGTACTCTTCCGTGTCTAACCAGGGAGTACGGCAGACGCAGAATGATATTTTCTCCATGCTTTCGTCAGCGGGTTCCTCAGCACCTGGATCCCGCTCAATGACACCGGCATCAAGGACTGTTTCGCCTCCAGGACCGCCTCCTTCGAACCCAGCTTCATCAGGAGACGCATTTAGTGGCCTTCTTTCGGGAACATTAGCTTCCAAGCCGCCCTCACAGATGACGATAGCGGAACGGGCCGCGGAAGCAGAGCGAGAGAGGATGGAAAAGTTGCAGCAGTCACATAGGGCAGCACCTATACAAACATCTTCAGCATGGGAGGGACTAGATAGTTTGGGACAGAAATCTTCTCCGTCCGTGGTGTCGACGTCGCAGTCGTTCAGCGATGATGACTGGGGATTTGGTACATCGTCTCCCGGCACTTCAAAACCTGCTGCGTCCACTGCTGTTGCCGACGACGACGACTGGGGACTCGCTGATTTTGGGCCATCCACCAAGCAGTCGCAAAAATCATCTCCAAAGCCAGCGACGCGAACCCAGAATATATGGGATATGGATTCAAATCAAGAACCATTTAGACGAGGGACAGATTCTCCCAGTAACGATTTTGACTTTGGAGACCATGAGGATGAATTGTTGGGTTCTCATGCTCAGGGCACGGCCTACGATGATGATATTTTGGGTGAACTTGGGAGGCCTGTTGACGTCGTGCCCCGACGACCTTCACCGGTGCGTTCCGTACCATATTCCGTACTATCGTTATGTTACTACTGCTAATGACCTCTAAGGGTAACCAAGGCTCAGCACAAACGCCTCAACCCTCACGCCAATCGCCCATACGAACAGTCTCTCCTCCTCCCCATATTCTTGGACAACTTGTCGAAATGGGATTTTCTATACAGCAAGCCAGGATCGCTCTCGCTTCAACAGACTCAGGTCTAGATGTTGAAGCTGCTCTAGAAACCCTTCTCAACAATGGCGCTGGCAATAGTTCACAGTCTACACCTCCCCCGACACTCCCTCGTCGTCCACCTCTCCCAGGAAGGGACAGTAGTAATAATTCAAGTCAATCCAGTACGCGACATAAAGAGCGCGAGCGGTCCACGTCGTCCCCATCAGCATCCCATGCAGAGAGCAACATTCAAGAACAGGCAGACAAGCTGTTGGCTCAAGCAAGCGAGTTGGGTTTGAGCTTCTTCAATAAAGCAAATGCCGCTTGGAAGGAAGGCCGGGAGCGAGTACAGAAAGCTTATGCTGAACGAGTTGGGGCGGATACCGCCGGTGACAGTCGATCAGGCAGTCGGACGAGCAATACCCATGGTCGTCCCAAATGGATGCAAACTGACGATAGTTGGAAGGCCGATAATGATAAGCAGCCGCCGCCGAATGGAAGCACCGGCCGTTTCGCAGATGAGAGGAAAACGAAGAGTCCATTGCCAATATCAGGCCAATCATCCAACCCCCAGCCCAGACCTCAGCCAAAGGCCGTTGATCTCTTTTCGACGATGGACGAAGCCTCGGTCGCATATGTATCTCCCTTCCGACGAGGTAAACCCAAGGTTACCTCCCCCGTTCAAAATCCCCAGCCTGTACGGGTTACGACACCATCTCCGTCCTTAAAACCCCTCATATCCGCATCCTCCTCCTCGATTTCCACTTCTCAGTCTCACAAGAACCTCGGAGCTGAGAAATTCAAGCTCGGTCAATATGGTGAAGCCGAGTCTGCTTACACGCAAGCTATAGATTGCCTGCCATCTGGTCACCTACTCTTAGTGCCATTATACAACAACCGGGCCTTGGTTCGGCTAAAGACGGGCGACTACAATGGTGCTGCTGGAGACGCAGGGACTGTCGTCGAGTTGGTTGGCGAGACGACCTGGCGGGACGAACAAGCACGAGTGAAGACCTCCGAAGAGGGCGCTGGCGTCGACCTTGGTGATGGCCTAGTCAAAGCGTGGAGACGACGAGCCGAGGCATTGGAAGGGAGAGAAAAGTGGGACGATGCTCGCAAAGACTGGGAAAAGGTCGCGGGGGCCAACTGGGCTGCGTCTAACATGAGAGGGGAAGGCGTACGGGGTGTTGGACGGTGTCGGAAGATGGTTGCTGCTGAGAAGCAAGAGACATCCGTTCCACCACCAAGAACGGCGAAACCTAGACCTGTCCCTGCGCGACCCCCTCCCAGACGCGGGCCTACCCCGCCCTCACAGGCGCTATCGAATTTAAAGAAGGCCAACGATGCTGCCGAAGCTGAGGACAATGCAAAGTACGAGTTGAAGGACGTAGTCGATGGTAAACTTTTAGCGTGGAAGGGGGGCAAGGAGACGAACATTCGTGCACTGATCGCGAGTTTGGATTCGGTGCTTTGGCCTGAACTCGGTCTGCAGAAGACCAGTATTGCGGAACTTGTCACGCCTGCGCAGGTGAAGATCAGGTACACCAAGGCCATTGCGAAGCTGCATCCTGATAAGGTATGAGCCGTGTTGAACGTATCCCCGGTCGATTATTGATGAAGATTTTGTGTAGCTTAACCCGAACAACTCGACCTTGGAGCAGAGGATGATCGCCAATGGAGTGTTTGGCACCCTTAATGAGGCTTGGAATGCTTTCAAGCAGTAGACGCGCTCCGTTTAGATTTCTTTTGGGCTAAATTTATTCACCTTCACACATCTTTCATTCGGAACGAACATTAGGAATATTAATACATACTTTACCCTCAAGGTTCGACGAACACTCTTAACCTCAACCTCTCCGAGGCAACGACAATGGCGAACCATCGCGAGTGGCACAGGTGACCTGTGCTGTGAATGACAATTAGACAATTAGTTGACATTACCTTGTATTTTAGCCCTTTTTGATCACCGATCAGTGCCCGGTTGTCTTTTACGACGTCTCACAAAAATCTTCTCAATTCTAGTTTCCTCTCTCAAAGCTGGTTCAGGTAGGATCTGTGTCTCTTTCATGAGCCCCACATTTTAACCTCATCCTAGAATGCGCTATAGCCTCTCCTCGTTCTGCGCGCCATGCCAGAAGTCCTTCACATCATATTCCCAACATTTGCCCATCGCAGTACTCCCGCAAGGTAACATATCTCTTCAGACTCTCAACGATCTAGTCGATCAAGGACAGGTACCAACAAGTTTTTTCTTCGACGACACCGGAACTGTGTGGCAGCCGGTTTCGTCACTCAATGAAGAGCCGGGTGTTATCTTGTCCTGTAGAACCGATAATTTCTCACCACCTACCGTGATCCCAGTTATATCAGAGTGTTACTCAACACCTGATCTCCCTAACGAAATATGGATCCGGATTTTCGCAGAAGTGTCTACAGACTTTCATCAATGGCTGACACCCCTACGCATCAGCCTAGTATGTCGTCACTGGCGCCGACCGGATATCGCACACTCTACGCCACAGTTATGGACAAGCATCTGCGCTGACGTACCATATGTCAAGCGGAGCGGGAGGTGGACATCCTGGCGGATCTTCGAAATCGTCTGGTGGTACCTCCATCTGTCGAAACACAAGGCCCTCGATGTGAAGGTGGACTTGCTGGGATACGACGGTGATTTCGAGTTCGAGCGCACGGTGGAGATGGTCACAGAACACTCCGCGAGATGGCGTAGCGCAGATATCAGGGTGGCACCTTCGAGTTTGATGTATTTCAAAGGCGTGGCTAGGAGGCTCCCTCTGCTGGAGAGTCTCTGGGTGGACGTCTCAGAGGAAGCTTATCGAGATAACTGGAAGCGGTTCAAAGGTTTTCGTCACTCCCCCAAGTTGGTGTCTCACAGCCCTGGTGGTATTAGCCCAAGGCAATGCATTGTTCCTTGGAAGCAACTCAAGACCGTAATTTTGCGAGATTTCTTCGACTGCCTGTACGATGATTTACGCGATTCGAAGACGCTCGATCATCTTATCCTGTCTCCAGAATGCGAATTTGAAACTGGCTTTGGGTCTGTGACGACTCTTCGTGCGTCGACGCTAACGTTACAGTCGTTTCCGCGCCTTGTTGCTTCTTTTCTCGAGGGCTTCAGGTTCCCCTTCCTGACGTCCTTAAACCTTTCGGTCCCTGATGCGGAATATGCACGGCCATTTCCGACGGATTCCCTTCTGCGTCTACTTCAACAGTCACAGTGCGAGATTCAGCACCTTGTACTGAAGAGGGTGCATATCCTGTGCGAGGACATGATCAACGTGCTTAGGGCGACTCCGACTTTGATGTCCCTGGTTATACATGAACCAGCTTCGACCTACTCTCAAACGCATTGCATCACAAACGAATTTCTTCGATATCTTACGATGTGCACAGTGCTTCCGAAGCTCAAAACCTTAGAATTGGTGTGGAATTATGATGCATATGAGGATTGCATCATCAGCATGGTCGAATCTCGTATTATGAAATCATCAGCGTATGAGGGAGTGCAGCTAGAAGGGATTGTGCTGGGTCGTCGCAATGGCGTTGATTTAGAATTGCCGACCATAGAACGAATGAATGGTCTGAGAAAGTGTGGATTGCACGTTTCTTTATGGTGAGAGCGCGCGCTTGTAGTACAATAGATGTCATGACTGTAGGCTATATGCAGTGTTATATTGTAGTCCATATATTTTTACAGTGAGCACCGGTGAAGGCCCCGGCCTGGGTCATTATACAATAAAAGGACAATCTAGCGAAAGTAGGGTACACTGAAATTATAAATCTAACATACAAGTCTACAAGTAAGGTATGAACGTTAAACGCAAACCTGCGGATGAATCTAATGGAAGAGGTTATACAGAAGTGATCTACGTTACGATATGGAGCGTCTCGACTGGCTGGTATTCCACATCCAATTTCAGTCTTTTACTCTCGTCCTCAGCGATTCCTTCTGCTTCGGAACGTTGACGCTTCGCAGGAATACCTTCCGTCGATTTGGTAACGCCTTTTGTAGCTACTAGATGAAGATTAGCGCAGATGACAACAGATAAAATGTCCAAGTACCTTCCCGCAGTGGCCGGAAATATGGTTGAGCTAGCCAGTGCGGAAGAACAGGTAATCCAGTGGATTTGTCGAGCGTAACCAGTTTATCCGAATCTTGACCTAAAGCTGCCTTCGCGTTCGCCTGTACTCACAAATCAGATTGAGGGCCACTCAAGACCCGAAGCACTTCACCTCCATTCGCTCCTTCAGCTCCATGCAAACATCAATGTAGGGTTGTAACCCGCCATGTCTCCAGTCTTGATCCTTTTTTATAATTGTTTTCCCCAGCTTCTCCCTAAGATCTTTGTCGTGCGATAGACCCGGTCGTAGAATTTTAAACAGGTGACCTTTGATGGCACTTATCGAAGTGTGTGTCTTTAGAGATTGAACAATAGACAGATATTCCAGAGCCAAGTCGACATGAGGGATATGCTGCTCGAGTAATTTGTGATTGGAGAGTTCCTCTACGTCGGTAGGGACGTTCGCAAAAAGGGCTGGATTGTAGAGTTGTCCTTCGGCACTCATAACTCCGTCGGCGCCCGTAGCCTTTAAGCACTTTGCAATGTCGGAAGGGTACAGTATGTTCCCGTTAGCAAATACGGGGACCGAAACGGCTTCCTTCACCGCACGAATTTTGTCCCAGTCCGCGAGACCCTGGTGAGCAGATTAGTGATACAAACAAGACGTAAAAAAGAAGACAAACTGATAGGTGCCCTCGTTGCTCTCGTATTCGCCCATGACATGTCAAAATCTGGGCCCCGGCGCGCTCCAACATTTTAGCATATTCGATCGTCTTCTCCACTGTCGGAAATACTCTGAACTTCGCCGTCACGGGAATAGAAAGATTCGTATGCAAGATATTGACTGAACGCCGAGTTGTCAGTATTATTGAATGATAGGAACTTGATTAATGAAGACAAACTCAGTCGATAGATCAAGTCCCAGTCATCCTGCAAGAACGCACCATACTTCCCCTTCTTTGCGATATCTTGAGGACATCCGAGGTTGATATCCACGGCATCACAGTGAGCCTCTACTGCTTTGGCGGATATCAGTAGCTTCTCTAGATCGTTTGCACAGAATTGGACGATGAGAGGCCGGTCAATCGTCGGATCTCCTTCTTCACCAGATTCTGAATCAAAGTTCTTTTTCCAAGTGTTCTTATGAATATCATCGGCAAACATCTATTAAAAAATATAGGAAAATGAATAACGAGTTATTGAGTTATTGGATGCTAACCTTCGCGTTAATCATTGGCGTATATGCAAGCTAGAGTGCTATTCATTAGCGGGATCGACGACATAAGAGTAAAATGAAGTACCTGAGCACCGTAGCGTCGAGAAAAAATTCTCCATGCGAGTTCGCTTTGGTCCACCATCGGGGCTACAATGTATTTCGGACTGCCCAGGACATTTCGATAGAACTCATATCCTCCCAATTTTTCCGTCGTCATTTTTGTATGGAGTATGAGGTCTCCCGCATTGATTTTAGCCCGCAGGGCGCGAAAAAGCCGTGCTAATGGAATGGTGATGGCGGTAGGAGGACTATCTGTTTGCATCTATGTATTTCTTGGGCGTCGCCACGTGGGTATCGGCAGCTCCCGTCAGCGAACAGCTGCCGCTTCCGTAAATCAAAAACTTCCAAGCAAACGCCATGCATTGTCTTGCATCGAATGTTTGCCTTTTTGTTCAACGGCGTAAATTTGTAAGTGAAGAGTATGGTTTCTATTACTTGGAGTACTAATTGCAGGTTCATTTTCAGCGGCATCTAATACGAGTCTGTTGCTTGTCGCTGAGCTGCTTTGTCCAAATTACAGACGTCCTCGACGGAATAGTTTTTTCCGAAATGTCATTTTTAAACGCGATACCTTTGTTTCATAGCCTGTTACTCTAAGGTACTCGAAATGGACGATGGAAGGAGCCTTCATGGTGATTATCTATAAGGGAGTACTTCGTCAACTGTCACGCTATGCGTCCACTCTGTTTTGACCATGTGTGGCAGAATATCAACGGATACCGCTTCACTTTGTCCAATCGACTGTCGAAATAATTCAAAGGACGAGCACCAACACGTTGTGCAAGCTCAATGGACGCGACTTGTTTTTCGCTATCTTTGGCCCTGTCCTGTGGCATTGTTCGAACGGCCAACAAAGCCAACAAAGTGACTTTTACCACTAGATATAAAGACAGCTATGGTCTTCCCAGGTTCTGTACCAATCTTTGCTAAGCTTTTCTCACTTTCTGCCTCTAAAGTTCTCCTGCGTCTGCGTCGCAATGTACACTAACCCCCTCCACCCTTCGATCCCTAACACCTACCAGTCTGGATTCTCTGCTCTTGGGCCTGCGGTCATTGGAACATCTGACGCTTCTCTACATCCGAGCTGGAAACGCGTGCCACAAATCCCATTATCTTGCCAGAGTAGCCGGACCCCTCATTCCCAGTCTCCGATCATATTCGAGATGCGTGGCGTCAAGTATAAAGGCATTTCAGTACGGGACTTAATGAGCAGAGGTCCCGCAGAAATACCACAGATGCTTGTTGGAGGGAACGATGTGTACCTCCAAGGTGGCCAAGACAGGATTTATCTTCGTGTCCCGGTATGCCATCCGATCAGCATCCCTGCCCTGGCCATCGCTAATGGTAGGTATAGTGGCCAGGATACGAGCATCTCAATTACTTTTACGAGATCAAGTTCAATCCTCGCACTGGCATAACACTCGCCATTCTTGCTGAGGAAATCGGTAGCAGGATCAACCAATTTTATTCTGTATGTTACTAGCTATTGTCACCAAATATCTTTGTCTCTGACTTGTTCTTTCCAGGCGGCACAGTATGCGGCGAGCTCTAAACAAGGATGGCGTGTAGGCCCACGAAACATCCGTCTCGAACACATGATCCTCCTCTCGTTATGGAACACCCACGAGAACTGTTGGCAGGCAGAAATTGCCATTCATTCTTAGCCCTATACCCCGGTCACTGATACCTATTGGACTGTTTTCACTTATCGCATATTTGATTCTTCGACATCCTAGACATCATACGCCCTGGTGGCATCGCATTGCCTCATTACCTTGTAGCACCTTACTCCTGCCATCGTCATGTATCATTAGAACCTCTCATCTTTTCATTAAAATTAGCATATTTTTCTCTAATATTTGTCGGTCATTACTTGAATACATCTGACTCTTGAGGAGTCATTTTGGCGAGTAGAAATTCTTTGCTTCGGCCCCTATTCGCGAAATGATATCCTTATCACGTGTTATGCCGCCCTTTTCCGCGGGGTCAGGAACTGACAAGCCGGCCGGGCGCGACCTATTGACTCATTTGGCATTGTACCACGACCACTATGCCCAATGATGAACTCGCTGAAATCAACGGAATTAAGCCAAACATCTTTATGGCAGACGGTGAAGAGAAACAGGTGAAGTCACAGACAAGGTGCGTTTTCTGAATCTTGTTGCTCGAATTCTTCAATGAAATTCACTGCAGCGCATCCGTATATAAAGTAAAGCGGACATGGGATCATTACTACTGGTGAGGCATCTATTCTCGATAGACTTCACGACCGTTCTCACAATGTTTACACAGTACTTGCCCTGTATGTCGGTATGCCATGTCTCTACGAAAGCCACAGCTTATCCCCAAATGATCGACCACTAGGCATGGAGAAATTCAGGTATTCCAGTACTCGGAAAACTTCTTGCATGCATCTGAACATTAATATCAGGGCGGTGTGCCTGTCAATGCCCGTAGTTGCAAGCATCTCAAGAGTTTGTTGGGAGACAAATATGAGGCCGCACGCATGAAACTGAGGAATCCACACAGGACACAAGGAACCTCTAAGAAGAAGCCGGAAAGCAAGACGAGAACTCCAGCCAAACGCAAGCGAAAAGATGTAGACGACGAAAAAGACGCAAAACCCGTAAAGCGGTCACGCAACCCCGTATCTTCTGGCAGCAAGAGCAGCGCCCACATCGATGATGATGACGAGGAGGAAGAGGAGGATGACAAGGGCGCCGAAAGTGGTCCTTCTGGGAAGAAAGTGCCTGAACTTCTATTAGCCAACAAATGGGATATTGAGACGGGTAACGATCCAACAGGATGGTTGATGTCTGAAAAATTGGATGGCGTCAGGTAAGTAGGACGCTCTAATATATTATCAGAATTCCTCTTAGTTGTCCTCAGAACCTTCTTCGATGGAAAGCATATGTACAGCCGTCTCGGGAATCCTTTCACGCCTCCCGCGTGGTTCCTCGACAGTACGTTGTTATAGTTCAAGTTGCCTTGGAATTCTACAACGTATATTTTAGAGCTTCCTAAAGATATCACACTAGACGGAGAATTGTTTGGGGGGCGTGGCAAGTTTCAGTCCACAGTGTCGATTGTCAAGACGGTCAACTCTCCTCATTGGAAAGGGATCACATTCCAAGTAAGGTTTCACTATATCTTATATCGGAGCCTTGAGAGAGCTTATTGTGCATCGCACGTGTCTTCTTCAGGTTTTTGACATACCTTCTCGTGGCGTTGAACCTTTCGAGGACAGACTTCAATATTTGAATAAAGTATTTGGTCCCAACGGAACTCATCAGTCTGACGAAGTCAACGTCGTTGAGCACGAACTTGTCAACAGCCGCCAGCACGTTTTAGATCAACTGAAGAAGATCGAGTCACTTGGAGGAGAGGGCCTCATGCTTCGCAAGCCTGGATCGTACGCTTGTCTATCCTTTTCTATAGTTCATAGCCCACGGTATCCTTGTTTAGGCAGTATGAAGGCTGTCGTTCTTCTACTCTTCTCAAGATCAAGGTATGACTATGTCTTCCGCATTTCTACCTAGATGTATTTTTATTGAATTGATCATGCTGCAGACTTTTTACGATGCTGAAGCTGTTGTCACTGGTTATACTCCTGGCAAGGATCGTAACGCAGGCGTGACCGGGGCCCTCAAATGCAAGATGGCCTCCGGCAAAGCATTCAGCGTGGGTTCAGGACTGAGTGATCAGCTGCGCAGGAAACCTCCTAAGATTGGCGCTATCATAACATATCGTTTCCAAGAGCTCACTAGAGACAACGTGCCAAGGTCAGTAGTTGCTGCCGTTGTACTCCATGACCCTTTCATGTACCATTTCTAGGTTCCCAACGTACACTGGAATAGCTATCGACAAAGATGAACCGAAGGACGCTGAGATACCTGATCATCGCAAGGCAGGAGCCAAGCCCAACGAAGACGAGTGAATTATCATCAGTATTATTATATCCCTCGTGACCGATACCCAATACCCTAAACATTCACACCTCTTTGGACACCTACTTACAGCTCGGATAAACTTATGAATGACTTATATTTGTAGTGACATTTCCAGTCTTATTTAGAAGTTCCCGTTCCAGTCCTGCTTTCAAACAGAGCCGCCTCAATCATGATAGCTGCCTTGACCAACTTGGCGTCTTCCGCACTTAAAGCCTCCATCTTCTTCCCCCAGAACGCTGGCTCTGGGAAGGTTGGATTATCGACAGCGCACCTCGTACCGTTTGCTGGTCCAATGCCTTCAGACATGTACCGACGTTGAAGTTTCATTGTACAAAGCGAGACCATAGATGTAGATGTGTGCTAGAGTCACAGTGAATGATTAGGTAGGGAAACCGGACAGCAAACATGTCTTACTCCGGGTCCCTCTTGAATAATGAGAACAGACGAATCAGGCATCAGAGAGTTAATCAATAATCCGCTCGAAATGGGCGTCACACTAAGAAAAAAATGTGAACGGAACATCCGATAAATGGGAGAAAGCTTACGGATCAGCCTGACGAAAGGTGTAAGTTAATTGTCACCCAGCAAAATGTAGACTACGCACCGTATTGCTGATAATAAGCATTGGTATATCTAGTGTTGCGTTCCAAGGCCCGGTAAACCTCTCCGGTCCCTTAGCAGGCCAATACTGGCATCCGCCGTCGGGTTCACCCATACCTACACTCATACCAAAATGAGGTGACACTTCACGTAAAGTCTTAAGCCCTTCGTCCGCCAAATGTTCAGCAGAGGGTGGATCCTTCATCGGCAAGGACGGCGGTGAATCAAGGCAGGTAACGGCCAAGCGAGCCACGTCATTTTCATGGGATATCCCTGACGGAGGGATAATCCAATTGTACAACTGGGTGCCATTTCCTGACATGGCTTCAGCAAAGGCTTTGGCACTGGCCGGCCACATTCCTGGTCTCTCAAGGTGTATGAGAAGAAGACCTACGAAGTTAATCAATAACTTTGCATTTTCATGGTAAGGTAGAAGTGCTTACTTCGTGCGGCACCAGATGTTAGATACCCAGGTCGTGAGGATCTTGAAGTAGCAAGCGGTTTTAGAGCCAAACGGTCAAAGAATTGCTCTAATCTCTGTTCAATATTTTCCCAAGGTTCGTCTTGATACATGGCGAGTGGGCACAAAGATGGCCCAGCCTAGGTGCCAGTATAAGATGGTATATTCCCTGAAACGGTTCACGTACCCGGGAACAATCCTCCAGATACATATGATACGCTTTTTCAGCCGAAGACAGCCAATTGAATGGCCACTTGTGTGATGGTACACCTTAAGGCAGTACGAGTGTCAGCGGCATGAACTCTTGGACTATGGATAGAGCGCTAACTGGACCAAGCAATGGGGTCTGCGATTCCGTCAATCACGGAATAGCCAATTCGATGAGGAAGCCTAATCACGGTTTCAATGAAAAGCTATCTGATGAGCAATGAAACTACACACATGTTCACAAGGTAAGCGCCAAGTATTGAGCCATATGATCCGCCCCAGTAATTGCTGAGAACGGTGAGCTACAGATTGTGAGAGCATGAAAACGAGATTACTGACATCTTTGATCCCTCGCCGTCAAATATTTTACTCATCAAGTCCATATCCCTCACAACAGTAGCCGTACCCATATATGCTAATTCATCTCCCATCCGTTCTCCGCAGGATTCTGCCTGGCTCTTCTTCAGAGCCAGAAATTGCTTATGCTGCTCAATAAGCTGATCGCGCAACATTGGAGAAGAGAGGTTTGAAATGGATGAAACCGTGATTCCTTGCTCGATGACAGTGTTGGCTACAAAAAGTTGGGCTTCAAGGACCGACGAGAAACATTTTATTGCAGGACTATTTGCGTCGAGTCAGGCTTAAATAACTGTTGTGCACAGTCAAAAAGAGACAAACGTTGACCGTCCTATTCCGCGCGGATCAAAGCCAATTAAATCCCACTGGTCGCCTAACAGCTCGGTGATATATTCTCCTACTCGAAGTAGAAGATTCATTCCCGATCCACCTGGACCCCCTTGACGTACATCGTGAGTAACATGAGTAATACAAGGGTAGACTGGGAAAAGACGAACCCGGGATTCAAAAAAACCGATCCTTTCTTGCGCCGATGTCGCCTTCTGGCGCGCGAAAGCTATTGTAGATGTACCGGCACTTGGGTTGAAGTAGTCCTTCGGTACACTGTTTATTATCGTAATGGGAGAATTCTATAGGAGAAAAGGGGATTCTTACACCTACAGAACCGCAGTCAAGGCCAGTGTATCCACCTGGACAAGGTTCCCAGATAATCTCTCCAGGTTCCCTAGAATCTTGTTTAGAAGATTGGGAAACACAAAGGTACGAAACATATTGAGGTCCACCGAGACGATAGACACCGAAAAGGACCAGAATGAAGCCAGCGAGCAGGTATTTCATTCGGTTCCATCGAACAGGTCGAGCAAGTGGCACCGAGTCTTCGGGTTTGAACATCACTGATTCTAAGAACTTTCACCGGCTCAATAAATGGATACAAAGGAGGGCGCAGTATTGTTCAGGGAGAATCACTAAGCCTTGGGAACGCGCATGTGCCAGTTCACTCGATCACCGGACCGAAAACGAGTTTCGGACCGAGTCGGTAATCAAGGTCCTATTTCCAGAAACTTGGCAACTGGGATGGACGCACGGAAAGGCCTTCTCTTTCCTTTGCGCAGATGAAGTGAGACGAATGTCAGGCCGATGTGATTACCACGCACATCTCTTAGAAAGTAGAATATAGCCTACAAACAATGCACTCCGGTTGCTGAAGTCAGCTAAGGTTAGTTCTAATGCTTTGTTATTAACGAACTATGTTCATATGCGTTAGAGTATATCTAATTTGCAAAACCTCTACATCCTGCCGCTCAATGCGAGGGTATACTGAATCTCAGTCCTTGCTCGCAAACCTTGATGTCGCCCTCAATCTTGCTCCAATGCTCAAAAATATGAACCTGCCTCAAGTATGAGATTACCGTCGAAGACCGAAAAAAGAGAACTCACGGTAAGGGTACACACAATGTCATGATGCCAGCTAGTAGCGCCGTGGCTCCCACCATGCCTAGTTTGTGGTACATTGCCCCTGCAAATAGCGGGAATGCAGCCGCAAAGGTCGACCGCATTGCACTATTGCTCGCCATTGCACTTGCTGCGATAGGTCTATATGCCGTCACTAGATATGTGAAAACGGCGGTGAAGACGAAGTAAATTCCAGCTCCAAATGGTATGGATGCGATGATGGGGACAATCCAGTGCACCGACGAATATGTAGTGAAGGCAAGCCAGTACAGCCCGACGGGAACGAGGATACCGCCCACTTGGCCCATATACAGCCTAGCTTCTGGAGGGGCCTTTCCGTTGTTCTTTTCTGCAGCACGGGCGACGATTCTGATAGACAGGATAAAACTATCAGTTATGCATTTTGCGAGAAAGTGAGTTGATATACCGGTTCCAATACGGCTGCGTAAACATGGCACAGATCATGCCCAAGCCAATTCCGAGGTATGTCAGTCCCGTCTGTTGCATGCTGAAACCGTGGTGCTCTTCAAAGATAATGGGGAAGGCTTGGAACGTGAGGTAGAGGATTCCGAGGATAAGGGCGGTCCTGCGAATATATCAGCATGAAGGACTACTCGTCCACTTTAAGGCGCACCATGTGTTAAGAAGGAGGGCCATCCGGTCGTACCATATCAATTCTGTAGGCCATCGTTAGATCGAGCGGAAGAAAGTTGCAAAGGCCGTACGGAAGGGGGTATAACAACTCAGAATGATGGCTTGTGTGAGATTTGTGTTCCGTCTGTCTAGCGGCGCCCACAGTTTCGGATTTCCTGTAGATTTTCGTAGTCTTATGCCCAATTCAATGAGCATGCCAACTAAGGAAAGGAGCCCCACGCACCGTGCAGCCTTTTTCTTGAGGATGACCGGCACATATGTTTCGGGTACAAACTATTGAGCGGTCAGGTAGAACAAACAATAACTTCGGAGACTACGCACCAAGAACAGCGCAACAAGTTGGGCGAAAATCCAAATTAGCAGAACACGGAAGGTCCATCGCCAGTGAGTGTTCTTTACGAAACGTCAGCTTCGGACGATAGAAGCCAGAAGGAACGGACCTGATTGATAAACCCGCTAATCAGAGGCCCAAGTACCGGACCAATGAATGGAGATATCGTATAGAATGCCATTGGACTAATGGCCTAGTTAGTCGGAGAGAAAACGGCCGCTGTTAGGAAGAACTCACTTCGCAACAGTAGCATTATCAAACATATCACTCACGCTACCCCCAGCCACGCTCAGAAAGGCCGACCCGCAGAAACCCAGTAACGAAACGGAATATTAAATAGACCTCTGCGTTGCATTATACATTTAGATTCAGGTAAGCTTGTGAATAGAAAGAGCACGTACCAATATTCGGTGCGAACGCTATTGGCCACGAAAAGACGAAGAAAAGCGCATAAGAGATGCGGTAAACAATCGAGCGGCCGTAGACCTCCGACAAGGGTCCCACAAGTAGAGGACCTAGACCAAGCCCTTCGACGAATAGACTGATTGAAAGTATGGTGACAGTGTGCGAAACATGAAAATCCTTGGCAACTCCCTGCTCTGCGAAGGACGCAACAGACGACGCGCACGTAACGCAGAGAGAAGCACAACTGATGATAACGATAATGACCCATTTCCTGAATGTCGACATGCACTGTGGATCGTCTGTTACATCGAGGACCACCTCGAACTCGTGGTCCGGGGCCTCTAACTGTTTTTCGGTGATAGCAGGGACGGAAGATTTCTCGTTCTCGACAGTTAGCGAAGAAGTCGAGCGTCCTGGCATCGTAGCACTGCGTGGAGAAGGGAGACTGTACAAGGGAGGAGAGACAGGACGCCTTAAGTATGACTCAAAGAAGAGGAGGACATCTTGTCGACGTAAACTTCTCGGTCAGCATACGGGTAATAGTTGGGGAGTTACCACGAGACCGGGGATTGGAAATTCCTACTACCCCCGCGATGCGGACCGCCGGCTCCGTAGGGATGTGGTTTCTAGGACACGATGATACCTCATATTGCGCATGTCGACTAGAAGGACAAGAAAGGTGCTGTACTTCCAAATATCAACGCATGTAGCTTCTGCTCTGCCACTGTTGTCAATCCTCCACTTTCCGCGAAACTAGAAATACGTGCCTTGCCGCTGTAGGGCTCGCTCTCAGTCGCAATGCCAGATGTATAAATGAATCATTAGCCAACAGAAAATGAAACAGTTTTTAAGCAAGTCCTGCTTGGACCTTTTATTGATAAGCCGATTCATTCCGTGATCGAAGTTACTCTGCGTTTCGGCAGGTCCGTTTTGCCGGAATAGGCCTCAAAACCCAATGTCCGTTCTTCCCAGACAACAGAAAATTTACCGACCGTCTCGTAATGTAGTAAAATTTTCTGACGCTCAGAAGAAAAGGCACTTGAGGTGCTTGCTTGGAGAAAGATCATTATAGTATTTAAACTTGCAATTGAGACTCACATCAACGATCATCTACGTTATGTAAATACCTGGCCCTCAATATTCAAGAATGACCGACAATGGGCAAAGGCTGATATGGTTCTTCCAAAAACTTCTTATCCTCTTCAGTAAGTGTGATGTGTATCGCGCCTAGTTGAACGGCAACTTAGTAAAGACGTCAATTCTCGGTAACTAACAACGTACCAATCAGTTGCGTCAGATTCTCCACAGATGTTGTACCCACGATGGGCGCTGTCACGCCTGAGCCAGTATGCCTCAGGTCAGTTTGTGTAATCCCCACTATAACGACGTTCTCACCTTCTTTGCTGAGTAACCAAGCAATTGAAAGCTGCGCCATCGAAATACCTTTCTTTTTAGCAAGGATGTCAACCCTAGAAAGAAGTTACCGACAGTTAGAACTGATAAAGCCTGTCAGCTATTAAAATTACGTGCCTGTCGACAATTGCATCAGTCGACTCAGACCCGGCGTATCTGCTCAGGACTCTATAATCTCATCAGCGTCAGCGGAGATGTACAGTGGATGTGACTCACTTGTCCACCTCTCCACGCCGAGTAGCTTTCTGTTCAGACATCGGCCTCGTCAGTTTCCCCCTCGCAAGAGGTGACCAAGGCATCGAGCCTACGCCAAACATCTTTGGTAGTCGTTAGCAGCATACTCATCGGTAGACGGGAGCGTACCTTGAGTGTGGGAAACATCTCTCTCTCTTCCTCCCGATAAACGAGGTTGTAGTGATTTTGCATGGAGATAAATGGTGTGAGGTTATTTTGAATAGCATAGTCTGGTCATCGCATTGAGTTTCGCACATCCAAGATAGACATCGCGACCTCACTTTGCATCGCATGAACTAGATTTCGCTTTAGATATCGAATTAAGACGGTTGATGTAACTTACACTGGTATGCATGGCATGAAGACATCCCGATGTAGCGAACATAACCAGCCTTGACAACATCATGGAGAGCTTGCATCTACAGTCTTGTCAGCTTGGTTTCAAGGAAGACGCAGGGGTGCCAACCGTCTCGGCGATTGGGGTCTGGTAATCGAATCGATGGCCTATAATTTCTGTAATCAGCCTTTCTACCTTCCTAGGCTAGTAGCATACATTGCAGCACATCAATGTAGTCGAGCTGAAGACGTTCCAAGCTTCCCTTTATAGCGTCAAAAATGTGCTGAGCCAAAGATTCATTAGAAGGTCGCATCTCACACTTTGATTATCTCACCTTGCGACTCAGGCCGTGACGATTGACGTATCCCTCGGAATCAGCTTTAGGATCACCGAAGAGGCTGACATTTGGAGTATCTCCAACGACGCCGTATACCTGTAAAGTAAATGAAATTGGTCCCGTGCTCGGAGATGAGGGAGGGGAGTGCTCCACCTTTGTTAACACGACAATTTTCTCTCGGGGAATGTTGTGGGTCCTGATTGCTTCGCCCAGAATAACCTCAGAGAGACCATTGGAATATGTCTAGAGAGTGTGATAAGTTGACTGAACGGAGGGGAGTAAAATTCTGCTCACATCTGCCGTGTCGAACGTGTTGATGCCTGCATCGTAGCTGTGATAAAGGAAAGCTAAGAACCAGAAGACCAGAGAGAGCGTACAGGCACACGTACGCAGCCTTGATGTGCTCGATCCCTTGCTCCTTCGTCAGGACCCACGGCTGCCATTCTGCGCTCCCATAAGACATACAACCCAGGATGATCTTAGACACTTTTAAGCCTGAGTTGCCCAGACGAACTATCATTGGGCATCAACGTGAAGATCCTGGTTCATTTATTCAATTTTGGGGAATGGAGCTCACCATACTGCATGGTAGTAGACATGCTGGTAGAAGGGGGAGAAAGCGGAACGGGCCGATAGACTGCTGAGAATCAGCTTATGTATGAGGAGCATTCACAGACAACGTGACGAGAATACCATCAGATGCTAATCAAAGATGTGGGTCATGGTATCTTTAGTCCGAGATACAGACAGTGGCGCCAAGCGGCTCCTGTCGCAGCAATGATGCTTAAGGAAGACCACAATGATTGCATGCCGGCAGCGTAGGGTTGACAGGGCATTCGAAAATTTAAAGTCGTCCAATACACCGCTGGACGCCGCGTGCGTGGCTATATCAATTTCAACTTACGCGCGCGCGCAGCTGCCTTTATCGTTAGATCTGGTGCAAAGCTTGAATCTTTCCTCATTCGAAGTGTGTACTGGCACAAAAGGAAGTGCACGATGAGTGATCAACGCTGTCACAAATATAGCTATGTAAGAATTTAGCCTCATTCATAATTCAGAAAACGAGATGCACCAACGTATTGTATCAACAGACGAGACTCGATTAAAGAGCCAACTTGAAGACGGTAAAGCTGACGACTGTCATGGTGAACACTTTGACATAGATGCAGATTTCAGCCGTTACGAGCTAAGATACCTGCTCCCAGTAAATCGTTGGTGCGAGGAAAGCTATATGCGCAGGGACACCGTGTCCCTGGTGAGATCGTTGAAGATAATTCTGTAGGCGACAGGGCTTGAACGTCAGGTAAGAGGTTACGAAAAACTTCAGTACAGATCCTTTTTTTCCAAGTAGGTATACGTATGGTGAATACAAGTCGGAGATCTTTGGAGACTGTCGCATAACTTGTCATGAAAAGTTCAGAGAAAGAAAATTATTGTCACAGTCGCGACGTGATGATCTCGTGATTGTGGTGATGTGATCCGCGTGACCGTGACATGGGCAACGTTCTCTAATTGACACCGACCGCACCCCGAATGGATGTCATCGAAATATCCTCCTCTCCAGAGCCCCCAGACTTTCTTGTATTGAAGCGCAGAGAGAGAAGACCTGTGAGAGGCAGAGGAAAGGGCAGGGCGAGGACTCCTCCCGTGGATATCATCGACATCACTGATTCTGACTCGGATTTCTGGGCAGTTCAGGAGGTTTCTTTGGCAGCAAGTAGTACAGCAGGACCTTCTACGGGCACTAGTGCTGTTGATCTTACAGATGATGAAGACCCATTTCTTGTGAGAGATGGCGTCTCTGCCACTGCTCCTGCCGCCGACCCTCTCGCTCAAGTACTCGAAATTGTCCCCGACGTCGAACCGAATTATGCTCAGGAATTGATCGCAAAGAACCTGCCTACTTTTGGAGACAAAGTTGTCGAGACAGTTCTGCATTCCTTGTTCGAGGATACTAGCTACCCGAAGGCGGAGAAGAAGCGCAAGGCGGCCAGTGGCAGTGGCTCTAGTGGCAGCGTAGCGAAGAAAGCACGGGGGAGTGCCGAAGTGGACTACGCCAGCACCGATAGACCCTTCACTGGAGGGCCTAACTACGCCGAACTTGCTATCGTGTGTCCCCTCCAATTTCCAAGACATTTCCTTTCTTATATGTGCGTGTACAGGATCAGCTGACACTGGATTTCCCTAACATACCTAAACCTTTTCTCCGGAAGCTCCTTAATGTGAAAGGAGGCTTTTACGCACCAACGTATCTTCACATCGTTCGCGAACAGAAGCGCGGAGCAAAACTGGATTATATCCCCAAGAAGATGCTGACCCGCCCTGCGAAAGGCAAAGGGCGTGCTATAGTGGACCCAGAATTTGAGCTTGAGAAGGCGTGGTTGAGTCGGCGAGATGAGAAGGAGAAGACCGCCGCTATCGAGGAAGAGGTTCCGGAGGGCGAAGGTATCGAGTGTGGCTGCTGTTTCTCAGAATACCCATTCGTATGCATTTGTTCTTTTATGAATGCTTTCTCTGACTTTCTTCTTATTCAGAATAAGATGGTACAGTGTCCAGACGCGCATCTCTTTTGCTCAGACTGCGTTACTGCGTACGCCTCCACTCAGCTTGGAGCGCACGATGTCAATATTTTATGTATGGACCAGTCTGGTTGCAAACACCCCTTTCCAGAGAGCGAGCTGCGAAGACTTTTGTCTCCCAAACTCATGGAGTTGTACGAGCGAGTCAAACAGCGGAAAGAAATCGAAGCAGCTGGTCTAGATGGACTGGAGGAATGTCCATTCTGTGAATATAAATGCGTCATCGAAAACCCAAACGAGAAGCTATTCCGCTGTGGGAACGAAGACACTTGTGGCGCTATCACTTGCAGGTCGTGCAAGAAAGCAGTATGTATCTTTTTCTTTCGGTGTCTAATCCGACTGCTCAACTTCAGGATAGGACCATCTCCCAAAGAGTTGCAAAGGCGCGCCCTGGTACCCTTCTAGTGGCTTCAAATAACTGATTGCATGCTCTAGAGATGGAAGAGGATCGGCATTTGGATGGCCGACATGCGATCGAGGAAGCAATGAGTGAGTACTCTAATTAGATGCATCTTCGGCTATAGCTCCTTTTAAACGTAGCCAAGGCGCTCATGAGAAACTGTCCAAAGTGTCAGAAAGGTACGTTACCACGTCTTCTTTTTCCTTTGTAGCATCTGATTTGCGCTTCAGCGTTCATCAAAGAGGCTGGGGTGAGCATTTCGTCTTTATCTACAAAGATGGTTGGCCGACCTTCAACCAGTGCAACAAGATGGCGTGCCCAAATTGCCATACCCTCTCGTGCTATGTCTGCCGACAGATTATCACCGGGTATGATCATTTCAATGTGAGATGGACAACTCGACGCTCTGTTCCGTTCTCATGCAGATACTCCCTTTTAGCAACAGGCGCCTGGCGCACCAACAACTTCAAAGTCAAAGAAATGTCTCTTGTGGGACTCGGTTGAGACACGGCATTCTGATGAGGTCGGTTCTTTATTGCGCTTTCGCTACAATCTGTGCAAACTTTCCATAGGTCAAAGCAGCTGCGGAACGTGCTCTGGCTGAGTACCGCCGTGATCATCCTGATATCGACGAGGCCGACATCAAAGTCGATTTGCCTAAGCCACCTCCCCCTCAGCCAGTGCGCGACCCATACCATGATGCATATCATCAACAACTTCACATGGCAATGCCCCCCGGTGTCAATATCAATGGTTATGGATGGAACGTGAACTTTCACCTCGACCCGTTTGCTGCACCACCCCCGCTGCCGCAGGTGCTACCAATGCCAGCACGGAGAAGGGCAGTGAGGAGGAGATGAGTGGATTCGGAGTTAGACCCAGATTCTCTTGTTATCTTGATATGTACGCGCACAGTCTATGCCGTCATCTTCAATGTCAACCATACATCCTTTTTGCTCAAGGAAGTCTGCGTAGTGTCATTGTTTTCCAACAGGTAAGCTTCCTTACGACGCGTCCCTTCAGGGATCCCTCACACTAGGGCAGAATGATATTGAATTAGTCCCTGAAGTGCCGGTATAAGGATGCCTTAATGAAGAATTTTACCCCTCCTACGCTAACAGCTTAACCATATTATTCGTGGTTTTCGATAGATAATCATTCAATCCCTTTCAAGCCTTCTTCGGTAGCTGGGCAGCCTGGACTATGCACCTAGAATATCCATGAGAATAGCTTACAATTGGGCGACCCAGGAAGAACTGACTTTTGGACCGTCCACTGAAACCTAGACCAAGAAGGAAGGACAGCCTCGTGCTGGCGCCCAGATAAACAAATCCGATGCTTCCCCAAAGCATCGCGTTCCACTCCCAAACCTTCCAAAATGCATCTAGTCCCAAAGGCGCCATCGTTGCTAAATGGCCCAAGTCTGCAATGAGCAAACAGAAGAGAAGACTACGCCATGTCTTCAGAGAAGATGTGGAGGATAATACAAGGTGCTCGTTCAGGGCGAATAAAAGGTATAAGTTGGCCAGTTGGTATAGGGCAACGTCGGTTTGAGTGGTGCCGACCACGTCGGGTTTTACTGTGGAGAGGCTGAGTTCACCCAAATAGAAGGTGGGATTTAGAGCGGCAATGAACCCTGCAATAGCAGAGATAGGTTCGATGTATAGGAAAAATAGTCGGTACGACAAGGGAATGGTTGTAGTCATGGTCACGCCGATTCGGGATCTTCCGAAACCCTCATATGACGTATGGGGGGCAAAGAGCATTAAATACTCGTTTCTCACACATGTCATGAGTCCCAAATAGAAACTCTCCCACAGACCAACAGTCATGCTATTAGCACGCAGGTCCACAGTCCAATTCCTCACCCAGTTCTCCCGTCTTGCAGCCATCCACACTACTCGCATAGCTCGGGAGAAGGGCCACAATCCAGATTCATACGCCAAAGACGTTGACTTTACACCTCCGTCTGATTCGAAAATTTACCGGATCGATCCAGACTCACATAGTGCGCAGAAGCCGTATGAGCCGCCGTCGAGTCAGTGGAGTGAAGTTGGTGCGAAGAGCGCAATTGAAGTGGGGTACCAGACAATGAGCAAGAAGGAACCGTACAAGCAGCCTGGACCTAAGGAAAGATATGGTGCTGTGCCGGAGTTGAAGGAGGGCGAGGGCCTTGCGAGTGGTCCGGGGGTGGAAAAGAAGGGCAAGTAGCTGGAGGTGGGACGAAGATGAGAATGGAAGAGCTGGCTCATTTGTGAGTTTATTCTTTAACGGCTTCTTCCACTTAGTGTTGACTTCAAGAAAACAGAAGCTTGTTAAATTGAGAATGTACTGTTACTTTGTGTCATGGGTGTTTGCGAACATTATGTGTTGAATTATTTACGTGCCAGTTCAACTGTACTTACTGTTTCGGTTGTGTCAGAATAAAAGCCCGAATTTGTTATGTTTGCCGACAGGGTGATGTTTTTGCAGCCGAGGGCGCTGGCGCTCGGCGTATTAGACGGGAGAAATTTTACATAAATTCAGTAACAACAACCTTGCGATCTAATAACGCCTGCAAGGCCCACATCAGGGGCAAAGCCTGCTACGTTGACCCCTCTTGAAGCCTTGTTCTTTATATAATTATGATGGTTTATAATAAACCAAGTTTATGTATAATTGATTGATCCTGCGAGGTTTACTGGCTATAATTCCTGCAGGAGAGATTGAATCAAGGCCCAAGGGTTATTCAAATCTTGGCTTGCGGAAAAAACTCAAAGTCATAATCAATAATAGTCAGCATTCAAAAAATAGTAGTATGAATGAGAGAGTACTACCCCTTGAAATGATTCACTCAGTGGTGGTGGCTTCTGCTGCTGAGAGAAAAAGACTCGCTCGGTGGCGGCATTCTGCCGCCACCAGCTCGCATTTTCTCTCAGAGTTCAGTCAGAATCCTTGGCAAGATCGGCCGAACAACGCCGCAGAAAGCGTGATAGTAACGGAGGGTCACATGTAAACAGTGACAAGCGGCGACTGTGCCACCCCGAAATTCTGACTTAAACGGAAATTTTGAAGCGCTGGGCCGTGAATTTCTTCCACAAATAGAAAATTCTATGACATCGGACTTCGGGTTAAACTCAAAACTCGGCTACCACCATCCCTCTATAAGACCTACTACTAACGTAGCAGGAATATGCTCAAAGCAATATTTGAAGTTGGCAGACTAAGAAATGCGAACAAAAATACAGTCTGCATGTACAGTTATTTACCGGTCAATGAAACAGCAAAACTGGATATTTACTGTAGGTTCCAATTGGTTGGGAATTTTGACTAGGTTTGAATGTAAGAATGTGTAATACTATACAACAATAAGATACAGTAAAAAAAAGATGCTCAAAGGTGCGAGTACAAGTCCGTTTTCACAGCATTATTGTGGCGTGGGTATTCTAGGCTATTTTGAGTCATTGAAACAGTCTGGCCCATATACCCAAACCTCATTAGTCAGCTACTCGGAATCGCTCGAGTGCTATAGAAAAGTGAGATCTCCTTTCCAGTCTCTCTCTGATATACAGCCTCAAAATCTTTGCAGATTTTTCTTGCACCTTTCCGAGGAGCACCAGGTAGTTTGACAAGCTCATTCTTGTATGCAATCATTTGCAATGACTGCCTTTTCCATTAGCTGGTCATGGCATTTGTGAGCAATCTGACACTTTTTCAAGTTTGATTTGGCATGTCCAGGCATAGTAAAAAATTGAACAAGAGGAGAAATAAAGTTTGGAGGCAGCAGGGCAATAATGGACGCATTGGACTGTCAGACTGTCCATCAAAGGTGATGGCTTGGCAGAACCGCACTTTTATTTATGCCCTAGACTCCTCAGATAATGGCCGCTTGGTCTCAAACCTGTCACACAGGTTCTTCAGAAGGTCATTAACATTATTGAGGCCTTTGTGGGTGATTACATTCAGATGGAGGACACACATTTCCAGGTCAGATTTTGAGTTCATGAGAAAATAGATATTTTTAGAACAGAAGCCTCAATTTCTCGGGAATATTATTCATGTCACATATGAAGAATCACTGCAGAACATGAAGATACAATACACATCAGCAATGTAATACAAGTTGATGATGAAGGATGAAGGGAGGGAGAGCAAGAGGCTAAGTGTTTCATTGAACCATGGTGTTGCAATGACCGGTAAATAACTGTATATGGGTGGGAACTCGGGCAGCCAACAAGTAGTCATGCATCAACAATAGATGTCGAGTGCCAATAATAGGCCACGTGGTTCCTGACATCACCACGCGTTTTTGGACTTGGCCGCCCTGCGCGCTGCGTTCGTTTGTCTTGATTACATATTTCCATGTGCAATCTTTTTCCTCTTACCACGACCTCCATCCCCCGACAGCCATGGTTCCCCATCCCTGGCACTGCCTGACCTATTCCTTGCTTATCTTGCCGCCTCTGTTGCTCACGACATACCTTTTCGCCGCATTTCCCAGCCCTCCAAGCTCAGTATACCTCTATCCGTCACTTTCCAGTCTACCACACGAATGCCGGTCCTGGAAAATCTACTCGGAAGACTACTATTCAGGAGGAGCATATGTTGACTTTCCGTATGGTAGAGTCAGTCCATTTTACCTACCCGTATACGAACCAGGTCGTACGACCTCGTCCGATAGCTCTTCATCTCTTCCATGTTGACTATTTCTGACCTTTGCAGGTTCGATACTGGCTATTAGGTCCCGAGACTGGACGAAAGGTTCGTCGATCCCTCAAGTACCATGACAGGCCGATCGCCTGACACGGAACAATTTCATCCGTAGATTGTCCTCATACATGGTCTCTCCGTTCCCTCACTCATCTGGAAAGACATAGCGCCACAGTTGGCCGCCCGCGGATATCGCGTTTTGATGTATGGTACGTATCGTTCCGTCGCCCAATGCATCTCGACTCACAATTTCCTACAGATCTTTATGGCCGTGGATACACCGATGCACCCCAAACCACATACAATACACAGTTGTATACCACCCAGCTTGCACTCCTAATGCAACACGTCAAATGGGATAAAGCAATAGTGGTTGGTGTCTCAATGGTTCGTTATCTTCTATTCCCCTGTCTCCACTCTAATCATTTAAATTTTAGGGAGGCGGCATTGCCGGCGCATTTACAGCTCATTTCCCTCACCTTGTCGACGGAAAAGTGATTCTCATTGCATCAACCGGGACTATTGAGGTATCGTACGATTCCCCGATACATCGTGGCGTTCATCACCGAAACCAGAAATAGTCCAGTGACCTTCCCAGAACGCTCAAGTTCATGTCCTCCCCAATGATCCAGAGTGTTACTTCAAGTAAACCGGTACGAGTTGAGTATAGATTCGTGACCCTGAATTTCTCACGAACGTGTACTAATTATTGATTCGCGACAGAAATATCTTCAGAACTTGATCCTGACAGATTCTCCGTCACCTGCTGAGTCCGACCCACTGCAAGAGGTACGTGATTAGAATGGGGTCTGGATGGTGCACTTATGAATGAGAATTATGCAGATCGTTCGGATACAATCTGCACATCTGCCGGGATACAATGCCGCTATTTCTTCATCTCTGCGGGACGGTCCCATTCGGGGGTTAACGCATGCTTTCAAGTCAGATGCCTTCAGCGGCCGGGATGTCCTCCTGATACATGTATGTGCTATTTACGTTCATGATTTCACGTACTCACGTCTAATCAGGGCACACGCGACCGAACTGTCCCATACAAATATGCTTCCGAAATACAAGCCCTCCTTCCTCCGGGTGCAAAGTCAAAGCTGATCACAGTTTCAGACGGGGGCCACGACTTGACGATAAGTCATCCGGACCTAGTGCTAGCTGAGATGGACAAATTTTTGCTTTGAGTATTTCCTGTTTTCGAGTATCTCGTTTTCTTCACGTTATGGGTTTTGGTCGTTTTCTTACTTTTCCCCTCTTCTCATGCTTCCCTACACTACTAAGCAATTCAAAATCAATCATTGGATTTTTTGTACTGCCCTACATATCCTACACATTGGTATCCACTACGCTAGATTACCTAACCATAACATCACTACCTGCCCCTTGCATTTGCTTCGATACTCACATACCCGATACCTTGTAGCAGTACTCTCTTCTGAAGCCCGTATTCTAGACATACGCTCTCCACGTGCATCTATCTACTTGGCAGTGAGCACTTGGTGGGCACACGAGACGAAGTTATAACCGTTTAGGCTCTTTCACCTGGCCATCTCGGAGCTCCTTTCAAATTCACGCAGGTTTATGACGAACTTCGATGCTTCTCTTATAAACCCACTAGACTTTGATAGTCTAGTCGTCATAAGTACTGGGTCAAAAGGGGTCGGATCGGACATTGCCATAAACCGGATTTTGAGATGCCGAAATAGCCAGCCATAAACCAATATGTCATGTAAACTAGCCTCGAACCAAGACCCTGGTTTATTTATGAAGTCACCGTAGCTCTCCTTCTTGCGCTTGCATACCAGAGGACGCGCTACGGTCCAGTTTCATGCTAGTAATTTCCACTCTAACTTTAATTGTAATTTGTCCCTGCCGTAAGTATCGTTACTTGAGTCATAGTCACAATCTGGTATCTTGTTCCGTGCCTCGACTACATCAAATAATAGACACAGCAGCGGCACTTGTTTCCTTCCTGTAGTGCTTACTTCAAATGTCGTGAGTATTATTTCATTACCGGATAGGTACTACATGCTCACGCTTTCATTGACCAGAGCCAAAAATACTCTAACGATTCACCCTTCTCTCGCAACCGTGTCCCAGGCGTGGGAGGTGTATCCCGAGGATTTCTATCCCGGTGGTTCCTATGCTGAACTTCCATTCGGTCGTGTGAGTAAGCATCCCCGTGTATACGCACCAAGGCAAGAAATCTGATTCTCTGTAGACACGCTATTGGCTCTTGGGTCCTGAGATGGGAAGGAAACTGGTTCTCATCCACGGCCTTTCCATCCCATCCATCGTATGGAAGGACATCGCACCCCAGTTGGCAGAACGTGGATATCGTGTCTTGATGTACGGTCAGTCGTCTTTCTGGATGGGCGATATGTCTGTGATGACAGTGGTAGATCTTTATGGGCCGAGGGTATTCTGATGCGCCGCAGACTCCCAATACCACGCGTTTCTTTGCAGATCAGTTCTCGTTCTTGATGCAACATCTGAATTGGGCGAAGGCCATATTAATTGGTTTTTCCATGGCAAGTCAACAGGCTGTAGGACTTGACAGCATAGTACCCAAGTAACTTATCTAGGGTGGTGCGGTGGCTGCCGGAGTGGTTTATCATTTTCCGCACCTCGTTGAAGACCACATCGTCCTGATCGCACCAGCCGGTGTTTCGAGGGTTCGTATTGCTTCATGCTTCGTGCGTGCTATGCACCGTTTGACTTGTCCAAAATAGTTAAGTGAATTACCTCCGGACTTGAAAACACCACCTCCGAGTATGGTGCACCGTACCATTCCTGCTGTTCCTGTGTGTCAAAGTTTCTCTGTCTTCACGCGTCTGACTCTCCGCTGGTAGAGCACATCACGATTGTTGCCGGATCCCACATCTGAAGTGCGTTGTTGATCGCTTCGGTTGGAACCGAACACCAATTTATAGATTGTACACCTCCAATGCACCCATCTGACGGGATTCAACGATGCCATTTCCTCGTCGTACAAAGAGGGTCCAGTACGGGCAATGGCATACGCATATCAGTCGGACACTTTTAACGGTCACGAAGTCTTACACCTTCACGTACGTATGCCCATGTGCACCTTTGATATTACTCACCTTATCTGGCGTCTTCTCACAGGGAACCAACGACCGAGTCGTGGCATATGGAGCCGCAAGCAACATACCGACCCTGCTACCGGACGGTGCACATGTCGAGCTTGTAACAATCGAAGGCGCTGGTCACGATTTGACTATCAGTCAAGCTAAACTCGTATTGGAAGAGTTGGATAGGTTTTTGCCCCAACCAACTGTATAAGACTGAAGCTACGACACTGCAATTAATTACGGGACTACGGCTTTACCCATAGGCAGCGAACGATGTGTCAAAAAAAATACCTGCCATCAACCTGTGTACATCGAATGAATATTAGCATACGTCTTGTTATAGGAAGTAGAAAGATCAGATGGGGTTGCCCGAGAAAATGAGCTGTGGCGGGCCATTTCGGCAGCGGAATACGAAGACCGTCGTGATAGAGCATCATGAGAAACAAGGACAGGGATGAACACTCACATGTTTCGGAGCAGTTGAAGTAGTCCACGAGAACCTGAAATGAATCGTCAATGGCCAAGGTCAACAGGCATGAGACTGCTGAGAGTTCAGAGTTTTTAAAAAACAGCCGTGGAATTGTCGTCAATGCACCACGAAAGTGCAAATCAGGCGGTAACTCCATTGTTACATCACGACGAGGATAAGGACATGAACGTACCCTTGTTGTCCGTGTTTACGAATGTAAGTCTGAAAATGACCAAGGTAGCCATGAACAAGGGAATCTAGGCACGAGTCAGTAAGAGTAGACACCAACGTCGAAGGAGTTCAGTAAAGGTAAAGATAAAAGCACAGAGCTATCATATAGCGCTCAGATACTCTAGTTTGAATGATTTTGAATCATCGTAGGAAGGTCTCAAGGTGTCGAGAGTTTTGGATGGGCTTACCAACGGTATTTCCTAGGATGTCCTGGGGTCTCCGTCCTTATATGCAGGCAGTTACGTCCTAATGTTCCGACGTCCCTGATTGCATCATGGATCATTCGTTTGTAGAATGCAACATCTAGTAGGAAACTGTAAGAAACTGAGCCAAAACACAATGGTAGAACCGGACAGTATTATTATAGTAAAGATAGCGTCTTCGCATTCGTGAATGTCATGGCAGTCCGGCGGAATAAGAACTCAAGAGACTCACCATGATAGAACTACTCCACATAAAAGAAATATCCGCAACGAGGAGAGGGGGCGGTGGGGGTAGACTAGCAGTAGTGATGATGGCAGGAGTGAAGAAGAAAAATCGACGATTACGGCTAGAGCCGTGCTTCTCGGCATTTGCCGCAGGTCTTTTTGTATGCGCGCGGCTTCAACGAGGACGTCCTTGTTCAATCATTCTTATTCTTGGTTTCTAAGCAACCTATTCTCCCAGCGGTATGAACTGACTGATCCCTCCCGTAACGAATTTCTTATTTGTGTTTGCGTCTCTTATAAGTCCTGATCTGGATACCGTTAAACGACTTTCACGATGATACCAGGATTCGCAATACTCGCCCACAACTATCACATCTTTGTAAACTGCATGCTCTGTGCCGCTCAAGTCTATCGCCACATGCTAGCACAGTTACTTTTCGGCTTCCGGTTGTCGACCGTATCGGTATGGCCGCCAGCCCTGCACTTGACTTCAGCTCGTCGGTCAGGCCCGGATTCTCGCCCCGTCGTAGGTTGGCCTCTCCCCTACTCTTTGGGTTCGTTCTGGCGCTTCTCGGGACGATTCTTGAGAATCGTATTCTCTGCGTGGACACTGAGGCTTATCTTGACACGTGCCTATCGGGCCTTCCTCAGTCAGCCATTGTCAACCTATTGGCCTGGTACAGATGAACTCAATTCTGGATTCGTCTCCACTATCCGTCTATCCATGGAACAGGAGGAAAGTGACGACGACGACGATAGTTCCCAATTGAAGTATCTCAAGTACACATACAAACCTTTACCCCCATCCCAGACTTTCAACGTTGTAGGTACCAGCTACCGCTTGCTGTCTAGCATCGGAATCTCGGGATCTACTAGTATTGTGTACTGTGCTCGAACAAGGAACGGAGTATTCGCTGTGAAAACGTTCGACAAGGCTACAACGAAACTACGCCAGTATCCTACTCCGAAAGCGATCGTTGACGAGAAGAACGCGTTAGTTGACCTCAATACTCCTGGTTCTCCCTTTGTGACACGGCTCTTGGCGTCCGGTGAAGATGATTACAAAGTTTATCTCGTGATGGTGGGCTCGCATAGTACGCTCTACATTATTTGTGATACTGACGAATTTCAAGTATAAATACACGATGAGTCTTCGAGATAGGCTTCGTATGCCTGCAGCGATACCCTTGGAAGACATCAAGATATACGGCGCTGAGTTTGTAAGCATCCGTGATTTATCGGAGTCACCGTTGGAGCTGACATTGACTTGATGGACAGCTTGCCGGCTTAGAATACGTTCATAAGCATCGATATGCACATCGCGACGTCAAGCCCGAGAATATACTCATCTCTCCATTTGGCCACATTTCTTTGGCCGATTTTGGTCTTGCCCGAAAGTTCACTTCAAGGACAGAGTGCATCATTGAGGACGATATTCAATCGGGGACAGCCAAATACTTCAGCCCAGAAGTCCATCGTCGTGAAGAGAAGGTCGATGCCGTATATACGGATATCTGGGGTTTCGGCGCCATCCTTCTGGAGATGCTTTTGTTCAAGGGAGACGTCAGTCCTTGTACCACTTCTCTAGAATTTTCTGATGCATTTTGAATAGTCTTTCCACCCCTACGAAGAGTGGCTAGCTTATATTGGCAGGAATGCGGGCAACAGGATATCCGAGTTGAACAGTGAGACAATCGATTTGTTGCAGAAGGTGGGTGGAAATGAACATTCTTTCTTTTTGGTACTGATTAATGTCGTTAACAAGGTTCTCGATATCAATCCAATCGGGCGGATAGGGATACTCGATATTAAGCGCCACCCTTTTCTGGAAAAGTATGCGATGTGAGCGATCCCTAACAATCATCCTTGCTTTAACATTTGCCATTCAATGCAGACCTAGTGACGGCGACGTGCTCAAAATTCATTGTCGTGAGTATCATCATTCTCCTGTCTACTCTTCTGACGCCTCGGCTCATGCATATCAGCGTCTTTTCGTCCACGGGGGGATCATCGATGGACTAGCATACTTCCCAAACCTGTTAGCCGACGGGGAGGGGATGTACGTCAGACTAACGAGATCCTGGGCCTGAATCAACAGCCCCCATTATCTTTTTGGAACGGCGAAGGCGGGTGCCTAATCAATTACATCTGTCTGGAACTCGAATTCCATGCTCTTCATTGCCCCGAGCCAGGTCTGCTCTCGATCTTCTTGGATTTGGCTTTTTGGTATATCTTTGGGCCTGTATTTGATGTGATCTACAAACTGTTAAAACATGGTTAGGCGCATTATATTGTACATCGTAGATTGCTCTATTAGAATATTATAAATGGACTAGCACATCTATCATCATGATAAAGTATCGTGAATATCGGTGAATGAGCATAAGATTGGATGGTGACAAATCTCTAGCCAGACTTGTGTTTCTGAGATTCGACCTCTGCTAATTCTACATCATCGTCGTCGTCGTGTTCGCGCTCATGCTCATCGAATTCTTGAGGTAAGGTAAGATTGAGAATGACGGCCACGATTCCGGCAGCAAGGACTAGACCAGATTTAGAGCTTTGCGAGGAAATGAAATGGAAAGAAGTATGCTCACAGGGTGTACTAAGGATAATTGTAATGGAATCAAACAGACCTTGCAAGCCTTTATTCGGATTGTCTACACCATCAAACAGGTGTTCAAAAATCGTAGGCACCAATAGGTCGCCAAACCCGAAGGAAAGAGCGGCGGCAAGCACGAATCGATCACGCCGGGTGAAAGCGTTGTAGGCGAGGACGCGGATACCAGATGTAGCCACCGAGGCAAATAAGAATGTCGTTACTCCGCCAAGGACGGGATTAGGAATAGCTAGGAAGACGCCTGATATCTTTCCGAGTACCCCGAAAAGAATCAGGAAGAAGCAGCACCATCGACCAGCTGAACGGTTAGCACATCTGGTGATAGCGATTACACCGTTGTTCTGTATACGCGATGAGTCAAGCCCGAGGACACCAAAGAGACAACCTTACTTGTGCAAAGATTGACAGTGGGGTTACGGTAAATAGCGCTGAAAAGAATCCGCCGATCCCATCGCTCTGTGACCAGAACTCAGAATGAATGACATAAAACTGCTGGTTGATAACGTACGAGAAGGCCGCCCTGTATCCGAGAGTCAAACTCAAGGCCATCAACTGCGACTCTTGAGACTTCGGCGGACGCGGTAATGTCGCCAATGGCTTCCATAGCGATAGACACTGTGTTAGGGTGATCAACACAGGTAGAACTACGGATGTAGGAAACCAGCTACCATAGACCGCCAACATAGGCAATATTGCGGGGGGATATACACCAATTTTGAAGGTATGTACCCTGGAAAAATTAGTCTTTTGATAGAGTTCATAGATGCCTGAGAATATTTACCATAAGAAAGTAATAGCCGGAGCTGATGTGATACTACTTCCGTCGATGTATCCAGCAGCCCCACTAACAATACAGCCAACTGCGAGGCCGACGACGATACTGATATTTTTCAGGAACGGTGACCCGAACAGTTCAGTCAACATTATAGTGGAGAAACTCAAGAAGCCAAGGCCAATGAATTCGGCCGATCCCCAGCTATGAGCAGACACCATCAGAAAGAAAGTTGTGATAAAGAAGGGTGGGAACATACGGAAGGGGCCGCGGTGCTGCTATGTTAGGACAGAGCTGGAAGGACCCAGAAGTGGGGCGATCCATGCAATCGTTAGAACCTCCACCCCAATTGGGGATGCCAGAATCTCCGATGAGGGAGGCCCCAATCATAACGATGACTGAAAGGGGCAACATGAGCCCATCGGCGGCGAACTAGGAGAAACTGAAGTACCTGTCCCTGTGACGATGGGCGGGAAAATGTGCTTGAGCTTGCGAGCAGGCACGAATGACATGAACATTTCGAGGAATGAACAGATGAGAGAGGTTCCTGAAGAGCTGTTGGTGTGCAATTCGAAGAGTCGAAGGCGCGAGGACATACCTAAGACCTTTCCATACGCGTCTGGACAAGCCAAGCGTGTAACGGTTCCATCAGCTGCGGTCGTGGAGGGACAAGTCCCATCGTTGTACATGGCATCGAAAATCTACAACTTATGTTAGTCAGAGTAGGAGAGCAAATGTAAGTCGACGCACGGCACTGGCAGTACTTAGAGTCGCGAAACTAGTTCCAACGACGCTGATCAAACCAGTTCCGAGGTAATGACCGCCGAAAAGAGGTATCCGGGACATCTGAACGAGACTCAGGATACCTAATGAATACGGTCAGTCTAAAACTTTTAGCTTAGACGCGTCTGTTTATTTACCACAACCAATAAGCGAAGCAGAGATCATATAGGCGGAGAGCTCGTCATCAAGGCTTAGAGCAGACGCGAAAATGATTGGAGGGGTAATAAGACCAGCAAGCATAGCAAGAGAATGCTGAAAGCCGCTTGAGATGGCAAGGATCAAAGGAAGATCTTGTTCCAACGCATAAAATGGCGGCGCTCGCTTCTGCCTTGCGTATGGCAAGGTAGGCATACAAAGCCTGCAGGGTATTGAGCTACAGAATAGTGCGCGCGCGTTAGAAGACGCACCATTTGTAATCATAGTCCCCCAACCATCCATCTCGCGTCGTAAATTTTTTGGCTATGCGAGATGCTCGTTCCTTGAGTGCAGCCCCGCGAGAGTTAGCTTCGGGTTGAGCGATAGGCTTGGGCTGGCTCGTGGTGAGAATATCGGACGACATACTTGTCGAAAAAACAGAACTAAAGAGGAGAATTTATATTCCCATGGACCGCTTTGCATTGCGGACAGGTGCTGCATATGGCTTTCCAGAGATAAGGGTCTAGATCAATTCAGTTCAGATGATGACTGTCAGACGCCAATACCCACCCCAGAGCCGTTGGTGTTCCATAGTGTTCCATTCGGTGTTAATACTAATCCAGACAGCTTATCTTGGTTGAACTTCTCTTGGTTCTGTGCGGAGTCTTGCTTGGAAGTCGATAATTTATTTCCCAGCTTGACAACAAACAAAGAGCGGCCAATCGGCGGTGACCCGATATAGAAATGCGGCTTCGCCGCGGCTCTTTCCTGCACACTCGACACCTGTAACCGATGCGACGGCCATGAGCACCCAAGATGGTCCCGAAGGCCGCGTCAACGGTGTGCCGATGGCGAACGGTCAAGAGGAGAAGGAAGATATTGTCGAAATAACGGAAAGTCCGTCGGAAATGAGTGACGTTAGCTCCAATGACGAGGATTCAAGCAGCGGTGAGGAAGTGCATAAGGAGGAGGAGGAGGAGGAGGAGGAGGAAGACGGCGACGAAGACCAAGATGACGATGAAGAGGACGATGACGAACCAGCGCTGAAGTACGAGCGAATAGGCGGGTTCATCCCTGACCTCTTCAAGAAGGATTCAGCATCTGCTCTGGCCATTTCAAACGGCAAGACCATGGTGAATATCGTTTGCTTGCAGCTTCTATTCGACAACATTAATGTCGAGAAAGCAAGGCCTTAGGAACACATGCAGGCTTCGTTCATATGCTCGACCTCGCCGGCAAGCGGCTCAAGTCATACAAGCCTCACCAGGCATCCGTTGTCGACATATGCATTGATGCTACTGGAGATTTCATTGCTACGGCTTCGATTGATGGTGAGCTTCAGGCACTGGTGCTAATGTAGTGCATATGATGATACCTTTATATAGGACAGGCTGTCATCAAATCTCTGTCAACGACCGAGTCCTACGCCTTCGATATGAAACGCCCAATGCGCACCGTGTCGTTGGAGCCGAATTTTGCAAAGAAGAGTACTCGATCTTTCGTCAGTGGAGGCCTGGCAGGGTCGTTGATGTTGCACGAGAAAGGTTGGCTTGGCCACAGACAAACGGTCTTGCATGTCGGCGAGGGACCAATCTGGCAGGCACGGTGGAGAGGCAGGCTGATTGCTTGGGCAAATGACCTGGTCAGTTATTTGATTCTGATGCTTAAAGATTACCAACACGTCAACAGGGTGTCAAAATCTACGACACGACGTCCCAAACGCGAATCACCTTCATTGACCGTCCCGCAGACAGCCCACGCGCCGATTTGTTTAAATGTACCCTTCATTGGCAGGATGATTCTACCCTGTTGATATCCTGGGCAGACCATATCAAGGTGGCCAGAATCCGTGCGAGGCCCCGGACGAATACGACTGCGGCATCTGCCAACTTACCTCCTCTTCTCGTCGAAATAACCGCTGTTTTCCAGCTAGACTGTATGATTGCTGGTATTCTTCCCCATCCCACGCCTCCCTCAGCCATCCTTTATCCCGACCATGCGTCAAGTATCAATTCCGGAAAACATGCCAGAACAGCATCGTCCATATCTACGCACTCATCTACCCCTTCCTCTTTACTTATTTTGGCATACAGCCCGCCCGACACATCTTTCCTCGAAGAAATGACTCAGGATCGCGACAAACAAGCTCGGAAAGTCGCTGAACGTCCGGAATTGCGGATAATATCTCGTTCGGGCGAAGAACTTGCCGCTGATGCGCTTAGCGTGACAAAGTACCAATCATGGGGCTGTAATGACTATGTTCTGGCTGAGGTTGATACAGATACCTTGCGTTCAGATGTCACAAACGAGAGCAGATCATACGTGGTGTTGAGTCCCCAAGACTTAATCCTTGTGAAACCCCGAGACCGGAGAGATCATGTTCATTGGCTGGTTGAGCGGAAGAGATATGAAGAGGCGCTGGAAGAGCTCGAGATCATCGAGGCCAGTGGCGATACCGTGGAGGAAGGCGAGGATGGATTGACTGCTTCGGAGATTGGTCAGCGATATATCGAACATCTCATCAACGATGGTATGTGAATTTATGTTGTTGTTTATAGTTGAATTGACAAAGGTTAAAACTAGGCGACTTCATCAAGGCGGCACAATTATGTCCAAAGGTTTGCGCGCATGATTCCAAACGATGGGAGCGTTGGATCTTTACATTCGCCGAAAAACGACAATTACAGGTAGGCCAACGTTGGACATACTGTATTATTGTACTCAGTTAATCTTCAGGCCATCATTCCCTTTGTACCTACGGAGAATCCCCGGCTAGATCATCTTGTGTATGAAATGATGTTAGCTCATTTCCTTGCGCATGATCGACATGTAATGTGTCCTCTGATTTTGTTGTCAAACTACAGCTGATTATTCTTCCTGCAGGCACTGCAGCAAACGATCAAGGAGTGGCCTAAGGACATTTATGATATTGCTGCGGTCATTGTGGCGGTCCGCTCAGAATTGGAGAAGACCGCGTCAACGTCCAAGACAATATCTTCGTCGCCAGACACCACGATCCTAATGGAATGTTTAGCAGAATTGTATGTCCCCGCTTTCCGTCTGCTATTCCCGCTAACAAGCAATCGTCCCAGATATACTGCTAATCGACAGCATGGGAAAGCTCTGACGTACTTCCTACGACTTCGCAGACCGAACGTCCTCGATGTGATACGAGAGCATAACCTCTTCACGGACGTCCAAGATCAGGTTCTCCTTCTCGTAGAGTTTGATCATGAACGAATCAGGAAAAGGCAGGAAGCCGGGGAGGCTGTCGATGAAGACAAGAGCGATGCCATCTCTTTGTTGGTAGATAACATACATTCTATCCATGTTCGTGTTGTTCATACGCATTCATTGACTTTGTTGACATCCTCCTGTAGATTCAAAGAGTTGTACCTCAACTTCAATCCCAGCCGCGATACCTGTTTCTTTATCTCGATGCTCTGTTCAATAGGGACCTTCATCTTGTATCCAACTTCGCGGATATGTTGGTGCGTTTGTAGATCAGAGGTCGGACATATATTCTAAATCTGTTGTCAGGTGAAACTGTACGCTGAATACGCGAGACAGCGACTGGTTGACTTCCTTCGGGCGAGCACCGACTACAACCTTGAGATCGTAAGCTCTCTTCACCCTCTTCTGTACCCATATGCCGATAGCTGGCTTAGGCGTATAATGTTTGCCAAGATCGAGAATTGGTTCCAGAGATGGTGTATCTCCTCGGTCGTATGGGAAACAACAAGAAGGCGCTCACACTCATCATTGAGAAACTGGGCGATGTTCGCCAGGTAGGTTTCTTGGCAGCTGCCTCTTCCCAATATTGACGTTATTTATCGTATTAGGCGATCGAATTTGCGAAGGAGCAAGCTGACGATGACCTCTGGGAAGATCTGCTCAAGTATTCCGAAAGTCGACCAGGTCAGCATTTGTCCGAATACACACCTTACGCGACTCCTAACTATCGCATATCTAGCATTCATCCGCGGCCTACTAGAGAATGTTGGACCGGAGATCAATCCTATTCGTTTGATTAGACGGATCAAGAACGGGCTAGAGATCCCTGGGTTGAAAGAAGCGCTCATCAAAATCCTTCAAGACTTCCAACTTCAGATATCATTACTGGACGGCTGTCAGACGATACTGAACGTCGATATATCTGATCTTTCGCGCAAGTTGTACACTGACCAGACGAGCGGGTTCTTCTTGACTGGTATGCGCCGTACATAGTATTATCAGAGACCTTGACTGATGGCTTTTCCCCAGCGATAAGGCCATGCCCTATCTGTAGTAAGCCTTTACAACAGTCACCTCAAGCCTTGATAATGCTCTTCTTGTGCCGGCATGTCGTTCATGCATCCTGTGTTAGTGGCGGCGACCACCTCCCCTCACAGCCAGATCCTGTGCTACGTGGAGTTGGAATAGCCGGTCCGTCTGGGAGAGGAATGAGCGGGAAGATCGCATTGTAAGTTGTTGTCTTTCCAAGTTCGAGAGGTCTGTCGTTCAACTTTTCTCTCAGCGAATCCATTGTCCGGGCGCGGATAGAACATGGCTGTCCAGTGTGTCATAACAAGAGCGAAGGCCTGGGATCTTCATGATATATCAAATGTTTTGTCCCTATTGTTACCCGTGCTATAACATATACCCCGGAAAGGATCCATTATTGGGTGATGATTCTCGGATTTGCGAAAGCAAAGGGCATTCATAATAAAGGTATCCAGAACAATCCTATCATCAAGTAGAGTATGAACAGAAGAAAAGTATTAATCAAGGGATTAGCTCAAGTCAACCTCTACCGTCGGCCCAACATCATCCTCCGTTTCATCCACGCTGTTCGTCGATCTCTCCTTCTCCACAGGTGGCGGGGGAGGGACCTCTATACTCGAAGGGGTCATGACGCCAGGCTTCGGCTCATCCTCCTGCCTTCCCAACTCACCTCGCAGGACAGACGGGGGCGAGTTACCTGCAGGCACAGACGCACGCTCCGGGGTCGGGGCCGTAGGCGACGATACCGGTGAAGGGAACTTGAACTCCCGATTCATTGTCCCGCTTCTACTCTTCCTCTTCGTAGACACGTCCGTCGCAGGAGGATGGGCCTGTACGGGTACCTCTTCTGCAGATTCTTCAGGCATAGGTTCGAATGCGGGTTGGTTGACGAAGGGAGAGTGCGTACTGGGTGGCGAGGTGGTTGAGGCCCGCGCGACTACCGGCATGGAGGCACGATTGGTGGCATTCCGGTGCGCAGTGTCTGGGCTGGGCTGGCTGCGGTTGACGGCAACTTGGGATAGTGATTGGGAGCGAAGCGGTGTCACTCGATCGGCTTTTAGGTCAAAGGCACCAATGGGAACCATTCTGTGGGGAAGTTGATTAGTTGGAAAGGGCATTCAGGTTGTGAAGACCGACCGTTTCTCGGTGTAACAAGCGATAACCCAGTCGGGGTAGAGGACTGGAATACTGAGCTGTAGCGCTCGTTGATATTCGACGCCCGGGGCGCCAGCTGAGCCTCCTGTGGCTTGGGCACCATTTGTTGTCACAGCTGGTGTCGTGCATATAAAGTGCGTCGTGTCGATTTGTATCTTGTCGCTCCATTTGGCTTTCATTTCCCTGAGAGCCATCTTGGTGTTTTCGAGCAGGACAGAGTCCTGCACGTTACCGAAACATACAGAAATGCCTGATGTGTTGGTCATGGTGTGTGTGCGAACACGAACGATGTTTGAGGGAAAAGTCCCGGCGGTGGTTCGAAGGATCAGTTGGAAGGTGTATTCTTCGTCTGTTTGGAGGCCGGAGAGCTTTGTCGAGGTGTTGGTCAGTGGAGACGGTATCGATGCCAGTCGTTCGCCATTCCTGTAGATGTCTAGAGAGCGCAGCTTTGCTGTGGAGAGCTGAACAGGCGGCCATTCCAGCGTAACTGAAGTTTGGGTAACGTGGCGAAGCTACAAGAAGGTCAGCAATTATTTCTCGCAACACAGAAAAGCTTTCGCACCAGAAGGTCAGGATTGGAAGGCTTCACAACACCAAATTCCTTCAAAAAGTCCTCCTGCAATGACCAAAAGTCCTCCTCGCGTCGTTTCTCTTCTGCGTGGTTTTGGTGCACGGCAATGCTGACTATCGACCCCGTCGTCGCTCCAGGTGGCAGGAGCACAGAAGGAAACTCAATCAGATGAGCGCGTTCACCCAGCAGGATCTACGATGCTTGTCAATGCCAAAATGTGTTGTTCCGAGGAATTGCCTTACAGCCATCCCAGCATCTATTAGATTCAGTCAGTCCGAGACCATACAAGGTCGTACGCTCATACCGAGTTTTCCAACAGTAAAAGTAAAGCTTTCTGGCGCCTTCTCCATCGTTAATGTCAGGCGCTGAATGACGCGTTGGTCGTTCGAAGTGGTAGGGACAGAAGAAGATAAATTTTCCCACGGTACGATGTCCAGATCCCGACTTCCTGTCTCTTATATTTTCATCTTCGAATTCAATGCTCAGCGCTAGCGCTCATCTCTCGGCTCTAGATGTGCCATATACCACGTACAAGTCTGGAACTAACTTACACTCGCAGGAGGAGAGCAGGTATGATACTCGAGACCAATATGTGTACAGATCCAAATCGTTCGCAAAAACTACACGACTACTATACTACAGAGTTGTCTGTCATACCGCCGCACGCGGTGACGGCGCTATGACGTATGCTACGCCTTGCGCACGGGCCACCCCCGACGAGTATAAAAGGCGCGCGCCATCCCTCAACGCCCCCAGATCATTCTTTCCCTCCTTCCCTCATCTCCCCCTCCCGGCGAGTCCATCGACGTACCGGCCCGCAAACTCCTTCACCCATATGATGCTGTCGACTCAAGGAATGCCACCTGCCCTCCGTCGCCTTCGTTCTCTACGGTCGTGTATCAGCGTATCGTCTACGTCCTAATCCTGCTCGTCGACGCGCACTTTACTGACATCGCCGCGGTGACGTAGGGTGACGACCGCCACGGTTTTGGTAATCAGAACGCCATATACAACCTCCTACAGCTTTTGGCAGACAGTCTCTGAAGGTCAAAGAGACCTGACGCTCATTGTTGAAGTTGTTGCGTGATGGACCATGCTACTGAAACTTCGACCTATGCAGAGGACCTCGGTCGAAAAGAATTGCTGAGCCTTAACCCGAACCAATGACCACGTTGCTCTTTCTATTGAATCCATTAGTCTCGTTCCGAGGAGACGTGATTGCGGCTTCGTTAGCCTACGGAATATTTATATTTCATCTGCAACAAGCCCGTGTGCATGTGCACCAACATCGAGATCTCTCACAACCCGTACAGAAGACGTTGCCTTTCGGACATTTTTCATTTCTCGATCTCCGTCGTCAGTCTTATTCGACCAGGATTCGTTCAAACGTTGGTGGCGTCCAACGGATGTGTCACACACGGACAGAAAAGGGTTGTGGTCATACACACAGTTCGAACCCATATGATCAGAGATGCCTCTCCTCTCCTCCACATGCAGTCGTCTCTCTCCGCAACCAGTCTTTCCTACGTCTGCTTCGAACCCCTTTCCGAGATTTCTTTCTGCTGTATAGCATCTAGTAACAAAGTCCGAAGACGTGTTGCCCGCTTAATCCTTGCATTCGTTCAAAGCCCTGTCCAGTTCCACACAGAATCATGTACCTCAGCTCTACATGCAGGCGAGGCTACAAGGAGATCCGAAAATACCAAGTCGAATGCATATATACGAGCGGACGCTGTTTCCGATTGCTATTAACTTCTGTGTACGAAATTACACCAACCACGACAGCACCTCGATATTACCAAGCAGACAAAACAGCAGCGGACAAGAAAGATGCTGTATCATTATGTTTCCAAACCTGTTTGAATTGATCAATCCTCAGCGAGACTTGCTCGAGTATAGTGCGGAGTTATTACTCTTGAACGCGCAAGAGCTGGTATATTTATATGTCGGTCTATTCTCTGGCGTGAGCTGTGTACGAGAGAGACCGAGCTATAACTTGCTGAATATCTATTCAATACTGTGGACAGATGTATGACGATGTATATTACACTGGAAATATATATTCCATTTTCTGCGACGATATTTTTGCCACCATTGCTTAACGGCTTACTTATGTAATCATCTCCCTCTTGCTCGGGCCATGTAACGAATCCTCGGTGATTGCAGCAAGACTAGTCATCTCTTGATATGTTGGATGAATTGTCGAGCGTTCTTCATCATGATCCTATGCGTCTGTACCGCGCGAAAAGAGATGCAGCCCATCGTCCGGTCACGTCGAAATATAGCATTCTTGGCTTCATCTCCTCTGGGACCTATGGACGTGTATACAAGGCGCAGAGTCTTGGTGACGATCAGAAGATTCACGCTATAAAGAAGTTCAAGCCTGACAAGGAGGGTGATGTGGTCACATATACTGGCATCAGTCAGAGTGCCATTCGGGAGATTGCGGTGAGTCGCCTGTAAAACGATTCTCTTCGCACTCACATCGAGACCTTCCAGCTCAATCGAGAAATAGACCATGATAATGTTGTGTCTCTCAAGGAGGTCATTTTGGAAGACAAGTCCATATACATGGTCTTTGAATACGCCGAGCATGATTTCTTGGTCCGTGCAATCCATCTGAATGACCCGTCTGCTCACGCAAAAATGCTTACAGAAAGTTATACACCATCATTCACAAACACTGCGTTGTTCCATCTCTACGCCCGTGTTGAAGTCCCTAATCTATCAGCTCTTCAACGGCCTTCTTTATCTTCATTCTTGCCATATATTACATCGAGATCTCAAACCCGCCAACATCCTCATCACCTCGGAGGGTGTAGTGAAAATCGGCGACTTGGGACTTGCTCGTCTTGTGTATGAGCCCCTTCAGCCACTCTTCGCTGGAGACAAGGTCGTCGTGACAATCTGGTATAGGGCGCCGGAGCTGCTCATGGGGGCGAAACACTACAACAAGGCGATCGATTGCTGGGCCGTCGGATGCGTTATGGCGGAACTAGCCAGCCTTCGGCCCATATTCAAGGGTGAAGAGGCCAAGCTAGATTCGAAGAAGAACGTGCCCTTTCAACGGGACCAGTTACTCAAGATATTTGAGGTTCTAGGAACGCCAGACGGTAAGTGCATCATGCGAAATCGGTACCATTTCTGACTGGATTGATTTTAGAAAAGGACTGGCGTGGATTGAGGAATATGCCAGAATTTCAGAACATGAAGCGATTGGACTAGTGAGTGGCCTTCCTCCATGTGCTCTGTCAGATTCTCATGTGATAATTAGCTTTCCCAATCACCTGCACGACTGGTGTCAGCCGCGCATACGTTCCACGCAAGGCTATGATCTTCTTCGACATCTGTTTGCATACGACCCAGACAAAAGGCTCACTGCAAGTGAAGCGCTACAGCATAAATGGTTTCACGAGGAGCCCCTACCAACATGGAAGTGCGTTTTCCCTGTTCTACCTGTCGAGCCGTTTGTTCAACAATTCTCAGCGCCTTTGAGTCTGTGTCACCCCATCAGATACCACCGCCTCGACGAATAACACAAGACGAAGGTCCATCATCGATGATCCCTATGGCTATGAATAATTCACACCCACATCAGCCTCTTATGGCGCCAGGCGCCCCGTTTGCCCAGCCCCAGACGCAGTCCAAGCCGGGGAGCTCGGCGAGCTTTGCTAGTCTAAGTGGAGGAGGTGGTGTTTACGTTGGCCAAGGGGCCAGTGGTAACGCATCAAACCCTCATGGTAGGAAGAAGGCGAGGCTTGTTTAGAGGCACCAATATACATCAAATGAAAAAGAAGCGCTAAGTGACGTAGGACTTCAATATGCACCCATCACTCGGGGTAGCCGGACGACGGTGCTGTTTTCGATACCTAACTTCAAGATGTGCGAGCGGGCTTCAACTTCCTGCCGCTGCGGCGGAATCAATGGGGAACTGTATATTGCAGGTGATAATAGATTTTTGAACATTTGCCAAGTTTTTTAACAGCCTTGAAAGATCTCAGGTGGGTCTGAGATGTCCGTATCCTTTCGCTACCTGAGTGCCACGGCCTGATGGTACGACAATGGCCCTGGTTGTAGGCTTGGCAGTCGGATTCTGGCTTTCGTAAACGGGCCCTGTAGCGGCATCGTCAATCGGAATATCCTCGTATCTTATCGCACAACGTGCACCACCAGCACTAACCTCCCTGGAATCGGAAACCACTTTCATCTTCTTCAGCTGAATCATGCTTCCACCCCACAAACACGATGGGCTTCGTTCTCGTCGCAATTCAACTACGTCGTCCGCTCACTTCGGTGCATCGTTGTGCGGCTAGATAACGCCTGAGCGCTTCAACAATGCCAGAACAACTATCATTATACACTTTTTCCCCACGAATTTCTTCACGCTTAAATCTCGTTTCCCTGCAGCTATCTTAGTTACGACACTCTCAAAGCGCCATGTCTTCTTCTTCTCGTTCAAACAGACATTCCTCGCACGATACATCGTATCGCTGCAGTCTGCTGATCACTTGATGAAGTCAGTCGAAGCGTGGTTTATCCTGGTGTGATAAATCAATGTTCTTCGCAATTCATTGATGCGCTGGATGGAGATATCGAACCTTCTTTGTCCTCGTGCTCGATCGCACGATTTTCGCCTAAGGGAAGGATGAACGCGACATTCGTATACAAGTCCATGCTCTACAGGCAAACAATAGTGGGACGGACGACGTCTAGGCTACTGATCACATTCGTCCATTTTTACGACGCGCTTTCACATGCCGGCTTCTTTCTATGCATCAATCGTCTCAACAACTGGCGGCTGTGGTCGTCATATCATCATCGTGGACCGCCAAGCACCGGTCTTCTCATCCATATGTTCTGATACCCAAAGCGTCACCGCCCCTTTCTGCTGGAAGTGATCCCATCCATTTGTATCCCGTATCTAAACCAATCTGCCGCATGCACCTCGTAGATTACGGAGCCGATACTCAGGTATATAAAGCTTCTCAAAGTAGGACAGTAATCCCAAGGTCGTCGAACTTCGCCTCGTCAGCATGTTCCTCCTGTCTTTTGCCCTCAGCTTTGCCTCTGTCGCTTTGGCTAGCCCTCACCATAAGAGAGCAGGTGAACTCGTTGTTGAGCTCTCAGGGCCCTCCGGCAGCGTGAACTCTGCAGACCTCGTTCTTACTGCGTCCATCACCAATACAGGCAGCGAGGATGTCAAAGTGCTCAAGTATGGCACGATCCTTGACGACCTTCCCACTCGTTCTTTCGTTGTGACCAACGATGCCACCCAATCCCAAGTGCCGTTCACCGGTGTCAAGGTTGGGTTTCCTTCTTATCTGCATCTTACGGCATCTGATTATCTTTGCTTCATGTACTAGTTGTCCGTGTCCATGGACAATAGTCCAGAAGCGGCGTACACTACTATTGCAAGTGGTCAGACCGTCAACGTCACTCATGATGGTAATTCCCCCAATGTCCGTATCATTGATAATGACCTGATATCTGGTTGTAAAGTTTCGGCCATCTACGACTTCGGAGAAACCGGAAAGTACACGTTCACTCCTATTTCTTCTTTCCGAGCTGCTGCTCCTGGTGTTTCGCTTGCGGACATCAGCAGTCTTTCCAAGGTGTCCGCAGACAGCAGTTCCATCGGAGTTGAAATTTCTAGTGTCACCAAGCGTGAACTGCAGTCCAAGCATGAAAGTCGTTCCAGCGATGTTCAGGTCCTCGACAAACGTGCTGTCGTTTCCTGCTCATCCTCTTCGGAGTCTAGCTTTATATCTGCAAGGTATGTGTGCAGTTTTCGTTTCCATTTCCCCTCATTCATCCCATTACAGTTACACTGAGGGCAAGGCACTTGCTTCTCTTAGCTCATCCTATGTCAGCTCCAACGGTGCGAGTGACAGCTTGTATCGATCCTACTTTGGCTCTACAGCCACATCAACGGTCATCCGTGTCTTGAACGCCGTTGCTTCTGAGTCGTCCTCCTCTCGCACGTAAGCTTCTAGGATTTCTTTGCAATGCTTTAGCTGATCTATATTTTGGCAGACTGAGTTGCACTGACGCATACAATGTTTGCGACGGTAACGTTATCGCGTATACCGTCATTTCTACCACCGATGTAGGTGATCCCTCGGGTTGTTTGGACCAATGTGCTTATATTCATTGCAACGCCTAGATTTATTTCTGCGATATCTTCTTTGACGAAGTTCCCAGCACTTCGCTATGCTCTGGGACAACTGTGGCTGCCCGTAACGTCCGTGGTGGTACCACTTTGCACGAGGTTAGACATTTTTGACTTCCTATGCCAAACGTTCCTGACCATTTCAACCACTTCAGCTCACACACGCTGTTGCTGACACTGATGATATCACCTACGGCTGTTCTGCTGACCAGGCACTTTCCGATTCCCAATCAGCCATCAATGCTGATAACTACAACGTAAGATACCTTTCTGTACTACTGGGAAGTACGCACGCTTAAAGGAGACCATTAGTGCTTCACTACCCAAGTCTATCAAAACGAGGAATGTTGATCAACAATTGTTTCGTCTTCATTGGCTGCTCGGGGGTACGCGATACGAGAATCAATCCAGTGGACAGTTTTCAACGATGAGATGGGTCTTTATTACACGAATCATATCTACATATTAGATGAATGGGTAACGTTCCTCAAATTCCGCTTTTGTCATCTCCTCTCCGTATTTCTGGAAAAACCTAGTGATTTTAGTATTCAGTTCGTGAAGCGTCATAGGTACGGTGCATTGTATCGAGTGATGCTCTGTGTGTTCGTGCAGACAAACAAGATCCGGTGGAAGTTTTGTGCCTGAAAAGGTGTAAACAGGACGGCTTGTAGGATTGACTGTCATACCTTCCGGTAGGCGATATATTACACTTTTTGTATTGTGGAAGACACGAACAAGTTCTTGTAAGAAAGCACCATTAGGCCGCACAGATGCACCGTTAGGACCTTGCAACGGATGTTACGCCAGTGTCACCACAGAAGGTTGCGACATACCTTCAAACATAGGGCCTAGCTTAGGATGAACCAGGCCATCCTCCTGTACGCACAGATCACAAGAAGTACTTCCCAACTTGATTCGTTTTTTGTAGTCCCGCAATATAACATCCCTCGAGTTGTTTATCCGGAAGAGTTCGCATGGTATGTGATCATATCGCCCAAGAAGAGGCTTGTAAAAAGAGGACCTTGTAGGTTTGGTCGTGTACGATTTTAATCGAATGAACAAGGGAGCGAGCGGAATGCTTGGTATGTCCTTGTCGTTATCATGGCGAGAGATGAAATGTTTTTTGACTGTCCCGGAATGCCTAGGTGCTGACTAAACTCCCGCACTGTGAAGTCTATGCCTGGGGCCCGGACCATGCGACTATACTCAAGTCGTCACTCTGACCTTCAGTAAAGATTTAACTTTATTTGTCTCATATCATGGAGGCGGACAATGATATACAATAGCTCGGAGCATTACTCGTGTTTTCATTTTGGCATTTCATTGCTGCATTTCCGGGCCAGTGTAGTGACAGTGTCTACTGTCGTTGCATTCATCATTAAGCATACTGAGTACTGGGAAGGACGATGATAAATCCTAGATGTTAGCCTTCCTGGTAAATACATGTCATCCCAGGATGTGTAGTGTTGGATAAGCTTTCTATGCGAAGGTGCATGCGAGAGGTAAGATTGGTCTTCACAGAACATACGAGACTGAGGGGACGAGGAAAAAGTCAGAATATTACTCATGTATAGAGATGGTAAAACGTACATGAAAATAGGGAAGAACACTGGAATCTAACAAAAATCAGCATAAGAAGAGGTGACATGGGTTCAAATTGGCACTTACATCTGCAACAAGAGATGCTAACAGGGGTGGCACATATAGGACTAGAGACTACAGTGAATACAATCCTCGTAATGAAGGTCGCCATAACGTACAAGAGATTATCTAGGGATGGAGTTTAAAGGATGTACGGGCATCGGAGGGAAGAGGTAGTTGACTCACCAAGTAGATCCTTGCGCCATCGCGTCGTAGTGAATCGAAAACTTCGCTTTGATACCGGCGCGGGTTTTCGAGAGCATTGTAGAAGGAGATAAAAATCACAAGGACATTGAATAGCAGCTGTTTTCAATTAGCATATGCACACTTCCTGTACAACGGGCTCACTAAGATACCCAGCGCGGAAGGTATTGTCTTCAGGTACCCTGGCAACTGTGCAAACCATGACTTCGGGTGGCACTAGCACGACTGGGGGAAAGCATTAGTAGTCAATCATCTAGAAGTTGAGATGGCAATTACTTCGTGTCCTTCAAAAGGATCGGAACCGTTATGGCAGCAAAAATAAATGCGCCTGTTATAAAGGCAGCGTACACGATGGGCAGTACCCTGCGAACAATCGGCTTGTGATTCCACAGTGGATAGGCACGCATCATGATGAAGACTGCATTTAATGTTAGTCACAAATGTTCCAGTGATCAGGGCGTGTGTCCAACATTGCATAATGCTAGCCAAAACAATCGCAGACATAGTGAATAGCCAGAACATTGTCGCGCAACTGCAGACATATTATTTGACAATACCATTTGGGCCAGTGCACGTAAAGCTCACTCCTAGTTCTGACATCAGTGTCAGTTCGTTATGATGCGTGAAGCACTGACCATATTAGCGTTGGTTCCTCTCAATCCACTGAATACTACATCAAGACGAGTTAGCGAGAGCAAGGGGATGAAACATGTTCACGAGCCATAAGCCGCATATAGCATCACCGCCTCCATGAAGTAACGGTTCATTATATAGACAACTTTTGTTAGGATCTGTCTATTGAGAGGCCTCCACATTGTTGCGACTTCTTCATCGAGGGTCAGGCAATGGTCCCACAAGATCAAAATAGTCGCCGCAGCTATGTTGTCGTTAGATCCTGCTATATGAAGCTAGCAGCAGGCTACAGCAGCGTACGTGGCGTATACTTTGCGAGTAATAATTGGCCAACGGAAGCGATAGACATCAGACCTGGTGTGGATGAGGGGAGGTGCATGAATTCCGTCCAGTTATAAAGACCTGTGAAACATATCAGGCCATCAAGGACAGAAGTCAGTTCCCCGTATTATGATGAAAGAACTTGAAGTCCAGGTACAGATATCAGTATGGTACTTATGGTGGTGTCTCGGCGAGATCAGATAGATATGGCCTACTGAACGTTGGCGGGAGAGAAATGACAGATGGAGGGCGTGTGACCTACAAAAGATTTATGAGCGTATCAGACGGGGCATAACTTGATGTACACACACCATTCATGAACCAATGGCATTTGATGCCGATGCGTTTTCGTCTCGGTAATTTTATCAGCAGTACAGATTGAAGGTTGAGAGGCATCTTCCAAACAAAGGATTGGAACTTCGACTGTTGATCTGCCGTGGAACATATTTGACTGGTCAATATAAAACAGACAAGCAGACCATAGATCTTGTCTTCACCTGCTACTTCAAGCGCATGAAACCAAGTATCTCACCGCAACACGGTACCATCAGGAACGCAGGACATAGGCAGCACTAAACCTTGTCCTCACTATCCACTCTAGTCAATCCCTTTCAGCGTGGTCCGTCAATGATGTTTACTCAGAATTGATGCAGTTTGATGCAGGCCGGATCCACGCGAGAGTAGAACTGCCGCAAAATAGATGAGAATAACAGAATGAAGGCGAAAATACTGAAGAGAGCATACATGAAGAGTTCGGATTACATCTCGTGTAGATGAAGTGCAGACGGTCTTAAAAATTTAAGCATCAAGCTAAGACTAAGATGGGCGCTTACCACTTGACATTCCCATTGAGATGCATTCCTTATACAGACTCGTTTATTGCGACAGACCCGATAACACATTTAATTTCACCGGCCATTACAATGGAAAGCTGATAGATTACGGCTAAAAATAAAGTTGAAAATCAAAATCATGCACTAGGTCAAATCCACATCACCCGGCTAGCTCCACAGGGGCCCCACCGGAGGTATCTGATCTATTTGAATGCCTCCCTCACCTCATCGGCCATCATTTCTGCGGTAATAGCTGATCATCGAGTGATTTTCCAGGTTTGTATAACGAGGAAGGTTTCACACTGAAACCGGGGGCGGAGGGATACGAAGGGCTGCTATAGTAAGGCTTCGCGAGAGAGAATACGGTAGTTGTATGCGTGGTGAAAGCAGATTGTTGCTGAGGTACAAACACAAAGGACTGAGAATGCGCCTCCGTCTGTACTTGGGTTGGCCGAACAAAGATGGGTCAGAACTGGGAAAAGCTGATACAGGCGCTGCTGTTGATGTTTTCCCAAATGCCCATCGCTGGCCACCGAATGGTGCGTCAAGCGCGAACGATGTAAGGTAGGGTTTCCCGAACGCATTGGTATGAGCTGGTCGTTGAAGGAGTAGTCGCATATTCGCAGCTGCAGACGTACTGGATGGTTGTGACACGAAAACTGAGAATATTTCTCCATTTCCTCCGGTGCCGGAGCCTCCGACAGGCCCAAAGGAGCTCGCTCCACCTCCTGCATACGAATTGAGGGAGCCAGTCCCTGGTTTGTTCACCGATGCTTGGCTAACAGCAAATGGTTGAACATTTTTCTGGGACAAGGATAATCTCATGCCTGATGGGTGCAAAGGCTGATAATGGCCATAGAGGTTCGTCAGACCTTTCGCTAAGGATTCCTGACTGTGGTTTGTAAGGCAAGCGTTTGAGTCCGTCAGATCGAGAGCTTGCACGAGAGGTATGTTAGGAGGATCTGATGCACCTATTTTTCTGCTATTTCATGACGAATCTACAGAGAACGTTAGTACAAGAGTATATCACACTAGGACGGAGATGACGCACCTCCGAAGTTCGAACTCCAGTAACGTTAATTCCTGCGATTATCACCAAAACGGCATGTCCCCTCCAGAAAGTACAAACGGTCTGAAGGAGTGTGTTTGAGTCCAAAAAGCGCGTTTTGAAAGAGAAAGAGCCCAACTGACCACTGTGTTGATAGAAGCATCGGGAAAGACCGAATCAATTCCCAAATACGACTGAGCTTCTTTCACGGCGTTTTTTGCAGCATTTCCAAATGAACCCTCATCCTATGTAATTTTCCCCACCCCTCGCAGAGATGAATTTACTATCATAACAATAATATATGGATATCTACTAGATATCTACAGCAACTTGATACAAAATAGGAGGATTGAAAAAAGTGTGCTCCGACAGAACGCGAGAACTGAACCCGCTTACTGAGCTCTCGGAGTCATCACCACAGGAAGATTCGGCCGGGTTGTTACGAAATGGTCAAGAATACCAAGCGGCCAAGCAGCGCTATCAAATCCTTCTGCAAAACGCATATCAAACTTCTGCACCAGTAGACTTGTCAGCATCATCATTTCCTGCATAGCCAACTTCTTCCCAACACAGTTCGCAGGACCAGATGAAAAGGGAATAAATGCGTTAAGGTTGTGATTCTCTGAGAAGCCAGAGCTCGTGATCCATCTTTCAGGAACGAACTTGTCAGGGAAGGGAGAGAAATACTGGGGATTACGATGGATGGTATAAGGTGGGATGTAGACTTGTGTGCCTCCAGGCAAGAGACTTTTAAACTCGCATTGAGCATAGAGAACCATCGAGTCGTGAACGACTTACTGGCCAAAGACGACTTTCCCATGTGAACCCCTCGGTACTTCGCGTGGACCATTCGTAGGTAATGGTGGAAACAGCCTCAGCGTCTCGTTGCTGTGAGCTAGGTCAGAGAAGACATATCAGATCTCGACAAATAGACGTACATGCAGGCTCTCAGATAGGGAAGCTCAGAATGCTTTGATACATCCAAAGCGTTCGCACCGTCGGGGAACACGGTGTCTATCTCATGCTGTAAACGCTTGAGACATTCATGATCCGACAAGAGACACCAGAACATGCAACTCATTGCTGAAGAACTGGTGTCTGCTCCAGCTACGATCGCCAACAGTCCGTCGGCGACGACATCATTCAAGGGCGGCTTAAATTTCTCAATATCTTCTTCATCCATCTGCAGAATACATCAGTAAGCTCACACAATGAGAGAAATGACAGTCTTTTACTAGATGATACCATAAATCCTTCGTCTTCGAACCACCTTGTACTCGATTGGTGGCACAACGTATTGCGTACGGCCTCATCCCCGCAAATGTCTTCGAGAGGAGCGAAACTGTGAACACAGTGGCTTGGTATGCCCATGGAATATGGCAGACCGCGGATATGACTCTAAAAATTACGTTCACAACGTTAACCAGAAATGACCACAACCTACCTCCAGTAAATTTCCAGCATGTCGAAGATCCCGTCACCCTGGCCGTCAGTTGCCATCAATTCTGAACCGCCTCCGAACCTATTCGTTACTAGCGTCAGGCACCACGGTCTGGTATCATTTGAGGTACGGTACTCACGCCATATCTCCCATGAAGTCCACGCTGGAATCGGTCAATACGCGCCAGGACGTCGGAAGGGAAGAAACTCACGTAAAATAGTTCAGCCATGGAACCAAGTCTAGAGGCTCAGAATTCAGGTCTTTGATTTTTTCCGTTAGTTGGGTCGCTCTCTCTGAGATATGGACCTCGTAGTCTTTAAGCGCCTGGGCGTTTAAGCCTCTGGACCAGCGTCGTCGTCTACTGGCATGCGAAGCGCCAGTCAATAGTATGAGACTAGTGGATCCAGGAGGAGGTACGTGTCGGCATGTATAATCTGGTTGTGCCGTGGTAATTAGGCAAAGCAGCATTTACCCAGGGTCGAGACTCACAGATTCCTTTCGGAAGTCCTCCTGCCCCGAAGACTGCGTTAATTGATTGAACGTCTATGACCGACACTTCGTTGGGTCCTATCAGGAGTGGCTGTGAATATACATTTGAAAGAAGGAACGGGCGGACATACCGGTTCGGACTATGGGCCCGTACTCGTCATGGAGGTCCTTCCAATCGAGGTACTGATGTCCTTTCCAGCATATCCATGCGCCGTACAGCTTGGTGACCTTGTAAGGAATTGGGCCGGGAATCTTAGACAAAGGGTGGAAAGGAGACAGCCGGTGAGCGCAGATGGACAGACCCAACGAGACGAAGAAGAACATGTAGATGACGAAGAGGGAATTAACAGACCATGGTTGTCCGTTGAAGTAGAGCAATACCGGAGGCTCGAGTGACAGGAGCAGAAATGTCGTTATAGGTCTCGTCGGCTCAACCCTGTGGAAATACAAGTAGTTCACCTGTTCATTAATTAATATGAATTGCAAAATTATGAGCTCGACAAAGACCTACCACACCGAGAAAGCTTGCCAAAACGAGACTAATCATGTTGGGGGGGGGGGGGGAGAAAGCGGTGGGTCGTTCAGGATTTAAAGCGATGCGCCTTCGCAAAGGGGCAGGTGAGACCCAGTAGTACTTATATCAACACGGTAAACAGTTCCAGATGAGTATGACGACTCGTAGGTACCCTGTCACCATGAAGACTAAACCGGTTCAAATGCCTGATGTTATCGTTTTGATGAAGCTGGGAACATATGACTAGGTTAGCTCCGGTGTGCAGCAAAAACGCAGCATGATTGCGCACATAACTTTGATTAGCCGACGGCCTCGGCAATATTGAACTTGAAGGTTATCGAGCCGCATGCGCAGGCACTACTTAGTACTAGTAGCATTGCTAGTGGATGAATTAATTAACTGCTGGCCCGACGGCATACTAGCTTGACACACTTGATTATGAACCCCAGTAGTCGAGATTTATCCACATACTTATCTTGAACGAAAATAGTTGTTACGGGAATGTGATTCGGATCGAGGGTCAAAGCAAAACATATCACCTTGACCCTTTTAGGCACTATTTGGCAACGGACGTTTAGACCAAACTGTAGCTGCTTTATGTTTCGACGACCGTGTTCAGCTCTTGCCAAAACTTTAACTTCTCGGCCATTCCGTCATGTGTGCCCGACTCCAAAACAGAAACGTTTATATTCACACACGGATGTAGAAGAAACGTACGATTTTGGGACATACAGTGTTATCCTTCCCGAAGAACCTTTCGTATTCGGCGTATCCCATATAGCACCCAAACCGGTTCCGCCTTCGATTCGCGTTCCACCTTATGTCGGTAGCGGTCACGACGTTACACTGGATGATGATAGCATCATCACGCTTGGCGGCGAGGAAGAAGCACGCGTCAGACGCGCTGGGGCATTGGCAAGTAAAGTTCGAGAGTTTGCTGGTTCTCTCGTAAAGGTACGTTAGAGACGTCTCTTTTTGGTTTCATAGAGGTGATGGTTGTCTAGGTCGGGGTGACTACCAATGCCATCGACGCCGCGGTTCATGAATACATCGTCGCCCGCGGAGCCTATCCATCTCCACTGCGTTATAAGGGATTCCCAAAATCTTGTTGTACTAGGTACTTGGCATGCTTTATTGACCAGTTCATGCTGATTTTTTGCAGCATAAACAACGTTATCGCACATGGAATACCAGACGAGTTGGCTCTTCCACTGTATACTTGAAATGTTTCTCATTCCCTTCTAGCCGTCCTCTCGAAGACGGAGACATTATCAACATCGATATCACAGTATATTTGGACGGATATCACGGCGACACCTCAGAAACCTTCTTGGTCGGAGATGTAGTGGGTGTAGCTTTTTGTCTCGATGTCGTGGTGTAACCTATTTTCGATAGGACGCAGAGGGCCGTGTTCTTTGTGCGGTTACTTTCAACGCCCTGAGAGCAGGAATCTCCGCCTGCGGACCCGGAAAGCCATTCAAAGGCATAGGACAAGCGATACACTACTATCTAGCTGGCACTAGATCTCAGCTTGATATGGACTTCTGCATATCAGAACAATTTACTGGTCATGGAATCGGGACTGCGTTTCATGCCAAGCCCTGGATATTGCATTCTTGTAAGTCGCGTCATAAGTTCGGGCTGCTATAGTTAACAACTGGACAGACAACGAAGAACCCGGGATTATGAAACCAGGTCATTGTTTTACTATCGAGGTATGTCCTTATGGATACCATCTCTGAATGCTGTCCTGACCTATGCATTGAAGCCATCGATTATCCAGGGTACAGATCTAAAGGGATGGATTTTCCCGGACGGATGGGCGACTAGTACAACAGTGTGTATTCTCTTCACTAATGATACATCTTTTCGATTTACTTTATGCCAGAACTGCGCGCGCAGTGCTCAGGCCGAGCATATGATACTAATTACAGAATCCGGCGCAGACATTCTCACCCTCTAGCTCACGTACTAACATTTGAGGCCCACCGCATACGTACACCTGAGTGCTATATTTGCAGAGCACTGGTTTATTTTTAATCTGGCTAATTATGACTTTCTTGATCTAATATTGTTGTTCATACGGTCTAGTATTGCCTAGATTTACGCTATACATTGAGATTGTCCGTACTGCAGGGATAGACAGAAAAGCACCGGATGATTGTCCAGGAGATCCGAGATCGTACCTTGGGTACTTAGATTGAGACTATCAATTCCCTTGTACCGAAATGGGTTCAATCTGCATTCACACCGGGAAGATGAAAATTTTTGGCAAACCTGAATTTTGAGCATAAATGTAACATTTTAGGAGCTTCATTTGGGGGTCAACGAACTTCGCATTTTGGAGGATCTAAATCCCATGCCGCCCGCCAGAGATAAATTTCGGGAATACGCAAATTTTATGTAAATTTTCAGCCAAAATCGACCTCCCAAAACGTAACCTTATTGTGCGCATTCAGGTTTCCCTCAAATTCTCATCTGTCCGGTGTGATTGTGTTAGTCATCAGGTGTTCAGTAACATTGGATGTTGTAGGCGAGTTTCGAGAGAATCGGACGTTGTGGGACTTGTTGTGTCCGAATTCAAGAACGTATGCGGCTAGCTAGTTATTGACGCTACTCGGCTGTTGGGAACAGGATTGGTAAAAGATACATATTTTAGCAACGAATAGAAATAAAACATGGACCCAAAAGAATTACCAGGTAAATGAAAGCAGCAAACAGTTCCCACTCTTTTGATGAATGATCTCATAGGGAAAGGCCCGGCAAACTCCGAATATGATTACTGCACGATCCCAGCGTGATGGCCGAGTCTACCCAATATTGTACAAAGGACTCGGAACCATATATCAAGCGAAGTAGAGGTTAATTGTTATATCTATATCCATCCTCTCGCAGCGCCCCTTCCACCACCGTGCCCACGTTCCTTCTCTATCACAAACATTGCATCCCTCAGAGTTATCGTCGTCCGCGTATCGTCCTCAGCTACAGACTGCTGTGGTGTCGGCGGCTTTTTTGTGGGCACATATGGTCTTGACCACGAACTTGCTGCATTAGCTGCAGCAGTTCCCCCTGGAGTACTCGCCCCAGCGGGGTTTGGAGAGGCAGCGGCAGCAGCTTTTGGCCGAGGAGCAGGGGCACTAGCATTAGCCGCCGTCATCCAAGAGTATTTACCCCCAATGCCAGCAGCTTGACTAGCAACAGCGTTCGACATCTTTTTGCGCACGTCTTCTGACATGTTGCGAGCAGTGACTCCTGGTCCTTCCTTCTTCCTCTTCTTCTTCGTCCCGCCTTCTGTATCATCGTAGACCTCTGCTACAGCACTAGGACCTCCCGCTGCCTGTGCAGCAAGAGCAGCAGCATGTGCGGCAGCCATATCTGCCCTCTCCTTTCGTTCCCGGCGCACCTTCATCTCTTCTTCCCGTTCGACTTTTTCCAACGCAGCCAGTTGCTTCGCGACGTCGCTCCGAACGAGGATGCTCCACATAGGCGACCCATCCTCGTATAATGACGCGGGTCGATCAAATTGGGTGTCCGTGCGGTGATTGGCAGCTGCGACCATTTGTTCAACGAGGTCTTGTAGTCGCGCACGCAGAGCAAGAGCTAGGTAGTTGACTGAGTCGTCAGGTATTCGCTGTGACCTTGTGCTGGGTACCGACGGTGCGCATGGTGGCACCTAGATATCGAGTATCGAATGAAGGCTTGGCTGGTTGCTTGCGTGTACGGTCTTCGTATGAGCGGTAGGTAAGGTGTTGCTCATGCGACCGCTGTAACGATTCTTCTTCTGCCTTTGGAGGAGCAATGAGAATGATAGCAATTCAAGAGAATACGAGTCACACACTCTGAGATCTACACCAGCGCTGCCGAGAGCATCGTTCAGCGTAGCTATATCGGCAGTATCCATTCCTCCTCCTCCACTATTAGTAGACTGAGCGGGTGTTGCGGCGGCAGCCGCAGTTACAGGACGTGGAACCGTTGTTGTCGCTGCTTGAGATGCTTGTGGTGCAGCGGGAGCATAGGAAGGATAATGTGTTGCATATTGATAATGTGAATACGGTGAATAATGTTGGTACGGTGATTGAGCCCTAGGCAAAAATTGTCAAAGGAAGGGACCGAAGACAGGAAAGAATTTACTGTTGCGCCTGTGTTGTTTGGGCCTGTAGAGCAGGATCAATGGGAATGTCTAAGTCACGGACCAGTCAATTGGAATGGATGGGCCGTTTTCGGCAGTACACGAACGGGGTGTGGTCCATTGGGTGTAAGTAGTTGTCGTTGTCGTTGTCGGCGTTTGTGCAGCTGGCGGACTCGTCGCGTCGCCCTCGGATTTCATGGTGGTTGAATTGAGGAAACGCGTAACATAGTCACAGAACGTGACTGCAGCCCCTCGGTCCCGTTTTGGCGTGTCTTGTTTAGGAAATGACTCTCAGGTTTCCACCAACATGGTGTGTCGTTCTCCTTCGAGCGCGTTTTTTGGACTGAAACTGTGGATTTTAGGCTATTTGTACTTTCTTTTTGAAAGGAACATGCCGTTTTGGTGATAATTGTAGGAATGAACATCCTAAAAACGTAACTGGCGGATTTGGAAGTGCGTCGTCTCTGCAGTGTGGCATGCTCCGTACCAAAACTCCTCGTAGATTCATCATGGAATAGCACGAAAACAAGCGCATCAGATCCTCCTAGTCTACCCTTCACGTAAGATCACAACACAAACTAGAGAATTTTTCCTAACGAGTCACAGCCAGGAATCTATAACGAAAGATGTGACCATCAATGTCGACAAACCGTTATGGCCATTATCATCCTTTGGGCCCGCAAAACATGAACCTCTCCTCGTCACTGGCTTGGATGAATCACCGGAAGAACTGCGGGTTCAAGCAGTCAATGCACTGAGTTCCGGAAACGTCAATCAATATGTATGATATCGCTCCTTTTACTGTCAAACTATAGTATTTAACACCAGGTAGGTGCAATATGAATCACAGAAGATTGCTGCGGCAGAGCAGGTGTATGCGGTAGGTTCTCGTTCACATAGGTTCATCTTTCCGCTAACAGCAGTACAGAACATCCGGTCCAATCCTTTAGAAGCTTTCAAGACTGCCATGACAAACAGCCAAAATGGCGGTGCTCTCGCGAAATTTGCCAGTGGTTCTTCGCCGACGTCGACAAGCTCCGCATTTGGCTTATCGTCGACATCGACGACCTCTGCCTTTGGCCAATCGGCTTTTGGAAAGCCTGCGTTTGGCCAGCCAGCTTTTGGACAGTCACCATTTGGTCAGAAACCAGCGACTACATCTGCTTTTGGCCAGCCAGCAACTCAAACTTCGGCATTTGGACAACCTGCTGCCCAGACATCAGCATTTGGACAACCAGCCGCCCAAACGTCAGCTTTTGGCCAAGCGGCAACCCCGACATCCGCCTTCGGACAGCCCTCTGCATTCGGACAACCGTCATCTCAGACGTCCGCGTTCGGACAACGGGCTGCCCAGTCATCTGCCTTTGGAAATCCCCCTACTCAGACGTCTGCCTTCGGACAGCCAGCACCTAAGCCTCAGACTTCAGCATTTGGCCAACCAGCTCAGACATCGTCGTTTGCGCAACCATCACAAACCTCTGCATTCGGACAAACTACCCAGCCGACATCTGCGTTCGGCCAAACATCAGTGATCAAACCAGGGACTGGCGCCTTCAGTTCGTATGCAGGAGGCGGGGCGAGCGCCTTTGGCGGAGGCTCCAGTACCGGAGGAGGAGGAAGCGGAGGAGGCTTCTCGGCCTTCGCATCGCAGCCATCCAGTATGTCTGCAGCTGCAAGCAACGCGACCGCTACTCCTTCAACGAGCGCATTCGGCACAACAGCACCTCCTACCAGTGCATTCGGGAACCCTACCCCTACACCATCCGCATTTGGCAACACCCAGCAGTCGGCATTTGGCACCCCGTTCGGCGGCCAGCGTTCTGCATTCGGACAATCATCGACAGCAGCGCCTGTATCAGCCTTTCCCAGTTCTAACCCTTCTCCATTCGGGCCCAACTCGAATACGAGCGGAGGCGCATTTTCTCAGCCTCCCTCTGCCTTTGGGCCTGCTCAGCCTCAGCAATCTGCTTTCAGCCCACCTACCAGCGCCTCCACCACCACCGTCTTTCCTCCCGCGATGTCTTCGCAACCCTCCGTATCCATGTCCGCCCCTGATTTCAGCGCGAAATCATCCTCATTGTACAAACCCGGAAAATCACCCTATGATCAGCTCCTACCGCAGAATTATCTAGAGATGGTGTCCGAGGAGGCGAAGGAAGCATTCAAAGCGGACAAGTTCCAGTGGGGTAAGGTCCCTGACTGGATACCTCCGGTAGAGCTACGGTGATGTGGATTTTGTACATATTATAATGAATCTCGATCTGTATTTGTATTCACTTGCTGTAGTCACTGAAATATGACGCCGTTAATATGAGCCGGTCGCACTAAACGAGTTTGTTTAAGGCATCTCAATATGATCGACTGATACCAGTAAGTGCCCATCTTAGTCTCGGCTTGATGTTTAGACTGCTTCGCTTCGGGCCATTCATGCCTCATCTATCCAAAACGTACGCTCTATTCAATCCTTTTACCCTAGTTGTTATTCTCACTTGTTTCGGGGCAGTTCTGCTTTCACCTGCAGTCGAGTTTCGGAGGCTGTGCATGGTTTCCAAGTGATTATCGATTATCATTGGCGAACCACACAGGAAATGAAAGCTTCTAGCAATCGAGGCAGCAACTCGAACAAGATCCACGGTCTGTTCATCTGTCTACCGTTTACCACTGGCCAATCAAATGCGGTGCTGCACACGAAAGGTCCAAGGAAGTCATGACTCATGGAACTCTCTCCTACTCCCACTGCTGATAAAATCCCCGAAACAGAATCGCGGTTGCTCAGTTCAAATTTTGTCATTCCATGAACGATGTGCGTACATGGAGCTATGCCACGTCGATTTTGGGTCCAAATATTGGACGCGCGTCTCGTGGCTTCCCTTCAGATAACAGTGCCTGCTCATCAACGCGAAGATCAATTTGATCTTTTTCGCCATAAATGATGTCCTGGCCTACCTAGCTACGACTTCACTATGACAATTTCATTTAGCCCAAAACCCGATGTCCTTGATGGTCAATATGCTTCAAAAACCATATTAACAAGTACGATTACACCTTCGTTTCTACCCCTTTCTCCATGCTGGATCTAATATCTATCCCTTCCCTTGACCAGCTCTTGTTTGTAAAGTATACGCCGTGTACGTTGATGGGACTTGCTACTCTGACGTATCGGGATCTCACGACGACATAGCTGCGATGGCTGTTCTTCTTTGTGGGACCATTGCCTGACCCTCGATGAAGAAGTCACAACAATGTGGAAGCCTCTCAACAGGCAGATCCTAACAAAAGTCGTCTATATAATGAACCGTTACTTCATGGAGGCAGTGATGCTATATACGGCTTATGGTTCGTGAACGTTCTTCATCCCCCGGTCCTCTCGCTAACTCGTCTTGAATTCAGTATTCGCTGGATTTAGAGGCTGCCAGTGCTAGTATGGTCAGTGCTTCACGTTTCCGTAACGAACTGACACTGACATCAGAACTAGGAGTGAGCTTCATGTGCACCGACTCAAAGGGTATTGTCAAATAATATGTCTGCAGTTGCGCAAAAATATTCTGGTTAATCCCTATATCTTCGACTATCTTGGCTAGCATTTCGCAATGTTGGCTGCACTTTCATCATTGGAATATCTGTGACTGATTGCAACTGTAGTTTTCGTCATGAGGCGTGCCTATCAACTGTGGGATTACAAGCCGACTGTTCGCAGGATACTGCCCTTCGTGTTTGTTGCCTGCATAACAGGTGCATTCGTTTTATCTGTCATGATGGTTTTGACTCTTTTGAAAACACAAAGTAATTGATATTTGTTTCCGTAATGATTTATTTCTAAGGCTTTTTTCTAGTCAAACTACCACCTGAACTGATAGTTTGCGCAGTCACCGGGGTACCGAAGACAGTACCTTCCACGATAGGTATCTTGGTGAGCCCGTTATTCAGGAACCGTGCGTCTGCTGACTGAACACAGCTGTCATTTAATGTCCTTGTGATTTTGATCTCCTTCTACAATGCTCTCGAAAACCCACGCCGATATGAAAGCGAAGTTTTTGATTCACTGCGACGTGATGGCTCAAGGGTCTATTTGGTGAGCTGGCTACTTCTTCCTTCCGAGGTCTGTACATTTTAAACTTCATCATAGCTACTCTCCCGTACGTTATGACGACCTTGGTTGCAGGGATCGTATTCATTGTTATCTCTAGTCTTATGGATGCTGCTTCTGATAACGTCTCTTGTCGCAGAAGTAGGTGTCAGATTGAGCACATCCCACTCTCCGTCTGCTGATCCTCTACTATCAGATTGTAGTGTTCTTCCCTATGTTGATGTACGTATTTCCATCCCCGTCTGGGAACACGATGCTGACTTTTCCCTCAGTCTCATATCGTCTCTGAAGGCAAATCTTACTTCTCGGATGCACCTTCGCGTCGAAAGCCTGAGCTTATCCGACACTCTACGTCCTGTGGCGATATATACAGGACAGGAAGGCTATTCACATTTGGGATACATCTAGAATACAATTGCGCTTCTCAGTATTGTTGTTGACGATAAGAGACGCTGTCACCGCCTCAATGCGAATCACCGTATTCTGCCTGTGAGACCTTAAGTTTATCGTTTAAGTTCTCGGGCTGCTGAACTGCCTGCCGTTCGGCATCCCCAATGCATTTCGCACGATCATCAGATTCGGTCATGCTTGGTAATAAGTATCGCACTACAGCAGCCTAATTTTAGCCTCAACTCGAACGTGATCAAACCCAGGACTGGCGCCTTCAGTTCGTATGCAGGTGGCGAGGCGAGCGCCTTTGGATCAGTACTGGAAGGGGAGGAGGAGGCTTCTCAACTTTTGTACTGCAGCTTTCCAGTATGTCCGTAGCTGCGAACAACGCGACTGCTCCAACAACCAGTCCGGATTTAGCACCCAGTGTGTCAGCCAGCAATCTACATTCGGGAAGACATTGACAGCAGCACTTGTACCAGCCTTTCCCAGTTCTGATCCAGAACCAACTCGAACACAAACGGGGCGCATTTTCTCAGCCTCCCTCTGCCTTTGGGCCTCCTCAGCCTCAACAATCTGCTTTCAGTCCACCTACCGCTGCAGCTGCCGCTTCCGTCATCTTTCCTCCCGCGATGTCTTCCCAACCCTCCGTATCCATGTCCGCCCCCCCCGATTTCAGCACGAAATCATTTTCGTTGTACAAACCCGGAAGATCACCCTATGATCAGCTGCTACCGCAGAATTATCTAGAGATGGTGTCCGAGGAGGCGAAGGAAGCATTCAAAGCGGACAAGTTCCAGTGGGATAAGGTCCCTGACTGGATACCTCCGGCAGAGCTACGGTGATGTGGATTTTGTACATATTATAATGATTTTTGATCTATACTTGTAGTCACTCGCTATCGTCGCTAAAATAGGACGCCGTTAATATGAGCATTGCACTAAACGAGTTTGTTTAAGACATCCCAATATGATCAACTGGTAAGCGCTCATCTTGGTCTTGGCTTGACGTTTAGACTGCTTCGCTTCAGGCCATTCATGCCTCATCTATTCAAAATGTGCGCTCTATTCAATCCTTTCACCCTAGTTGTTATTCTCACTTGTTTTGGGACAGTTCGGCTTTCTCCTGGAGTCGGAGTTTCGGAGGCTGTGCATGATTTCCAAGTGATTATCATTGACGAACCACACGGGAAATGGAAGCTTCTAGCCATCGAAGCAGCGGCTCGAACAAGATCTACGGTCTGTTCATCTGTCTACCGTTTACCACTGGTCAATCGAATGCGGTGCTGCGTACGAAAAGTCCAGGGACGTCATGGAACTCCCTCCTACTCCTACTGCTGATAAAATCCCCGAACTAGAGTCGCTCGGTTCAAATCTTATCACCCCATGAGCGATGTGCGTACATCAAGCTATGCCACGTCAATCTTTGGTCTAAATATAAGGACGCGCACTTTGTGGCTCCTCTTCAGATAACAATGCCTGCTCATCAACGCGAAGACAGTATCTATTTGATCTTTGAGACACCGTCATAAAAGATCTGCTGGCCTGCCTAGCTACGATTTCGCTATAACAATTTTTTTTAGCCCAAAATGCGGTGTCCTTGATGGCTAATATGTTTCAAAGACCATTATAACAAGTCGGTTATGCCTTCGTTTCTACTCCTTTCTCTATGCTGGATCTAACATCTATCCCTTCCCTTCGCCAAATCTTGTTTGCGAAGTATACGCCGTGTACGTTAATGGGACTTCCCTCTCTGACGTATCGAAATCTCACGACGATATAGTTGCGATGGCTGCTCTTCTTTTATGGGACCATTGCCTGACTCTTGATGAAGAGGTCGCCACGATATGGAGACCTCTCAACGGGCAAATCCTAAAAAAGGTCATCTATGCAATGAACCGTTACTTCATGGAGACAGTAATGCTATATACGGTTTATGGCTCGTGAACATGTTTCATCTCCCTGCTCTCGCTAACTCGTCTTGAATGTAGTGTTCAGTGGACTGAGAGGAACTAACGCTAATATGGCCAGTGCTTCACGCATCGTAACGAATTGACGCTGATGTCAGAACTAGGAGTGAGCCTTATGTGTACTGACTAAAGGGTGTTATCATATAATATGTTTGCAGTTGCGCGAAAATGTTCTGGTTCCTCACTCTGTCTTCAACTGTTTTGGTTAGCGTTTCGCAATGTTGGTTGCACACTTTCATCATTGGAATATCCGTGACTGATAGTAACTGCAGTCTTCGTCATGATGCGTGCCTACCGACTGTGGGATCACAAGCCGACTGTTCGCAGGGTACTGCCCTTCGTGTTTGTTGCCTGCATAACGGGCGCACTCGTTTTATCTGTCATGACGGTTTTGACTTTTTTGAAAACACAAAGTAATCGCCATTTATTTCTTAATAATGACTGATTGCTAAAGCTTTTTCTAGTCGAACTACCACCTGAACTGATAGTCTGCGCAGTCACCGGAGTACCGAAGACAATACCTTCCACGATAGGTATCTTGGTGAGCCCGTTACTCAGGAACTGTGCATCTGCTGACTGAACACAGCTGTCATTTAATGTCCTTGTGATTTTGATCTCCTTCTACAATGCTCTCGAAAACCCGCGCCGATATGAAAGCGAAGTTTTTGATTCACTGCGACGTGATGGCTCAAGGATCTATTTAGTGAGCTCGCTACCTCTTCCTTCCGAGATCTATACATTTTTAAACTCTATCATAGCTTATTTCCCGTACGTTGTGACGACATTTGTTAACGAGGATTTTGTTCATTGTAATCTCTAGTCCTATATGTGCCACCCCTGATAGCATCTCTTGTTACGGATGTAAGTGCCAATCTGTACATCCCACCTCTCCATCTACTGATTTCTGCATAAGATTCTCGTGTTCTTCCCTATGTTGATGTACGTATTTCCATCTTCCCAGAGAACATAATACTGACAAAGTTTACCTCAGTCTCGCATCGTCCCTGAAGGTCAATCTAACTTCTCGGATGCAGCTTCGTGTCGAAAGCCTGAGCTTATCCGACACTCTACACCCTGTCGCGAGATATACGGTACAGGAAAGCTATTAACATTTGGGATACATCTAGAATACAATTGCGCTTCTCAGTATTGTTGTCGATGATAAGAGACACTGTCACCACCTCAATGTGAATCACCGTATTCTGCCTGTGAGACCTTGTGAGATTCCGAGTTTATCAACCCACCGCGTAGTATCCATCAGTTGTTCAGGAGCACCGTAATAAAACTTCCTTCCTTCCTCGGCTGCTGAACTGCCGTTCGGCATCCCCCTGCGCACGGCCATCAGATTAGGTCATGCTTTGTAATAAATTTCGCACACCTAATTTTAGCCTCAACTCGAACGTGATCAAACCTGAGAAGGGCACCACCGTCTTTCCTCTCGCGACGTCTTCCCGGCCTTCTGTATCCATGTCCGTCCCCAATTTCAGCTCAAAATCTTACTTGTTGTACAAAACTGAGAAATCACCCTACGACTGTTACCGCAGAATTGCCTAGATATGATGCCCGAGGAAGCGAAAAAAGCGTTCAAGGCGGACAAGTTCCAGTGGGCTGACTCCGGGATACCTCCGGTAGAGCTACGGTGATTATAATGATTTTTGATCTGTATTTGTAGTCACTCGCTATAGTCGCTGAAATAGGTCGCCGTTCATATAGGCCAGTCGCACTAAACGAGCTTGTTTAAGGCATCTCAATATGATTGACTGATACCAGTGAGCGCCCATCTTGGTCTTGGCTTGTTGTATAAGTTGCTTCGGGCCATTCAAAATGGAATCTGGACTCTTCATGTACGCTCTATTCAATACTTATGTCGTTATGATTCTCACTCATTTGGGGATAGTTCTGCTTTCACCCGGAGTCGGAGCTCTGGAGGCTGTGTATCGGTATTATTGACGAATCACGCAGGGAAAGCTTCTTGTATTCGAAGCAATGGCTCAAACAAGATCTCTGGCCTGTTCATCTGTTTTCCGTTGGTCAATTGAATGCGGTGCTGCCCACGGGGAAAAGTACAAGGCACCCTTCTACTCGGCCTGCTGCTGATAAAACCCCCCAAACAGAAACGGTCAGTTCAAATTTTGTCATACCATGAATGATGTGCGTCCATCGAAGGTATGTCGCGTAAATTTGGAATATAACACGCACTTTGTGGCTCCCCTTCAGATTCAATGCCTGCTCATCAACGCGGAGGTCATATTCGTTGATCTTCGACACACTGCCATAGAAGATGTGATGGGCTATCTAGCCACGACTTCGCTCCAACAGATTCTTTCAGCACCAAAACGCGGTGTCCTTGATGGCTGATATGTTTCAAAGATTATGATTATAGCAAGACAGTCACGCCTCGCATCATTCGTTTCTTCCCCTTGATTTACACTAGACTTAATGTCTCTCATCTCCGCCGGCCAAGGCTTATTCACAAAGTATACATCGGGTACGCTAATACTTGCTACTCTTCTTCCTTAAAACAAATTTCCTTCCTTCCTTCCTTCCTTATATATTTGGATCTTATGATGACACAGCTGGGGCGGCTGTGCTTAATTTATGGGACCATTGTCTGATTCTCGATGAAGAGCTCGCCACGATGTCACCTGATCCTAATCTTTCTGTTGACTTTGAGCTTCACTCGTTCTGCCTGACAAGCCTGTGTTCGGCCAAAACAGCTCAAGGTTTCTCTAGTGTGCGACAACACGAAGCTGTGCATCAACTCTGAGCTTGTTCCGACGAAAAAACCTTTGACTCAATCCCTTCGTGTGGGGAATGAGAGGCTCTTTCAATTGGTCCGGCAGTTCAAATGAGATCTCTGGTTTGCTCGTTAGTTTTACGCTGGCTAATCAAAATCTCATTTCGCACGATCCATGTGGATGAAAAGCGTGCGTACCTGATACTTCATATCTTCAGTACTTGAACAATTTCCCCAGAACGATTCTGCCTCTGCAACTTATGATACCCGCAAAAAATGATGCATCGGCGTGATCTTTCCATGACCAAGCTATCCCCTTTAAGTCTTCAATGCAAACGTAGGACACGCAATTTGTGGCTTCTCTTCAGATCCCAATATTTTCTCACCAAGAAATGCTTTATCAGTTTGACTATTTGATCTCGTCAAGACACCGCCGCTGCCATAGAATACCTAAGGACCCAGGTACAGGGAACCTCGGTCCAATAGCTTCTTTTTATCACAACACGGGGACTTGATTCTGTTCTTTATAGCATGAGACGTTTCACACATTTTCATAAATAGATGACTGTACCAGGATTCGTGAGTCTCCGTCCATCCGTGCTAGTCCTAATGTCCACCACCTCTATTGGCCAATTATTATTCACGAAGTATGCGCCGTGTACGTTAACACAGTTGCTACCTTTACATGACCTAACGATGACACAGTTATGGCAGCTGTTCTTATCTTATGGGACCATTGCACGACGTTCGACGAAGAAGTAGCGGTGATGTGGGGGTCTCTCAAAGGGCAGATCCTCACAAAAGTCATGTATGTAATGAACCGCTACTTCTCGGAAGCGATACTGTTATATACGGCTTCTGGTTCGTGAATATGTTTCCTGCAATCTACTCCCTGGCTAATTCTGACCATCCAGTGTTGAGCGGATTGAGCGGAACCACGGGACCTACGGTCAGTACCAGACCCTTCTGTGTTACTTAGTCTGATGCCGACATCATAAACCAGGAGTTAGCTTTACTTGCATGACTAAAAAAGACTGTCCAATAACTTGAACGTATCTGCAGCTGCGCGAGAATGATTTGGTTATTTACCATGTCTGCAACTGTGTTGGCTGGCATTCTACAGTGTTGGTTACCTGATCATTGTTCTCGTACTAAGATTTGTCGCTGACAGGAATACAGGTTATATCATGATGCGCGCCTATCGTCTATGGGATCGCAGGAATGCTATTCACAAAACATTAACCGTCGTATTTGTAGCCTGCATCATCGGGGCAACCATTTTTTCGGTTAGGACTGTCTTAATTGTTCTGAGGTCTCAAGGTAATCACTGATAGCCTCCTAAAGACCAGTCTCTAATACCTCTCCGTAGTGCAACTACCTCTCGACATAGAGGTTTGTGCCATTGGCTTGAATGTGCCCAAGACGATAGCTTACACAATGGGGCTCATGGCATGTGTCAGTGTTGTCAAGCAATGGGTCTTTTATTTATTTAAATCGCACAGCTGTTTTTCAACCTATTTGTGATTTTCATCACCCTTTACAACGCTCTGGAAATACCTCGTCGGTCTGAATACGAAATTTTTGATTCACTCTGGCACGACGGCGGTAGGCTTTACTTGGTAAGGTGCTGTTTCTCTGATATTCCAGAACGACGTGTCAATTCTCCCAGATAGCTTCTCGTGAGTTAACACCTCTGTACTTTGAATTGTTCACCTGATCCTCTGATCCAGTCCTCTGGATGCTACTTCTAATAGGCTCTGTTACTATACAAGTAAATCTCACATTTGATATGTTCTGTCTGTTCATATACTGAATTACTGTCAGATGCCTTCTTTCTTCCCCATTCTGATGTACGCATTGACATTTCTGCTTGAAAGCAAGATTATGACTCTTCCATCAGGCTCGTATGGTCTCTGAAGTCTAATATCGCCTCTCGAATGCACCTTCGCATCGAAAGTCTGAGACTTTCTTTCACCACACACATTGGACAGGACTGAGGTTAACATTTGGGAATATATCTGGAACATTGTCGTAATTCTTATGCTTAAGGGTGAATGGTGCGACAATAGATGTTATTGTGACAATGCAAAGTCATCGGTTCTCAGCTGGGATAGAATCGAACCAGATGTAATTCAGTCATGTTTGTATTGTAATCTGTCGTCCAAGTGGTCGAGAAAAGGCTGAACCACGTGCCGTCTTCTTTCGGCCTCCATGTCCTTCTCTGAATTGGCCGGATTTTCCACGCAAGCATTATTTTCTGTGGGTACGCACAGGCTAGCTTGGAATCGGCAAGCTGAACTCGGCCGGCGCTGGCCCGTATACTCGCTGGCCATCAAATTATATCATGCTTTGTAATAAGTATCGTCAGCCTACCTTTAGCCTTGTCAGGCTAAGTATCTCTGGTTAACTTCGTTCGGAGCCAACACGAACACAAGAAGAGACGCATTCTCTTCAGATTCTCTCGAGCTTCTACTACGTTTGGGTCTCCTCCACTTCAACAATCAGCTTTCATGCCGTCGTGGCCCCGTTTTACCTTTGGTATGATCTTGATTTTGAACTCTATTTGTAATCGTACTAGCCTATCGACTTTCAGTTCTTGCGATCGATTAGATATGATGCATTATTGGACAAAGCACACCATCAAATGACGCTGTATAATGAAGATATCTTAATAAAGTGAACTTGATGCGAAATATCAACTGGTAAGCGCCCATACAGTCGTTTTGGCCAGAACTTTCGTAGTTATCGGTGTACGATATCCAAATCGTATCCTTCGTATGCTCTCTTTTAAGTGCTTTTACCTGACTTTGGCTCTCATTTTGCGACGGCTCCTCTGGTGTGCGAACACGCGAAGCTGTGCATCAGTTCCGAGCTTGTTCCGGGTAATGTCAGACGGACCATAGACTCGATGCACATAGGCTTTCCTCCTTCACACAGGAAAAGAGGGTTCCTTTCAATTGGAGCAGTGGCAGTTCAAACAAGTTCTCACGTTTGCTCGCTAACTTTATGCTGGCCAATCAAGATGCTTACTTGGCGCAGGTGGACGTGGCTGATACTCCGCATCTTTGCTTGGACCACGCCCTTAAACTCGCTTCTGCACTTGCCACTGATAATATTCGTGAGAGCGATGCATCATCTTAAAATGTCTTCGGTCCATGACAGACGCGAGCCTATTCCAGGGAAACCTTCGGTCCGCATGTAGGACATAATGCCAGTATCTTCTCGTCAACGTAGACGTCCTATCTATCTGTTGGAATGAAGTCCTAGGTACAGGTACCAGTCTCTATTCTATGGCAGTGGACTTTGACGAGATTGAACGGTCAAACAACTTCTTTCATCACGAAACGGGGGGCCCGCTTCTGTCCTTGATGGCCTGATATGTTTCACGGATCTTTATAAATGAATGACTGAGGATTCACGAGTCTCCGCTCATCCGTGATAGTTCTAATGTCTACCTCCTCTGTTGGCCAATTATTATTCACAAAATATGTGCCGCGTACGTTAACCCAGTTTACTACCTTTACATACCGGGACTTAACGATGACATAGCTGCGGCAACTGTTCTTGTCTTATGGGACCATTGCCTGACGCTCGATGAAGAGCTAGCAATAATGTGGAAGTTTCCCAATGGACAGATCCTTACAAGGGCGGTCTATATCATGAACCGTTACTTCACGGAAATGGTAATGCTATATACGGCGTATGGTTCGTAATCATGTTTTAGTATCCCTGCCATCGCTGATTCGTCTCGAACCCAGTCTTCGCTGGATTGAAAGGACCCATAGCTAATAAGGTCGGTGTCTGGCGCTTCCGTGATGAACTGAAGCTAATTATAGGATTAGGAGTGAGCATTGCACGCACTGACCCAAAGAAAGACAGTCAAACAATGCGTTTACAGCTGTGCAAAAATGTTTTGGTTATTCACTTTGTCTGCAACGGTTTTAGCTAGCACTTTACAATGTTGGTTGCATAGTTTCATCGTTAGAATATTCATGACTAATTAAATACAGTTTTTATTATGCAGCGCGCCTATCAACTGTTGGACCACAAGCCGACTGTTCGCAAGTTTTTTCTTGCCATATTCGTTGCCTGCATTGCAGGCACATTCATTTTATCCGTCGAAACAGCTTTGACCCTTGTGAAGACACAAAGTAATCACCATTTATTTCATGATAATTGAAAAGCTAACGCCTTCCCTTAGTCGTTCTGCCCCCCAAGGAAGCAGTTTGCACAGTTTACGGAGTACCGAAGACAACACCCTCCCTGATGGGTACATTGGTGAGCCTATAATCCCATAAGTAGACATCTTCTGATTGAAGGCAGCTACTATTTAACCTCTTTGTAACATTAGTCTCCTTCTACAATGCTTTGGAAAGACCACGCCGTTATGAAAGTGAAGTTTTTGATTCACTCTGGCGCGATGGCGCAAAGATTTACTCGGTAAGCTTATTATTGTCTTCCTTCGACGTCAGTACATCCGTTCAACGAATCCATCCCAGATTGTCTCCCGTACGTTATGACACCGTTTGCTTCGGAGATCGTTTTCACTGTCATCCTTAGTTCTATGGACACTGCTTCTTATCAGCTCTGTTTTTGCAGAGGTAAGCTCCAGTTTGAGCACATCTCACCCCTACATCCACTGAATTTCTGTTAGATGACGGTGTTCTTCCCTATTTTGATGTATGTATTCTCATCTCCGCATGGGAGTAATACTGACAGTTCCTCAGCCTCGCATGGTCTGTGAAGGCTAATCTTACCTCTCGGATGCACCTTCGCATTGAAAGTCTGAGACTCTCCGACATCGCACATCCTATCACGATGTATACAGCACAGGAAGGTTAAAATTTGGCATATATCTGGAACAGTATTGCTCTTCTTAGTGCACTTAACGATTATCATACGTACAGCAATAATAGACGTTATTCAATTGTTCCCTGTAGAGGCCCGAACCAGCTGCTCTTCGACGTGTTCGCGCGACAATCCATCGTCTGCATGGTTGTGGAAGCAGGTTGGGCTACATGCTGTCATGTTGTCTGATAGGTACCGTGAGCGTCTCCAGCACGATGAACTGGCACCATTGTATGGGATGTTTTATGATCTCATGCACGTTCTCATTCAACTTCGGCCGAAGCACTTCGTTCTTGCGCCGCGTTATACCCACTTTCAGCACGTACGCAACGCTTGTGTGAAGTCCAATCCAGGGAAATTGTCGAAGAATCGAATTCCATTCCTTTCGATAAGCAGCCGCACGCAACTAATGCTATATTTTCGATCTTCATTTTATCGATCATGTCGTTTCTCTTCCGGATCCATCAATTCATGATTCCTCCTTCAAGATGCTTCATTGGGAGCTTGCCAGCCGTCCTACGTCCCTCTGAAGCTGTTTCTTTATGCACGTTGCCAAGAGGTTCCAGACAACGCATTCTTGCGTTTCTCGTGAACGCAAATTACGCCCTGTCACTTCTATTGAGAGAGATCGGCATGTGAACGGGTAGCGAAGGATCGCCATAAAACTTATCGCAGGTAATTGTATACTAGACCAAATCGAGATATTCAGCGTCATTCTTGTTTGCAGGGATTTCCTTCCTTTTTTCGTAGGTGGATTCTTTTCGAGCTGGCTGCTCCAGGGCTTCACATGTCCATCCACTGGGTATCTTCTGACCGTCCTAGAACAGAGATGTGCGGTGGATTATTCTCTAGAAAGCGGGCAATGATCTTTTAACTTCCCCATTCCGGAGCATCAAGAAGGAAAATCCCGAATGTTCACCTCCCATGATGCGCCGCAAGACTCCATCAGGATAAGCTGTAAAGCGCTTCCAATACGCCACCACCCGGACTTTAGCGCAGATTGTTCAGGGTAGAAAAAAACTGAATGGGTCCAGGTTGTTCGGACATGGTTATTTGTTGTTCAATAAAGATTTGATCTTCAGGTCCCAATGTCGATGACGAGAAAGGGCTCCGAAGTACTGCCGATCCCCGCATCATACGAGAACTTGGAAGCAGTCGGACATTACGGTGATGCACGTACATAGTAGGCTAGGGTCAGCAAGCCCGCCACCGCTTCGCATGATCGCCGCGTCAACGATAGACCACCTAATTGTATGTGAAGATTCACGTCGCACCACATAAGAACAAGTACGCGTTTTCTTGATGGCCGTCTATTAAGGGGGTGTACACGGTGCGCGTGTTGGCTGCCTGTTTAGCACGAGTTTAAGGAGACTTGTTTTATTTCAACCCTGAAACTGGACCTGCCCGCACTCCGACACGGAAATTATACGAATCATACCTCGATGTAAACATTGGTGGCGATGTAGGGGAGAACGACGCGTCTCCTTACGGGATAAGCAGCAAAGTTATGACGTGGAGGTCGAACGCAAGGCAGCTGTGGCGCCCTGAAACTTCTAACTACAACCGTGATAACGAAGTGTTCGAATTCGCTGGGGAACGTTATTCAATGATGCGGCGTCAGCGTTAGTCGTTCCAATGACATTTCAGCTGTAAGTCATCGAACTTTGTCTTTGTAAGTTAGCGTCGCGCTAAAACCATAGGCAGAACTGATTATGATGCTTTCTGGAAGGGACTACGATAACTGCGGCGAGAACTTGTTTCTGAGAAACCTGTCATTTATTCTAGGAACTGTGGCCCGATGAGGCACATTTAGTAAGTCACAAAGGTTGACTTTATGGGTCAAATGCGAGCCTCGGATGCTGCGGGAATTTCACAGATTTTCAGCATAGGTGGAGAAGTCTGGACGGCCCATGGGGCATAGATATATTTGTAAGGTTTAGAGAGAGAGAGGCGTCTTCCTTGGTCAAAAGTTATTGCATGGCATTAAGCCGCATGTAAATAACGACATCGTCCAAGTACACCATTTTAGATCGTTGAGCCTGCGAAGCTTGGGGAATGGGGTTGCACTGAAATTTTTTTCAATATTGTTCCATAAGCAGAATGCAGAGCATTGTCGGTTCGGTCTGTGGCGGAATTGATAAAGAATGATACCAGCGGGGGAACTCTTATAAACATGTCCGACTTTGGCGCCTACTAGCGATTGACCGAAAATTTGCAGTCCATGGTTCAATTGGTAAGGTACGAGATGCGTACGGCTGGGGAAAAGGTGCTAGAAGGATATTGTGAGTCTCGGCACCGATACGCGACATCCAAAAGCCAATTTAGCGAATCCAGAAAAGAAAATGCGTCGTGCGACCGTCCGTCCCGACTTGACGCCGACGGAGATGATCGGCCGCGAAATCATTTGTCCTTGTTTAATTCCGAAGCCGTTCTTTTCCGGTTCGGCACAGAGCTTTTGTTACGAGCGGCCATGTCGCAGGTTGTGGGCAATGTACGTCGCCTCTCCCGTCTCTTGGCTCATCGTTAACGTCAATTTACAGACTGCACTAGCGTATGTCCGAGTATGGCACCATGTTGACGCGACGGACCGCATCCTCGGGAAACTGGCGGAGCGAATTGCACTTGTTCTAATGGGAAAGCACAAGCCCATTTACGATCCTAGCGGTGTGTTAGGCGCGCCTTTCTCTCGGATGAAACTCTGACAGTACAAGTGGATTGCGGGGACTATGTCGTTATAACAAATTGCCTCAAGGTGAAGGTGACCGGACGCAAGCCCGAACAGTTTTTGTATAGAAAGCATTCGATGTACCCGGGAGGACTGAAGGAGACGCCGTACAAGGATATGATGGTGAAAAAGCCCGAAGAGGTGCGTCCGCTTTGCAAGAATTTGTCGGAGATGATTACTCAAGGTTTGTAGATCATTCGCCATGCCGTCTCTGGTATGTTGCCCAAAAACAAATTACGGGAGCGACGTCTGGAAAGACTACGAATATTTCCTGCGGGAGAAATGGGTATTTTGGAAGCAAATCTCTTGCGCAGTTGGGAAGATGGAACCCTCCCCAGTGACTGGAACCCGACCAAGCTTGTTGCAGGAAAGCCAAGGATTCTATTAGGTGGGCTGGTTGACAAATCTGCTTTTTACACGACACCGTAATGTTCCCTATGCTACATCTGAATTAATTTCGGTTGCATGGGATGCTGGCGATATCCGGGTGATTTCATCTGCGACCTCATTTTCATCTGCTCCTTCAGAGTCCTCTCTAGCCATGTTTTCTCCACCTACAACGGGCCCCGTCTCCCCTTCATCACCGTCTGTTTCATCATTCCATCCGTCAGGTACGTCTGGCTCCAGCAAATGAGCAACATGTTCTTGTAACAAGATACCTTCAACAGACATGAGTCAAAACATGCGTTACAACGGCAGAAGCTCACCAATGGCCATTAACGCCGTCCCGTCCATAAGTTTGTACATATCTCGCCTGGATACACCGATGAGACTTTTCGGTTTCTGGCCCCTCCTTCTCGACCTGGCTTCTTTGTCATCGGGTTCTTCTTCATCAGTCTCATCCTCCGCTGGTTGCTCGGCGTCTTGCGCGTGACAATCTTCATCTAAAGGGTTGCGATCATCGTTTGACTCTTCCCTTTTCGCTTTTTCAAGGCGTTTCATTTGTCGAGCTTTCCTTTCAAGCCGGTACGACTTTGAAGCGTTAAGTAATTGGCCTCGTTCGCTGTAATACAGACTTGCGAAATGATGTATACATTTCAGAAGGTCCTCCAATAAAAGAAATATGAATGTCGGTTCACTTCGGAATAGTAAAGAAAAAGGCATACGGATGAAGGCACCGAAAATGATGAAAAAACAGGGTCATTACCTCGAACAGTGTCCGAGATAGTCTGAGACGAAGGCGCAGGTACATCAACGTCGAGAAACGAAAAATCATCAGCAAATTTTCGGCGTTTCTCTGCCCGCTTCGTTTTCCTTTTTTTCAAAGGAATATGTTCCTCTTCGCCGCTTTCCAAAGCCTTCTGTTTTCCCTTTCCTTCCTCAGGTTCACTGGGACTAGAATTCCTCCGTCTTCGCTTCACCTGCCAACGTCCAGCTGCATCCCTGGCCGTCCAGTAGCCACGCGAGTCCCGGGCAGTATTTTTGTGAGATACGGGCCGTAGATTTCGATTCGTCTGCTCGACGCGAGAGCCGTCTGTATGAACACGTAGACTAGAAAAGTCGTATATCGTAGTCCGGCGACGAGGAGGCATGAGAAGAGAACGAAGCCTCGGGTTTATCCGAATCTCAATTTCGCAAATACTCAAAGTCTCGGGAAAGGCGTAGGCGCTCCTTTTGGCAAGACTTCTTGTCGTTTTCTTGGTTGAGCAAAATGGGAATCCGCGGCCCTGGTTGTTTGTCTTCTGGAACAAAGTTTGTATTCCGTCATCGATAACTCACGTGGCGTAGTATTCCGGCTCCGAAACCGATCAGTGATCATGAAATTCGGCTTGCTAATCAACAACTTGCACCAAAAAAATTCGATGAGTGTGGACCTCTCTTTGCTCGAAAAGTCGCTCCTGACAGGGAAATGGAATACCCAGATACCTGATTCCCAGGATCCCACGGTATCATTAGCCAAATCCGTGGTGGAAGGCCGGTTTCGCGATGCTCTCACGTCCCAACCCGCCAGAACATTTTTCACGGTCTCGCAGGACATCGAGAATGGTTCTTTGAGCGCAGTCATGGACACCAACACCTCTCTATTAACTGAATCCGGCACTGATCGGGAAATCTTACGTTTGATGATTGCAGTCGCCTGCCTTCATGCATTCATTCAGGCAAACTGGACGGGTCCGGATCTAGATGTTACTCCAGTTGAAATCCTCGATATACCTTCCGACGCATCATTTTCCGTATCGGAGGAGCGCCTAAACCGAAAATCCATTACCGAACTTGCGCACGGTGGAGAACCCGCATACCATCTTATCGAAGTAGCGCCGTTCCTACGCTTGGCACAAATTCTACTGGAGTTTCCTTTTGCATACTGCAAGACTTCGATATGGTGGCGCCTGCGCAGTCAACTGGTTCACCAGCAGGTGCTTGATGAACCCGTTTCCCTACCCTCGGACGCTCTTGGGTCCTTCGAAGACCTGGAGGCTTTGTATGCATCCGACCCGGAGCTTTTAGGGATGCTGTACCTCGAGCGAGGTTTACTACATCATCTACTTTCTCAGGATAAGTTAGCAGTGGAGTATTTCATTCGTGCAGGGCGGAGTACAGGACTCGAATACGAGCTGACAGGAGCACTTGGTAAACGGACCAAGTTCCAGCAAACTGACCTCAGCCAACTTGTCCTCCTTGCGGAGAGTCATCTTCCCGGAGACACTCCCGCCAACCCCACTGCTGAATCCAATATAGCGCAGGTTCCGGAAACATTGCCTCTTAATGATGACACGCTCCTTGAGCAAACACAGTTTACCTCGTCTGATCCATCCCAATCAGGTTCCCGGCTCCACCACCTCGATCCATCCTCGCAACCGGCATTACACCCTTTAGATCAGTGTATCCTTCTAGGCCTCTGCCTAAATGTCAAAAATACATCCCCCTTACACGGTCTAACGACGGAACAAATGTCCCCATATGTTGCCCGTGTCATATCTCACCCCAGAAATTGGACCGTCCACACGATGGCATTACTCCTCAGATCCCGCTTGGAGTCTACACGGACCAGGACTGTGGAACGTTCAGCCCTTCAACTTCAGGCCCTAGTGGACCAAACGCCCACTGCAGACTCCACCCTCTCCGAGAGACTCCTCTTCTTCCACTCCATCCTACTCCCAAGCAAGTGGGACATGGAGAGGGAACTCGCCCGGCGTTACATCAGCCTGGGCGTCGTCAAGTCCGCTCTGGAAATATTCGAGAGGCTCGAGATGTGGGAAGAAGTCGTCAGATGCTGGGTCACGATGGAACATCCAGAAAAAGGGCTTACCATCATCCGAGACCTTCTCGAAGGTCGCAAGGTTGAGTCCGAGGCTGTCACTAGCAGAGGAAAAACCACGTCTGACGATCGGAGAAAGGTACTCGACGCCACACGGGAAGCCAAACTGTGGTGCCTGCTAGGTGACCTCGAGCCTGAAAGGGCAGTGGCTCATTATGAGCGTGCCTGGGAGATTTCTAAACAGACGTCCGGGAGGGCCGTGCGTTCTTTGGGGGGATACTATTTCGCACGGGGAGAATATGAGAAGGCTATTGGTTACCTGAGGAAGGCTGTAGCGATACACCCACTCTTATCGCGCTCATGGTTCATCCTAGGATGCTCTTGCATGCGAGTGGAAGACTGGGAAGGTGCTAAGAACGCGTTTACCCGATGTGTCGCTATCGATGAAGAGGATGCGGAGAGCTGGAATAACTTGGCGACCATGTATCTCCGGATCGGTACCTCATCTTCTCAGAGTATCACCGATCAGGAAAAAGATGAAGATGCAGAGGTATGTCACATGTCAGAAAACATGGTCGAGTGCGAGCTAATTTTCTTATCCTTAAGCGACAGAATGCGTCATTCACTTACAAAAGCGAAGCCGCAAAGTCTATTCCATATGAAAATAAGATGCTTGCATTTAGGGCTCTTCAGCTAGGGTTGAAGCACAGTTATGACAATTGGCGGATGTGGTCGAATTACATGGTAGTCGCTATGGACGTGGGACAGATGGCAGAGGCCTGTAGAGCGCTCGGTCGTGTCGTCGAAGAGACTGTCGATAAGGCCGGAGCCAAATCTGTCGACGAGCAAGTCCTGGAGAGGCTAGTTGACGCAGTGACGAGAGCACCAGCAAATTTGGAAGATGCCGTGGAAGGCGGCGACATTCCAAACGCGACTATAAACCCCAACGAAGGCCACGGGTTACTTCGAAATGTGTTGATACTCTTCGAACGGACTATTCTACCGCGCGTCTCGTCTTCTCGAATCTTCAATGCTTATGCGAGACTGCTGACTTGGCAATCACGCTGGGAAGACGCTCTTAAGGCGTACCTCGATGGCTACCGGTGTGGCACGGCTGGAACTATGGAGAAGGGCGAGACAGATATCGACAAGTGGCGTGATGCCGTCACGGAGGTGGAAGAAATTGTAGACGTTTTGAGGAACTTCGGTCCGCGGGTGGATGGGTTCAAGTGGAGATTGCAGGCTCGCAGCCTTGTGCGGACATTCGTCGGCCGCAGTAAGGACTTTGAAGACGAGTCCGAGTGGAAGAGACTCAGCGAGTTGCTGGATGAGTTGCGTAAAGAGGAAGAGTAGTACTGTTCGTGCGTAGGCCAGTGTGGCCGATAGAAGTTAATTTTCTGTTGCTGATGCAGGGTGCAGACGACGGGGACCGTTTTATTTTATGTACAGTACAAGGTGAGATGCTCCATCGGCTATGCATTATCACCGCGTATGTTTACACCAAGGAACTCTTATAATACCTGATTAGGGCTATTTTCCGCTAGCACGGTTGTGGGCCGGCACCGCGCAAAATGAATCCACTTAGGTACAACCGGCGGCAATGCTGCCGCTTCCAAGCCGTACAACTAGTACATACTGCTTGTTCGGGCATTCTCCTCAATTTTCTACGTCTATCGTCGTTGAGTTCACATGCGTTTTTGTCACCATTCTTATGACACTGTCCCTTTGCAAATGGACGCGTCGCCACCTTCTATCACATCAGTAAGAATTGAACCCAATGGCACCTAGTAACCCGTACTACTTATCAATGACAGACCAAGTATACTACAGACTTCACCACTATCACAGATTTTCACTGCGGCCGCCGACGAAGTGTCTGTTGAGAGAAACTAATTTCTGACCCACTTTATCTGGATTACCCGCGGATTTAAATTTTGATCTTTACCAGATGGGACCAACTCCACACAGTGCATACAACATTTCGAACGGCGGTTTTAATTCTGCTCTTAATCGGGTACCTTCGTAGGTGCAACGGTGCACCTTCACATTCCGTGCTTGAATCCTGGGAACAAGTTCGGGAGTTACCTCAGCATATGCACAAGGACGTCGTATAACCCCATGGATTATCACGTCGTGTACCGTAGGTAGGAAGTACGAGTAAAGATTTTGTAGTCGAACTACAATGCATTGACGCATGATGAAGACGGATTAATACACGTGTCGGCATAGAAGTCTGAAGTGCGGAACGTAGACATAATAATACAGGGCTTATATGTAGGTCATGACGAGAATATGATAACGAATGTTCACTGCCAATTCAAATCTTGGGCCATTCGATTTAGAATCAGAGTCGTGACAATTTCTGTGACAATGTGGAGGCCGGATGGTTTGATAGTGAGCCGCGCATGGAAATCATCCTCCGGCGAACTGAGATCCCACGAAGCTAGGAGAGTCCGACCATCCATACACTAGAAAGGCAGCAAGCGCCCACATCAGAGGTGTGGTGACCACGGGAAAACGACATGACCTACCTCCATCCGTGTGTTGGACATTCTCCATTTATAATTATTCCCGCTCTGTGAGGTGAAATACCGGGACCTAGGGCATTGGTTACTGGCGCGTGAAAAAGGCACGAGCGAAGGCACGCACGAGCTCTTATCCCGCTCCTGACGCATGAGGTGGGACATTGGGAGGTTGAGGGGGTTGTTGCCGTAGACAATGTATCCAGGCGAAGTGCGAGGGCCAAAGTAGAAGAAGGAATTCGACGGGACCCATAATGGAGGCGTATTGCTGCGACCAGGGAGCTTCCCGCGTGAGTTTCATGACCAGCGTCGGGTACTGCGAGGCCTGTGATGCGCGATCAAAATTTCGGTACCGCGAAGAGCAGAATTTGCAACCGTACCAGGATCCTGTTAACGACAATCCCCATCACACGTTAAACTAGCGCTCAACGGTCAACGCGGCGAGAAAACACGCACAAGGTAAAGGCAGGGCGACCCTGGAGGTCTTCGAATCGAAAGCTGAAGGGGTCTGACCCAAACTGAAGGAGGACGACGGAAGACATGGGGGAAGGGGGGAAGAGATAAAGCAAGTGGAAAGTTTGTCGAGCCGTGATTTAACCATGATTATTGTTGTGGTCTCGAAAGCTCGAAGAAGGAATCTCGGAACGGATTGACTCCACGTGGAAGCACCGCCGGTGCAACTGCGCCACGTGTAGACCATGCCGCGTGGGCTCGCGTGGACGGTGAGATCAAATCGCAGATTTGTAGATTGAACCTTGATTTCAAGAGAATAATATCACGACACGAGATCGGCACTTGAAGGCCTCAAACGTCCAATGATCCTGCGCCACGACTACCCCGCGTGCACGAGAGGACAAAAAATGCCGGAAAATGGATCAGATTGCAATCTATTCATACTACGGTTCCACTGTATCCGCTCTTTCCGGCGAATGAACCTAGGCCGGAAATTTTGCAAAAAAAAGTATATCGATGTGACGACATAATTCTATGGACTCGCTGCGCGGACACATCGCAACCGTTCGAAATTGGTGCGGAACGCTACCGTTATGAAAATTGGGTCACAGGGGCAATGAGTAAGGGGAGATGGAACGTACAAAGAAAGTTCCTGATGGAGACTGAAGATTTCGGTACTTTAGTCGTACACTACAGAAGAGACGTTCGCTCTTATAAATATACCGCTGCGAACAGAATGCGTACCGTGGACGATGCCTGGAATCCTGTACGTTAGTCCCGGTTATGAAATGAGTACCATAAGAATCCCGCACCGTAGAATAGAGTCCACACAAGCACGAAGGTAAAGGCGTTATCCTGCCCGGGGTTCACGAGGTCTGCCACGCCTTGAGGCATGTACTTGGCTGGATTCCCTCGGCAATTGATGGTGTGAATGCAGAAGGACGTGAACAGAGTTGATACGAGGAACAGGGCGAAGCCAACCCAATTTTCGAGGCCAAGAATACCTGCGACAGCGCCGGCAAAGCAAGAAGAAAGGAATTTTATGGTCACGAGCGATGTATTTGCCTGCACATTGGGCCCGTAGATGAGCTGAGCAGCGGCTTCGGCGGATGTGGCCATGTTGTCGTTGTCGAGTCCAGCGTCGGATACGGAGAGCTCCGATTCAAACTCCGCCGGGCTCATCTGGCGTCACTGTGACTGTCACGTGTGGAGCGGCACACGTACCGGAACTGCTTACCGTCACTAGTCTCAGCGTCAGTTATGACTCTCAATAATGCCTCAGCAACCTCTGACAATATTGATTTTAATTCCAGCCGCTTTTTATCCAAATATCCACGACATACAATGCAAGAAGGGCGCCAGATCAAGGTCGGCATCCTAGGTGCAACGGGTACCGTAGGCCAGCGCTTTATCACGCTACTGGCTGTCCATCCCTGGTTCGTCATTGATGCCTTAGGTGCATCCTCTAGATCAGCCGGCAAGCCCTATTCAAAAGCTGCAAACTGGAAGCAGACCACACCTATACCCGCAACCATCCGAGATCTGATAGTCCACGAGTGCAAGCCGGAGTATTTTCTGAATTGTGCTATCGTCTTCTCCGGACTCGACGCAGATGTAGCGGGAGATATTGGTATGTCGTAAAACCTTATATGTCCATTCATTTATTAACAGCGCGTTACTAGAGGCCGCTTTCAGAGCGGCAGAATTTGCCGTCTTCTCCAATGCGAAAAACTTTCGCAGGGATCCTCATGTTCCCCTCATCGTTCCTTTCGTCAACCCCTCCCATCTTTCCATCATTCCTCAACAACGATCTCTTCATTCGCCACCACTAAAGAAGGGATTCATCGTTACTAATGCCAACTGCTCGACTACCGGTTGCGTTATACCCCTAGCTGCTCTCGAAAAGGCTTTCGGGCCAATCGAGTCACTTTTAGTCACCACAATGCAGGCCATATCCGGTGCCGGCTACCCTGGAGTTGCAAGTCTCGACATCATGGATAACGTCGTGCCTTATATCGGCAGCGAGGAGGAAAAGATGGAATGGGAGACGCTCAAAATTTTGGGCGGCATCGCAGACTCGGATGACGGTCTCAAAACATTTGACATGCACTCTCGTCACCCTCTGCGCGTATCGGCCTCTTGCAATCGTGTGCCTGTTATCGATGGACACACTGAATGCGTCTCCATCCGTTTCGCCCGGAGACCCCCGCCCAGTCCTCAGCAAGTGAGAGAGGCTCTCGCGGTGTTCAGCCCTGATGCCCAGGCTCTTGGTTGTCCCTCTGCACCACGACGAACCATTGTTGTACATGAAGAGCCAGATCGGCCTCAGCCACGGCTCGATCGGTATTATCAAGATGGTGCTGGAGTGTCGGTCGGACGTGTTCGACAGTGTCAGGTTTTGGATATCAAGTTTGTGGTGCTGGCAAATAATGTTTCCATTGGAGCCGCCACAAGCAGCATTATCAATGCGGAACTCGCCGTTCTAAAAGGGGTGATTTCGGGCTAGACTCAAGGGTGGAAGATATCTTTGAAGTCACGGTCGTGTGGAAAATCGGGAGAAGGATATAGAGGAGGATATGTAATTGTACCACCAAGTTACATTAGAGCTCTGCTCATGCATGAACACGTAGGCGCTGTAGTACAGACTCTTACGCGTTTGTACCATTATAGGTAGTAATATTGTTGCGTAAGTGGTGTCAATGCTTTATGCTGATCCGAGAAGATTGCACGCGAGCAACTCTACTTGGTACTTAGAACGCGTAATGCCACGCGATTTGACGTGACGTCTTGTAATGTCCATCAAGCTCGCATCGCGACGAAGTCTTCTCGTTTGACCGATACCGAGACAATGAGAATAAAATCTTATCCATTGTATGACGATATCCTAAATTAATGCTTCCCCCGCGAATTGTTCTCCATCTTGGCCCCAATGTGCCATCTACTCGGCTGAGATGGCGTTACCCACGACGTCGAGTTTCAAGACAGTAGCGTTGGCGGGTGGTGTTTTTTTTTCCAAAGCAAACAAAGCTTGAACCCACCTCTCTTCCGTATCTTTCACAGAGGACCTACATGCACCCTGCGCGTATCTACCATTTGAATCATGTGCTTGTAAACGCACCGAACGCGTCTCCATCCGTCTCGCCCGGAGACGTCCGCCCAATCCAAGGCAAACTCTCGCGGTACCCAACCCTGATGTCCAGGCTCTTGGTTGTTCTTGGCACCAATGAACTATTGCCGTACGTGAAGAGCCAGAAGGGCCTCAGCCACGGCTCGATCGATATTACCACAGTGTGCGGGTTATCAAGTTTGTGGTGGAAAATAATGTTTCCATTGGAACCGCTACAAGAACTCGGTGTTGAAAGGGGCGATCTCGGGCCAATGGTGGAAGATACGTTGGAGTCATGGTTGCCCTAGCAGTGGGAAAAATAGCATCTCGGGAGAAAAGAGAGTGGTACGACAGAACGTAGACGCTACAAACTTTTACACGTCTGTATCACTTTAGGCAGTAACATTGTTGGGTAAACGACGTAAATACTTACTGCTGATCCGGGGGAAATGCTGTCCCGTCGTCCGTGAGCAATTGCAGGCACACTTCTGTGCCTGTGGGTGGCGGTTGAACCTAGCGGATCGCTATTGGAGCCGTGTCTAGATTCTCGGCGGGACTCGGCCTAAATCCTCCAAAAGTTTAGCATTATTTTTCCAGCGGCCGATCGTTTTGGTCAATGTGCCCAGGGAGGGACCTGAAACGGAAATGGCTCGGGATCGATGGGAGTTTTTGCACCCGACGAAGATGACAAAGCATCAGCTCGGAGCGCCCAGCTTTTCCCAACAAGGAAAGGGCGCTCCCGACCGGCCGGCGACCATTAACGTTCCGATAACTTACATAATCGCTCTAAAGATTTTTCCGCAAAATTCCGACGGACCTGTCCGAAATGGCATCCACCTCTTCTCAACCACAACAGGATACTCTCAAGGCCGCCGTTTTTCAAAGACTACATCCGCGCGTTTACCTTGAACGATTCGTCGCCGAAAATGTCAGACCAGACGGACGCGATTTCGACGCGTGGCGTGATGTTTCTGTGAACGTTGGTGAATCACTTCCTCGTCAAGTTGACCAGGAAGGCTGGATTTCTTACTATTCACAGGCTCGGTCTCGACAGCAAATGGATCCGCACTCGTTCGCCTTGGAGACACAACTGTTGTGTGTGGTGTTAAAGCTGAACTTGCCGAACCAGAGCTGGATGCGCCAAACGTTGGGTTTTTGGGTGCGTCCGTAATTCGTCTTGGCCTGGATACGTTTCTCAATCGGCTCTGTTTCAGTCCCAAATTTGGATTTGCCTGCAATAAGTTCTCCCAAGTTCAAACCAGGTCCCCCGACCGAAGAGGCACAGGTGCTTTCGGACAGGTTGAATGAGGTTCTTGTCAGGTTGGTCTTACGATATTGAAGGGCCTTCGTCGTCATCTCATTTCTCCTCAGTTCTGGTATCATTCCTCTAGAGTCTCTCTGCATCCATCCAGGCAAATCCGTCTGGGTTCTTTACGTGGACGCAACATGCATAAACTACGACGGAAACGCATTCGATGCTACCCTCATCGCGATGGTCGCAGCTCTCAAAAACAGTACGCTTCCCTCCCCCCTTCCCCCAAAAAGCACCCGCTCACCCACTCTCTTTTTTTTTTCTTTCTTCTGTAGCCAAACTTCCTAAAGCGACGTACAACGAGGACATCGGGCTTACGACATGCTCTCGTAAGGTGATGATGCCTTTGCAAATTGAACGCCTTCCGATCGCATTGTCTTTTGGTGTCTTCGATTCGTGAGTGTTATTAGTTATCTCCATTCTCTCCTTCTCAACGGCAGATTAGGTCTCGAATCCTTCCGGACCCAACATCCTTCGAGGAACCTCTCCTCGATACCACGATATCGGTCGTAATCGACGAAAAAGGCCAGTTGATCTCCATATCGCAAGTAGGCACCGACACGCAAGACGCCCTTCTTACATGTACTTCTGCCGCTAGAAAGCGCCATGCCATTCTCACAAAACAAATATACAACTCATCATAGAAATTTCTGATATTCGATTTGATTTTTGGATGCGAGATTATCGAGGCATGACAAACGCGGTTCCGAATGGCAGTTCGCAGATTGAACATCACCTGAGACAAATATTTGATTGCGATAACGTAGGAACAATACCTTGACTATGCGTGCAACTGCTAGCGGCCCACGAACGTAAGATTGAGATAGGTATCAGGATGAGTATGTGGATAGCATTTCAAAATAACAGCCTCAAGTACCATTGCTCGCGTTGCTTCTTTCCTCCCGAGATATGTACGCTTCACTGACACCGATCATACCACCCAGTTATTCACCCCATTATTTGCACGGAAGGCGTTCCTGCGCTCATCATATTCGCCAGGTGTTCGGGCGTAATCATAAGTTATGAGAAGGACCCACTTTCCCGCTTCCATGTGACACCGACCATACTCGATATCCAGCTCTTACCCTGGAACGTGGGCCGTATGCATTGAAATCATAAACACCGAAGAGACCTTCATCTGATAGATCTTGCCCACTGCTGGGATCAGCGTGCACTCACATTCACGAGGTAGCTAGGGGACAGTGTAGATTTCGAGCATCCCTGAAATCCAATTCTATTCATCAAGTAGGGTATTTCATATGATTGGACTTCGGAACTGAACCGGAACATCGACAGTGAGTTTGTCCCAAGTCCTTGATTTCGAGACACGAATTTCACCTGAACATTCGACGTCGCAGGGGGCCGTTAATTACTTGTATAATACACACGTTTGAAAATGAGTTCACAACTTACGCTCTCACGCCGCAGAGAACATCTCGTCAATTCTTCGGACAAGATACAAGCGCTGGTTGCCACTTCTCCTTTAAGTGTTAAAATGCGAGTCAAACACGATTATTGGAACGTGCCCTCGTGTTTTCTCTCCTTCCTTTTCTTGATGCTTCCTTTCAACCCTGTCAGTGCTTTTCTGTCGTCCCCGGGAGGCCCTAATCTCCACTACCGCAATCTTTGTAATAACGGATGCGGCAGTCGCAGCCGAGATTTGGCAACGCGTATCTTGTTTCCGCTCCCCGTGGTTTTCCAGGACGCGATAGTCAACAAACTTCTGTGATGCAGAAAAGTTAGCTTCGAGATCTTCTGCTCTTCAAAAGTCAGGCTGATATGATCCAATGGGGACGACTTTACTTGCGTATTGGTCTGACACTGAGATGGACGGTTACCTGCCACAGATTGAGGAGTGACGTCGCCCTTGACATGCACACTTCCCCACGTCGGGTTTTCATGCCCGTGAACTGATGGCGCTACGAGATAAATGGGTTATCCAATTGGTTACTTTGAAGAGAAGTAAAACTTGATATACGGTATCCCGTTATTCACCTTGGCATGGGCCCTCTGATCTTTCTTCTCGGGTTATGCCTTCAGTACAACCCCATTAGCTTCAACCTAAGCTAGTCTTGTTCGAGCGCCATCTCGTTTTGTTCAATGATTGCGGTGAAAAGGTTCTATACCGCACCATGCCGTCAGATTGTCGGCATAAGTGAATAAACTCACGTACGTCTCAATTGCGCGGAATTTTGTTGTGCGCCATGGCTATTCAGTATTACCGTTTCCTGATCCCAGCAGCTTCAGTAGGTGGCGTATCAAACATTTGCTGAAGGGTTGTCTTATTATTCGCTAGAGCAGGAGATATGCGGTCCAATCTAAGTCCTATTTCCACTGGTTAGGAAATCAGGCATTATCTGTCTGACCGAGGGAGCCTTACGTCTGACTCCGCCCTTAATGGAATACCTACGAGGATCGACGCCGCCTAGAAAGAATTCCGGTTAATGAAGCACTGCATTGTAATAGATGCGCTTACCATTTACTGTTGACAGCCGCGTTCCTGATCTTCAATTTCACTGAATTGTTCCAAAAAGATTGGATATTCTTGACGTTTGACTGCGGCTTGACCTGAAGCTGGGAGCTAACCTTTGACTGAGGGTTTGATGGTCAATGCGAATAGTGTAGGAATTGACTCCACCACAATTTACTTGGGCGTTCGAAGTTCTTCGTCATTTGAATAGACATACTGCCATAATCAAGCCATAATACTTCACGCACGATCTTTCCGGGTGGTGACGACCCAGGTATACCGGAGGATCGTAGTACGGGTGTCGGATGTTGTCCACGGGAATCTGAGTATTCCGGCACACCGACTTGGTGAAGACCGGCTTGAAGTGTTAGCGCTAGTGGCAATTCCTTTGATCGCATGATTCCCTCGGAAAGACATCGGTACCATAATATGAGCGTATACATTGAGACCACGGGCACAGAATAACGAACCACGACAACGTCGAATGGGGTAGTCGGAGGTGGTCTCCTTTTCTGTGATTTCGATGTCACGCTAGTATTCAGTAAAACTAAACCAAGGTCCTTATCAGCCTCGAAGAAACTAAAGGTACCGTAATGAACGGACCAGCGTTTTTTTTGTGGCCAGCTCTGTACCCTCAAACTGAAGCGGAAAGATTAGTACACGAGATCCTGGATTCTCCCCCTGACATCCGCGGAAGGGCACCCACTAAGTTACAATTAGATGCGGGAAACCAGATGCATGGGAATTGACTCTGGCCTGCCAATACGGTGCTGTCAGGCGGTATGCGATCGTGGAGAGTGTGACATTGGCTTCGAAGAAGACCTGGTCGCTGGAAGGCTCTACAGAGGAATCCTGAGTAGCCTAGACAGAATTGATAACTTGCCAATAATACTACACCGATGATTATCAACATACCTCGTGTTCCAGTCTCCTGCTGGGTCAGATATAGCGAGACTGGAGCATGTGTCGGCGGTGTCGGCAGTGGTAAAACTGCTGAACCATCAGAGGACTCCTTGAGTAATCCTTCCAGTTGGCGGACATAAAGATCGTCCGGCCCAAACGTATGGCCATGCTTTACGACCGTATCCATCTCGGGAATGGATGTATATACTTGGGTACAATCTTGCAGCTGAATCTGATATGTTTACCCCGTAGATAGTGAGGGTCTGATCGGCCACCTGTGTGCAGGCGAGTCTGTGAGTCTGTAGTCAGTAATAGGTACGGGAACAAAGTAAAGGGTCTGACTGGATTAAACAAGGAGATCAACGATTCCGTCAACGGGAGACTAACCGATATTAGGCGCTAACATAACGGCCGAGTTCAGCGATTGGTACATATAATCATTACATAGCAGGAATCTTAGAATAGGGCCAGGTGCACGATGTTTGGAGTAATCGATTTTTTTCTTCGATCTTCAGAGGTCTCACACAAGACTTAATCAAACAAAGGCTCGGTCTCTTTCATTTCGTGGGCTGGGAGAAGCTTGCAACTGGCAAGCGCTTGCGCCTTCTACAAGTTCGCCGGGTAAAACGAATAGCACAGTTTTTGTAGGAACAAGGTCGGCATTGGCCAGAAGCAGCTGACAGTCAAGTAGAAGAGCCCGCTTGACTAGGCTTAGCGAAAAGAACCACGGAGGGACATTGGAGATAGGGTGATGATCCAGCATTCGCCAGGCAGCGTATACAGGTCGGCATCCAGAATAATTCCGAGATGTAGTGTGATTGGATGCTTTGGCTGCCTCCTACAGTGAACCGGCAGGAAATGTTTCTATTGCAGAGCTTCGAGAGTTATATTTCAAGAAAAATGCCAGTTAGGGCAGTCCATCATAACGAGTAGAGGAATCCATGAATCGAAGAAGAGAAATAATCTTTTGAATCAAGTTCGATGCCACTTCACAGGGGAATTGTGAGTTCATGTGTAGATGTTATGGACAGCAGCATACCTTTTAACTTTGGAATGCTCCTAATACATGAGTATTCATCAATAAAGGTAAGATACAGCAGGCACGCTCACACGACTAGGCCACATTCTTCATGATAGTTATAGATGTAAACTTCCACACTGCTAGACTAAGATAGCGGCGATGTCCACAGAGCCCTATATGGGACAGCGCAGTGGGCACGTCGAACCGCGAATAGAAAAGCAGATGCGGCAGCAGGGTATAACCGACGCTGATGGCCACATCATTACAAAGCCTGACATAATTTGATGGCCGCGAGACGGCACTGCGCCACATCGAATCGATTTGGGGGAAAACTCAGCGTGCCGATCCGAAGCCGGGCGCGCGCCTGTGCAGAAAATTCTGCTTGTCCCGCTTTTTCATATGAAATAACTTATCTTTTTTCAGTAAAAACTTGTGCATCTTAATTATAGAGCCAATTTCTACTATCAAGCCCCTCCAGAGATCCTGAATGCAACGATTATGCATCCCTGGGCTTCCATTCCATTAGTAATCGATAAATGGGCTTGATTAGGCAATGCAGTCGCGTGAGAGACATCCCACGCACCGTAGTTGAGCAACTGCCTGTGAACCGCTTGCATGCAAGAACAACGCAGGCTCTGGGGAGCTCCCGCCAAGGTTTGTCCGGATTTTAGCATATTTTAGGCCCCAAAAAAGCGAAATCTTTGTCCGTAGATAGCATATTTCAGACCCAAATTTTGAAGCCCTTGTCCGTAGTTAGCATATTTTAGGGCCCCGGGGCCTGGAGGAATGGCACATGGCAGAATCCCTGTAGTTGGAGAAGCACATAGCGAGGACTTATTGGGATCTGAAGGAAGGATGGAAGTGACACTGAAAGTTCATCCAGAAAATGCAAGGCAAAGGGTGCCGAAATTTGACCTAATTTGGCCCGTGGCGCGGACGGACCGGCAGAAGCCTTGTCCGAGTTAGCATATTTTAGGCGCCAATCTTTGCATATTTGAGGCCAAAAATCAGGGTTTTTGCCGGACAAACCTTGGCGGGAGCTTCCCGGGGCCTAACAATGCAAGAGTGAGAAGGCAGGAAAAGAAGCCATCAAAAAAACTAGTCTGAATCGGGTCCTCCTATTTTAGGAGTCGCCGACGGCGCGCCGACATCGGCCATCAAAGGCGTTTCCTACAGTGCTATCAATTACTTTTCGATGCTTAAAGTTATGTATTTGTCTTGCGTGATTTGTTCATCGGATAGGTAAGCGCGCTTGTCTCCGAATTCAGGCTTCTGTCTCATCAGTCGATCGCCCCAATGAAGCCACCTTCTGTGGCGTACACGGACCACCGGCTTCACAAAAGGGCTATTGGCTTTGGATAGCATGGTGATGGTATTATTATACAGATTATTCAAAGATATCCATTCTAAGAAAGGCAGACACATATCTGCTCTCCCACTCTATAGTTTGGCCTGCGATGGTTCCATTTTGCTGTGCACTCCAGAAGCTACGAGACGCTTCGTAGTGTCGCTCCAAATCTGTGGTGCAATTCGTAAGTAATAATATGCTCAATGAAATCAACGCACCTCCGTGCGAGCAATCAGAGTTTTCGAACCAATGGACATCGTCGTGTTGACTATCCGGAGTTCCTCGCCCCTACGTGCCATCAGCTTAGATATGTACAGCGCAGTATTATTGTTGGCAACTCACAAACCGGCTGGGGAATGGTACATCATGTTGATTGACTGTGAAACGGTATTGACTGGTCTCCCAGAGGCCAAGGTATAAGCCATTATTGCCAGAGTGGAACAACTGCAAAGCAGTTCAAACTCGACGATGGTGATCAAGGTGTCTATGTAGGCTCACACTGTCAACCAAGTAAGCAGAGCAACCCCCATGAATTGTCATGGCGCCGTTGACCATATCTAGTAAAAGTGCCTAAGAACAGTTTTGATTGCAGAGAAATACCATTACGCACCTTCGGTCACAACAAGCTTGCACACCACCTCTTCCTTCCTGCTTCGTTGGTTCTTCCGCTTTGGGTATCATAGACACCTCGGAAACAGTCATTCCCGACGTAAACGTGGCACCGAATCCGGTGGGTTCTCCTTCATCTGTCGTCATGCGAAAGATACGCATCGGAAACCCAACGATTCTCTTAATTTCGTCCGATACATTTCCAGCTATAGAGGAGACGTCGTCTGTACTAGAATTCGAGCTTGCCATGAAAAGATGATGAGGTTCATATCAAAAGTATGAAATGGTCGCTTTAAAGGAGCCGGGCCGGAGTAATGTCAAAAGCCGGAAACTGACATTCGTCACGAACATTTTCACGAGGTTTACTTGTCGTTTATACCAGGCTCCGATTGGACGTGCTGAAGACAGCCGTTTATTCGTAATAATGGACAGCGTGCAAACAGAAAGTGCCGTCGAACCACATCTCAGTACGTTCTTAGTACTTGTTGGTCTCTACAACACCATTAGCAAGAACATTTTCGCAGAAACTACGAACCTTCTTATCGACACAAATTTCCCTACATGTCAGGAACTAGACTCTCCTGGAACCATATCCACACCAGGACTCGTTATTTGACGAGCCGTTTTCTCCTCTTGAAGCTGGTCCGGCCCCGGCAGCGCTCATCGATGCACCTCCAATCCCAGGCCTCTTTTTCACCCCTTCGCTCCGTCTTCCCGCAGACCTCGCAGATTCCGTGATGAACTACTGCTTGGAAACCTTCTTCACGTCTGCCAACATCAATCAGATCATGCTCTTCTGTCCGCGCTCCCAGTGCGGACTCACCGTCCTCGGGTCTACCTCCCCTTCTCACTTCACTGCTCGATGTTCTATCCGACCTTCTCAGGCCTACGTTGCCCCCAGAAATCCACTCTTTACTCTTTCCGACTGTCCCTACGCGAGCTAGGCAGGCTATCATTAATCGGTACGATCCTGGTGAGGGGATCACAGCCCCATGTGGATCTTCTGAAGCGGTTTGGGGATGGTATTGTGGGTGTCAGCTTTGGCAGTGGGTGTGTCATGCAGTTCGCGTCTGGATTCGAAGGACCAGGCAGTATGGAGTGTACCTCCGGAGAGAAGTATCATCGTCATGTCAGGAGATGCGAGGTATAACTGGACTCATGGTATTGAGAAGAAGACTGCGGATTATGTGCAGAGTCCGGATATGTCGGCAGCGGATAGAGGTCGATGGGTGGAAAGGACGATGCGGGTGAGTATAACCTTTAGATGGCTGTTGCCAGGAGCAGAGGTTGTGGGTGGCGCTTAAGATATAGATCCCTCCAGGTAAAACCTTCAACTATGTGTAACCTGCAACTTATCATACTTATGATTTACTCGCCAGTTACCAAATGCCCTGATGTTATATAACGTCCTCAATGTCGACCAGCCTTTGACGAGCGGCGGCTACTATGTAATAACTGGAAACCCAATTGAACGCATGATCAATTCAGTCTGCTACTAGTGCACTTACAAAGTTAGATCCTCGCCACCCCTTCGACTGGACCTTTCTTTGTGAGATCCCGTTGAAGCTAGGATGGATTCCGAGACGGGCTAGTATCTTGACAGGCTGCACTACGCCGCTCACAACCGTATCGTCGCTCTTCGCATCAACACTTTGGACGACTCCACAAATGATAAAAGAACATCCAGAAGTGACAGGAAATGCTCCAGATGATGTCAAGCAGTGCCAGCGCGTCTTTCTTGCTGTCGGACAAACAAAAGGATTCGCGCATCAGATTCTTTCGGGACTGTCTATATCCCATGTTTCCCTTGACCCCTCGCCAGAGCAGTACACGAGGGACCAATCCAAAGTTACATGTTCGTTGACGGTGACTGAGGGTACGTCAGCGGTTCGTAAACCATAGATCATGATGGGTTTAACGAGGCGTTAGATATGCTGGACGCAATACCAGGATGCTTGCATGGAGGCTGCAGTGCATTTATAATCGATGCGCGAGTGTTTGTTCTCATGCCGTTGTTTTCTTTGTGCTGATATCGCTAAAGATGCTCTACACTTGGTCTGGTAGCCTATGTGCTGTGCAAGACCACCAGCTGCGATTGGGATAAGATCTACACAATTTCGCAGACTTTGGACGTGGTATATCACTCGCCAGCTTTATTGTAAGTTCTGATGACAAATGATTGATAAAATATGTGATAAATTTACATCGTCAACAGGGGAGATAAGCTGAACATTGTCAACACTAGCATGAGCGTCGGAGCGAGAACCATGTCAGTACGCACAGAGGTAAGGCTCGTCAAGTAGATCAACAGCAAACACCCTGACCAATCAATACAAAGATATGGAATACGACGCGCCGGTGCCTTGTGGCTTCAGGTGTTCATCTCAAGATGCTCCCATCATCGTCTCGAGCAAATATGTGAATTGTGTATCTCGTAGCATAGCCAGGGAAGAGTGTCGAAACAGTTACATGACGAAACATAGCACACCTAAAAAGATACGGAACGAGATTATGACAGAATAAACAATGATCAGTCGTATCTTGAACTTTTCTTCAGAGGCGGAGTACGTGACCGCGACCTAGAGCGCGACCGCCTTCCTCCACCACGACCACCACGACCGCCTCGTCGGCCCCAGCCTGTCTCACGAGGCGGAGGCGAATTCCCCCGGTCACCGCGCCTCGGAGGCGGCACACGGCTATCTTCCAAGTCCCTATCCCCAACCCCGCCACCACGTCCACCACCGCGCCCCCGAAGACCGTTCGAGTCGCCCCTCCAATGCCCGCCTCCTCCACGAACCATCACCGGACTTCCACCAATCCCTGGCCCTCCAGCTTTCCAGCCATTGAAAGGCGGCGCTCGTGTATTCGATTCGGGCGGCGCTACGCTTTTTGGGAGAAACACCGCAACCAAGAGGTAGTCGCCCGGAACGAAACGTAGCTCGTCGAGCGTTCGCTCCTCTCGTTCACGCTCTGTGGGCTCGCGGTTCTCTCCGTCGATGTCTTCGAGGAGACGTGGTGCGGTGCTGGTCAGTGATCCTGGTTCACCGAGGATGTCACGGGAGTAGACCTGGCCTAGGTCTTTTGAGGCAAAGCGGCCTTTGTTGCCTGGGTCGGCGTATACGGTACGGAAGGAGAAACGCGCGAGTGGGTGTCGGTATTCTTGAATCATGGGCGTGCTGTTACGGATAGTAGTCAGAACTTCTCGGAGAGTGGCGTCCTTCCTGCAATCATTAATTCACTACAGAAAAAAACATATAGATATAATTACGCACCAAGTGAATATCTGTTGTTCATCAGTGGTAGGAAGCGGGCCATCCTCAAACTGACCTATCCGGTGAAAGCTGCCGATTTTAATGAATGTTCGTATGAGGAAGGGTGCTGTCTGAAAAAATGGTTAGAAACCGAGAATATTACGACAGCATTCACCCACCTTTTCCCTAGATACGATAGGTTGACCGGCAGGTGTCGTCTCGTTCATGGTGAAGAAGGTTGGGTCTGGTATATTTCTGTCGCCAAATAGGGAAGCGTCCTAGGCTCGGAGCCAGACAATCAGATGACATAATCGTGCGGAGACTGAAATAAATGATGACGGATCGACTTTTAACAATTTTGAAAAATGGTGAGAAAAAATGAAAATGAACAAAAAGTGAAAAAGTGAAAAGAAGAAAAAAGCGAAAAAAATAAAATAAAACCTTTCAAAAAAAAGAAAAAAGAAAAGAAAAACGAAGAAAAAGAAAAGAAAGAAAGAAACGGAAATTTTTTGAAAAAAAATGAAAACAACGAAAAATGAAAAAAAAAGGATGAAAGAAAATGAAAAAATGAACAGTGAATAAATCTCAATGAACGAAAATAGTTTGGACCTTCCTACACATCAAAGCGCGTCTGTTCTCTCCAAACCTCTCTTCTCCACGCCATTGGAGATGGAGCGGATTGAGTACAGGCTCGAGGTGGGCAATAACTCTTTTTCGTTGTTTTCAAGAATGCCGAAATAGCAATAAATTTCTCACGCCCGATTCCGTGTGAGCAAAAAAGACTCAAGCGAGAGATAAGCACCTTATCGAGAGTATAAATGGTCGCTAACTCAATCACGAAGGTATATTCCGGCGATGAGAAACCGACCCCTTCTTACGCTCTCGGCAAAGATTAGGGATGCTTCGACATCCACTGGCAATTACTACTGTTAATACTTTGGCTAGCCGCTATACTCACATACAACGTCTCCCCTCGGCCGTCAAAAGCTGATGTCCCGTCGGCAATTAGAAAGCATAACACCGATAAAACGATAACAAGAACGGACGCTTATCTATATGTCATATCCATATAAATACCTCGCCTGCGAGCCAAGATCTTCCTATCATTCTCATCATGCCTAGCCATCAACACTACGAGAGACTTAAGGATCCCGAGTCAGACCTTATCGAACCCGGTAAACGGCGCTGGCGCTTTGGTCTTGTGTCTCTTGTCGTTATCGCCATTGTTTCTCTTATATCTCTGCACAATACAGACCTTTGGCGGTTCTTTGACGAGTCAGAGTTACCATCATCGTCGACCATCGAGACTTCGGAGCCGACGGCTCTCAAGCAGTGTGCATCTTCGCTTCCACCTCCAGTTGACCCCCCTGCTCCGCTCAATGTCTGGGCATCCTTAACTGTTGCTGAGACCACAGAGATTCAACGATGGCTGGAAGCCCCAGAGAGGGGACTTAATCTAACGAGAGCCAGCATATCTACTTTCTCCGACAATGTCATTTTCATGATCGAGTTGTATTATCCTCCAAAGTCTGCAGCTCTGGAGTACTTGGCTTCTCCAGACGCGATTTCTCCTCCCGACAAGTTTGCCAGAGTTACCATTCATCATGGTGTGGAGCCGGTGATTCGAGACTATCTCGTTGGACCGCTTCCCGTTGGGCCTGACACAAGGATGGAACCCCTCACTGATATCTATCATCGGGAGGATATACCGTTCCATGCTGGCGGCTATGCCATTGGTTCCGAGCTTTCTCTTGTCGTTTCCCAAATTGCGCCTGACTTTGGAGACGCGCTATTCGTACGTATGTCCGCCTGTAATCGATCATCTGCTTAATAGTCGCGCTGCTAGGAACTTTTTGGAGGCGTGGCTCGTGGTTATGAAAACGACACCTTGATTGTAGGGGCATCGGCGCCGTTCAGCTTTGATGGAAGCTTTCGCCGTATGTAGCCTCTTAGTTGCAGATCTCTTTTGTGGCCAATAATGCTACTATTCAAGGTTTATGGCTCAATTGGAAGCTCAACACTCCGGGTCCATGGTTACACCCGGTCAACTTCTTCCAGTACGTAGACATTAGCGGGACAGATCCCTCTCTTTGGAAGGTTTTGAAGGTAAGTCACTACCATTCCACCCCAATATCAAACTGAACTCAATGTCAACAGGTAGTCTATAACCACCAAGTCTTCAATTCGACGGAGTCCTTCATGGAAGCTTTCCGGAACGGGACTCTGGTGCGCCTTCCTGAGCGACCTGAAAACAAGGACCTGTCATGGACCACGAGGAAACGCGTAGGCAAACAACGCGATCTCGATCACCTTCCCGGACCTCGATCGGTGTCCTTTGCTGGGTTGAGATTCCGCGTCGACAAAGCGCGCCAGTACATCACTTGGATGGGATGGAGCATGTACCTTGGGTTTGACCGAGATATGGGCCTGAGCCTATGGAATATCGGCTTCAAGGGAGAGAGGATCATCTATCAGGTATGTAGTGTCTCTTTCCATGGTTGACGCGGATATGACCAACATGGTCGTACCCTACAGCTTGCACCTCAAGAAGCGATTGCCCAATACGGCGAGTGATAGACATTCCCGGTACGGCTTCTACAATGCTGATATTCATATCATATAGGCGGAAATGACCCTATGCAAACGACTACGGACATGGCTCGATCGCTATTTTGGCATGGGCTGGCTCCGTTCGAGATATGCTTCCCGGATATGACTGTCCCCACGAGGCTGTATACCTTCCAATGACAACCTACGCCAGCACGGGTAGTGTTGTTCAGAAAGAGGGCAGTGTGCATATTTGAGCAAGACACGGCTAGACCCATCACTCGTCCACGCCGGGTACATGCAAGGCGAATTCGGCGCTGTTAAAGGGTATATACTTACTGTACGGAGTATCAGCACGGTCGGAAAGTAAGCATCTTCGAGTTTAGACTGATTCCTCGTGGATATTAATTTTATCTTCAGTTATGATTATCGTGAGTAACCGTATCGACTTTTACCTTTCCGGCTTCCAGCAATATTTTCGCTGACTCATTTTCTAACAGTGGTAAGCTTCTTGGCCTTTTCCGCGTAGATTTGGGATAACCTTCTCTTCGTCAGTTTGATTATATGTTCCAATTGGATGGAACCATCGAGGTGCGCGTGTCCGCCTCGGGATATCTTCAAGGTGGGTATTGGGATCCCAAACAAGATGGATACGGAGGAAGAATTCGCGAGACAACGAGTCAGTATTGATAAGCCTGTTCAATGGTAGAACGTCTAAGACAAGCTCACAGTGGGGAATCTCCACGACCATGTTATCAATTTCAAGTGAGTTAGCGTGTGTTCTACAAGTAGGTATTCCTCACTGACATCCTGATAGGGTCGATTTCGACATAGGTGGCATCGAGAACTCGCTTTTGGAAACGACAACGAACCAAGAGGTCATTACTCAACCTTGGTTCGACGATGACTGGGGACAGGAGGTTATTCAGCAGAAAATCACGAAGAAAATCATCGAGAACGAGAATGATGCTCTGCTCAAATATCCTCAGAATTTCCAAGGCGGCTATTCCATTATCAATCAAGATAACAAAAACGCCTGGGGTCTTCCTCGCGGATATGCCATACATCCGGGATATTCTCCCATTCATAACGTTAGTAATGCCCATCTCGTTCACCCGTTAGTTGCCTTTTACAAAGATATACAGACGGTCGTGGGCTCGAAGCGGCTTCTCAACAATGCTAATTGGGCTAGATATAACCTGGCAGTGTCCCATCGTAAAGAGACTGAGCCTTCTTCGAGCGCTATCTGGAACATGAACCTTCCAGGAAAGCCTGTCGTAGATTTCCATAACTTCTTCGACGGAGAAAACATCACGCAGACGGATCTGGTTGCTTGGGTAAACGTTGGTATGCATCATCTTCCGGTTAGCGAAGATTCGCCCAACACCAAGACCAACGTCGCGGCATCCAGGTGTGTCGTGACATTCATTCATATTTTATATCTCCCTAATAAACGTAATGTGTAGCTTCATCTTGACGCCATGGAATTATTTCGACTCGGACCCTTCCATGGAGTCGAGCAATGCTATTTTACTGAAAATTCCCGAAAAGTCGGGAGAGTCTTTCGGATATGACGATTATGGCGTTAAGCAGGAATATACCTGTATCCCGCAAGTCCCGAGTCCTTTCGAATATTCGTTTGTAGACGTATTTGATGCCGACGGGATGCTTCAAGCCCCTAGCCTTGAAGAGCTGAGGAAGAACGCGTGCGTATGGTTATTTGATCAACAATATTTGCCTGCTCATCCTTCTTTACCCAGGGAATGGCACCATCGCATAAAGGTAGAGCTCTAGATGTGTTATTTGTCATGGGTATACAGAAGTACAATGGAAGAATCAAATCACCCCTGGTCATTATATAAATGCGTGAGAATGATAATGATGATGAATCATTACTTCAATGCACATGTTCCACCTCCACTTTATCTTCTTGTTCACTCGGCTTCTTTTCTCCTTGCAAGTCTTCTTCGACACGCTTGTTTTGCTCTTCTTTGATATCGCTTTCGTAAACTAAGGCAAGATTTAATATGATTAACGCAAGATATATCAAACACTCACGAAAAGATAATTCTTCGAGCGTCTTGTGGGCCGTCTCCGGGAAGAGAAAGTAGATAGTGAGCACCTCAATGAGAATCCAGACGACATAGCTGCAGATCTAGGTCAGCACCTGTTATTTATACAACACTAGAGCCTGATTAACCTGAGATAGTATTTCCAACCTGTAGGAGTATGTTCATATGACGCCGCCAATTTCAAGGCTCGTGGTACGCACCAGCGTTAGCTATCCCGATCGGGTTAACGAACTGGTTGAAAAAGCCGGCCATACGACTGAACCATTGAAACACAGTGATTCCTTTGGCTCGGACGTGGAAAGGGAACAACTCGACCAGGAACGCTGGAGGTAGAGTTAGTATCGTAGTTGCGCGTATTGAACCGACTCACTGTATGTCAATGCGTTGAAGGCCATGTTGTAGGCCGGACTGTAGAGAAAGATAAACCTATTCAGGCTGTTAGCGGGGTTTGCTTTGCTGGGAGGAGGGTGCATACACGATGACGGCAACCGAGGATCCGTGGCTCTCCGTTCGGGTGTAATTTGCGCTAGCCACCGTCCATCCCGTGAATATGAGAAGGATAGATATAGTACCCGTCTGGGTGGTGACGCTTAGTCATAATGCAATTTTTGCCGGGATAATACATACCAAGTATATAGTCCTCCGGTTGAATCGAGACACGGTCAGGGCGAACAGGGTGCCGTTGAAAAAGCCTCAGCATGTGTTCGCCAAGTTGATGAGATTCTTGGTCCGATTGTCTGTCACGCCGACGTTGTCCAAGATTCGAGCCAAGTAATACCTATGAAAGGGTTCAATGCTAGGTACGGGTAATATTAATTAGCGTCACGTACGATGTCAGGCCATTACCACTCCACTGAGTGAAAAGGCCCAATAAAGAGCCGATGACGAGACGTTTCCTCATGCCAGAAGTAGTAACCAGCTCCATCCAACTAGTTTTGGCCGTCTCCTTTTCTAATTCCAAAGTCTTCTCAATCTGGGCGTATTCGGCTTTCACAAACTCAGAGTCAACGTCGCCTTCGGCGTGGTACTTAACGAGGGATCGCATATGCTTCTTCGCCTCTACCTCTGGAAATGAGCCATCTCGGGGAGTCCGGAATGAAAAAGATGAAGGTGACCTGCATCAGGCTAGGAACGACTTGAACGAGGGACGGGATACGCCAGCCCCAGTTGCTGTCCATGTTGAATGTGCCGAGCGTAATGCCAGCAGCAACGATCGATCCTTAAGATGGAATAAGTCAAGGCGGTAGGAAAAGACAGCGAGAAACGAACCTATAAACCAGCAAGAATTGAAGAGGGAGCCCAAAATGGCGCGCTCCTTAGGGTGTGACAATTCTGAAGCAGGGCTACGTAAACTGTGTGCTCAGACGTAGCTACTGCATGCATACCTCCAATGAGTGATGAAGCAGCGACGATCGCAAATGGAATACCGAAGCCCAAGACAAGACGAGAGCATACGAACATTGCGACTTATTAGCCGGAACACAGTCAGTTAAAAAAACTGTAGAAGAGCACATTAGACGTACAGTTATGAGATGCTGCCTGGAGAGCCGCGCCTATTATCATGAGAATACTTCCGAAGACAATCGCCCACCGCCGTCCCAAGTGATCAGTGACATACGGCACTATAGGGAGTACAACGATAGCGCCAAGGGAATAAATTGCCGACATTAGCCCAAGAAGTGTAGACCGAGGAGAGTGGTAAACTATAATTGATGTTAGTGATGCTTTCGGTCCTAAAAGACGAAAGTTCGATATTCACAAGTATCCCAGGAGTCCACAGCTTGTAGGCCATTCATCATTGAAGAATCAAATCTGGCAGTCGACGTTCAAAGCAGTGGAGAAATGCAGAGTTCTTCTCCTCACCCACTAGTCATCTCCACCCCGATACATGTCGGAAACAGGAGTATGTAGAGCAGGCGTAGGTTTGGTTTCCGATACCATGGCGTCTTGTCCTGTGCTGCTAGGACGAGATACCAAGTCTGCAACATTGTTACTGTCGTCCTGTAGAGCCATCGGTGCTGATGAAGAAACGGCCGAGGGGAGATGGGTAGTAGGTAGAACAGCGCGTTATCGACTTTAAGAAGCGCTTCATACATAGTTGCGTGAGCCCACGACTGACATATTTCTCCAGAGATTCACCGCAACACGCACTTAGCAAGAGCAAAGGTGCGGTAAGATTCTCCGATTCTGAAAACTCTCTTGAGCGAAGCGCCGGTACCTGTGTGGGGAATCTCCGGTGGGGTAATCGATCCATGTCACAAACCAAGGAACAAGACTTGAATCCGCAGTCACACTTGGCACATTCTTGATGCGGAGAGACCCTCAAAGGTGAATTCCAGTCGGAATATGTCCGGAGAAGAAGGTTAAGATTGACAGGCAGATATAGGTGACCCATGATCTAAGGGTGAAAGGGTGGGCGCGAGAGTTATATTCGATATCAAGGAAATATTAGCCGAACCCGGATCATAGTTAAGCAGAAGAAAGAGAAGGCTACAGCTGTCGGATGGCAGCTTCGCGTCCCTTACGACCTTCGGAACTTCCCCGTGAAAGCAGGAAGTGTCACGGAGCCTGAAGTCGAGCGATGAATGTAATCGTAGAGCGGCTCGAAATTTTGCGTTTGTGGGTCCTTGCATGGACTCGGAGGTACTTACGAAACTGATGGAACGAAGTTAAGTCGGGTTTCGGACCAAATGGATTTTCTACCCATCACGCGCACGGTCTAAGCACGCGGAGCTGGGAGTAAGGAGAGAAAGCCAGAATGTCGTCGACAAGGTTGGTCTCGGTCCTCACAGTTGACTAATAAGGTGGACATTGATGGCCGGTAGCCGGCACCACATTTACCGGCGGCAAGTTAGTGTGTCGCTTCTAAGCGTAAAGAAGTGACCAAGTACTCGCCCCATTCCCTTCGTATCAAATCTACATTTCGTTACAGAGAAAAATCATTTTATCTGTGCAAATTCTTCGCAACTCTTAAAATCTGCTCAGCACCTTGCAAATACATGCCGGCTCGATGCCGGGTTCCCACCAGATTAGTAATAATTGTGATATCTCTGTCACATACACATGACAAAGTGGGCCTGACAAAGTCACGTATTTGTTTGGTCTTCCGTGACTGCATTTAAATGAGTCTCCCGGTGCCGCTCGGCATCATTTGCTTCATAACCATCTGCATAGACGCAACTATACCTGTCCAGCTCGATCCTACACGATGTTAATCAAAGTCAAGGTCAGTATATCGCGTCCGAAGTTCACAATCTTTCACTGATTTCTCATCGTAGACCTTGACAGGAAAGGAGGTACCAGTAAATTTCTCGCCACTCTGACCAATGTTCTTATTCTTGGACATGCAGATCGAGCTAGATATTGATCTTGATGACAAGGTATGTTGGCTACCTAGTTACTCATTTATGCGGAAGGACTTATAAGAGTCTCGCTTCAAGATCACTCGAATCAAGGAGAAAGTTGAGGAGCAATCCGGTGTCCCTCCGCCACAGCAGCGATTGATTTTCAGTGGCCGTCAAATGTACGAAATTGGATTACTCTCATTGGATCTCATCGTTGATACGAGTTTGGTAGGGCTGATGACAAGACCGCGAGGGAATTCAATATTGCACCAGGATCAGTGCTGCATCTGGTCCTTGCTCTCCGTGGTGGGCGGTAATTCGGGAGTCAGAACACAGTTGTATGCTTAATTGGTCGTCGTCGCAATGTATCTCATGTCGGTGCTCTCACGCAGTCACAGTTATTTGCAGTGTTTATAGAATCAAGCCTTTTAATCGATTCCTTTTTGATCGTCATGCGCTCTACAGGCCTCAGATATTGACCGTCTCCACTCTTCCTTCCGATATACTCACGTTGAGGATCAGTTGAAGAACTTCCCTGTGTCCATCTTTACATTTGCTTTTATCTGTTGTCATGCTACTCATCGTCTTATGTGAGGTTGTTGAAGCGTATGCGATATGAACCCCCCCAGAAAATGGAAAGATATCATAATGCATTGACAGAACGACAGTTTTGGCATGATCAGGTACATCAAATATCAAGAATTCGAAGATTTTTCGAGTACATAAATCATTTCAATTGTGTGCGAGGTTCGGGTTCGAGAAAAATCTAGTCATTCAACGGTAGCCAAGCCTGCACTGTATCCATGGATGCCAAAGTCCTAAAACATGAATCCGTATCTACCGTGGAGTTACTAGTGGGAACTAGGAGTATGTTGACTAACGAAGTCAATGGCATGATGTGTTCCACTGAGAGAAATTTACGTAATGAGCCCACACCCCTTGACGTGCCCGTGCTGCCGCGGGCCCATTCGCTTTTCCTTCTTACCGTCATCGTCCTCGGAGTCGTTCTGGTGTGCCGCTGCACTTTGCAGCCATACCTTGCCATATAGACCGAGTTGCCTTATTGTCGTCATTTACTCGAGTTACTGATAACGTATCTGCCCGGGACCCAGGTCGTGGAAACTTTCTTAGGCTTCCCACTCCTCTGTGCTACCTCATCCTAGAGGGGAAGCTCTTACATACAGGTACCGCCTACCACCTTGGTTCAATTAAGCTTCATGCCCGAATACGTCTATGCTCTACATGACTTCATTCCGGAGAACGAGGACGAGGTACCCTTCCGAACGGGGGAACGGATTGAGGTGATAGAGAAGGATGATGCATATGGCGATGGATGGTGGACGGTGAGTGATCCTTATGTTATATTTCATACGCCAGAGAGACTTTTTCAGAGGTCTGAGACACCTGCCCTTTGCAGAGCATGTATATCAGACCGGCGTTGCATTCTCACTCTGTCTTTCTCTTTCCCATGGCTCAGACCACATACTCACTTGTTGTTACAAAGGGCTTAAATATATCCGGAAAGAAGGGCCTGTTTCCTCAGAGCTATACCTCGCCTACGGAGCCCGCCGTCGCTGTCGGTATTGCGTCATCTTCTACACCTCCAGCGGACCCAGATACCACTTTGAAAACGCCCCTACAGCCTCTACACGAAGAACCGGAGATAGAATCACCTCAGCCACCTCCCGCCATATTTCTCAATGGCCAAGAAACTGACGGGGCCAATGGCGACGGCGAAGTTATGAAGGCGACCATGACGGACGTTCAAAAGGCCATCGAGCAGCTTGGTAGAGGGAACGGAATAACCGACGACGCAGATGGTGCTCGGAGCTTCAGTTTTGCCAGCTCTCGTGGAGGTCGGGACACCGAGGAAGATACAGATTTCGACATGAGTGACGCTGACGCTGCTGGCGATGAAGGAGAGGGTTGGCACAAAGGTGCTAGACGGAAACTGGCGGAAAAAGCGAGGCAAGCGGTAGAGGATGCTGAGCGGTTGGAAATGATTGGTATGAGCCGCTCGAGCAGTAACCGGACTTATGCCCCTCCCATCGCCGTGGAGCTCAGCGACGAGAGTGAAGACGAAGAGGATGACCAACACTATACGCAGGCACCTGGTTTCCAGAGCCAAAGGAGGCACTCATACATACCCGAAGAGGACGAAGATGTAGAGTCTGTCCCTGGTCACTCTCTTTTACCTAGCGACGAGAAAACCCTGGGAGACCGAGTATCGCGTTCTCCCCGCAGTTCGACGCATTTCTCTCCCTCAGAACGTGACGACACAGACACCCAACCAGCTACAGCTACACGTACCAACTTTGCGGCGCAGCCAGAGCGAGTCACAACTCCTCCTTTAAGTGAAAACCAGCCAACTCCTCCCAAGTCTGTTACTCTAGCCCAAGCAGCGGCCATTCCCATGCCCCAATCTCCTCCCGAAACAGATCGTACCAATACACCAATAATTGACGCTGTGGCTTCACTCCCGTCGCCAGTTCCAGCTGCGATCTCACCAACAACTCAGTCCAAACATAGCAGTGTAACGTCTTCACCTGCCTCTCCATCTCATAGCGCACCAGGGAATGATTCTTTGCTGTCGGCGACAGTCTCGACAATACCAACTTCAGTGGACAAGAAGGAGAAAACTCATCCATCCGAATGGACTCTGGAGGAAGTTGTCGACTGGTTGAAGAGTAAAGGCTTCGACCAAGATGTCTGTGAAAAATTTACCGGTATGTCTATTCTAATGTGTCCCGTTTAAGGCTTAACTTACACATTATATAGAACAAGAAATCACCGGCGATGTTCTACTCGAGCTCGATGTCAATCTCCTCAAGACAGAGATTGGTATTATGGCATTCGGCAAACGCATGAGAATTGCCAACGCTATCACGGACCTTCGTCGACCACCATCCATCGTCTATTCCGACCACCCGGAACAGCCTTCTCCCCCCTCCCCGATGATCGTCTCACCTCACCTTTTCACAACCTCCCCTGCGACATATGCTGAAGGACCGAGCCACACACACTCGCGGAACCAGTCCCAGTCTCAGTCCCACCATTCTTACCCCGGCTCAACCAGGTACTCACACAGCGTGCAGAGTTCGGTAAATGGGTTCGCGGCTCTCATCAGCCCAGAGAGCGCGCCACACACCGCAGATACACCAGTTTCACCTCGATCAACCCTGGATCCCGAACCAGAGCCAACAGGGCTCGCTATGCCCGCTACCAATGGAAAGGCACCCGTGAGTCTATTGCATATCTCTTTTCAGTCAATTTGCTAAACATGTTTCTATTTCATAGAAATCAAGGCCATCTCAGCTATCATTGTCGCCTAGTGATGGCGCATTGAATGCGTCTGTGAAAGCTGTTGGGGATATTCCTGAAGAAGCGGAAGAAGAGCGGGAAGAGCGGGCTGCGCAAAGTGAGGTGGGTCATTACGTCTCACAGTACCTAATTCATGCTCACTGTGTAATGATATAGGGTGAGGCTCTTCCTGCTCGTTCTGTACGAAGGAGATTGTTTGGTCGTTCTCATGACTCCGAGAATTCAGGGAAAGATTCCGGCTCTCGCGCATCGAAAGATGGAATCTCGCCGTCCTCTTCGATTCTTCCTCTCCTTACAGACAAGGACAAGGACAGAGCTAAGGACAAAGCCAAAGACAAATACAAGGACAAGGACCTTACGCGCCATGGACGAAAGCAGCGAAGTGTTGACGTCGGCAAGTCTGGTGAACGGCTTAGTTTGTTTGCCGGTTCATTCGGTAGCACACTTGGCAAGAGTCGTAAACCTCCTCCAAAGTATTCGTGCGTTTCTCTCCCTTTACCTTCCCATTATGACTAATGTTGTCCTTTTCCCAATAGCGGCGACGATACATCCGAGAAAGGGTCTTCATTCCATCTTCCAAGACTGTACAGTACAAGTGGTCGCAAAACCTCCTCTTCTGGACGACCGTCGACTCCCGGAACTCCTAAACGCGGATCAAAGGAGGAGAAGGACGGTCTCAGAGACGGGACAGCCCAGCGTAAAGATTCGAAGGAGGCCAAGGAGGGACGTACAGAACATGCGACTCTTCGCAAGCGGACGTCGTCTTACCCCGGATCACAACCTGTATCTCCCGAACTACCAAAAAGCGAAAGCAATGTCGGTCAGCTCAAGCCCGGGCAGAGCATATTGGAACAGATTGGCGAGCCTGATCATACCGGGTGGATGCGCAAGAGAGGAGACCGTTATAACAGCTGGAAGCTTCGTTACTTTGTTCTCAAAGGTCCTCATCTCTATTGTTTGAGAAGCGACAGTCCCTCGGTGAGTATTTCTTTTTTGTCCGAGTGGGTTCTGTTCGTGATACGAGGTTCGTTTTATAGGAAACCAAGATCAAGGGGTATATCAATATCATTGGCTACCGAGTCACTGTTGATGAGAACGTGAATCCTGGCAAGTATGGGTTCCGCATCGAGCATGAGCACGACAAGATGCACTTCTTCAGTTCCGATGAGAAGGTCATCATCAGGGATTGGATGAAGGCCATCATGAAGGCTACCATTGCACGAGATTATACTCGTAAGAAAACTGCCGCTTTGCGCTAGTATATTACTGACAGCTATCCTAGAACCTGTCATTTCCTCATGTAATATCCCTACGATCCCTTTGATGGTTGCCCAAGCTATGAATCCCGCTCCCCGACCACCGTCTCCCACAGCTCGGGATGCTACTCAGAAAGCTCTTCGACGAGATAACCCCAATCAGTTGTCAAGTCGTGACGCTCGTGTCTTGATGGGTCTGCCATCAAGCGATAACGCGAGGGAAGAACGGACACGACTAGAATCGTTTTTCAGTGATCAGTCTGTGGACCTCAGTGTCGATACGATAGATGCCACCACTAAAGCTGCACCTCCGAGGCCTTCACGGAGGAAGAACTCCACGCTTTCCGTGGTACGGCTCGTTCGTAGTATCATGCAAATATTTTCTGATAAGATTTTTAGATGACGCCTATGGACAATGACCTTATCGAATGGGCCAACTCTCACCTTCCCTCGACGTTGCAAATCAGCGATACAACAGTGTCTATTTACGGTGGTCTTCATTTATTCCGTATCGCAGAGTCTATAAAGGGCCGCTCGGTGTCGCCTCCTGTGCCAGACTCAGCCTTCCCGGTGGACTCGAACGACGAAAAGCTTGATGGACTTTTCCGTCTTTTTGATTTCCTTTTGGATCATGACGTGAAGATGGGGAGCGTGAGTATAAACGATGTTCGACAAGGCAAGCCAGAGAAGATAGTGCAGTTGCTGAGGGCCTTGAGAGCATGGGAGGATAAGCGCAAGGCTCTAGCGCAAAGCATCAGAGGGTCTGTATCTAGCGGGTCTGTTTCGGCTACAGGCTTTATGGCCTCTTCTCCGTGGACGGCAATATGATCAAGCTTTTGGACTTTCGGCATCCCACGCGGGAATAGTATTACACTCTTTTTGGTTTCTGCCTTGCGTTTCATTCGTGTCCTATATATTCTCTTTCGCCATCTTGGGACATGTTTTGTACCATACACACACACACTTTCTTTTGTAACCATTTTCTTCTTATATCATTACTCTACTTATCTTGTTGTAGGAATCATATTTAGTGCATCGTTAAGGTTCAATCATGATGAATGCTATTGAAACAGACGTTTATGAGAAGTTACGGGTTACCCTTTATCCTAGTACCCTCTACGATCATGATGAGATCAACTTCGTACGTACCGGCTAGCCGGTCCGGCAAAGAGCCCCCCGAAAGCAACATCCACCTTTAGAGTCGACCTTCTTTGTCCTTCTGAAAACCTTGGGCAACTCCAAATCTCGTTCACATGAGATTTCGTTCTTTACAAGCATCTTCTGGTCGCAATAATGGAATTCGGCAGCATTAATTATCTATCTTATCTAGTCGAACCAGACTAGATGATAACTCCAGCGGCGTCACGAGGAACCAGTGCTTCTTTTAGAAGCGTCTTCAGCATATTATCAGCGATTCTACTCGCTTCTTCCCCCCCCCTCGTAGATTCCTCGTGCCATGAGCGAAATGCCCCAGGCGCCAGAGACAAACGAGGTTTCCGATGATACAAAGGTTCCTGGCAACTATGCCCAGGATCTTGCAGGAAAGGACGCTTCCGACATTGAGGAAGAAGGCATTGATAAGCACGCGAGCAAGAGCCTTCAATTTGTATCCTCGATCAACAACAACGAACCCATTGTGACACGACGCGAATTATGGAGTTATTATCGTATGTATCCTTCTCTCCACTCTCTCTATCCGTTTTGATTGACTTCTTGCAGTGTACTATAATGGTGATAACGTACGTTTTTGATTGTTGGACTCATTTCATTAGTCTGACGATTCGCTGTTACAGGGTGTCGGCCCCAATGGGTACTCTATGACACTATTTCAGTCTCTTGCGAATGCTGCTGGTTATGATCCTGTCAAGGGACCTGGTTCTTCGTGTGATGCGGCTGACGCTTCGGGTCAATGTGTCGTACATTGGGGAGGAGGAACCAAGGCAGTAGCGAGCGTGGTTCTGGTAGCGAACGGCGTCAGCTTCGCCGTGAGTGTTCCCAGGTTCAATAAGATCTCCGTTCATGTTCGCTCAGGTCATGACTATGATATTCACCACAATCGGCTCAGCCGCAGATTACGGAACTTTTGGTCGTTGGCTCTTGCTTGTGATTACTTGCATATGCTGGGGTGCCCAGTTCGCAAGTATGAGTCTCACGGGTGAGCATTCCCACAGGAAATTCTCGCGCGCCTTCTGAATGGGTCTGTAATAGATCCTTCACGATGGGGAGCGGCCATGGCTTTGTATATGGTCGGTTTTATCTCTTATGGTGCAACCCTTGTTTTCTATGCAGCCGCGTTCCCTCGTCTTGCACGTAACACGGCCCATGCTCGTGAGCTACGCGACAAGTTGGAAGCTGGAACTGTTACCTTGGAAGAATATGAGAGGGAAGAAAGTATGGAGAAGAACCGCATTAGTAACATCAGCACGGTCAGAGCGAACAGTTCTATCTTGAATTGGCACTTAAACAACATCCCCAGACTCACAGCAATATCGGATATGTCGTGATACTGTGTCTGAACCTTTCTGTATTGATTCCTCTCAACAGCAATCCAAAAGTTGATAACTATGCCCTCGTCCTGTATGTATACCTTTCTTCTTTCTTGTGTTGGTGTAGCCTTGCTCATTCGGATCATAGAACAAATGGATACTGGGTCCTTATTGGCATCTGGTGGTGTGCGTATCACACAAGTGCCGAATTCTATCAGCCTTGTGACCGTAAACAGTTATATTCCAGCAACCTCGTCCAGGACCACCTGTTCCCAAAGGAGAGCACCGCTTTACGATTGGCTGGAAACAGGTTTGTCCATCTCAGATATCCTGCTTACATGATCTCCTATGATTCCTTGTAGATATGGCTAGCCATGAAGCAGTACAGAATGCTGCCCTACACGTTCATATACCTCTTCGCTTTCTTCCTATTGGCTGATGTATGTACGGCCTTGTGCTACCGCTATATTTATCTGACATTTCCCCGCATCGTTAAGGGTCTTAATACAACTGGGACCTTGGTGTCGATCTGTCAGAACGAGAAATTCTCCTTTAGTTTCCTACAGAACACATACCTTGGGCTGTCGCAGGCGATTACCTCAACAGCTAGCACGTTGGGCTTCTGGTATATTCAGAGATATTGGAAGATCAGCACTAAGAAAATGGTGCGTCGGACTTCTTTTTTCTGCGACGCTATCCTTTTAGTGACAATGTGGACTGTCAGTTTGTTGTGACGAATGTGGTTACTATCCTCATACCGTTGTGGGGCATGATAGGTATTTGGACTGAAACTATCGGGTGAAGTTCTTCGCCTGCATAAACTTTTGAATTTCGGATTATTGACGAGGCAATTGCGGATAAACAGATTTCACAACGCTTGGGAATTCTGGTACGACTGTTTCCTGCTCAGTCAGTCTCCGATGTATGCTGATTGAGTCATGCAGGTTCTATAATATCGTCTTCGGCCTATTCCAAGCACCGTATTATGCTTTCTCGCAAACGATGATGGCCGAGCTAACTCCACCCGGATTCGATAACATGGTGCATGTTTTTTCCCGGTCCCGGTGGTGATCGCTCACTATACTGATGATTATGCATGCAGTTCTTTGGCCTGTTCGGTCTATCCAATCGGGCGTCTTCTATGATCGGACCCAACGTCATTCAAGCGATTATCAATAATACTGGAAACAACTGGATGGGGTTCCCATTCTTGTTCGCTTTGTGTGCATCTGCTTCCTTGGTAATATGGTTTGGGGTGGACGTTACGAAGGGAAGACGAGATGCAGTTGCTTGGGCGGAGACAGCCGGACGATCTAAGGTCGATGAGGACTAGCGAATGGCATTTGATTTACGGCAGTCAATAAGTTACGTGCGTCATGATTACAGGGGAACTAAATATACATAAATCTATAAGTACAGCTGATGGGCGTTGGCAATAGAGTATTCTCGGTCCAGAGTAAGTAATAGGAAGATCGTGTTTATAGCTTTCCTTTACTAGTATTCGGTGGCTTTGAATTCAACGCCGTAGTGGTGTGGACCGCCGAAACGTACACGACGCCGCTATGTCTGTCTTGGATCTGCGAAATTGATATTGATGTATGGTCGTGAAATGGAGAGAAGGGATCTTACTTCGGTACGAGACGAGCGCAGGCGGCCATTCATTGATATTGTGTTCGATACAATGCGCAGTTGTGTTCCTCTGGAAGATGCATCGAATCAGAACGCGTGGATCACAGATAATCAGGAAGGTACGCACTGCACTGCTGGACGATACCAGATCAAGTTCATTGATTGTGATACACCAGTACCATCTGTGCCGGTGGCAACTCCCAGGGCGACGAGGGCAGAGACGGAACATCTGAAACTTGAACATCAGGACCGTCCATATCGTCTCAGCAGCAGCACTACGACTCACGGGTCAATCAAGTACGCGGCACATCCGCCGTGCAATGTTCCATAGACATTACACATATCTTGGAAACCATCAGATATGCACTCCGGCAGGCAGGAATAGCATGCAAACACACACCTCTCGTAACTTCAATTTCGCATACCGTTTCAGCTTCTTTTCGCCCGGTGGAATCTGTGAGTCCGTATACATTGACCACCGCTAGTCTGAGGTTACAGCCAATAGCTGCGCCGAATGATGTTTCAGGCTGGCCTATGAAGTGCGCAAAAATCTCGGCGCAGCGTTTCTTCTGCGCGGGGGTGATATTGCCTTCGATAGAGGAATAGTCATCGGAAGGGATGAGGGCGCTGGAGGTAGTCAACAACATCGGGATGGGAAAAGCTGAGGGGAGGAGTTATTATGCAAAAGGTTGGGAGGAATAAGTGCAATGTTTAGGTCCACATGGGACCTTTATAGTCTGGATAGCCTGGGGTCATGACCGGCTAACTCGCGCCAAGGCACCTGTGCTGATAAACCTCCGTATGAACGATTGAATAAGCGATAACACTAGTATCCGATCAATTAGGTGTCGTCGAGCTTTAATGAATCCACACCAATTCCACATAGCGCGCAAAGAACGGAATGGGGTTATTAGGCGAATGTTCCGTCGGATGATCTCCACCAGCGCCACAAACATGTACTGAGATTGTAAGATTGGTTGAAGGCGCTCACTATCCGTATGGAGACTAGTATACAGACCCATCTGGTCGGGCATTGCCGTACTAGGCGTCCATACGTTGGGGCTGTGCATGTTCGGCTGGTTATCCTATACACATGGGTCAGAGGGATAATAAAAATGAGGTCCTCTGTATGCACAACTTACTTGAGGGACACTGGCAGACGTCGAATGAAGTGAGAAAAAGGAAGGTATTGAAAATCAATACATAAAAGACCCGGTCCGTTGCATGTATGTATTCAAAAACCCGGGCTATGGCAATATAAGAGAGAATTGTGCTGCGATACCATGGTACGGCAAGTGGGGCAAATGTTGTGAACGTCATTATTGTAAAGTGACAGGCCGGCTGCGGAATGACGGTATGATAGGGCCAAGATTAGCAGTGCGTATTGTACAGACGAAGAGCGAACACTGATCAAGAAAGTAGTTAACACGAGGAGGAAACCATTTCTGAGGGAATCAACACCTTACCTAATAGTATGATCGCTTTCCATGTGGAGGAAGTCCCGGAACCTGTACCTCGCCACCATCTTCTTCACAGCCTCTATTCTACCATCAACGCCTCTTCCGGCTCAGTGATCTTTATGAATGGCCGGAGCGTTGAACAGGATGCACGTAAAGAAAAATTACCTGGATCCTAGGACGTATAATGATGCATCTCACTACTATGAAGCGCGCCCAGACGTGCTTGGAACATTCTCAGTGGTACTGCTGACAGCTGTCTGAATACACGGCAGTGGACCATGGTACTAGGCATCATTCAGAATCGCTTATAAAAGTATACGCCGTGCAGGACGGACCGGTCTGAGACTCGACAAGAAGCGGGAGCCGGACAAGTGGTGGATTGGGTAACGTGAAGGACCGGCTGGCCGCCAGCGCGACTTTTACTGTATGTTTCTGCGGGAAGGAGATGATCTGGATGGACGAATTATGATCTGCTATCTCGATGTGTGCCAGGGTACACCAGGAACGCTCTCGTTGACAGCTGCTTGAATGCATCGCGGTTGCTGTTATGATCCTACCCTTCATCTGCATTTATTCGCAGGGATGCTTGAATTGAATGGCTGGATATCGTGGGTGAAAGTCTGAGGAGTCGTAAGGGACAGAGATGGGCCGTCAAAAGCGTTGAATGCCACAAGAAAGTCTTAATGGGAAACACCATTTGTTAGATCGTTCGAGGAGCGTCTCGTGGATGAGTTGCACCAAGTCAAATACGGCACTGATGAAGTCGGCGATCCCGGTTATATTGCGGTCAGACTGACGCTGATAAATTGTCAAGGTCTGTTTGACCTTACTTTGAACTGCGCCGAATTGTCTGGGTGAGGCAGATGATCTAGTTGAACACATTGCGAATTACGGAATTATAAACAGATGTTGATAACTAATAGCATAGCAAACCGGATTGTACGATAATTATTAGTTTCGACTTGCAGAAGATCATAATTTAGCCAGGGAAGGGCGCGTATTGTTGACAGTCGTATGGACGGCAGAAACATACAGTTTGTCTCGTTCCTTGTCCCAAAGCTGCGAGTGAAGTTAGCACTAGATAGTACCAGATCACTATCACAAACAAACCTCGCAGCGAGCGGTCCGAATGCGACCATGAATGAATACGGACGTTGAGACTACCCTGAGCCTTGTTCCCCTATATGAAAGGATCAGTGCCAGAAATCACGAGGAACGGGAGCAGGCAAGTTTCCGAGTCCAAAAGACGACACTAGACGACACCTCAAAAGGTTAAGTCTTTCTTAACAGCTTTTCCGGCCTAGGGGAACATTCAGTCACGGACCGGAAAGGCGCCGTGAAGAGAAACGAGGCTCCCTTAAGTTTCTCCTACAAGGAAACCGGTCCAAGCTCGGAGAAAATGATACGTACATTTTAGCCGGCTGGTGCCAGATAACGTTGAGAGATTGCGAGACTCCTGTTCCATCAGCTCCGATAGCAGCGCCTAGAACTACCAAGCTGGACACAGAACACCTAGGAAGGGTCGATGAGAAGATGCGATTTGATGCAGGCATGACGCTGCGGGGCCGGTACATTTATACGGCGAAAGCTCAACCTGAACAGGACTTGTTTTTATACAACTATGCCTGATCTGGCTCCATACCAGCCGCGATAATTCGATAAAAACAATACCAGTTAATGTCGTATCTGCTTTCGGCGAAATGCCCAAACCCCCGGCGTACTAGTACACTTGCAGACATGCAAAAAAAAGATGTTAACAGGTCCCGCCTTTCCCGTCGTCTTTAAGTCGCATCGAAAAAATGATCGTGAAAAAAGGGTGGTCATAGTACTGAGCAACGCGTTTCTCCGTGACATTTCTCGGATCACGCCTCAAAAAGACGGGCAGGAAAAGCGATACCCGTTAACATCTTTTTTGCATAAATATGGATGTACCAGCCCAAATGTGAGGATACGAATGGACGTACGGGTCGACGATATATGCGGCGCATGCCCCGTGCAAGGTCCCATAGACATTACACATGTCTACGAGAAGAAATGTAAATCAGTATTAGAGTACCCGGTCTGTTTACCCTCACATGAATGACTCGCCTTTTTCGACATCAATCTCAAAGATCGTTTGTCCCTGGGCAGCAGTCCCACTAGCATCTCGACCCCAAATATTCATTTCGACAAGGCGTAAGCGCCTACCAACCTCAGCACCATAGGATTCCTCCCGACTATTCACAAAATAAGAAAAGATATTGGCACCGAGCTGCTTTTCCTCGTCCGAGATATTGCCTTTGATCGTCGAGACGTCGATATAGGGGGCTGCCGGGAGAGAGTGGAGAAATGACCGCGGAATGCTAGACATTTTGTAGGATACGATGGTGGTTGAAGAACAAGTCCGTACATCGTTGATTTTACAAAGAAAAAAAAAACTAGAATTGACAATTGACGCGCCAATATAGTTTTTCGGACGTCGAGGAAGGGAAGAAGCCTAATCCGGCATTTGCCACTGTCATGTCACTCTTGCCCCTCCGTCCATTTTTCACCTGCGACTGCTTTCTAATTACACCGGTGAGTTCTACTTGCCTGAGATACAATTTAGGTCAAGGCTCTCACGTCGATTACGAGCATAGAGAGGAATATATTGATGATTCCCAGTAGGAAGGACCAAAGCTGTGACCGGCCGATTATTTCGAACCCCAGGACTTAAATGACAGCAAGTATCGCAGAAGCGTGTCCATCAGTGGCATATCTAGACGTACATATCACCAAGAGATGATCCTTGCCGTTCACAGAAAGTAAAGTGTGACACCTTGAAGATTCAACGGCATGTGGTGGTGGCACAAGATGATTGAACGTGAGTATGATTCTTCGCGTATAGAAAAGGTCTTTAGTGGTGGCAGACTGAGTTGTGGTTCATATTATCCTCGGGGAGAACGCCGCCGCAGTACGTCTTCCCCATGAACGAGGGGAGTCACGAAACCATCGCACCCGAACGACGTATGTCAAGGGCAAGAAAACCTTACCTTGAGGATCCAGATGGTCGGATCATTGACTGACGAGTTTCATATCCTTAACAGTGACATATGCCTGCAGGCATACACCGCGTCGGGCCGAAGCTTTGGGTACCGATGTCCTTGACTTTATTGCGACACAACTTCAATGTGACTCTTTCTTCTCTTCACTTCAATTGATAATCTTCACTAACAGCGACTGCGATTCGCAGGCACGTGTCACGAGTCTGTCCTCCAGGTTGAGGCGTGTCTTGAGAATAAGCTTAAATACCAGCATGAAGCACCTCTAGAATGACTTCTTCCTTATCCCTACCGTCATGTCTCATCCGGCGACGTGGCCTAACGCATTTTTCTATCCGATAGGCAATACCCCCCCTATCTGCCTTACCCAGGATCTTCCCCCCAATATTCCTGCGGATATTCTCCTTCTGGGATGTGGAGATCCTCGCAGTATCTTGTATACATGCTTTGCTGACCTTGGAGCCCGTAAGTGTTCGGTGATTTCGACCGAAATAATGAATGACTGACTTGGTCAACATAGCTCGTCGCAAAATCGATGCAACATGTTGCGATATAGAGTCGGCCGTACTTGGTGAGCTTGATGTGTGATGTGTCTAACCTAGCTTGAAACTGACCTTTGGTGTCTAGCTCGAAACGTCTTACTCTTGACATTGCTTGCTGATGATGAATCGGCAACTCTTTCCAACAACATCTGGGAAATCTTCTATCATTTTTATCTTGACAAACCTTCTCTCGACCTCTTATCGGATCAGTGTCAAAAACTCATTGACCTGACCAAGTCCTTCGATGTGTGGAACCAGTCTAAGTACGGCGCATTTTTGAGGTTCTGTACCCATACTACGCTCTCAGAACTACGGAGTTACTGGGAACGCTACCTTGGCGCAAATCGCCTGTCCGTACAAGGCAAACAGCGTCTCCGGACTCAATTCAAGAACGGTATGGATACAACCGCCAAAATCTCCGAGCGTGGGTTGATGTATGCCGCGTGTCGGTCAGCGGTGCCGTTGTGGCAGGAAATTGGGAAGGTTGCTCCAAACCATTACAAATCGTACTGGAAATCCGGTGTCATGTGCACATCATCAGTTGCCAGTTCTTCACCGTTACCGTATGTCAATCCCACTTTCGTCTACTCATCGAAAGGTCATATCTTCAATGTACACTATGGCACCGATCCGATACTATCATTTCATCTCGCTGCAACGATGCCTGCCGTTTCCGGTAATCATGATCGCCCGACGACCGCAGAAACGGTCGTCATTGGGGCGAAGCTACAGTTTAAAGAGTGGTCGAATGCTTTCAGACGATCGCTTGCGCAATCCTCCCTCACCGTGCGCTTTTTTACGGGAGACGTCATTCATTTCTGTCACGCTCTTCGCTCTCTTTCTCGCACAGGGCACCGTACTACTGGCATTCACATATCTGTTTGGAGAGGAGAGATGATAACGTTTGATGAAGCAGACTATGATATCACCGTTCCCTCTACTGCTCCGATTGTTTTCAATGTCATTGACACATCCAATCCTAGCCGATCATGTTGGATTGTTGAACGTCCTTTGCGCAGCCATACCGCTCTTGCGGCATGATCACCTCTCGATGCTTCAAACCGATTCTCTTGCTCCGTTGGAAGCAGATCCTCAAGATGACTTCAGAGAGAGCCTATGTATGCCACCTTCGACATTCGCTTTGCTTACAGGTGTTGTTCCTGTGGGCTATCTGTCCCGGTTCAGTTCTCGGTTCGTAATGCATGGCATTGCCTTGCGCTTCTCTTATAGCACCTGCCTCCTATTTCACGCCAAAGCCTATCATGGAGAAGACCGGATTTCGACGGCGGCGATGATCAAAAGCAGCGCCTTTCAATAGAGGCTCACACACTCTCCTGACCTGCTCTTCAAATTCTACTTGAAGCTCTTTGCTGTAGAAGCGGGGCGCGACCTCATGAGAAACATGACGCCGGGTAATATAAGCGAGCCAGCACAGTAGCCTACTATGTTCGACGTAATTATGTTTGGCTTCTGGCTCTCATCAAAGACAGAGTCTATACAGACTGGCCCCGGGCGATGGAGATGCTAATGGATAGGATCCAGGACGATAAACAGTTGCACATGGGAATGAATTACTTCCAAGACCTCTGCAGCGAAATGCATCAGCAAAAAATATTCACCGTAAAGTATCTTCGACATTCCGATCGATACACTTCTCGTACGGGGGTCTTTCGTCGATGGCAGACCATTCCTGCCGTAGTTTGCTTGGTGGTCGAAATTCCCGCAAGCAAGCTGAAGCCGTTGAAAGACCACAGCGAGAGCGCTGGTACACCATTGTTCCAATGCGATGTCGCCACTGGGAATGTCATGCACACTGCCTTGTGCACGCCGCAATTCACCTTTGGCAACGTAAACACCACACCCAGTGGCATTTCTATTCGCGAGGATCCGCTGGGTCCATTTGGGGCATCACCTTTGGTGATGTACACGTGGATTTCTGCGTGGTTACTCTCTGTCGATCCAGCAGCCACGGTCATCAAGTTTTGTATCCGCTCAACTACGGCAACGGTGGAATATGGCAGCGTTGGATTCCATCACTCGGGGTTGACATGGCATTATACAGGGTGCCACTATTGGACGAAAGGCATGTCTTTGTCAGTTCGTGATTGGCCTCAACTCGCGGATGCGAGCTTCAAGGCCTAGCGTGGGGCCAGGATCGGATGAAGCTGATTCTGTCTCATTCATGAATCCTGTCCTCAGCATACGAGGCGGCGTCCCCTACCTGACAGCCAGGGTAAATATTGACGTCGAAGGATCTCCTGTACGTGCATCAGCAGTGTCGATGACACAGAGATCATCGTGCCGGGTGGAGATAAACGCTGCAGACAATGAGCAGCGTAGTGTACCGTTCCCATTTCCGGTCGACAGTCTCCCGTGCGAGCTTACGCCAGTTGGCCTTCAATAGTTGAGGTTTATTTTCCATTTATTTCACAAGTGCCTTGCTTGACGGATGAGGCAGGTACAAGCTCCGTTATCGGAACTGAGCGTATTGAACAGTTTTTCCTTCAATCGTTTCCCGATTGTTTTGCTCTCTTCGACGCCATGGCTCTGGAATATACCTTACATCAATCTCGATTCTATGCCCGTTATTAATGTCGCAAACTCAGATTCTCTCAAATGGCTCGATTCACATCTTGCGTTCATGCTCTCTGATCGAGAGAGACTAGCGTTTCGTCAGACCGGCCACGTCAGCGATACGCTACATTGTCTCAAAAAATCGCTGACGCAAATCTTCCTCACCTTTACTGGCGTCTATAAGCCAGAAGCGAAGATCTTTGCCCTACGAACCTCTGAAGGGGGCATTTTTACCCTTCTCTTCGTTAGAGAGCTCCGCCTCGACCTTGATTCACAAACGATTGTGGCTGATTGCTTTCTTCTCCCAATACCGTTCGGCATTGAATGCCCTTCGGCGCCACCTAAAGTCGAGCGTATTCTCAAAAACAGAGCGGTGATGGAAATAAATACCGCTCCCTCGGAGCAGAGGACTTGGATGCAGCTATTCTCGGTGATTTCTGAACGATGCCGCAAGTGGGAGCATACACCGAACTGTGAATACAAGACCAGAGGGACGTTGTTGTCACTCGATACCACTATTCCTCCAGCATTCTGTTCCTGTGGACGAGGCAAGGATGACGCCAGCTCCTTCTTTAAGGACATGGGGTTAGACGATGTTTCCTGCTTCGTGACCCGTGCAGCGTTGGGTCCTTTGTTCGCTGTCCCATATCTGGAAGACGTAGGCATCACTGCCATAGATACAGCGCCAAACGGCTGTACATCCTCAAAATGCGCTTCTTGTGGTGCACAGTCGGAGCATCTCCAAGTCTGCAGTGCCTGCAAACGGCAGTACTACTGCTCTCGGGCTTGCCAGAGATCGGATTGGAAGCGGCACAAGCCGAACTGCAGAGCGGCGTGAACCAAATGTACTCACGTTTCAGTACAGTTTCACTTACGAAAAGTATGACATGGTATTCATCTAGCGATGATTACAGATACAAACTAGAGTTGAAAACATACCGTCTTCTCCAAAACTAACCGTCCACGAATACGAACAAATAAGCTATTGGCCCGAATAGTCGGTGTCGTGCCTCTATTAAGGTTCTCAGGCATTACATCAATCCTAATTATCCAGCTAGGTCATGCGCTACGTATGCTTCGAATGCGCAGGAACTCTTGGTCGGCATCTCTGCAACACATCTGATTGTGACATACTGCCATCAAGAGGGTCTCGACTTCCTAACATCTACTACTCGCCCGTCTCATGGCACAAGCGGTTTTGTGGCCCAAGAAAACATTCTTTTACCCAATCGGAAACACATCTCCGATTTCATTAACGCAAGACCATCCGCCTGACATTCCCGCCGATATTCTTCTCCTTGGATGTGGGGATCCTCGCAACATCCTATACACTTTATATTCTGATCTTCGTTGCGGTGCTTGTGAGTAACAGTCAATGTGCTTATTGTCTCGTTGCTTAATGAATGATACTCGTATAGCTCATCGTAGGTTCGATGTAACATGCTGTGATATTGAACCAGCCATTCTAGGTACGCTTCAAGGTGACTTGATGGGCTTATCGCGTGTTTGCTGAATAGCTATCAGCGCGAAATATCCTCCTTTTCACCTTACTTGTCGACACTAAGGCGGACAATATTGAGATCTGGAACATCTTCTACCATTTCTATCTCGACAACGCCTCCATTCAGAGACTCTGGGATCAGTGCAGTACACTTGTTCGGGCATCTCAGAGCCTCGAGTCTTGGCAAAACTCACCGTACTCGTCGGCCATAAGGATGTGCACCGATCACACGCTCCAGGTCTTGCACAACCAATGGGCTTTATATCTTAATACAAAGTCTATGTCCGAAGGAGAACGGGCGCGGCGGAAGAAACAATTTTGCTTTGAGGCTGAGTCAATAGCACAGCGTGAGCACTCTATCAGTCCCTGCTGGTCCGCAGGGCCCGTTTTGGGCAAATTTCCAGGACGTCACCACAGAGCACTTCAAAAATTTCTGGCATACCGGTGTAATGATGTCCGAGACTCATTCTACTTCTTTACCACACATGAACCCGACATTTTTATACTCGTTACAGGGCGATACATTCAATGTCCATTATGCCACAGATCCCATCAGGGCCTTCCATCCTCGCCTCGTGTCACCCTTCCGTTATCTCGGGAAGTAGAAGAACTGGCCCGCCTACAATGGAATCAGTGATTCGAGCAGCCAAAACTCAGTTCAGTCAGTGGTCACAGGCCTTCCGGGACACCGTAGCAGAGGGCGCCATCATTCTTCGCTTCTTCAATGGCGACGCGCTTGCTTTGTGCGACGCTCTCCAAGAACTGCGTCGGTCCGGGACAACATTGACTTCCGTTGGGACGTCGTACTGGACCGGAACGCGTATTCATTTCCATGATGAGTACTCGCTTCTCATCTTCCCATCCAGCTCCCTCTTGCTACAATGTTATCGACACCTCCAATTTGTCGGATCATTTAGGCGACATGAATATTCTCGCTGGGACTGTACCACTCCTGCGAAAAGATCAGTTTTCCGCACTCAGGACCCAAACACTCTTGTCCAAATCACTAGGTCGAAGTCTTCCTCAATCCTTTGTAGAACGATTCTGTGGCGACGTTTCTACCCTTTCCCTTCTCCTGGGAGTAGCTCCCGTTAGCTACATCACCCGCTACTCCACGCGTTACATTCCACAAGACTCCGCAAAAAGTATCATCCCGGATATTTCTCCTGTAACTGAAGGGGACTTGATCTGGAAAAGAACTGACTTGGATTTCTCCCCTTCAGACCGTCGGAACCCTCGACTTGTCGTGGATCCCCAGGAACTATCCAGATATCTTTTCGGGGTATACTTGAAGATGTTTGTACATGAAATGACCAAGGAGGGCATGGGCCTTCCGTCTCCTGAGCACATGGCGAATGCATTCCGGCTTCTTTTATGCTCGGCCTAGCTTCGTGGCGGTTCTCAAAGTCGTGAAAGACAGAGTAGAGACGAACTGGACCGTGACAATGGAGCAGCTTTTTGACTTGATCGCATTGGACAAGAAGCTGTTTACGGGCCTGAACTTTTACCAGGACCTTTGTTCCGAGCTACATCGCCAAGGGGTCTACAGTGTAGAAACCTTGTCATCCGCAGTTTCGATTGAAAGCGCCAAAGATGGCATTTTCCGGCACTGGGTGGACCCTATTCCTCCCCTAGTATGTCTGGCAGTTGAAGATTCCCCGAGCGAACTTCAACAAGGTTCCAGACGATATAGGAACTCCAGTGCTCCAGCTCGAACTCCAATCTCGGATGGCTCATTTCCATAACAGCTTCTCTTTCATTCAGCTCGTATTTGGAACACTTTCTATTGAAGGCGATCTCAAGGATCCGTCTTTCGCCTATCACGCAAGACCCTCTTAGGTGGTCTGGGGCATCGGATCTAATTCTGACGCTCTGGGTTCCTGCCTGGATTTTGTGCGTTAGTCCCAAGACTACCGACGTCATGTTTTCGTTTCGATCTACGCCTTCGAACAAATACATAGCCAAACTCATGCGGCAGTTGGGTTCCTTGTTGACGATCTTTAAAACGAAACTGTTGGATGACCAGCATGTGTTTTTCAGCAGAAGATATCCTTCATTCTCTGATGCTTCCCTGACTTCAAGCTCCCCGGGCTTGGAACAGGTAGTTCCCATATCCGATGCAACCTCTGATAGCCAGCCCGTTTTGGTTAAGGCCTCTCTTAATCCCGACAATGTTACTACGTTGTCTATTCGAACCGACGTGGTGGATACTAATGCCCGCCAAGCGTTGTTGAAAGGACATGGCGTAACTGCGACGCAGAAAACCTCATGCAAAGTGGTACTTTCAATTTGATGACTTTTGTCATTCAGTCGTGTTTCCTTACCCCATTGATGGCGCTAAAATTAAGCTACGCATTGCACGAAAGTCTCATTACATTAGAGGTGAAGACATCTGTTGTCAAAGCATTTGTTTCGGAAGCTCATGTACATTTAGGTCTGTGCTCCCGGTATCAAACCCTAAAGTCCTTGATAGCCTCTCGTTCAATTATGTCCCTGTACCTATGCTCGAGGTACCATGGGTTTGGTCCATGCATTATCCTCTCCTTGCCGTCCCTTCCTGTGATCAATATCAATGGCGACGTCGAGTGGCTCCGACAACATATATCACTGATCTTCTCCGAGCGTGAATGCCGTCTACGAGATCTATCAGCGGCACAGAGAGATGACGCTCTCTTGGCAATCAAAGACACATTCTTCACTCTTGTGTTCGCTTCCGCTGGAATTGACATGTCCCGAGAACGTATCATCTGCCTCATGGACGAAGTACACGGACTTGCCCCAAATCGTGATATTTCTCCGGCACCTTCGTCTTGATCTCGCTTCTCATACCGTGGTAATCGACTGTTTCGTCCTCCCAATTACGAAACGCGTAGACTGGGCTTTGGAAGTGTTGAATAGAAAACCAATGCTCATAATCAAAACGCACAGTGCAGAGATCAAAGCCTGGAAGCAGATGCTCCCGGCAATCACTGAACGTTGTAGAACGTGGAGTCACACTGATAATTGCGAGTACCTGACTCGCAGAATTCCAGTATCTCTCGAAGACTTCGAAACACCGCTATGTTCCTGCGGGCTTGGTCATGGCGTTGGTTCTTATTTCAAGGATGCCGGACTCGACAAGAAGTTTTGCAACTACGTTACGACAGCTGCGATTTCCCCATTATTTGCTCTTTCTTTCCTAGAGTCAATGGGTCGGAGTCAGATCAGGTGTGCGGCCCAAGATTGTGGAAAAAAGGAGGGTTTGAGGCTGTGCGCCCGATGCAGAACGGTCAGCTATTGTTCTGCGCTCTGTCAAAAGTCGGACTGGAAAAGGCATAAAGTGGTCTGCAAGAAGGAGTAAAATATCGTTTTCAAGTGCTAGTGTTGCTTTAAAAATACCGCTGTAATTTTGTATCCGAGCTCGGCTTTTTGGCGGTGTAAAAATAAACTCTTTCCCAAAGTTCGTACGGTGCCGTGGCTGTGCACTGACTGATGTCACTTCCCTTCATACCACGCAATGTCGCGACAAAATCCAAGAAAATACAATCGACGAAGGGCAGAGATGTGGATATACCCACTGCCTCTTCTTCTCGAACCATCCCACTGCCGGTAGGCAAAGGCAAAGAGCCAGAAAAACCCAATATCGACGGACCTGCGGCAGTTCACAAGCCCAATTTTTCGGACAAAGAGTATGCCTCCCTCATTTACTTAGCGCTCTCCGACTTTGCACTATTTTCTGATCCAGACCTTCGGCGTAAAATTGATGAAGGAGAAGATGGGTGTGAGTTTTCATTCAAAAATTCGTCAAGCGGTATTAAATTTGACGCCTCTTGCAGTCGTCTCGTTACTTCATGTTCTGAAGCACGCTCTTCATGGGATCCTATTTTCCGAATCAGAGACAGCTGTTGCCAGGGCTCTGCGTTCTGAGGCTACTGATAGCATAGAAGTCAGGATGGTGTTCTCTGGGCCGTCGTGGTCAGGGCAAGGGTCGTCTAAAAACAGTGGGATGTTCGAGGTGCGGAGAATGGAGTCTCTTCAAAACAAGTTTACAAGGGAGGATTGGAGGGAACGAACGTTATACATTGTATGCGTGCTTTTTCGATTTCTGACGCGCTCATTGATTTTTTACTCAGGAAAATATACTAATTCAATATACATCCCTCCTTGGAGTCTTCCATCTTATCCAAGTGCTACTCACGAAGACTACTAATACCACACCAATCTTCAATCGTATACAAGGCATCTCCTTCCCTCCGCATCACCTCGACAAACCAGGCGACACTCCAAAATGTAAAGGCTTCGCTCTCGTCGCACTCCTCGACGCCGAAGACGCGCAGCGGTTTCTTCACGAGTGGCCATGGGCTCCCGCCGTTTCTCCCAACGAAGTCAAACCGCCAATCTCAGAATTCCAAGAAGCTGTCAAGTTCGGCTTCCGAACGATGTCCAAAACGCGCTGGGACGAAATGAAGGATGAATACCTTGCGTATCGTGCACGGCTGGTGAAGGAAATAGTGGCGTACCCTGCTCGTGCGAGACGTTATATCTAGAAGGACTGGGAGCAGGAGGTTACGTGGCATGGGAGCTACAATCGTATGACGTGGAAGAGCTCTCACATTACCAGGTCGATGGTGCGTACCGTCTAATTCCGTCTAACCTCGTCGACCTAATCGGCCGTTTACAGCTGGAGAACAATACCGTCTACTTGCCAAGAATTTTGTTCCTTACCCCATCGCAACGCCAATCTTCTACGCATACCTCTGACTGCATTGGTCCCCATCGCAATGTCTGAAGCAGCATACACACGCTCCGCCCAGGATATCCATCGCGTCTCTTTCTCAACCTTGAAGCAACGCTACCATCGATCCTGCTATGTGCAGGGCTCTCTATCTCTCCGTATTGTGGCAGTCAGCGGCAGCCTTATTGATTTCACGTATTCTCGATCCGCCGACTGTGGATATCTTGATCGGCCCTCGGAGCGGGAAACAGCTAGCTGGGCGCTAGCGTCAGCTTCGCAGTGCCTTTTCTCGACGACGATCAGGGTGTTCTTACCTCTGAATCTGAGGGAACCATTTCCCTGGAAAATCCTGATGCCTGTATTTCTTCGCTAGGGAATACGAGTGGCAAAAGTCAGTTTGAGATGATCGGTGCGGTGTTTCTGCGATGGTACGAAGAAGATCAAACAGATATCCGTGCGTCCTGCTTCATCGTTCGTTTTTTTTACCACGTTGGCCTCATTAATTAATGACAGATGCCGAAAGCCCAGCTCGACACGCTCGTAAACTGCTTCTTTTCACACTGTGGTCGATCGCTACTCTGCGCAAAAGGAACCTTCGCTAACTTCTTGACTCAAGAATCAAGACGAGCAAGGCACAATTACGTTCGTCCTTTCCAATAATCCTCCGTCTTTGACTGACTTGTCTTCAATAGACACTACTCTCCGACCATATACGACAACAGTGACGTTCCACCTCGGACACTCTCTTTAGAGTCGGCATACGTGATGGTACTGTGGTTTGATGGACTAGTGAGCATCAAATGGAAAGCAACAGCATCCTTACTCCCGGACAAGATGAACTGTATTGCATAGCCCACGTACATTGTGGTGGCTTCAGAGAGATGGGAGCTGTTCGGAGCAGTCCTTTTGGGTGGGTAAAATTCGGAGATTTGGTTACATAGGGCTGTGATAATGGTTCGTCTTCCGCTATCCGTGTTAACTAATAATCAGCAATGTACTTGCAGATGAATATGTCTAGTTGCATGGCGGATAGAAGACCACTGTGTGAATTTGCGCGCCGTATTTCATGACAATGTTTAGGCGCCTGACTCTCACGATGGCTTAGCGCTGAGAAGTATGATGCCAATTCTGTTGCCATCACTGATACTCATCTTCGCACAGATTCTGAGCGTTTGATGCAATCCTTATTGGCCAAAGGTGCGACGATACGTATTAGCCTCATACCAATGTCTCGATACTACCAGTGGAGAATGAATTCACTATTCATGCAAACCTGACGGACGTATACCTCGTCTCGGTATTTCATTTGTGTGAGACGGACAATAAGTATAGTCATACAATAAATTCCGCCCTGTACGGTGTACTTGACTTGCGGAGATCACCGTGTTCTTTCGGCCCGGACCATGCAGGATGGCAACAGTTCTATCACGCTGTAAATATACCCCGGGAAACCTTCCACCCGCTTCGTACCAGCACACCTTCGCCTCGCACCTACTTTGCATGCATATCCGTCTGGGTTCAGAAAATGGGAAATAGTGCGTCTCATTAATTTACGTTTGCTTCGAGTACTCAGTACGATATTGAAAATGATAGAACGAAAGCTTTCGAGCCCTTGTCGAGTCAACGTGTAAACACTCACGCACGGACTCTGCGACTGACAGAACATCCAACCTCTATCTGAATGGCAACACAATCCCGCTGTCAGAGTCGCAACCAGCTACAGTTCACCAAAATTCCAGTTCTATTTCAGGGGACATCAATCATGCCTTGGATGTGACACCGAACCCATCATCCCCACTGTCGTTCCGAGCGGCTCTTGGACACCCCTATTTCGGACTCACAGACTGATACAGTGGAGGAACAAATCACCACTCCCAGCGCCAGTAAAGGCGATGAGTTGCCTTATCATAGCGACCATGAATCTGTCGCGCGATCTAAAATACAAACAGTCAGTCAAACAAAGATGAATGGGCAAATTACCTACTGAACGAGTGTATTCCTAGGACGATGAGGTTATTTCTGATTTCACTGGGACTGGTAAAGCGGAGTCGTCCATTAAAGTTCCTTTGCAAGGGGAATATAACAGCGCAGAGCGCGAAGTGATATCCTCCGCACTAGCGAACATTTCTTGCGCTTCCCTCGGCATTCAAGGTATCTTGGATCTACTCAATGCCATCCTTCGAACGTCGCTCGCCCTGGATACACCATCCCTCTCCTCCATTCTTGAAGACTGTATCACGTACAACTATGACTTTGGCACCGCATACGGCCGTCTCCGCCCGGTATGGAAGACCTATTATCCCAGCACCATCAGAGACGAACTATGCAGAGACGAAGAGGAGGACCCGAAGAAGCGACCAGAAGCACTGGAAGGATCTACCTCAGGGGGTGTCAATCACATCATGGAGGTGACACCGCACCCATCGCCTCGCCGTCATCCTGAAGGACCTGAACCACTCTTGGACACCTCTATTTTGGATTCTCGGACTGCTACAGGGGAGGAACAACCCGCTAGTCCCAGTGTCAATAATTATGACGACTACGAATCTGTTGTACGATCTAGAATAGAAACAGTAAGTCACGAAAATGAATGGATGAAATTATTAGTGATCGAGCATATTCCTAGGGCAAAGAGGTTATTTCTGCCTTCACTGAGACTGGTAAAGCGGAGTCATCGATTGAAGTTCCTTTGCAAAGGAAATTCACAGGGCATAATTTCCGCCCACTCAACAACCCACAGCGCGAAGTGATATCCTCCGCCCTTACGAATATACCTTGCATTTCCCTCGGCATTCAAGGTATCTTGGACCTACTCAATGCCATCCTTCAAACATCACACACCCTGGAAACACCATCCGTCTCCTCCCTTCTCGAAGACTGCATCTCACAAAACTATGACTTTGGTACCGCATATGGCCATCTCCGCAGGGTATGGAAGTTCACTTACCACGGCACCATGCAAGATGAACTACGCAGATGTGAAGAGAAGGACCAGGAGACGCGACGAGATGCACTGGTAGGAAATCAGATCGTCAACCCGCAGTTGCCACCTCGACGCGTATGGGACCTGTATAGCAACCGTGTGATGCCATACTGGATTGCTGGGCGATTGCCAGAGTCAATATCCCATGCGTGGATGGATGAGAAGGATCGCATTGATGTGTGGACCCCTATCAATGGGAAGGAATGGCCGGTGCCCATCCCCAAGGATGCGGACCTCAACTTGATCAGGATCGAGATGCTGAATCTGGGACTGGAGTACGCTTGGCTGGATGTGCTTTGTTTGAGACAGGTGGGTGGGCTGAGAGAGGATCTGCGCATGGAGGAATGGGAACTCGATGTGCCCACAATTGGAAATGTGTATTTGAACAGAAGGTGGAAACCGGTGATGATCTACCTGAGTGGGTTAGGGCGGCCTTTGAGTTTGAAGGACGGCGACATGGACAGTGAGCGGAGTTGGTTTAGGCGTGCATGGACAGTGCAGGAGATTGGGGAGCAGAGGATCATTGCCGGGGATACACCTGATGGACCAATGCATGCCAAGCCAATAAACAAGGATGGAAACTACGAGACAGCAATACTGACACGATTTCACATGCAGTGGGAGTCCTTCAAGAGACTAAACAGGGGTATTTTTAGTACACTGGCAGACATGCAGAAGCGAGTGTCGACCAATCCTGTGGACAGAATCGCGGGACTGGCATTTCCTCTGTCACCCAACACAATACCAGTATACCATGAGAGTGAGCCTCTCGAGGATGCATGGACAGCACTGGTGAACACAATGTCCCCTTGGATTCGGGTGGGCTTCCTCTTTTTGTATCCTGAAGCAGGACGAGTCGGAAGCAAGAAATGGAGACCAGCATGGGAGCAAGTCATGACAGAGCCTCTGCCAGTGGATGCTCCCTGGCTCGGGACTGTTAGGCGTAATGATGAGAAGGATGAGGACTGGTATGAAGGATATTGCATTGAAAAGGGGCTTGTGTGTGGTTTCAATGTGGGATTGGCAGCGGGGGGTGATCGACACGGAAAGTTAGTTGTTAAAGATGCCGATGGAAGGGAGCACATATTCAAAATCATCGCCGCCCATCAATACCCAATACCAGAAGACTCATACACATTGCTTGGTAATGATCAACGGGCTTCAAAATATTGGGCTGTTGGGCGACGACTGCCAGAACAGAGATTTGAGAAAGTGTCCATATTTGCACTGAATGACAGCAAGGAAGCAGATAGGTTGGTTGACCTAGGTATTAGGAGTCGTAACATTCTTGTTTGATATAGATGTGAAACTATCTGATCATTTTTGAGAAAAGCCAATACTAGCCTACAATATGCACTACATGGTACATGCTGAACTCTCACAATCAAGCTGTGGAGTGTATGTATCGAGTTTCTGCCAGAAGGCTGTGTTCAGTACCCTGATAATCATAATTTTCATCTCACTAGAAGGTAGCGATCGCCGATATCACGATGATCGTAAAGATGAAAGCGATATTTGTGAGATTTGCCTCAAAACTTGATAAATCAGGAATATCAAGAAAATATTTTAGGCTAAAAAATGACTAAAAATAAATATCTTTCAGTTTCGATATTCATATTAAAGCCATCACATAATGTGGCGTAAAAATAAACTCTTTCCAAAGTTCGTGCAGTGCCGTGGCTGTGCACTGACTGATGTCACTTCCCTTCATACCACGCAATGTCGCGACAAAATCCAAGAAAATACAATCGACGAAAGGTAGAGATGCGGATATATCCACTGTCTCTTCTTCTCGAACTATCCCACTGCCGGTAGTTAAAGGCAAAGAGCCAGCAAAATCAGACATCGACGTTCTCAACAAGCCCAATTTTTCAGACAAAGAGTATGCCTCCCTCATTTCCTTAGCGCTCTCCGACTTTGCACTATTTTCTGATCCAGACCTTCGGCGTAAAATTGATGAAGGAGAAGATGGGTGTGAGTTTTTCATTCAAAAAATCGTCAACCGGTATTGACGCCTCGCCTCTTGCAGTCGTCTCGTTACTTCATGTTCTGAAGCACGCTCTTCATGGAATCCTCATTTCCGAATCAGAGACAACTGTTGCCAAGGCTCTGCGGTCTGAGGCTACTGATAGCGTTGAAGTCCGGATGGTGTTCTCTGGGCCGTCGTGGTCAGCGCAAGGGTCGTCTAAAAACAGTGGGATGTTCGAGGTGCGGAGAATGGAGTCTCTTCAAAACAAGTTTACAAGGGAGGATTGGAGGGAACGAACGTTATATATTGTACGTGTGCTTTTTCGATCTCCGACGCGCTGATTGACTTTGTATCTCAGGAAAATATCCCAGTTCAATATGCATCCCTCCTTGGAGTCTTTCATCTAATCCAAGTGCTACTCACGAAGAGTACCAATACCATACCAATCTTCAACCGTATACAATGCATCTCCTTCCCCCCACATTACCTCGACAAACCAGGCGACATTCCAAAATGCAAAGGATTCGCTCTCGTGACACTCCTCTCCGCCGAAGACGCGCAGCGGTTTCTACACTCGTGGCCATGGGTCCCCACCGTTTCTCCCAACGAAGCCCAACCGCCAATCTCAGAAATCCAAGAGGCTGTCAAGTTCGGCTTCCGAGCGATGTCCAAAACGCGCTGGGACGAAATGAAGGATGAATACCTTGCGTATCGGGCACGGCTGGTGAAGGAGATAGTGGCGTACGAGGATGAGATAGCCGTACATACCGCCGCCGCCACCATCAAGAGAAGACGATCGCCTTCGCCTTCACCTGCGATATCACCGATTCCCAACTCGGAGTCGACACTGACATCTTCATCGCCATTCCCACCAAACTGTCTAGTGTTCGTTCGGAATCACCATTGCGAGACTAACAAGACGACGTTACGAGCGCTGTTCTCTAAAGCTTCTAAGTCCCTTCCCGATGGTATCGATTATGTCGACTTCACCAAGGGCATGGATTCCGTGAGTAAAAAAGCTTTCGGAACTTAAGCTACCCTAACTGATATCGATTTCTAGTGCTACTTGCGTGTTGCGACGCCGGAGCATGCGCGCGTCCTCACGGAATATTTCACTCAAACCAAGATGGCGCAAACAAATGGGCTTGATAGCGAAGGTAGTGGAGATGCCGAGGCCAAGGCGATCACTGTGGAGATGGTGGGAGGGCGAAGAGAAGAGATTTACTGGGAGAAGGTGCCGTCCAAAGTTCGACGCGAGGCTGTTGACAAGGCACTGCGTTTGCTTAAAACAGATACTACGACACGGAAAGATGAAGGTGGAAACAAGAGAGTCAGGGGGAAGAGGTAATGTGCACCGAACTGGAGGCCAAGTCTTTGAGTATTATGGAGGCAACCGCCGGCGTAAAACCTAGCTGGCTGTTTTAGTGACGAAAGCTCACAAAGCGGGGGGAGCGGGGAGATCGTGGTGAAAGATGACGGCTAGGAAATCCGGTTAGACCAGGCCAGGCCCAGGTCCCAGGATAATGGCATAATTATAGCTGAGCCTACTAGCATTGATTGTGACAATAAATAGTAGCATGATATCCGTAAATAGTCTAGTTGTAAAACACATCCTGAAGTCTTAGAATAACCAATTCTCAGTTGAATGATCACGGGAAGTGTAGGTATCACGCACATAAAATCCTGGACTCAGCCTAACAAGATGAAGGAGGGCGTCAAAACATAGCAAACAGCACATGAAAGTGGCACATAACAAATGACAGCAAAGGGAGAACTTCATTTCTTGTAGCCCATCGCTTTCAGTCGTTCTCGGACACGCATGAGAGCCTTGCCCAGGTGATTCTGACCCTGACCACCTGGGCCTTCGCCCCAGTAAGAGTCGTTCGGATCAGAGTATACCAATTCCGCAGAACCAGTACTCAGCAGGAGGTTCCGGACGTCTGGATTTTGTCCGTACTTGTGGTAAAGGACCTCTTCCAGCTATTTAAAAAGGTTAACTGAGATGAGAAGGCCTACGGGATACGAAATCCACGTACGATAGTTTTATGCACGTCACCCCAATCAGATCGCTGATACTGCGCAAAATTAGCTGATAAGGGAAAGACGTCTCCGATGTTCTTGCACAGTCGGATGTTATCTGCGATCTGGGGGTTGTCGGGGAGGAACTTCATGGCTTCGAAGAGATGCATGGCGGTGTCGTATGTCTGGTTGTTATACAGGACGCGATGGAAGGAGTGATTGCAAAAGTCTCGGTACTCATTATCGAAGGTGATTCGTATGACGGAAGGTGGGATGTCGGGACGGGTGTCTGGAATCACTGGCGGGGAAGGTTCGGCGGGTTCTGGTACAGGCATTTGTACGATCGGAGGAGGAGGACCGGAAGCCGCACTCATGGCAACGGGTGGTGGAGCTCCTGGTGTCGAGCCAGACATGGATCGATTCAGCATCGAAGGCCCAGCGTCTGGACGATAACCGTTAGCCCCGACATTCACCGGGACGAAATGTATCCGTGGTTCTTCCTTCTTCTTGGATGACAGTGACCTTAGGAGACCTTTGCTTTTCCCGAATATGCCTTTTGATTTCTGAGGGAGGGGGAGGTCTTTTGAGAAGCTGGCTGTTAGAAGGGCTGTCGTTTGGGGAAGGTCGAGGATAGCGTTGTAGGGAGATGAGGCGTAGAGGTCGCGAGGTGGTTCTGGTAGCGGGTTGTTATGATGCACTGGGGGAGGGCCAGAGCGTGGTGGAGGACCGTATGCCGCTGGTGGTGCCGGAGACATGGGTGCGATGAGGTCAGCTAGCTGGCGGTCACCTGGATCGTCTTGGGGTAGTGCGGCGCCACTTGGATAAGGTGTGTGAGTACCAATCGAGCGCCTCAGAATACTTGGTCCAGGCTGTAGTCTTTCATTGTGTACTGGGTAAAATTATCTATAATTTTATTTTTTATTATCGCAAATAAACTGACCGTGAATCTCACTGCCTGCCCTGGAAGCTGGAATGATGCGTCAACCATGACCGGGGCCCATCAGAATACGCAGAGACGACGCACGAATCACTGGATCGGGAGCTGGTAGTGCATTAGATAACATTGAGCAAAATACCACCAAGTCGACGCACCATCATGGTCCTGATACTCATCATGCCTTCTCCTGCGAGACGAACGATGCCTCCTCCGACTCCTCCTAGCACCATCTGAATTGGAGCGTGGCACAAAGACCGTTTGCTGCGGTAGAATATGTCCGTATACGGGGGCAGGAGCGTATGCAGTAGCAGGGGCATATCCATAGCCGTATGTAGGTGCAAAAGGTGGAGGTGGAGGGTAGAACCCTCTCTGTCTTGACGATGACTGGCCCATCGATGCTAAAGGTAAAAGATGAGATAAAGCTGGTACTAGTTAGATAAGCATGCCTAGTAATCGACAATGAATGAGGAAAACATGAGGCCGGCAACACTCGGTATTGGAAGTGACAATAGAAGATCACAACGCGTCCGAACCACGGTCCCGTGCAATTTCCTCTGTTCGGCATATCGGCATGAACTTTTGGCACTCTTCTACCGCGAACACTACAATTTACACACAAGTATTCCAAAGATAGGCGGAATAAGTCCGAACCGCAGCGGAAACAACTGATATAGCATTAGACGCTATCATCTACAGTGCCAGTGTACCACAGGCTGCCGAATTCAAGCAACTTGAATAAAGCTGGTAATTGCGAGACAGTAGCAACACAAACGTTCGCTATGTTCTACACTATAGAATTAACTCCACAATCAGTTCCAATCACCGGCATCATGTATCTCTTTCCCCTCCCGAACCGCTCTCAACAATTCTTCAACCGTCCACGGTTCGTAAGTATATCCTGGAGGAGTATTCGTGTTCGTAAACGGCGCTCCCTCCAACACATGTTTCGCACATGCGTCGTAATTATCGTAAGCGTACTTCTCCGCATCGTGCTTGGACAACCACGTGCCGACAAGCTTACCGAACGCTGCTTGAGGATTCTTCAAAGCAATCTCCCAATTCGTGTGATGCAACTTTTCGCGCGTCTTTAATCCCATCCTTTGCGCACAAGACACACGCTCAAATCTAAGCATAGAGCTGTATCGGATGCTGAAAAATACGGGCGAGGAATTTGACATACCGGAGCTTGTTGTAGACCCATGCAGCTAAAGGAATACCGTTCTTTCCACTAATGTTAAGACAGGCCGCGAGAGCGATACCATCCTCTATGGCCATGGTCGCCCCACTGGCACTACTAGGAAGAAGAGAGTGAGCGGCATCTCCAATTTGAGTGATACGACCCATAGGAGAAACCCAGTTAGGCTGGGGGTCGCGCCACAGGAGCTTCCAGTCGATGACCTCCCTGTTGGGTATCGCATTGAATATGGCTGCGACAAATGGGCTCCAGCCTTTTACATGCTGAAGGGCACGATCAGAGCTCTGTGTCTTCGACGAATTCACAGTCGCATTGTCACTGTCCTGATGTGAGGTCCGTCATCAGCAGGGGGGGTCACAGAGAAAATAAAAAGTAAATTAAACGTACCAGATAAGTCATCAGAACACAAACGCTGGTCTTGTTTTTACCAATGACTGTATGTGTGTTATGCCCGATGTATATGGCCCCATATGGGCCTTCACCACTGAACACTTTAGCGAGTTCGGGAACCTTCAACGCATGTTCGAGCGGGAAGGTTGCGCGGTACACAGCGTATCCGCTGCTAACAGCCTTGTCCTTCTTACCATTGATTATGCTCCATGCCTTCCCTCCAACTCCATCCGCTGCAATTACAACGTCCGCCTCAAGCCTCCTCCCATCTGCGAGAATAGTAATACCCTTGTCAGCAGTCTCCAAATAGTCCTCGACGCAAATTCCATGTTCAATGGGTATATTGAGCGCCGTAGCGTATTCATGCAACGTCCGATGCGCTTCACGACGGCTAACAGCGACAGCGCGCTCTCCTATCTCCGCGTCAAACTCGCCCATGGGGATAACCCCGATCAGAGTCCCGTCGAACTTGTACATATGCAGGTCGGTCCCAAAGTCGTTGTGGAGAAGCTTCTCGACGAATCCGGGCCACTTGCGCATTGTACGGATCACGCTGGGCTGAATGGCGACCAAGTCACCTGAAGAGAGGTGGTCGTTCAACGATTCGAAATCTCATAAAGTGACGCCTACCGAAGGGATCGAGACCTGGTCGACGTTCGACGACGCGGACGTTGTGGCCTTTTCGATAGCATTCGATGGCAGCAGACAGGCCACCAAGACCTCCGCCTACAGGTGATAATAAATACGGGGTTACCATGTACAGAGCTTTGACATACCAACAATCAGAATGTCTATTCCCGAGAGTGGTTCGCGTTCCAGATGTTCAGCCATGATAGTATAGAGGCAGTCAAGATGTTCCAGTTGGTAGAAAGATGTTGGTTATGTTCAACAAAGACGTGTCGCCTTTTATCTCGCCTGGGTTTGACGAGACTGTCAAGGAGAATGACTCAAGAAATCATTTGATGATAAAGCGAAGCATTGTTTTATCCGGAATGAATTCAAGAATCGAGTGGAGTTACAGCGAAAGTTGTGGGTTTACTCGAGTGTGTTTGCCGGTGTAAGTTTGGGAGAAGACCGTTTCGCCGATATATGCATGGATACATAATTATAATGCGCCAAGTTCTTCCTAGAGAATCCTAGATGCGAGCCAGCGAAGAATGTTATCGGCGATAAACATAGGGACTTGCGGTGTAACTTGCACCCAGAGTAGATGCATGAGCGACGGATGGTGGGTAATACTCGACCTCAAAAGATGTCTTGGCGTTTTCAGAAAGCTTGGTCTGTAAGTGGCAATTTGGTAAAACGACATCAACTCCAGAGAACCAGCGACATACCGCACAACACGCCACTACCGCGTAAGCCAATGAAAAAACTCGACGCTTACGTCCGAGAGTTCGCTAGCTTCTGCCAGCAGGAGTGCTTTACGCGACAATGATTTCACAGTTCGGTACTTGCAACGCCGATTAGAAGGCCGCGTTTGTCATTCAGATGAGTGTTGGTGACTGTACGTGTTGATTCCCTGGAACTACAAGTAACCCGATGTTTGACTTGCAACTCGCAAAATGAATGCCTCAAATCGCCTGCGTGTCTGGACAAGGAAAAGTGGGACTAGCTGAGTCACCATGCGTCCAACTGGGTAGTACCGGCCCGGACCAAATATGGATTTTCCTGCTCCGCTCATCTAAGTATCCTTGAATATGAGGCAGGGGAGCCGATGTTGGCATATATTCATTTCTTCGAGTACTATCTACATCTCTGTACGTGCTTCAGACTCGTATCTGCCATTCTCGCAGCCACCCGCTTCGCTAAGTAAAAGTGCGGCAAAGGAATGTGATGATATACCGGCGGCATCAGTCTCCGTACGCTGGAGGTGGTACCCCCATCAACCGTGTATTCTCCTCAGTCAACATCTCAATTCGATTCTGCAGCTCCTGTATCTGTGTCATTTCGTTTGAGGGTTGCTCTATCTGGGCTATCAAACTGTTAATCTCATCTGGTCGGCGTCTGATTTCCGCTTGGTTCTCTGAGGCAGACCGAGGTAGAGAGAGGGTAGGTGATGAAGGAGACACATGTGAGGAGCCGGCAGTCGATGCGGATACCACAACCGACATGCCTCGGCTTTGTCGCCAAGTCTTGAAATTCTGCTCGGTTGTGGAGGGCGTTGGAACAGACGGCTGTGTCTGGCGAGGAACAGATTGTTCTGGGGTGTCTTGAAATAAAGTAAGCGTTAGAAAAAGACACTAAGTGCAGGACGGAAAACGAACGAACAGGGAAACGGTTCAGACAAGCTAATCAAATTAGCCTTATGATAAGCTTGTTTTTTTCGTCGCCACCAAAACAGAGTGCCTGCTATTACCAGGAGTAGAATGATACCGCCGCCCACCGACCCTCCAACAATGCCTTTGAAGGCAGTCGTTTTTGGTGGTGAATATGACGCGCTGGAACCAGACGGAAGATTCGAGCGGGAGGAACTGGTACTACTACTTGAAGGTGACGGTGAGCCATTGCTATCGGACACCTGATCAGAATAGGTGATGTAATCAAGCTTCAGCGACTGGTCACCAGCGACCACTGTGATATTCATGATAAGCGTGTGAATTCCAGAGCTGAGGATTGGGGAAGAAAATAACACTGTGTTGGCTAAGTCACTACCAGAACGTGTACTGGTTGTAGAGAATGTAGTCGTTTTCCCTCCATCTACGCTGAAATCAGCGGAGATGACTCCGACTATAGAATTCCTCCGAATCCCGAACACAGATACGCTCGTCCCTGTCAACAGTATTAAGTTGTAGGTGCCTCAAATGCGATCTGCGCTGACCTGTAAACTCGAAAGAAAAAGAGTCCCCAAGCGGGTGATTGATGATGTAAGTCTCCGTGATATGCGTCAGGGTACTTGTATTTGTCTGCCAGTCTCCAGTCCAGATAATACTATCACTGGTGTCGTCCACCAGGATGTCTTTACCGAGGACAGTTGTTTGATTGCCAACACCGACGATCGCATAATCAACGTCGATATTATCCATCTCTGTAAGAGTGATAGTATGGGTGCCCTCTTCCAGCGTCGGCGACATATACCACTGCATATACTCCCACTGAGAAGGGTATGAAGCGACATAGGCGTCTGCTCCATCAATGAAAACGGAGAAATTCTGTTTGTTCGTGCCAGGAGGAGTGTTACCAGTGAAAGCAATCGAAATGCCTGTTAAAGTATTGAATTCGCTTCGATTAGTCAAGAAAGACGGAAGCACCTTCGAATGTAACTGAGAAGGATCCATATGTGGAGTTTCCCGCATTACTATTGTATGCCCAAGAGGAATAATGTTGATACCACTGTTGTAACCACAGCTGGCCAGGATCTTGGGTCCAAAGAGAGCTGGGACTGAAGCCAGGCGAGAAGGCCGAGTCATCTAGTAATATCAGACTGCCAGACATCTGGCGGTGGGAAAGGAGAGGAAAAAAGGAAAAGGAGGTTGGAGATGGGTTCAGCATTAACCTGTGCATCATGATATAAGATGCATGCACTCCTTCACCCGCTACCTTTCTGCAATTGCAACCATTCCTCTAAATGCATCATGATGTCGAAGTGAGATCCGTCTGTCTTTGCTGATATTGCGCGATGCATCGCATCGATGAATCGACGGTTTGTCCCACTTGCGTGGACAAGGGACTTCGGGATGATTATCACCGAGAAGATGCTCCTTGGGTGATCTTCCTCCATGTCAAGGTCGAATCCTATACGAGGGTAGGGTTGGTCCACACCTAACGCACGGCGTGAGAGCGCATTGGGTGCCTCACCAGCTAATATGCTGTCAGAAGAGGAACAGGTCGAATTTCTACGTCATCTCCTCCTAGTCCAAAAACGTTTGATGCAGACACCTGGCTACATTTGCGCTTCAGTTCCATAGAAGTTCGCCGGTTCTCTTGATGGTACCTCGAAGCAAATGTGGAGCTCTGGCGACGAGGACGTCGTTGCCAGTTAGGGGATCTCGCCATCGTACTTCGTGATCTTGGACTCCTGCTAGACGATATGAGTTTGATAGTGCAATACCTCCTGCGTCACTTGCCACTGCCTACCAGCAATTCCATTGCACGCAAAATTGATAGGACTAGTCGTCTTGATTTGGTCTAAGGATGAAATGCCTGCACCAGCATCGATCTCTTGTGCATCCAAGTTGAGGTCCTCGTCCTCGAAAGATTTCTTGTCGCTTTCAAAAGCTCTGGTCTGTATCGCGAGCCCAAGTGGCAATCTAGTAAAAAGCCATCAACTCCCGACAACATTGGCTTATACCCTCGGGAGTCGACAAGACATAAGCATTTCGCAGTCAGCAACCCATCTCTGAATAACAACATGGGGACCGTTTTGGTATTGCACCCGAACTGTAAATCTTGGCGCGTAACGCGTTCTCAGTAGTAGCGAGCTCTCGGATGTAAACGTCAAGTTTTTCATTGCCCTGCGTGGTAGTGTCATGTTGTGCGGTATGTTGCAGTGGTCCGAAAGCTCCGAATTGCCTGCGGACAAGAAAGTAGTATAGCGTCATGATCTAGGAGCATAAATAAGACAAATAGTCCTTGAACCGAGTCTGAAGTTTCTCGTTGAAGTCAAAATGTCCCCACGATCACGTACTCGTACTCGGCATATCGGCATGGACATCTGTACCACTCTTCTACCATGAACACTACATGACATGAAATAATTTACACAGAATTGATCAGAAGACAGGCAAAACAGATCCGAGTCGTAGGAGGTTAGAAGCGACACATTCGAGCCAAGCACTGTCAGACCCTATCATCTGCACTGCACCGTGACAAGCCTACTCAAATTGCTCTTGAATTGAATTCAAACAATAAAGCTGATGCCACGGTTATGTACAAGACAGTGGAAACATACGCGGTCTCTATGTTCTACTACATCGTAGCATAAAAATCAGAATTGCTTTCAATCTCCAGCATCATGGATCTCTTTCTTCTCTCTTACCACTCAGCAAATCTTCAACCGTTCACGGTTCGTAAGTGTACCCTGGAGGAATTCCTTCAATTCATGTTGGAGCGGGAAGGTCACGCGGTATATAGAGCAGCCGCTGCTAATAGACTGTTTGTTCTTACGATTTGTCATGTTCCATTCCACCTCCAACGCCATGCGCCGCAAAGATAAAATCAGCCTTAAGATATTGCTCCCATCTTCGAGAACATCAAAACTCTTGTTGGTAGTCTCCGAATAGTCCTGGACGTTAATTCCATGCTCGATGGATATGATTCCAAGCGCCAAAAGGTAGTCATTCAACACCCGATGAGCCTCGACGCGCCGACTAGAGGCGAGTCAGCGACGACACACTCTCTGATATTGGCATCGTATTCGCCCAGAGGGAAAACCACAATGACAAACTTGATACTGGCCCGGACAAAATATGGATTTTTCGCGCGGCAGAATTAGATATTCTTGAATACGAAGCATGAGGGCCGACGTTGGTGTACTTATAGACATTTTCTTCGAGCTATCTACATTTCTGTACCATATTTCAGACTCGTATCTGCCGTTCTCGCAGCCCACCCACTTGGCGAAGTAAAAGTGTGACAAAGCAATGCAATATCCCACACCAGCGGAATCCTTCAGTCTTCGTAAGCTGGAGGCGATACTCCCATCAACTGTGTATTCTCCTCAGTCAACATCTCGATTCGATTCTGCATCTCCTGTATCTGTGTCATTTCGTTTGAGGGTTGCTCCATCTGGGCTATCAAACTGTTGATTTCATCTAGTCGGCGTCTGATTTCCGCTCGATTCCCGGACGGCTCAGCCTGGCGAGCAATAGATTGGTCTGGGGTGTCTTAAATAAAGTAAGCGTTAGAAAAAGATACCAAGTGCAGGACGGAAACGAACGAACAGGTAAACGATTGAGACAAGCTGATCAAATTAGCCTTATGATGAGCTCGTTTTTTTCGTCGCCACCAAAACAGAGCGCCTGCTATTATCAGGAGTAAAGCAACACCACCGCCCACCACCCCTCCAACAATGCCTTTAGAGTTGGTCGTTTTGGATGGTGAATACGACGGGCTGGAACCAGAAGGCGAATCCGAAGTGGAACTAGAAGGCAGATTCGAGCTGGAGGAACTGGCACTACTACTTGAAGGTGATGACGAGCTGTTGCTATTGGACACCTGATTAGAATAGGTGAGGTAATCTAGCTTCAGCGACTGGTCACCAGCGACATCTGTGATGTTCATGATAAGCGTATGGACCCCAAAATCGAGGATCGAAGACGAAAAGAACATCGTGTTGGCTAAGTCATTACCAGAACTCGCACTGGTTGTAGAGAATGTAGTGGTTTCCCCTCCATCTACACTGAAATCAGCGGAGATGACTCCGACTATAGAATTCCTCTGGATCCCGAACACAGATACATTCGTCCCTGTCAACAGTATTGATATGTAGGTACTTCAAATGCGATTCGAGCTGAACTGACCTGTAAACTCGAAAGAAAAAGAGTCCCCAACAGTTTTACTGTCCTTCGTAGAGTTCCCAAGCGGATGGTTGACAATGTAAGGCTCCGTGATATACATTAGGGTACCTTTATTTGTCTTCCAGTCTCCAGTCCATATTATACGATCACTAGTGTCGTCCACCAGGAGGTCTTTACCTAAGACAGTTGTCTGATCGCCGACACCGACGAGGGCATAGTCCACGTCGGTCTCATCCATCTCTGTAAGAGTGATAGTATGGCTGCCCTCTTCCAGCGTCGGTGACATATACCACTGCATATACTCCGCCTGAGAAGGGTACGAAGCGACATAGGCGTATGCTTCATCGATGAACACGGAGAAAGTCTGTTTGTTTGTACCAGGAGGAGTGTTACCAGTGAAAGCGATCGAAATACCTATTAAAGTATTGAAAATATGTTTAATTTAGTCAAAGTAAGACAGAAGCACCTTCGAATGTAACTGAGAAGGATCCGTATGTCGAGTTGCTTGCATTGCTATGCTCTGCCCAAGAAGAATAATGCTGATACCACCGTTGATACCACGGATGGCCAGAATCACGGCTCCAAAGATAGCTGGGACTGAAGCCAGGCGAGAAGGCCGAGTCGTCTAGTAATACCAGACTGCCGGACATCTGGCAGTGGGAAGGGGAGGAAAAAGGAAAGCAAGATAACGATGGGGGTCAGCATTAATCTGTGCATCATGATATAAGATGTATGTGCTCCTTCACCCGCTACCTTTATGCAATTGCAACCATTTCTCTAAATGCATCATGACGTCGAAGTGAAATCCATCTGTCATGCCTGATATTGGGCAACTACCTTGCTTCGATGAATCGGCGGTTTGCTTGCGTGGACAAGATGTGAAGGTCGAATCCTATACGAGGATAAGGTTGATCCACACCTAACGCACGGCGCTGAGATTGCATTGGGTATCTCACCAGCTAATGCGGTGTTAGGAGAGGCGTAGGTCAAATTTCTACGTCTTCTCCTCCGAGTCCAAAAACGTCCGATGCGGACACCTGGCTACATTTGCACTTCAGTTCCACGGAAGGTCACCGGCTCCCTCGATGGTGCCTTAAAGCAAATGTGGAGCTATGACGACGAGGACGATCTCGCCATCGTACTTCGTGATCTCGGGCTCCTGCTAGATGATACGAGTTTGATAGTACAGTACTTCCTGCATCACTTGCCACTGCTTGCCAGCAATTCCATTGCACGCGAAATTGATAGGACTAGTCGTCTCGAGGTCCAGGGATGAAATCGATGGCTGCTGTCACTTGGACGCTTACATCTACGAATTTAAAGTCCACTGTCAGCTTGCGATGAAAAAAAGAGCAGTGAGCTACCAAACAAGCATGCGAACACCAAATCGAGTTCATTCCATCGGCTCGACCACGCAAACGGCAACGAAGACGCGACGGCGGCGTTCTCGGCGCTTGTGGTCACTGGTCACATGATGAATCCCTTAAAAGGAAAACGCCGTGCGGCGGTGCAGACTCTCTTGAACTCTCAATCAACTCTCAATTGCTTGCTTGTCAAGAGATTAAAATTCGGCCTAGGAGAGACTACCACACGTTCTATTTGATACCGAACCAGCTAATATACGGGTTTTTGCCCTTGAATACCAAGCATGGGAGCCAACGTTGGCATACTTATATTCATTGCTTCGAGTACTATCTACATTCCTGTACATACTTCTGCCGAGCTCGCAGCAGCCAACTTCGATAAGCAAATTTGCGACGAATACAATGCGATGTCTAAACCTTCAGCCTCGACTCTTCAGTCTCCGTACGCCGGAGGCGACACTCCCATCAACCGTGTATTCTCCTCAGTCAACATCTCAATTCGACTTTGCAGCTGTTGTATCTGTGCCATTTCGTTCGAGGGTTGCTCAATCTGGGCTATCAAACTGTTGATCTCATCGAGTCGGCGTCTGGTTTCCGCTTGATTCTCGGAGGTAGACCGAGGTCGTTCGAGGGTAGGTGATGAAGGGGACACATGTGAGGAGCCGGCAGTCGACGCGGATCTCACAGCCGATGTGCCTCCACTTTGTTGCCAAGTCTTGAAATTCTGCTCGGTTGTGGAGGGCGTTGGAACAGACGGCTGGGCCCGGCGACCAACAGATTGGTCTGGAGTGTCTTGAAAGAAAGTAGCGTTAAAAAGGATAAGTGCAGGGCGGAAATTGGACGAACAGGTAAACGGTCGAGACAAGCTTATCAAATTAGCCTCATGATGAGCTTGTTTTTTCCGTCGCCACAAGAACAGAGTGCCTGCTATTACCAGGAGTAAAATGATACCACCGCTCACCGCCCCTCCAACAATGCCTTTGAAGGAATGCGACGTGCTGGAACCAGAAGGAAGATTCGAGCCGGGGGAACTGGTACTACTACTTGAAGGTGATGGCGAGCTATTGCTATCGGACACCTGACCAGAATAAGTGATGTAATCAAGCTTCAGCGACTGGTCACCAGCGACCACTGTAATGTTCATGATAAGTGTGTGAATTCCAGAGCTGAGGATCGAAGATGAAAAGAACACCGTGTTGGCTAAGTCATTACCAGAACGTGTACTGGTTGTAGAGAAGGTAGTGGTTTCCCCTCCATCTACGCTGAAATCAGCGGAGATGACTCCGACTATAGAATTCCTCTGAATCCCGAATACAGATACGCTCGTCCCTGTCAACAGTATTAAGTTGTAGGTGCCTCAAATGTGATCTGAGCTGACCTGTAAACTCGAAAGAGAAAGAGTCCCCAACAGTTTTACTGTCCTTCGTAGAATTCCCAAGTGGGTGATTGACGATAGAGGTCTCCGTGATATGCGTTAGGGTACTTGTATTTGTCTGCCAGTCTCCAGTCCAGACAATATTATCACTGGTGTCGTCCACCAGGATGTCATTGCCGAGGACAGTTGTTTGATTGCCAACACCGACGATCGCATAATCAACGTCGATATTATCCATTTCTGTAAGAGTGATAGTATGGGTGCCCTCTTCCAGTGTTGGCGACATATACCACTGCATATACTCTGTATGAGAGGGGTATGAAGCAATATAGGCATCTTCTCCATCGATGAAAACGGAAAAATTCTGTTTGTTCGTGCGAGGAGGAGTGTTACCAGTGAAAGCAATCGAAATGCCTGTTAAAGTATTGAATGCGTTTTATTTAGTTAAAGTCAGACAGAAGCACCTTCAAAGGTAACTGAGAAGGATCCATACGTCGAGGTATTCGCATTGCTATGCACTGCCCACGAGGAATAATGTTGGTACCACTGTTGTAACCACAGCTGGCCAGGATCTTGGGTCCAAAGAGAGCTGGGACTGAAGCCAGGTGAGAAGGCCGAGTCATCTAGTAATATCAGACTGCCAGACATCTGGCGGTGGGAAAGGAGAGGAAAAAAGGAAAAGGAGGTCGGAGATGGGGGTCAACATTAACCTGTGCATCATGATATAAGATGCATGCGCTCCTTCACTCACTACCTTTATGTAATTGCAACTATTCCTCTAAATGCATCATGATGTCGAAGTGAGATCCATCGGTCCTTGCTGATATTGCACAATGCATCGCATGGATGAATCGATGGTTTGTCCCACTTGCGTGGACAAGGGACTTCGGGCATACCATTGAAGTGCGGTTATTAAAGTGTTTATCACCGAGAAGATACTCCTCGGGTGATCTTCCTCCATGTCAAGGTCGAGTCCTATATAGGGTAGGGTTTATCCACCTCTAACACACGGCGTTGAGAGTGCATGGGTGCCTCACCAGCTAATATGCTGTCAGGAGAGGAACAGGTCAAGTTTCTGCGTCGTCTCCTTCTAGTCCAGAAACGTTTGATGCAGACACCTGGCTACATTTGCGCTTCAGTTCCATAGAAGTTCGCCGGTTCTCTCGATGGTGCCTTGAAGAAAATGTGGGGCTATGGCGACGAGGACGTCGTTGCCAGTTGGGGGATCTCGCCATCGTACTTCGTGATCTTGGACTCCTGCTAGATAATACGAGTTTGATGGTGCAATACCTCCCGCATCACTTGCCAGCAATTCCATTGCACGCGAAATTGATAGGACTAGTCGTCTCGAGTTGGTCCAAGGATGAAATCGATGGCTGCTGTCACTTGGACGCTTACATCTACGAATTTAAAGCCAACTGTCAGCTTGGATGAACAAAGAGAAATAAACTACCAAACAAGCATGCGAACACCAAATCGAGTTCATTCCATCGGCTCGACCACGCAGGCGGCAACGAAGACGCGACGGCGGCGTTCTCGACGCTTGTGGTCACTGGTCACATGATGAATCCCTTAAAAGGAAAACGCCGTGCGGCGGTGCAGACTCTCTTCAACTCTCAATTGCTTGTTTGTCAAGAGATTAAAATTCTGCTTAGGAGAGACTACCATACGTTCGATTTGATACAGGATCAGCTAATATATGGGTTTGTCCCATGAATACCAAGCGTGGGAGCTAATGTTGGCATACTTATATTCATTGCTTCGAGTATTAATATATCTACATTCCTGTACATACTTCTGCCGTACTCGCAGCAGCTAACTTCGATAAGCAAATTTGTGAGGAATACAATGCGATGTCTAAACCTTCAACCTCGACTCTTCAGTCTCCGTACGCCGGAGGTGGTACCCCCATCAACCTCGTGTTCTCCTCAGTCAACATCTCAATCCGGTTCTGCAGCTCCTGTATCTGTGTCATTTCGTTCGAGGGGTGCTCTATCTGGGCTATCAAACTATTAATCTCATCTAGTCGGCGTCTGGTTTCCGCTTGATTCTCGGAGGCAGACCGAGGTCGTGAAAGGATAGGCGATGAAGGAGACACATGTGAAGAGCCGGCAGTCGATGCGAATCCCACAACTGGCGTGCCTCCGCTTTGTCGTCGAGTCTTGAAATTCTTCTCGGTTGTGGAGGGCGTTGGAACAGACGGCTCAGCTTGGCGACCAGCAGATTGGTCTGGAGTGTCTTGAAAGAAAGTGAGCGTCGGAAAAAAGATAAATGCGGGACAGACATCGAACGAACAGGGAAACGGTTCAGACAAGCTTATCAAATTAGCCTTATGATGAGCTCGTTTTTTTCGTCGCCACCAAAACAGAGCGCCTGCTATTATCAGGAGTAAAGCAATAACACCGCCCACCGCCCCTCCAACAATGCCTTTAGAGTTGGTCGTTTTGGGTGGTGAATACGACAGGCTGGAACCAGAAGGCGAATTCGAGCTGGAAGAACTGGCACTACTTGAAGGTGATGGTGAGCTATCGCCGTCGGACACCTGGTCCGAATAGGTGAGGTAATCTAGCTTCAGCGACTGGTCACCAGTGACCTCTGTGATGTTCATGATAAGCGTGTGAATTCCAGAGCTGAGGATTGGAGAAGAAAAGAACATCGTGTTGGCTAAGTCATTACCAGAACGCGTGCTTGTTGTAGAGAAAGTAGTGGTTTTCCCTCCATCTACGCTGATATTAGCAGAGATGACTCCGACTATAGAATTCCTCTGAATCCCGAACACAGATATGTTCGTCCCTGTCAACAGCATTAAGCTGTAGGTACCTCAAATGCGATCTGAGCTGACCTGTAAACTGGAAAGAAAAAGAGTCCCCAACAATTGTGCTGTCCTTCGTAGAGTTTCCAAGCGGGTGGTTGTCGACATAAACCCTTGTGATATGCGCCAGGGTGCTCGTATTTGTCTGCCAGTCTCCAGTCCAGACAATGCTATCACTGGTGTCATCCACCAAGATGTCTTTATTTAGGACAGTTGTCTGATTGCCGACACCGATAAGGGCATAGTCCACGTCGATACTATCCATCTCTGTAAGAGTGATAGTATGATTGCCTTCTTCCAATGTTGGTGACATATACCACTGTATATACTCCGCCTGAGAGGGGTACGAAGCGACATAGGCGTCTCCTCCATCGATGGACACGGAGAAATTCTGTTTGTTTGCCGTGCCAGGAGTGTTACCAGTGAAAGCGATGGAAACACCTGTTAAAGTATTGAATACGCTTTATTTAGTCAAAGTAAGATGGGAGCACCTTCGAACGTAACTGAGAAGGATCCATATGTCGAGGTACTCGCGTTGCTATGCTTTGCCCAAGAGGAATAGTTTTGATACCACAGTTGTCCATTACTATGGGTCCAAAGAGAGCTGGGACTGAAGCCAGGCGAGAAGACCGCGTCGTCCAATAATATCAGATTGCCGGACATATGGTAGTGGGAGAGGGGAGGAACAGGGAAAGGGAGATGGAAATGGGGGTCAGCGTTAACATCATGATATAAACTGTATACATTCCTTCACGAGCCATCTCTAGGCAATTGAAACCATTCCAGATACATCATACGTTGAATTAAATCTATCCATCTTGCCTGATTTTGGGCAATACATCGCTTCGATGGATTGATGGATTGACCCGCTTGCGTGGATAAGGGACTCCGGGCCTAGCATCGGTGCGGTTATTAGAAGCGTTCGATGCAGGCACTCCTCTTCACAGAAACATGTATCCTTCCGGATCCCACCTAATTCCGCAGGGCTACATTTACGTTCCAGTTTCATGGACGGTCACCGCTTCCTTCGATGGCGCCTTGAAGTAAAAGTGGAGCTATGGCGACGAGGATGTCATTGTACTCCGTGATCTCCTAGCCGATACAGGTTTGAGTGTCCTGATAAGCGCCGATGGTGTAAAGTACCTTCTGCTTCACTTGTCTCTGCTTGCCAGCGATTCCATTTGCACGCGAGGTCGATACAGCTAGTCGTCTTGTAAGGATGACAGCGGGCCCTCTGGTTGTTCGGGCGTACCTCCTCCTCCGGATACCAGCTCATCGTGTAGCATTGGCAAGGCTTCTGGCGTCAAACTACGCATTGGGCCTAGAACACAGAAGACGCTGAGGGTGGATGAAACAACAGTGACTGTCTCAAGGGCATTTCGGATCTGCCGTTGATGTGGAAGGTCCTGTCCACCTGCCCTGATGCTACACTTCATGATATGCACGCCGATCGCAAACGCGAAGATTGAACCCATATGGACCCACGAAAGCGATCACCCATGGCCGTCGATCCGGGAAGGTAATTTCATTCAAAGGTTAGTTACATCACGTAGCTTACTACGAACGAAAGCGATAGAAGCAAGACGAACGACGCACGCATTATATACACTAACACGGTCGTCAACGACTGGTGTAAGGAAAGAGACGGAGACATACCACTATACTCTCAGCCAACTCATGGAAAGAACAGAATAAAGGTACATAGATAACACTATGACGCAAATCAGCTACATCCAAAGGTATTGCGTGATCCAACATACCGACGGATAGACATTCACCAACCCAGACAGAAGAAGGAACGGAAAAGATTACGATACACACACTGCCAACGTAAGGTGAGTTGAAGAGGTAGACGTACGCTATATACCTGCCGACCAGTCAGAACGATCCCGTACGAAGAATAGAAAGCTCACGAACGTCGCGTCAGTACTCCACAGCCTCATCATCATCAGCCTGCATGGGCTCTTCCTTCTCCTTCTCCCCTCCGTCATCCTTTTTACCCTCCAGCTCATCCGTATCCATTTTTGTTTCCACGTCACCCTCTTTTCTCCCCTCCCCATCCTCTTTCTTATCCTCCGTCCTCTTGTTGTCCGCGTCCTCTTCGTCTTCGTCCATAGGCTCACCTTGAGATTTCTTAGCTTCTTCGACCTTTAACCGCAGTGCCTTTATATCCTCGATGCCCTGTGCACGCTCAGCATGGAACGCCTGCCATTCTGCTTCAGCAGCGTCTTTTACGGCGGTACGACGCGCTGAAATGAATGCTTCCTGTGATGGCAGGAGGATAGCAGGAAGATAATATAGGGGTGGTGGGTGACTACGAGGTGGATTTGCAAGAGGGTTTGGGAAAGAAGGAGTCTGCTCCTCGTCTTGATCCTGGGGGATAACATCTGACGTGAGCAGGAAGTTCGCCAAAATGGGCAGACGACTCCTGCGATATTTCACGACAGAATCTCGCAGCTGTAGTTCCTCCTCTTTCCTGTTTGCTGTCAATTTGTCCTTGCGCGCGTCTTCGGCTTTACGCACAGTGTCGTTCTCCCGCCGCAGTTTGGACTGGAGCCGGGCTTCCAGTTTCATGCGTTTTTTTGCCTAATGTCCGGCATCGAGTGAGATTCGGTCAATAAATGAGATTCATTTTTACACACCGCCTCGCTTGCATTGCGCTCCTTATCTTCTCTCTCCGCCTTTTTGAGTGTGCCCACGAGCAATCCGAACATGCCCCGACGGGTGGGGGCTGCGAGACGAGGCCGGGCCTTCACTGTAGGTTCTGGTCTGAATGAAGAATGTTAAACAAGGCATAGACAGGCAACATATAAACACGTACTCTTCCGTCGACATGTTGAAAAGTAGGTGGTGGGAGAAGGTAGAGTGCTGTGGGAATTCGCTACCGTTTAGATGGAGTTAGCCGGTGCTGCCGGTTTCGGCCCGAAGCTTGGCCGACTAAAGAGAACTCACTATGAGAGCTATTTTCGGAATGGCATGTCATGTAAATTTAATTGCTCGAAAATGAAAACACATATCTATTTTCATACCTTCATAAGTAAACGAAAACCAGTTCCTCGGCCTTAACCTCGCAGGACTGCCGATTGATGGCCGGGCCTCCAAAAATTTTTTGTCATCAGCTCATGTCGGCATCATCGGCATCGACATCGTGGGAAAGTACCCGATCCGAAGGTTCTGACATCGACATTGACTCATGTTGGATTCATGCCTGCTCTAACACTACAAGGAATCATTCTGTCGCTTTAATCAGTGCACTGGGCATCCATACACTTGTACTGCAATCTTGGGTTTCTCCGTAATCTACGACTGAGTCCGAAGGAATCGCAATAGTTCTCAGTCCCCTTCAGCGAACTTCCTGTTGGCCCTAGATGATAATGTTCTTCTTTGGTTCTCCCTCATGATTATAGCCATCACGGTTTTTGCTTCAAGTGGTCTAAAAGTCTTGTCCATAGGAATACGAGCCGTGGTAGACTGTAGGCCACCGACGTAATTTTTCTGGACCGCTTGCGTTTCTGCGCCTTATGTCTTTTTTTGAATTCTGCATTCAATTAAACCGCGTCAAGTATGCCATCGGACGTAGAACTTCTCAGGCTCCTACTTCCTTCTCAATTTCAGTACCTCTGCTCGGTGTTTTGATACCTACTGCGGTTTCGGCATGTAATGTAGCATGTATGCCGTCGTCATCTGGACTTGATTTCTGCTGGTGTCCACAGACATAGATGTCTGCGAGTATCTCTGTGTGTAGTGATGCGTGATGCGACGTTTGTACTCTCATAGACATACTAATAGTGCCATGGATAAGTTCCTGAAGGCTATCCGTGCTCGTCCGCAGAATCTTCCTTCTCATCTTCCTATCATCCTTTTTACCCTTTTATTTCCGCGTTTCTGTGCCTGCCAGTGTTACAACTGTTAGCTGCACCCCATACTGGTGCTTCTGTTTCTCCATCTATCAGATTCTGTTCTGGTTTCTACGTGTTGCGTGCTCTTCTTCATCGTGATCGCGACGGTATCCTCTGAGACGATGCGCAGGCACTGGCACTGGACCCCTTGAACATGTACTGCATGTGAAACCTTGTTTTCTTCACTCTAAGCACATCTCGGTGCGCGGACTCGGAGAGTCGGAAGGCAATATCAGAAGAGTCGCAGCCTTTCCGGGTCCGATCGCAAGAGTTGATCACAAGTTGTAAATCACGGAGTACTAGGAAACACAGCAAGTCGGATCCAAGGAGCACCCTAGGCCTAATCCCTGGAGACAATGTGATATTGACCGGTTGGAAAGGCATTCGTTGTATTCTATTCGTGTGGTATCAAATGACAAAGATGGTGATAGCACGAACATCCGCGAAAAGCTGTACAGAACTTATAATCAATATCAACTTTGGTTCCTTGATATGGATCTCTTTGGAATCAGGTTGTCTGAGGGATCTGCATCTTCTCGCTCTCTAGCTCCAATGACCGCACCTTCAATGCTATGCCCCGAATCCCTCGTCCGATATAAGCGGGACAAATGATTGATCCATCGAAGTTATGCATCGCGCGCTCAATATCAGGCTAGATGAATTCGATATTTGACATCATCTGCCTAGAGGAATGGTTGTAGTTGCATAAAGATAGCTCACGAAGGAAAGCATGCAATATATATCATAGAGGTCCATTTATGGTACATAAGGTATAAAATAACTGGAGGCATTAGGTAGATAAATACATCAAAAACATGCATTGAAATAAAACCACGAAAGAAAGATTACTTGGGCCTGGACTATATGGAGAGAAACGATGAATTTGGGTGGCAGCGCGGAGTATGCGTGGGGCAGAGTAGAAAAGTTTAACCTTTCACATTGACGACACTGGTTGTGCGGCTCCTAGGAGAAATGGGACTTGCTGTACCGCTGACTGCCTCCAGCCTCTCCTCCAGCCCCATGCCGAGTCCCTCCCTGACCCACTCATCGAAACCAATGCTTTTGCCAGTGCCACTATCCATCAAGCTCGGCATATGCGGTGGTGTGGACGGTTCAGTGGTCAGCGAGGACAAAGGGACCGTATTTGTCGGATTCGAGGCAAGTAGGTCGCTGTAGGATAGAAACGATAACCGTTTCGCAGCTGTATTGGCTGATGGAGATGGTGAGGGGTCACGAGCAACAGCAGTGGGTGAAGGTGGGGTAATTGATGATGCAGGAAGGAGCATTGAGGTTCGTGGAGACGGGTTCTGGCTGACCAGCGGACTGGCGGTAGGACTAAGTACCTCCACGTCGGTCTCTCCTGGGTGCGAATCTGTTAGAATCGCTGCAGCAGAATCGAGGACGGAAGGAACAGAAAGCTCTGTGTTCTTGGCACGGGGTATTCGGTGAGGATTGGGGTGCACAGGCTGTGGAGGTGGTGCTGTAGGTTCGATGTCGCGCTCGAAAATAGCCGAATCCGACGACTGTACCGACGTGGGCGACGAGGGGATAGATGATGGTGACAGTGCACACGGCGACGGCGACAAACGGTGAGGAGAAGCCTTCACGTTGGGGGATGATGTAGGCATGGTGGTAATAGTTAAGAAGAAAATCCTGCCATCAATTTCTTCAAAAAGCTTTCGACAACCGGTTGCTGACGTCATGTCATGTGACCATTTGTCTGCGGGTCGGTCCGGAACCCGGATCGAAACCTTGCCCGAAACTTTGTACGTGTTCTGACTTTCTTTAGTTCTTGACGGTTGCAGTTAAAACACCGTTTTGTTGTGTTCCGAGGGGACGAATATCATCTCCTGACTGCTCAAAATGATGTTTGAATAATTCCGGTGCAATGTCGCAACCGGGAACAGCTTCTAGTTCCTTCTTCAAGAGCTTCTACCGGACCTCCAAAATTCCACGGTCTATAAAACTGTTACACTGTAGCTCACCTGACTTCATTCAACGGTACTTTCTATCTAGCCTTCACAGAATTTTCGTCCGTCTAAGTCCTCTTAAATGACTCCGGAAATATAATTCTTCATGCTTCTGCTTCCTTCTCTGTCCACGCCGCACCACTCTCCCAGGTACATGCATACCAGCATCCAATTGTAGCCACCTCGGATCTCCGTTTAATTACGCTCTGTCTCGTTCTGAGGTCTGGACCAGAGGCATATTCGCAATCTTCCGATAGAGTGTTGACTCTGCCGTACACGATTCCTGTGCCCTCCATATGCGCGCGATCCTCATGGAACATTTTTCAGTGCTACCGCAGAGCAGTTCGAAGCTTCTAACGATATCGCCGCTATCTCTTCCACCACGGTAAAGATCCGGTGACGCCTGTAGGCGATGATAGCAGATACTCCGGATACTTACTGCTGTGTATGACTTGATAACACCTTATTGAAACTCAGCGATTGCGGCTACAGACGCTGGGCTGACAGACTACGGATCTGTGCCTAGTTTGACTATCCTTCAAGCAGAAGAATATTCACGTCCAGTAGCCTACCGAGTTGCAACTTTGTAAGCCAAAAGGACAGCGGAGAGTGTTATCATTTTTGTCGCGACCGTGGCGCATCTGTCAATATATTTTCCTTCCATAACCATTTAGCTCAAAGTCGACATAAATTACTAGCATTACATTGATTTCCTGACCACCATATCGTTGAGCTGTTTGACACTCTGGTTGGCCACTGACACAGACCACAAACAGAATGAATACTTCGTAGATTGGACTCATGGCCGTCTTGCATAAGCCAAGGCTTGATCAAAGCAGTAGCCTGTGGGAATCTTTTCCCATTAGCTAACCGACACGCGCCATGCCGCTTTCGGCGCGGTGAGTTCCCGATCGCAAACACGTCTTCTACTTCGACCTATAGCACCAGTTTACTGCTATGGCGCCAAGGATAAAGCCGAAGGCTGCAACAAAGAAGGCTCCTCTGCTTCTTGAATCCCGACTGCAGCGTCTATTCACCTCTCTCTGTGCCCAGATTGACGGAGGACACTTTGTCAACGCGCTCAAGACTTGTGACAAAAGTATGTAGATTTTACAACGATTGGACTATGCTAACAAGAGTATTCCAGTATTGACTCTTGCTCCTGATGATCCCGATGCCCTACAGACCAAGCTGTTCCTTCTCCTTCAGACAGAGCGTTACGATGCAGCGCTTGACCTACCAGGATGCGATGGATTTGAGAAAGCCTATGCGCTGTATAGGATGCAGAAGGGGGATGAGGCACGAGAAGTGTTGAAGGAGGTAACAGGCGATGCTGAGAGAGGCGCGATGCATTTGGAGGCTCAGCTCGTACGTTCGCTTTCTTTTGTTTTCCTGTCTTCAGGCTCACCTATTCACCAAGAACTACCGAAATGGAGAATTCGCTACGGCAGTGGATCTATATACCGCCCTTCTCGACTCGGCTGACCCTGCATCCGAGGAGCATACCGACATCCTCACCAATCTCTCTGCAGCCCAACTGCACCTGGATTTCCTCCTTCAAGATACTGCCTCTTTCTCGCAACTACTTCCTCCCTCTATCGCGTCCTCACTAGAGAGCGGGCCGCCTCCAGCTATAGCGTCGTCGTCTATTGCCTCTACTGTCCACGTATCGACGACGCAGCCCATTCCAACGACAAAGAAAGTACGGACGTCGCGTGTTCCGAAGGGTATAACACCTGGTGTGTCTCCGGCACCAGACCCAGAGCGATGGCTGAAGAAGAGCGAGCGGTCCACATATCAGCAGAGCAAAAAGAAAGGGAGGGGCGGCGGGGGCGGCGGTGCGACCCAGGGATTGACAGAACCCGCTACTGGAGGGGGCGGTGGCAGCAGCAACAATGGGGGTGGAGCAGGAAAGAAGAAAGGGAAAAAGAAATAAGTCTGGTGGGACCGGGAAGGGTAAGTTCATCCACTGTCGAGCTAAAATGTTTTTTGATGTTGTTGTAGATATGGGTAGTCTTGCTCTGCGTATATAGAGAAAATGCTGCATACCTCCGAATTCGACTTCTTGAACTATATGACGGGTTGTGGAAGTTCAATATGGCCCGAGAGTCCTAAATTACGGCGTTCAAGCATGAGGACAAGGTACCCTATGATTCGACGATATTCTCAGACCAACGACGGATGGCGCAACCATGGTGGAAACGCTTGACTGCGTACCAGACCTACCCCGTCTCTTTCTTTGATTCGAACTGAGACAACTTTGGTAGCCTCGTGGTTAAGAACTCGGTATCGATGTCATGTAGCTTTCGCCGGCTATGACTTTTAACGACTTTGCTCCTCCATTGTCGATATTTCAGATCTAAATATCACAGATCGACTTCAAGTATGGAGTATCACAAGGCTGGGACAACCTCCAGAAAGGTGTACATGACCAAAGAATGAAGTTTATATGAGGCCTTGTACTCCTCATTTGTGCCATTTCGAAGCAACGAAGACCGCCCGACGTGCCGTTGATACATCTGGTGACCTCTGAAGCACGACTCTGAAGGAGAGGGTCGTCGTAAGTGGAGAAGGTATCAGTAATTGTAAGATATATATGACGCGTTTTTTTTTTGGTTAGGTGCGACAGTGTTCCGTTGATGCTAAATGTGACCATTGACGAAGTTCTGGCTCGATGGGCGATGGGGGCGTGTTGTATTGTTATAGCGGCCGTTGTAATATTACCTTCGCAACAGATTACTTTCTATATATGCCGTGAATAAGAAAGAGACGGAGTTGGTATATCACAATTATTCCAACTAGGACTGGGAAACTATGGTTCTATCACAACCATAAAGACTGCAAAAGCGACGACTAAAAAATGTTACAATCATGGCCGAAAACAAAATCAAGGATCTGGATTAAAATCGCTCTGTTGCGGTATCTCCTTAATCTTTCTTCTAGCCTCGTCTGTTAGGGTCACGGAGGTAACTTCTCATTGTAAGTCTTGGCCAATCGAGCAATCCTCGTATGTGGAGAGGGAGAAGAGCTGCACAGGCGATTATTATACATATAACCAACAGAAAGTGATAGGACATACATCTGTCAGTTGGGCGAGTAAATCTGCGTGCTCGGTGAGTTTATCTTGAAAAAAGACCATATCCTAGATGAAAAAAAGAAGAAGGGAATTAAGCATAAGGATGGTCAAATTAAAAAGACTCACCTCTTTCAACTCGCAGATTTCCTTGATCAAACCTTCGTCATTTGCTCAAGGACTTTTCAGTTGGAAACTCTCACCCGTTTCCTCTCGCGGAACTCCTAGTTGAATTCTCATCATTTGCTCAAGAACTGCCAAATTGAAACTCTCACCTGTCTTATCTCACAGATTTCCTTGTTCAATTCTCATCATTTGCTCAAGAACTGTCAAATTGGAAACTCTCACTTGTTTCATCTCATGTTGTTTCTTATTCAAATCGACATCATTTACTCAAGGAAGGAAGGAAGTAGGCTGGAAACTCACCTCTTTCAACTCATGTGTTTCCTTATTCAACCATCGTCATTTTCTCAAGCACGGTCAAACCGAAAACTCTCACCTCTTTCAACCCACGGACTTCCTTCCATAACAGCTTGTTCTCCTGGATGCACTGTCGTCATTTTCTCAAGCACGATCAAACCGAAAACTCTCACCTCTTTCAACCCACGAACTTCCTCCCATAGCAGTTTGTTCTCCTGAATGCATTGTCATTTTCTCGAGCATGGTCCAATCGAAATCCCTCACCTCTTTCAACCCACGAACTTCCTCCCATAACAGCTTGCTCTCCTGGATACATCGTCGTTTTCTCAAGCATGGTCAAATTGAAAAATCTCACCTTTTTCAACCCACGGACTTCCTTCCATAACAGCTTATTCTCCTGGACGCATCGTCATTTTCTTAATCACGATCAAACCGAAAACTCTCACCTCTTTCAATTCCTCCCATAACAGCTTGGTCTCCTGGATGCAAAAAGGAGAAGGATTACACGAACTCAAGCGCTCAAGAACACTCAAAAGTCTCACATTTTCCAATGCTGATATTGCCTTGTCGCAGCTTGTTGCAGCCTGACAATAAAGTTAACGGAATGGAAAGCTGGTAGGAATCATTGAAATTGTGTACCGACTTTTGTCAAGTTCATCTGAAGTTGCTAGAGACCGAAATGGGCTGAGTATGAGAAAGAAAGTATCAGAAACCTACTTGCCTTCAGGATCCTTTCTTCCATGCTCTTAATGAACCGAAATGAGTATAGTAGTAGAAGGCTCAAGCTGAAGACTCACACTCAGTATTTTGTCAAGATCTGGTGTGATCTGCTCGGCATCCACAGTAGTATCTGTTAGAGGATAAGCAATGATTGGGAAATCGCACAAGCATCTAACACTCACCCGCGACAAGTTGTTTAATTGAAAATGTTGACTTGGGTCTTTCATAACCTTGTTGGGCTTCTAATACGTATGAGAAATTGAAAATCGAAGCCTGGATGCATACTTGTGCTATCTCGGGCAGGGCGGCGCTCGATGAAGACCCTGATGGACATTCCTTGCTCATCATACTCTAGGTATTTCGGGGCTGCGCCCTCGTCATCTGCTAGATGCGCTCTTAATACTTCGAATCAAAATCCTGAGGATGACCCACCAGAGAGTATAGGGTACATATTCGTCGAGGTAGCGTCTGGGTTTTGGCAGGCTTAGCACAGAGTTTGGAACCGGCTGTAGTTTCAGACGAGAAGGCTCTACTAACCGAGTGCTCTGTGAGGTAGACCTGGACAGTACGACTTCATGTAGGAAATGGGACTACAGGTAAAGGTACTGGAAGAGCAGAGGTAGGGGTAGAACCAAGGATCGGACTCGGACTTCATGGCGGCCTAAACACAATCGGCGCTGATTTCCCTTTTTGGAAGCAGCGGGATTTCTAACCTCTTTTACGTTGTCGTCTCCTCTATCAACGTTTGCGACAAGAGTATGTAGATTCTGTAGTCCTTAAACAAACTTTACTGACAAGTTTATTCTAGTATTGACTCTTGCTCCTGCCGATCCCGACGCTCAACAGGCGAACTTGTTCCTTCTCCTTCAGACGAAATGTTACGATGCAACGATTGACTTACCGAGTTGCAATTAATTTGAGACGGCCCATACGTTGTATAGGATGCAGAAGGGTGATGCATTGATGAGTCACGAGAAGTGTTGAAGGCAGTAACGGGTGATGCTGAGAGAGGCGCAATGCATTTGGATCAACGCTCAGCTCGTACGTTCTTTTTTTGCCTTCCTATCTTTGCGCTCACCTATTCATCAAGAACTATCGCAGCGGAGGATTTACTACCACAATGGATCTATATATCGCCCTTCTCAACTCGCATCTGAGGAGCATACGGACGTCCTCACTAATCTCTCTGCAGCCCAATTACGCCTGAATTTCCTGCAGTACATTGCTCCTTCTATCGTGTCTCTCTAAAGAGTCCACCGCCTCCAGGCATACCATCATCGACTGTCGCTACTACTGTCCACACGTTGACGACAAAGAATTCCTCCCGTGCCCGAAGTGTAACACTCCGGCACCCGGAACGACTGTTGAAGAAGAGCGAGCGGCCTACATATCAGCAAAGCGGAAAGAAAGGAGGGGCGGCGATGGTGCAACCCAAGGATTGACAGATCACGCTGCTGGGGGAGGCGGCGGCAGCAGTAGAAGTGGAGGTGGAGCAAGAGATAAGTCTGGGACTGGGAAGGGTGAGCTTCATCCTCTCTTGAGTTAAAATATGTTTTGACGCTTGTTGCAGATATGTGTTTTCTGGTTAGTTCCATAGCGCATATATTGAGAAAATACTACATACATCCGAATTCGACTTCTTGAACCGAACGGCGGGTTGTGAGCTCAGTACGGTCCGGGTAACCGTTTCCAAAATAAACACGAGGGCAAAGCTCGAGAAGCACCCCACCGATGACACGAGACTCCACTTATCGATTCTGACCAACAACCATCTCATGCGATGGCCCAACCTTGGTGGAAAAGCTCGACGGTGTACCAGATCTACCCTGTTTCTTTCTTCGACTCGAACGGAGATGGTTTCGGTGACCTGAATGGGATTGCAGCCAAATTAGATTATCTCAAAGAACTCGGTGTCGATATACTGTGGCTTTCGCCGATTTACAAGTCGCCTCTAGCGGATATGGGTTATGATATGTAAAGGCATCTGAGTACTCTGGTCCACTCCTTATTACTCACTGTTGAGATCGCAGATCGGATTATCGCGACATTGACCCCAAGTATGGCACATTACAAGACTGGGACAATCTCTTGAAAGGCGTACATGACCGCGGAATGAAACTAATGTAAGGAGTTGTTTTCCTACCAAGCTTGGTACGCTCAGACTACTCATTAGGATGGACTTGGTCGTCAATCACACCTCGGATGAGGTTCGCGTTACCGATGCATTTGAGGTTCTACTTTCCTTGACGATTCCCTCCAGCACGAATGGTTCGTCCAATCTCGAAGCAGCAAAGACGACCCCAAACGGGACTGGTACATCTGGCGTCCTCCGAAATACGACTCTGAAGGGAACCGTCGTCCGCCTAATAACTGGAGATCTGTTTTTGAAGGTAATTGTAAATTGTATATGCGGCGTTTTTTCACTGAACGCTACAGGTTCGGCATGGGATTATGACCCTGCCACGGACGAATACTATCTTCATCTGTATATTTCGAAACAGCCTGATCTCAATTGGGCCAACCCTGCTGTACGTGAAGCTGTATATGACTTGATGAGGTTCTGGCTTGATCGTGGGTGTGATGGTTTCAGGGTAAAGTTCCTTGATGTTTTCACATACTCCGGTATCTCATCCAAGTGTCGTGAAGATGGATGTGATCAACATCATCTCCAAAGTCGATGGTCTCCCCGATGCGCCTGTTCTGGACGCCAATGAAACCTTCCAGCCAGCCGGTGTGCATTTTGCTAATGGGTAGAGTTGTTATCTATATGTATGGTGTTCATGCCCAGGCTAAATCTGTTGCAGCCCGCGTGTTCATGAGTACCTGAAAGAAATGAGGGACAAAGTTCTGTCACGTTTGTATCGCAGCTTAATTCCCATGCCGATTTACAACTGAACGATGTTAGAATACGACGTTATCACGGTTGGCGAGACGCCTTTCACAGATTCGATGGATGCATTGGCGCTGTATGTTTTACCGGACCACAAAGAATTGAATATGGTCTTCCACTTCGAACTCATGGAGCTAGACACTCCAAAGACCGTGAAGGACTGGAGTCCTTTGATGCACCGACAATGGAAACTGTCCGAATTGAAGGATATCATTAGCAGGTGGCAAGTTTTCAAGAGCGATGACGGATTTTGGAACGCGTGAGTCGCTCTTCCGTTTATCTGTATCTATCTTATGCACTTCCTAGTATCTTTATTGAGAATCACGACCATCCGCGCGCCGTCTCCAGATTTGGGAACGACACGACAGACGAGCTACGCGCTCTCTCAGCCAAGATGTTGGCTATTCTGGAAGTGACTCAGAAGGGCACGCTGTACATCTATCAAGGGCAAGAATTGGGTATGAAGAATTTCCCGTCAAGCTGGAAGCTCGAGGAATACAAGGATGTCGCTTCGCAGAATTATTGGAATAGGTAGGTCTTTGTGGATGGGTTAGAACTAGACTAATGTCCCGTACCATAGAGTCCTGGAGCGGCGCATCCGTGAGACAGGTAAACAAGCTAATGAGATCGACATGGAAGACGTCTTTGAGGGTTTCCGAAGAAAAGCACGCGATCACGCCCGTGTACCGATGCAGGTAGGTATTGTTCGCTCTCTCAAGTCTGAATATGTCTGACAGAATCTTCAGTGGGATTCGTCTACGAATGCGGGATTTAGCAGTGGCGTACCATGGATGCGTGTAAATGAAGATTACAAGACATGGAACGCCTCGCGTCAGCTTGACGACGAGGGTAGCGTGTTATCATTCTATAAACGCGCTCTTCAGGTCCGCAAACAGTACCCCGTTCTAGTAGGTTGCTGTAGTATGCCTAAATGCAACAAACACTGACGCAGTGCAGATTTTTGGCGAGTACGAGCTCCTCATCCCAGAACACGAGCAGGTCTTTGCGTACAGAAGGTCATTAGCAGAGTCAGGGGTACAGGCGCTGGTGTTACTTAACTTTAGCGACAAGATGGTGCAGTTCGACTTGCCTGTGGAGAAGGGGCCCGACAATATGAAGCTGGTGCTGGGGAACTATGATGAGTCCGAGATCGATAATTTCACGCTTAGGTCGTATGAAGGTAGAGTCTATGTGTCGTCCTGAATCTACATCGTATACAGGTGGAACGCGTCGATATGGAGGAGGCTACTTTAAAGCTTTGAATGTTTTTTTATCTCGCCTTCGAGCAGTAAGAAATTCACCCTGCTTTGTATTCGCTTCTTATGTATTTGAGGGCCGGCTGTGTTATCCCTGTTAGGAAAAGGACTTGCCATAAATGACAGCCTATCCCACGCCCGCTTCCTTTTAACACGACGTTCGGCGTCAAACGTCCAAACTCAATCTTTCCTTCGACCATGGCTATCGAGAATCCAAATCCTCTCCAAACGACTCCCTCAACTGACTATGAAATACGTTTCCCTCCCTTCCCACAACCCCCGGAAGGTGTCAAAATTGTACCTTTCAAGGACTATAAGGAGGTCGGAATCTTGAAGGAAACGGCTGATCGCGTTGAGAGAGACGGCCTGCAGATTCCTACGGTTGCGTTGAGATCGGTGCACTCTACTGATGTGTGCAAGACCAATGCCCAAAATACCGGGAGGGACACCAGGAAGTCTCATTCGAGGGCGGCGGGAGGAAAGCGAGAGTGGTGGAACGATTGGGAAGATATGGAGAGACAGCTCCATCCAGACGGCTATGATGAGTATGTGATCTTTTCTCTTCTTTTTCGCGTCTTCTTCGCCACTGCGATGGCGTATTTGACTCTCGTATTGCAATAGGCGCCGGTCACCCCAAGATCGTCTTCATCAAGCGGCCAGCGATTTTCGTGCGCGTCGTCCCTTCCCTCAAAAAGTGAATGAAATATGGGATCAGGTATGTATCTGTATTGTTTCCGCCTATGTCGGCCGCGTTTCTTACGTTAATGATTGTAGATCCAGTTGTACCTTGGATTATTACCGAGCACCCCGGTATGGCACAAAACGGATCCTAACAAGCCCTCGAAAGACGAAGAAGAAGAAGATGACGGTGACATTTCTGATGAAGGGATGCCCAAGATCGACAAGGTCGAGATGGCCCAAAACGCGAGCGGACAAAAAAAGAAGTCGCGTCCCAGGCCTCCCTACGAAAACTATGGGGAAGAACCTCACCAGGTTGAAAATGACGAACAAATTCAAGAACTACTCGCAGCGTCCAAGGACGCGAAGAACGATAAACTCTTGGATTTCTTCGAGAATCCGGCAAAGAATATCACCATCTTTCTGTCGTATTACATGATCAACCAAGGGTTTCATTTGTATGTTTCTACGCTCTCTCATTTCCGCTTATAATCTAATTGATCGTTTACAGTGATGATGATAAACTGATCAATTTCCCGCGCGTGCTCGGTTTCTTTGTCAAATACCTTATCGTCAATAACGTTTGGCCCGAGTGTAAGGCTAGCCTGGAGCGCTCTCAAGGCATCATCGATATCGCTTGCCAAGAGCTCATCAGCACCTCCAGAATCTCCAAAGCCCTTCCTGATGTTCTCAATTATGCCTTCCGAGATCATTGGAACATCAACCCCGATGTTTTCTATGGCGGCCCTCCTCCCAACGACGATTCAGACTCAGGGGAACCTGATGCGAAACGCCAGAAGGTTGATCCCGAGGCGGCGGAAGAGTTCAAGCAGACATTGAAGGACTCCAATCTTGATTTCATTGAGCCTGAGGATGCGGATGCCCTCATGGAGGAGGCAATTGCCGCCGAGGAAAGTGGTGCGTGGGGATCCGATAATAAATGGGGTGTCGATGACGATGCCGCACCGGCGCCCCAAGGTGGTTGGGACGATTCTCCTGTGCAGGACTGGAGCATCCTGACAAAGCGACCCGGGCTGGTGGAACTTTTCGGACCTACCGCCCTTCCTGTCACGCACACCACTGGTATTGTCGAGCAGTCGATGCGACGAATAGCGGATATCATCCCTCCACCAAAGGATGCTGCGAAGTTGCCTCACGCGAAGGACCCCAGCGCTGAAGCGGTGGAAGTGGAGCTGGAGCGTAGGTTCACCAAGGTGGTGTTGTCGCCCTGGCTCGGTAGCAAGACTGGAAATGATGAGCCTACGATTCCGTCTGTCTCAAAGGGGACGGTGCTCGGTAAAGACGACATCGAGCCCGACGTGCCTCCCTCTGGGCTGAAGCCTCATAACCCGTGGAAAGACAATATCACGATTTTTGTCGGCGAGGATGCCGCAAAGGACCTTCGAATGGGGATGGGTCTAGGTGGATCGTGGATTCAGATGGCTCGTCAGCAAGACTTCGAGAGTCAGGATGATAAGAAGAAGAAGAAAAAGAAGGGCAAGAAGAGCGACGAGAGGTTCTGGTATATGTGTTCGCTGATGACGGTATTGACGAGTTATCATCTCGCGCCGGGAGAGGTACAGGCCCATGTACCTGACCTGTAGGTGCTTTTTCTGCTTTTGTCTTGGTGCTTGCTATTGCTCTCAATTGAACGTGCTCAACGAAACCTATAACCTGTATTCATACTGTCCTCGCTTTTTTTTCTCAGTTCGAAATATCTCTCCATTTTGACCAAATACAAATCTGCCTGTACTTCATTGATATGCGCTGTATGTAATGTATAAAATATAGTTCTCTCCACCGCAACGAAATATACCGACATTTGCTATATATAAAAACATGAAGTGGTATCATACAAATCATTCAAAACCTATACAAACCTCAGGCTCGGGTCCACTAGCTCGAACAATCACCGGGATTGTATGCGTTCGATGGATAACAAGCTTTGGTGTTGATAGATGGGCAAAGTGTACTGGAAAACGTTTGACTGCCGACTTGACCAATCTTCTCCTAGACCTGGCGAAGGTAGCGGACTAAAGATGGGGGAAGAAAGATGTCTATAGGACGGAGTCTCGATATGTTTCTTCGTATCTCGACGAGAAGGAAAACAGAACATCCATGCTCGGATGATATCCTTCAGAAGAGAAAGCTTAGTATCATGTAGCATGCTCAATCCGAAAGAACAAGTACCTTCTGTGTGCCAAACGACAGGGCAGCCAAAATTGGCACTGGGAACAGCAATGAATATGAGCAAGTACAACAGAACAGCGTGCGAGCATACATGATGCCAGGAGGATATTCCAGGTGGCGTTGGATTCCATCTGGTGTGCAGCTACAAACGACGCCAGTCTACACCGTGACGAGAGATAACGTCAACCGCAAGAATCTCCACTCCGTTGAAGATGCACGTACCCTAACGCGGCTAGCGGGACCGATGTGAAGCAAAAGATGCGAATTATCATCGAGAGGGATATCCGTCCGCTGCGGCTGTCACTAGCTTTATCGACACAATACCGTCGGAAGATGGTCCAATGGCGATATAGTAAGTGAGCCATCAGTACTGTCGGTAATGGCAATTGTCCGTAAGTTTGAGGTTACTGGGCATAAGAAATAAGCAACTACCTTCGAGGAGAATGCAAGAGGCAGCCAAGGGGAACGTTACACATAGCGTAACTGCAAGTCTATGTCGATTAACGTTTGCGCGAAGAATGGGAATTGAGAAAGACCGACTGTGCTCCGGTGTTGCTATGACAGTACATATCAGTTGATTCTCGGGAAATTTGCGTGGGATCGTTGATGAGCTGCCCGTGTAGACATGAGCAAGGAAATGAATATGCCGCTCATGATCGCTTTACTCACAAATGCCGTGGTCATGATCATCAAGACCCAAAGCACCCAAGGCGTCAGGACCATCTGTTCGATCATTCATGAGTGATGCTCGTGAATGTCCGGAGCGCAGTACTTGCCGAATCACGATAGGCGGAGGAGACGTCTGATCCTCTGAAGATTGTGTTGCGAAGCTCTAAGTACATCTGAATTGTGGCGTCACCGCGTGCATATCCTCGATCTCAAACAGACTCACGTCTAGAATGAAGTAGAACCCCGTGCTCGCAACTCTGAATGTACATGCGTGAATTAGCACAGAAACAAATTGAAAGGGCCAAGACTTACAGCGGAGGCACAGAGTACACCAATAATGTTTGGAAAAGACAAGTCCCAAAGTGAGGTTCGTCGCCACCAGATTGATTGCCCACAAGGCATAGGTACGAGAACGCGAACATCATCCAAGATATGATCAGACTGAACCATGTCCGTCTTCGCTTGATTTTCTTGGAAAAGGCAGCGGGGAGTAGTACAGCCAGGAGGAAGAAGAACCCAAGGAAAGATAAGATATCATAGATGAGCACGGCGAGGCCAGGGGAATCAGAGTCCCAGTCATTGGCATCTATGATAATATTGAGCTGGTAATTTTCTGCCTAGATAGAAAGGCGCGTACCTCTGGTCATCCAAGTCATCGTCGCTGTATGAGGTGGTCGGACTCGGAGCTTCTTATTGAATATAAATTCTCTCCCACACCTCCACAACCCGGCTTCCGAATATCATGCAGGGATTATTACATACCACTGCACCGCCTAATCTTCCACTTCCCGTCTCACCCGGCAGGAAGGCTGTGGTGTATGGAATGTTAGAACACTACTTCGGTAAAAAGTACGAAGCCTATAGCCGCCATTGATGCATCCTAGCTGGCGCTTTGATCCACAAAACCGAGGTTCTTACATCAATTTGAAGACAACAGCGCTCAAGTTCGGTACTTCTGGCATAGCATTGCTACGCTAACAATCATGAAATAACTTCTCGACGAATAAAAAGTGACAAAGACAATAAACCGTACAACCATATCAGCTCCCAATCGGCCTTCCTCCCCTGAAAGCCGTTGGTACAAGCGTGCGGGGCTTCATGGAATGCATTACAGTCGCACAGATCCTCGTATCCATCACCTCGCGCCAAAAAGAATAACATCCACGCTCCCCTTTAGAAGAGACGGACAGGCTTGCCCATGGTGGTTTTGATATGCAGGGACTTGACGTTCTGCCAGTTCTTCTTGAGGAGGGACACCAAGAAGTTGATGCCTACAAAACAAAAAGGTATTAGGAACCTAACTCGGGTGGGGGAAAGAAGACGTACTGAGCATGACGTTGGCAAGGACCTGGTCTTCAGTCATTTGGATGTGCCCGACGGCGACGCCCAAGCACAGAACCTTCTTGAGTTGGAACTTGATGGTGGAGCGGACCTCAGTCAACTTGTTGGTAAGGTCTTCGGCGTGCGACACCGGGGTGGGGAATTTTCCGGCTGGATATGTATTAGATTAGGAGCTGTACGTGAAAACGCGACTATGCATACCTTTGGAAAGACCGGGTCCCAAGAGACGAGGAATCTGCTTGATAAGAGTCTCAGAAGCCAAGAAGGCATCGTACTTCTTGGCGAGCTTCTTGACAAGCTTCTTGTTTTTGTTAAGCCTGGTTATTCCATTCGTAAATCATCAAGTACGAGCACTAGCGAGCTACTCACTTCTTCAAATCGTCAACCGACATGTACTCGAGCTCAATCTGCTTGGCGCGATCGATATCGGCGGCATCAGCGAGAATGCAAATGGACATCCTAGGACGGGGAACGTTGGGGAGCCTAGAATTGCCTGTAAGCCATTCAGTACCCTTTGCAAAATATCAAGCTACGCACTTGACGGTTCCACTGAAACGCTTGTCCCTCTGGGGGTCGTAGTTCTTCAACCCAATCTGCAACTCAATGGTCTCCACAAAGTTTCGCTTCTTCTCGCCATTGGCTTCGGCGAGGACATCTTTCACAGAGCCCCGCACGCTTGACACTGAAAGTTTGCTACTGTTGGGAACATGAGAATACAGATAGAATTGACGAGGTAGATACGAACCTCATACTTGCTAGCGCCGGTCGATCGTTGGCCTTGAGTTTCGGAGAAAGTTTGTTCTGTCCGTAATTTAGTGTGGTAAAGTCACGTGCAACTGTACAGTTGTGACAAAGCCACCAAAGTCACAATGTTTCCGAATTCGTCCTTTGTGACGTACCGCCGGTATCCCTAGTATGACTGCTGAAGCTCGCGAATTGGCGTCCATCCTGCTTGCGCGTCCTATACCATCACTGAAGCCAAGCGATATATACGATAGATCTCTTACACCTCGAATTGAAGCCCTAAAGGATCCTATTCCTGTTCGGAGCGCCCTTCACCTACTTAACGACAATATTGATCGCGCACATACACTCGCGCAAAGCGACGATGGAAATTTGACAAGCAATTACCTGCATGCGCAGTTGCACAGACGCGAAGGAGATTATTGTAATTCAAAGGTATCATTTATAGGTACTAAACTGCGTTCTCGAGCTCATTATCGCAACAGTGGTGGCTTGGGACTGGAATGCAATCTTCACATCCTGTCCTTGACAAAGTGCATGGGGGTGTGAGCCAGGCAAAGAAATTTGTTGACGACTGTCAGGCAGCTACAACTAGTAGCGAGGAATTGAAGGCGAAGCAGTGGGAGGAACTGAAGTCTACAGTGGAGTACGCACTCGAGAAAGAGGTATGATTGGGATAAAAAGTTTGCATTCGGAACCATGTACAAAGACAGAAAGTAATCGGAATAACATTGTAATAACATAGTAAACGATGTATATGAAGCTTGAAGCAGAAAAAACCCATTTGTTTGCTGCAACGCGCAGACCCCCAATCGGAAGTCCTCGTTCATCCACAGCAAAGTAAAGGGGGGAGAGATACAAGAAATCCATCAGACGAACACTCAACTCGCCGGCGAACCCTTCAAACGACTCTACGAGCACATCCAAAGAATCCGCCAAACGTCCTCGAGACTCCCTCGCGGGAGCCAAAAATGCTCTCAGTAAAGCGAGCGAGCGCGACTATCATCGACTGGATTTGAAGGTTGTGGCATTTGTAAAAATGCGAGACTCGGTCAGTTTCTATAGAAAGATCCTGATGAGTATGTATCTGAGGAAATAGAGATGTTGAGGCGGGGTATTTATATTTTTTGGGAGGTGGTCCGTGCGCGGGAGATTTTTTTTGGCTCACTGGGGGTGTTGTTGTCCGGTTTTGGGTACGTAACTTATATGCATACGGCTCGATGGTGAAGGCAAAAAATCATACAATTGGTACAGGGCGAGATCATAAAACGATACAGTAGATAATAGGGTCAATAGGCGAGCAGATGGCTGCAACTATGGAAACATTCAATGATTGACTTGTATGTATATGTATAGATGCATAACGAAAGAACGACGAATAGAGGATAATACCAACTAATGAGATCAAGACGTAAAGTAAGAAAATATATATCCATGAATGCCAATACAAGATAGAACAAAAAATCATTCCTCGCCACTGATACTCGTCGAGACCACCTCCGTCAAAGGTTTAGCGGGCCTGCCACGACCTTTCATCGATTCTTTCAAAGACCGAGATGGTGCGTTGACAAGAACAGAAACTACTGAACGTGATGGAGAAAGAGACTTCCTCGGAGGAGATGCGGGAACAGCAAAAGCTGCTGGTCGCGTAGGGCTGGGTGTCCTCGCAGTCGGGAAAGGCACCCTCTCCTTCTTGTAAGCAGGCTTAGGCTTAGGTTTCGCCCTGCGACGCTTGGATGAAGTCGATGCCGTCTCATCAACATCCATATCATCATGGTCGGAGACAGGCTCAGGCTTGAATGCTTTGTCGTCATTGGAAGTCTTTGCGCGCTTCTTGCGAGGTTTCGAGGGTTGGGCCTTTTGCTTTCCTTTGCCCTTTGAGCTGATGACACTCTGAGTATCGTCTATAGGCTGGTCGATTTCAACACCGTCCTGGTCGTCGTCGGCAGGTCGAGGACGCTTTCGGGTTGCCTTTTTACGAGCGGGTGGAGATGAAGGAGGAGATGAGGCATCGGATGGAAGTGGAGGTGGGTCATGGCAGCGAAGACGATCGCAGGAAATGAGTTTATCGTCGTGAATAGATGAATCTGCGCGAAATCTAGCGCGTCTGAGATCCGTCTGGTAAGTGCGTATCAGTAAGCATAAAAGACAACAAACAAAGGAAATCATACCGTGTGCTTTCCCTCGTAGCACCACCCGTCTGGTGGACCCATATCTCCATCTCCCTCGACAGTCTTTCCACAACATGTAAAAAGGGTCTCGTACTCAGTTCCCTTGGATTTTGTCACTCCTACCCTCGACACCTCCGCACTTTCGTCATCATGGTGCACCACACAGCTACGGTCGGTATTCTCGACATCAAAGTAGAACTTGTGGCACCGAACGCAATGGAGCCGGGGCGGTGGAGTCAGAGTTGAAAAGAAAGACGTCAAATGAGTTAATGTGCGTGATGAAGGGGGGTGTATTGGTATATGTGAAGATGTAGCAGGTGATCGTGTAGGCGGAATGAGATGTGTGAGTGTGTATTCGTGGAATGTCTTGGGCGGGATGGATGATATGAGACCGTGAAGGGCAGTAGGGTCAGTGATAAGACCCAAATCGGCATCGTCGTCTTCAAGTGGCGGCGAAGGCGACGCAGGAGGTTCACGTAGGGAAGCAGTAGGAGAAGGATTCAGTTGAGCTTTGCCGACGGATGAAGATTCGACTGAAGGTGATGGTGTTCGTAGCTGAGTTGGATTACTAGGTTCCAACTTCTGAGTGTCCTGAGGCTGAGGCTTGTCTGGATGGACCTTGCGAGAGAAAAGACCGAAAACCATTATGGAGAATAAAGGCAAGATGAGAGTGTGAAAGAGAGATGACGGCAAATTTGAAAACGGGGGCTGGGTGCGTTCCCACGGTAACACGCGTCTGATCATATCAATCTCACGTGTCCCTCGCGCTTTTCTCTCCAACGCGATTACCGCGTTGCTTTCGTTCTACCTTCGTCGGGTTTCTACTGGTAAACGTTCCTTTGGTTCTAAACGTATATCTGTTGAGGTTCCGATGAAACTCTCCGGAATATATGTTCTTGTCTGAGGAACACGCGCTTGCATTCCAGTGAGTCCTAAATTTGGCTTGCCGCGTTGCGAGCACCCCAGAACGTGACGATCCATGCCTCAAAGGCTCTCCGCTTGAGAAGCACAAAGTCGGAAAGCTACAACAGGCAAATGACATAAGCATCGATACTTACATTGATACGATGCTTCGTCTCACCATTGCACGACACGTTATCATAGGTACCGAGCACGTTTAGTTCTAAGCCCTCCGGAATCCGAAGTACTCTTCCAAGATGAAAGAATCCGAATGTCAGGAAAACCTGGCCCTTCGGTAACTAAATTAAAAAGGAGTGGATTGCCGGCATCACGTGTCTGTGACTAAATGCGGTCGACTTTTTTTGCTCCACCACTTGCTTTCGATATGATTTCCTCTGACTCGAAAGGTCGAAAAGACAGCGCTAAAACGGGTGGCTGAAACCGACATTCCCTTACGACGCTTGCGGGTCCCGTTTCCTATTTCTTCAATACCCGCTGTGCTTCCAGGCAAATCCTTTAGAAGGAAGGTTAGAGTTTAGCAAAAAGGTGATAATTCATGGTCTATATCTAGTTGCCCGTTTGACTTATAGACCATAGGTATACTCGGTGCATGCTTGTCTCTGGATTCTTTAAAATCCCCAAATACCGATTTTACTCCACCGTAGCCATTGGCACCATGGCCCCCAATTACGAAGCCTGGTCCAGAACGGACTTGATCGCTCGCATCGCCGCACTAGAGCAAAGAGAAGCTTCCAATTCTACTTCCACACAACCCAATACCGATTTCGACTTTTACTCCTACCCCATCCGAAAAATTGCCTCTCAAGTTCTGCTATTCCGGTTGGGAGTATAACGGGTTGGCGTTCCAGAAGAAACCGACGCCGCTGCCTACCTGTTGAGGGAGTGCTATTTGATGCACTGTGCCGGGCGCGTCTGATTGACGAGGCACGAGGGTATGATGGCTGTGGTTGGGAGAAATGTGGACGGACGGATCGAGGTGTGAGTGCTGCTAGTCAGGTTATCTCGCTCTGGGTGCGCAGTGCCCTGAGACGGAACAAGGCGAACTCCGATGGACCAGCGGAGGAAGAAGCTGAGGAGCTAGATGAAAATGACGACGACATGGTCGGATTGTTCGATAACACCACCAACACCTCTGTGGCCTCCGAAACCGGAGGAAGAGCACGACTATCCCGGAATCCTGAATCGTATCTTACCCCCTACGATCCGCGTTCCTCGCTTGGTCGCCTGTATCGGAAGAGTTCTCCTGCACGACGGTCCTGCACGTTCCGTCACTTACAAGTACTTTTTCTCAGATCTGAACTTGGACCTCTCCCTCATGCGCGAGGCCGCCAGTCCATCTTCGTCGGTTTACACGATTTCCGTAATCTGTGCAAGATAGATCCCTTCGAAGCAGCTGACGCTGTTCATGCGGAGGATCTTGCGAGCCGAGATCAATGCTGTGGAGGCGGGGATGTTCGTGTTCGATTTGGTGGGAACGGCGTTTCTGTACCACCAAGTACGGAATATCATGGCGGTGCTCTTACTCGTTGGACGCGGACTGGAGCCGCCCGACATTATCACGCAGCTGCTTAACATGTCTGAGGGTGCGGAGCCAGGGAACTGGGAGGTTCTGAGTAGAAAGCCCGAGTATCAGATGGCAGATGGGCTTCCGCTGGTGCTATGGGATTGTAGGGTATGACGAGAAGGACGTGCAAGTGGCAGACTGGAGGCGCTGAGGGTGAAATTCGTGGTGGACAGGCGCGCGGGATCTATGAGCACCTCGAGGGTATATACGAGCGCTCTAGGGTGTTCACAACGCTGAACCATCATTTCTTGAAGAAGGCCGCGGAGCTACATTCGTCGAGACCGGTTGTCACGCGGCAGGCGACACCGTTCCATGAAAAATGGAATCATTCGGAGGGTATCGAGGTTCCGCTTGGTGCCGGGGACGACTAGAAGGGTTCGCCAGTACGTGCCACTGATGCGAAGGGTGAGGAACGACGAAGTAGAGGCTATTAATGAGAGATGGAGGAATGGAAAAGGGAAGAAACATCTAGCAAAGGTGGACAACGGCGATGACGATGAGGGTGACGGTGGTGATGATGACGGCGATGAGTAGAATTCACACCGATAGAATTTCCGTGATAATTGATGTCGATCCATGGCGGTCATTACCCTTTTCGGATAGCAGCCAACGATGACGCACAAAGTTCGTCTTGAATCTATTTTAGGACACCCTACTGCCTCTCTTCTTCTGCCCTTCATGAAGACTTCATCTATACTCTCGCTGTTCGTCACCGTTCCCTTAGTGTCCGCCGTGAATATCACTGTAAGCGTCGGAAAAGACGATTCAACTGGGTACGCTCCAACCGTTCATCTATTCTTTGTTATTCACGAAGATTCCCCGTGCAGACAGAAAGGCCTCGGCTTCAATCCGCCATACATCTACCCCAATATTGGCGATTTAATCGTGTTCGTATTTCAAAGCGGTACCCATAGCGTTGTTGGTATGTCTCTTGTCGCGTCTTCTCTAACAAGCAAGCTGATGCGAGTAGAATCCAACTTTACGAAACCATGTGTACCCAACGGCCGTTTCGACACTGGCGTTCAGACGGTTCCTGATAGTGCCGCCGTGGATTCTCCCGATCTACCCAGGTTCGAATATTATATCAACAGCACGGACAGTCTATGGTATGCTCGGCGTTTACTCGTTATTGCACGCGTTGGACAACTCGCCTTGTAGGTTTTCCGACCAGGCGGGCAACAACTGCAACCAAGGCGCCATATTCTGTATCAACCCTACTGCAGCCCAAACGGCGGATCAGTTCCAGTCCAACGCGATGGCAGCACCTATAAACGATACCACTTCTGCGGCTAATGGATCTTCAACCAGTGCTCCGCCGGTTCCTATTCGATCCTCTTCTGGGCTTGGACTCACCGCTGTGATCTGTCGTAACTTCTGTACCGATGTTTGCGACAAGACGTGTTTCTATGTGGACCTTACCCAGAAACATTTCAGTGGACATACGTGATTTTTCGAGAAGAGATGTTGGTTTTTGATTCCGTTTTGCCTCTTTTAGCGATACTTTTATCTGGGATTTGTAGAAAGCGGTATTTAGTATTCTTCTTCTCCCCATGTTTCCTGGAGTTTAAATCAGTCCCCAATCTTTTATAGTAATACAACGGATTTGTTCGATTTGTTCTCCCTTATTCGCGACCACGGCTTCATCACACTTTCGTTTCTGCAACTGTCATCTGGGTTCTATTCTTCATTTCGTGCCTCATTTTGCCTACCTGGGACGACATTTCTCTCGTCGAAGTCAAAAGTGTCGGCCTTGCTATGCTCGTTGCTCATACCTCCCGGGCCGAATCGAATTATACTACTAGCCGAGCTAGCCTTAGGATCTGCCAACCATGATTCGTGCTTACCACCCTTTGGCTAAATCAAAATACAGTTATTCCTGGTACCAACCTGTGATCCCACAAGCACAGCTCCATCAAACTGGTGTGACAAGTAAAATCCGTTGAACTTGGACAGTCGGCATCAATGCCGATCCACCTGGCTTCGTGCTTGGCCAATCCCGGGTCACCGGTCAACCGGTCATGCGTCATAATGAGGTCACCGAACCCTTCAGACGTTAACAATTCCCATCATGTCGACTCAGGATACGGGAAAGCCTTACCATAGATCCTGCACTGGCCTTGCGCAGGAGACAGTAATTAAACACCCATCTTCTGGTACTCAAGATATCACGCTGTTCGGTAGTTGTTTCTGCCCGTTTGTCCAGCGTGTCTGGGTGGCCTTGGAGTACCTGGAAATCCCTTATAACGTACGTACGGTTTTGATATCCCCGTGGCTGCTTCCTGTTGCTGATTTGCGGACCCTAGTATTGTACTGTTCTCGTGTCTTTGTCCATTACGGACGTTCTAATGACTTGTAGATGAGGTCGATCCATACCAGAAGCCCAAGGATCTCCTGGAAGTATCTCCGAAAGGCCTCGTTCCTGGGCTTAAACTCCACAACTTCAGCCCACCTAGGGCTCTTAACGAGAGCACGGTGATTATGGAATATATCCAAGAGTAAGCTTTGCTTCTACCATCTATGAGTTTACATACGCTGATTGCCTGGCCAGTATTTCAACCAATTCGACGGGCCGTAGCCTTCTTCCGCCCACCTCCAATCCTTGTGAATATTTTTCATTAACAATGCAGTCTAGCTATACGTACTGACCGGACTGGCACCCAGACGCTCGAGCCCTCGTGCGCCTCCAGGCAGACCACGTCAATCGCTCTCTCGTACCAGCCTTCTATCGCTATCTTCAAGCTCAAGACACCTCTTCCCAGATTGAGTCGGGTAAAGAGTTCCATTCCTCTATTCAAGGACTCGTTGCACTCCTCGAGAGAGCGGAGAAGGAGATCGTCGGTGGTGGTGGTGCCTCTGGTGAGGGAGAGGTAAAAGCGCTGAGCGTTGGACTTGGGCTGTGGATCAAAGATAATGATGACCTTGGGTGGATTGATGTTATGGCGGGACCTTGTAAGGAGTTGATCATGGCACCGCGGTTAGTGTACTGACTGCGAGATATATTAGGGTTGTTCCGCGCTACTAATGTTCTGAAGCATTATCGAGGATTTATCATGCCATCCGGTCAGAAATTTAATGCGTGGATGTCCAAGCTTGTTGGACATCCTGCGTTCGCTCGAACTTGTAGCACGGAGGACTTGTACCTGGATAGTTATGAAAGGTTAGACCTATTTCAGCTGCCCCGATTTATCCTGTCTAACGGTTCTTCCAGATACGCTTTCAATCGCCCCAACACTAGTCAAGTCGCTAATGCTATCAATTCTGGCCGAGCTCTTCCTTAGGCAGATCACGAAGGAAGCACGAAAGTAGCAAACAACATGAAAAATAACTGTACTACTATATTTAAGCAATATCACCTATGATTAATGAGCGACAAGTTTGAGGTTCGACACTGAGCCAGGAGGCCGACTTGGTTGGCGAGGACGTGAGTATTCCGTATCTAATAATCGGTAAAGAAAGTTAAACGAGATCTGACCGGCCTGATCATTTGGGAGAAGCGTCTTTGCTCGGAACAGAATTGAATGCAGGGGAGAAGTCACGGCCATTGTCATCCAGACATACGAGCCTTAATTGGGACAAGAAAAGGCAGTTTATCTAGGACAGCGGCTCCGTGTCGTGACATGCAACGCCGTTGCTGAGGAATCCTAAAACAGTAAAGAAGTGGATAAACGGCAGGGGACATGCACAGACTGAATTCCCTGAACTGATGATCAGAAAATATTTCGGACGCCTATTCTTGTATACCTACGAGTAGATCTATTTCTTCCTAGAAGAGCCTCATATGCAGCAGACTAGAAGCTTCATCGCAGGTAGACGGTGACGGAATGCTTCACTAGTTACGGAACCGAGTCTTCGAGAAGTCTCAGTTAAGCTTTCCGAGTCGGCTATGGACACTGTTATACTTCCAGAGTGGCGAGTTTCCTGTAGCAATCACAAAGGACCGAGACATTTCAGATATACAATCCAGAGCGGTGATTTGGCGGTGAAGATACAGTTCGTTGTCCAACCCGTTTGTTGTTGTCAGCGGTCGCGTGGGTGGGTGGCGGTGCCGAGCGCGACACTACTTTCTTTTTAGGCTTGACTCACGATACTACCTTGCTGACCACCAATGGCGCCCTCGACGACATCATCTACCGACCGATTCGCCAAGATACCTCCCAAAACGGCGGACTTGGCGGATACATGGGCATTCCTCAACCCAGGCGTCGACCATATCATGTCTAATCTCGAGGCTGGCCTCACTTTTGCCAACTATACCAACCTTTACACGGCGACATACAATTACTGCACATCGACGAAGATGGTGGGTATTGGTAACAGTAAAAGCGATGGAACCTCAAACCGAAGTGAGCTCGAGCTTGTAATGCTACACTCATGCTAACAGCTATGCAGCGGGCGCTAATCTGGTCGGATCCGACTTGTACCACAAGCTCACCGAATACTTCACGATACATTTTGTATCTATGAAGCAGGTTTGTTCTGCATGTTAGGCCGTGGCGATCGTCCTAATAGTCATGTACAGACAGCTAGTTCATTGCAAGACGAGGAGCTCCTACGATACTATGCATCAGAATGGCATCGTTACACCACCGGGGCGAACTATCTCAACCGTCTCTTTACGTATCTCAATCGATATTGGGTCAAACGAGAACGCGATGAGGGGAAGAAAGAGATCTATCCTGTATACACGGTGAGTGGCGGCCACCTGCAATCTCGGTATTAGCGCTGATATCATCACTGCCAACTCTATTAGCTTTCTCTTGCTCAGTGGAAATCGCAGTTCTTCCTTTTCATACAAAGCGATAATCAGAAGCTGGCCAATGGTGTCCTCCGTCTTATCGAACGTCAACGGAACGGCGAAATGATTGACCAGGGGCTTGTGAAGAAGGTGGTACTCTCTTTCGTTTCCTTAGGTCTCGACAACACCGATCTGAACAAAGAGTGCCTGGAAGTGTACAAGGAGCACTTTGAGGCACCGTTCATCCAAGCCACCGAGCAGTATTACAAAAAGGAGTCGGAAGCTTTTCTCGCCGAGAATACAGTCTCCGATTACCTGAAGAAGGCAGAAGAGCGTCTACGGGAGGAGGAGGACCGAGTAGAAAGATATTTGCACACCAAGACGCGCAAAGATTTGATTCAGAAATGTGAAGAAGTGCTCATCCGCCAACATGCTCAGTTGATGTGGGACAGTTTCCAAAAACTCTTGGACTTTGATCAAGACGAAGACCTCCAGCGGATGTACTCACTGCTGTCGCGTATTTCGGAGGGACTAGACCCGCTAAGGCAGCGCTTCGAAGTACACGTCAAGCAAGCAGGTCTATCAGCGATCTCGAAACTGGTGGGAGAGGGCAGTGCCGTTGACGTTGATCCAAAGATATACGTGGACGCACTGCTAGAGGTACACCAGAAGAACTCTGAAACCGTTACTCGAAGTTTCCGCGGGGAAGCTGGATTTGCGGCCAGCCTCGATAAGGCGTGCAGAGAGTTTGTCAATCGTAATGCAGCCACTGGAACGTCGTCGACGAAGTCACCCGAGTTGATAGCCAAGCATGCGGATATGCTTTTGCGGAAGAACAACAAGATGGCTGAGGAAGGTGATTTGGAGAGCGCGCTGAACCGTGTGGTTGGTGTCTCATTCAGTCAGCCTTGGATCCGTACTGATCAGCTTTGTAGATGGTGCTCTTCAAGTATCTGGAGGATAAGGATGTTTTCCAAACGTTTTACACCACCAAGCTTTCTAAGCGACTCATTCACGGCGTATCTGCTTCCGATGAGAGCGAGGCCAGCATGATATCGAAACTGAAGGAGGCTTGTGGTTTCGAATACACCAACAAGCTCCAACGCATGTTCACAGGTTCGTTGCTCTTCTGCCAGTGCAAAGCATCCCACTAAATGACACCCGTAATAGACATGAGTCTGAGCAAGGATCTCACGGATTCGTTCAAAGAACGGATGACTCAGAACCACGATGATATGGATATCACCTTCACTGTCATGGTTCTCGGCACCAACTTCTGGCCGCTCAACCCTCCGACCCACGGCTTCACCATCCCGATCGAGATCATGCCCACCTACGAACGTTTCACGAAGTATTACCAGAGTAAACACTCTGGTCGTAAACTGACATGGCTTTGGAACTACTCGAAGAACGAACTGCGAACTAACTACCTGAACCAGAAGTACATCCTGATGACTAGCGCCTACCAGATGGCTGTGCTTGTGCAGTACAACAGGAACGACACGTTATCCTTGGATGAGCTGGTTGCGGCGACAGCGATCAGTAAGGACATCCTGTCGCAGGTGCTAGCGTTGTTGGTGAAGGCCAAAATTCTCATCAACGAGGAGAAGGACCAGTACGATTTGAACCCTGGTTCGTGGATATGTTTCCGCCCCCACTTTCGCTTCAATTAATTGATCTCCCCCCTTCCTTCAGGTTTCAAGTCAAAGAAGATTCGGGTCAATTTGAACCAGCCTATCAAAGCCGAGGTGAAGGCTGAGTCTTCCGACGTCCTCAAGGCTGTCGATGAAGACAGGAAATATGTTATTCAAGCTACTATCGTTCGGCACGTACAGCTCGCACTGTGCATTCTCCATATGCTGACTGTATCACAGAATCATGAAGGCCCGTAAGACCATGAAAAATCAAGCCCTAATTCAGGAAGTCATTTCCCAGATCTCTCAACGTTTCGCTCCCAAGATTCCTGACATCAAAAAGGTGACGTCCCGTTGGGCGTATTGAATACTTCTTGTTCTTACATTTCCACCAGGCCGTAGAAACCCTTTTGGAAAAAGAGTATATGGAACGAGTTGATGGACAGAAAGACACGTTTGCTTATGTCGCATAATTCTTTTGCTCCCTTTCTCACTTGTATCGTCGCATCATCACCCACTCTTTGTACCATAATGCATATACGTTAGAAAGCCGGCCGAGTTCCTGCTATGTACATCACTCGCCGTAATACGCTAGCCCTACACCTTCATTCCAGCTTCGATTTCTCCCAAGATCATCGTGCCGTCTTTGCTGCCGGTGAGGACTGGACGGATGGAGTCAGATACTTGTAACAGAACACAAAACAAAGGGCACATACTGATAGGTTCCTTGGGGTGGAAGTCTACTGAAGTGACTGTTCCCTTGTGGCCAGGAAGCTACAGATGGATGTCAGCAAGGCACATCAACCACGAAAACGGGAGGGAACCTACTTTGTACAATATCTTGCCACTGTCGGCGTCCCATATACACACTGCCCTATCTGCGCCACCAACTGCCACTCGCCGGCCTCCGTCGTCTTTGCTCCACGCACCCTCGTAGAAGGGTGTTCTCGAATCCAGCCGGTGCACCCTGCAAGACACGATGTATCCGTGTCGGAGAGGAAGAGAAGGGTCGGATATCATGGATAATGGTGTGCGACGAGAAGGAGGGAGAGAGAAGGTAGTTTCCGTTCGGAGAGAGCGCCAATGACGTTGGCGTATCGTTATGCCCCGTAAGCGTGTACACTTGTTGGCTTTTTCTAAGATCGTATACCTGACGTCAAAGTTAGCACGGAGGGAGCTGGTCAAGGAGGGAAAAAGGACTAACATGGATTTCGTTGTCCAAAGCGCCAATATACACATTTGCGCCGTCGGCTCCCCAGCATACCGACGTGACAGGGCATCCTATATCGAACGTTGCCACGGCCTGTTTTCCTCCTTCCTCTCCACCTTCCCATATTTTCACGGTGCCGTCATCTGAACCCGTAGCGACAAGCTCGGTACCAGCTCCCCCGGCCATAGTCCGGTCAACACTGTTTATTATCTCGCGATGAGCGCGAATTTTGCGTATCCGGTGACCAGTGGTCACGTCTGTCAGGCAGAGCGTGTGGTCTGCAGCAACGGTGTATAGTGTGGGGGAGCAAAGCGACCATTGGAGATCTAATATAGGCGCCTTGGAGAAATTTGAGAGAAGACCATAGTTTGAGTTTGGTGGATATGTTCTCCAGAAGGCTAAGATATTGTATTAGATAACTCTCTTTCGAATAGGTGGATAACATACAGACACTCCGGTCGGCTGAGCAGGCAGCTATATTCTGACCTGTTGGGTCGAAGCGACAACTTAGGAATTTCAGGCCTACGCTCCAGAACTTGAGCAACATATTCTGGCAGCAAAATGGAGATCTTGCGTACAGAATGAGCGCCCGCAAGGCTGATAATTGGCGCTTCCAAGCTACTTGTTCGTTTTACTGTTCGAATGAGGCCTTTTGACCGTTCGTCATTCGATGAAGATATGGCAATTTGATTGGAAGGTGGAGGGGTGGCTCTGGCTCTCTTGACGAGAGTTCCTTCTGCTGGGGGAGATCCTCCTCGTTTCGACATTTCTTCGAATTCGGTGGAGGAAAAGTTCAAGTTCAAGGTGTAATCGGCTTACCGCCAAGGGCCGTGCATAATACAGACAAACTCAATTGATTAGATTAGATGCTCACACCCTTTCACCCACCAACCTTCATTACCCGGCCCAAGCTTTTTATAAAGAAGAGCACTGGTACTCAAAAGCATTCAAAATAAAATAACGAAGATATCATATTGTTCGAATCCCCCTCCCTGATCCCAGAACCGCTTCTGAGCTTGTTCTGAACGGCCAAACGGTCCTCCCTCCTTTGTAGGCTGTACTGTACAACTACCCCTCTTCGTACTCTATGACTAAAATATCCACAGTAGAGTCAGCTCCTGTCACGACTTTCCAGATAGAGGTCATGGATTCAAGTCACCTTTCATCCCCAAGACCGTCTTCAGCTTCTGGGTCCTCCCGACATTTCAATAGGATCATGGCATGGCTCAAGTTTCGATTCTCGCGACGGCAGCATCGCATTCGGTCTCCTGCTGTACCTTCAACGATGTCGGGAGGATGCGTAGAGAAGCGTGTCAAACCTACAAAAGCAGGGTCCATTTCTAGACATCGTTGGCATCACAGCGTTCGGTGAACATTTGACGTCTCACGGCTTTGTTCACTGACTAACAAACTTCTTCTCAGTTCTGTACCAGTCTTCCCTCTCGAAATCATAGAACTCATCATATGTGAGGCTTGGAATCTCCTGCTGAGCACAAAAGCCCGCGAGGCCTTCAGGCGGGCCTCTATGCATGTCAGCCATGCCTGGATGGCGACATTCATGCGAGTATCACTCGCTGATTTGCGCATCACCAATTACAACTATTTCGTTTACGTTTGGTGGTTTCTACGAGGTGGAAACTCCATCGCATGTAAACATCTGGACATCCAGTCTTATCTCGGGAACTGTTGTCGCTCCATAACGTTCTACTCAACATTGGCTACAACCGTTGCAGACATCAGTATCTGTTTCCATCTCGCCGTCCCTACCTTGGTCCTTGCTATGATTCAAGTCGAATGATACACATTCTTCAAGCTGACGGTCTGTTTCCAACATTTTGTCGTGATCTGTCAGCTCTCCGTCATGTCCATCTTAAGTACAATAACCGTTTATCTTTGGATCCCTACGACCACTGGTACAGATTCCACTACTTTCCGACGACAGTCACCGATTTGGAGATCACCCATATTTTTGACGACGATTTTCGCGACTTCCCTGAAAGTATGTTTGTCGATTTCTGGGCGCGCCATATCCGTCCACACGACGAAATGCTCCTCTTAGAAAAGCCTTGGAGGCTACCTCACGTACGAAGGTTGACCGTTCGAGGTGGACATGTCCCTTTGGTCCTTACCATTGCATCACGAGCAGAAGGACTGGAGGAAATCACTACTGACGTTGACAGTGAACAGGTAATAAAGGGTTTGCAGCATTTGGATCTATCTCATTTGCGAGGTAAGTGAAAAAATCTTACTGGCGATAAACGCTCCTCACTTTTCTCGCCCAGTGGCCCGTTGTTCTCCTCCTGTTCAAGGCGTTGAAAGTCAAGTTGTGACATTAGAGCGTCGCTTGAAAAAACGATTGTAGATAGCCAAAGGCCTGTATATGACTTAGTCACTGTACAGTGAGTACGTTGCCAGATTTCAAACTTGGACGTTGAGCATACCTAAGGTCTAAGGACGGACATAGATAGTTATCGATAGCAACAGGCATTGATAGGAAAGTACATGTCATGGGGTCCTTTTGGTATGATAGCTGCTACCACTCTTCCGTTGTGTGACATGGAGTCCCTGTGACATGAAGAACTACGCATACTACATACCAACAACATTAGGAAAAGTTCGAGTTCAAGCGATCGGCATGATGCCGCCATGGGCCGTGCACAATACAGACAAATACAGCTGATTAGATTAGATAGGATTAGATGCGGCACTTCATTCCCTACATCCAACCCAAGATCCAACCTTTATTACGCAGTACAAGTTCTTACAGAGAAGAGCACTGGGATTCAAGAATCAAAACTCCTAATATCTCAGATCGTTCGAGCTCTTTTACCTGAACTCAGAACAGCTTGTGAAGGGCAAAGGCAGAGCCCCCCCTAGCTGCAGGCTGTACCACTACCCCTCTTATTCTATAACTAAAATATTCACAGCCAAGTCAACTCTCGTCGCGACTTCCGGATAGAGGTGATGGATTCAAATTATCTTCCATCCTCAAGACCCTCTTCGGCTTCTGGGTCCCCCCGACGGTTTAACAGGATCGTGTCATGGTTCAAGTTTCGATTCTCACGACGACATCACATTCAGTCTCATGCTGCGCCTTCAAAAATGTCGGGAGGATGTGTAGAGACGCGTGTCAAGCCTACAAAAGCAAAGTCAATTTTTAGACATCGTCGGCATCACAGCGTTCGGTGAATATTTGATACCTCTTCTCCCCTTCGTGAAATAACAAACCTTCTATAAGTCTTGCACCAGTCTTTCCTATCGAAATCATGGAACTCATCATATACGAGGTCTGGAATCTCCTGCTAAGCACGAAAGCTCGTGCGGCCTTCAGTCGGGCCTCTATGCATGTCAGCCATGCCTGGATGGTGACGTTCATGCGAATATCCCTCGCAGAATTGCATATCACCAATTATACCTATTTCAAGTATATTTGGTGGCTTATACGAAGGCGGCAAATCCATCGCATGTAAACATCTGGACCTCCAGTCCTACCTCGGAAACTCCTGTCGCTCCGTAACGCTCTACATCAACATTAATTACGCCAAGTACAGGTGCAAGTGTTTGTTTACACTTGACTCGGACCTTACTTGTGACCTTTATCCCCGCCATGATCCCAATCGAATGGTACACATACTCCATGTTCCCGGTTTATTTCCCAAATTTTGTAATAACCTGCTGGCTCTTCGCCATGTCCACCTTCGCTATAATAATCGATTACCTTTTGATCCCAACGATTACTCGCATAGATTCCACACCTTCCGACAACAGTCACGGATTTGGAGATCACTCACTACTTACGACGACGATTTCCGCGACTTCCCTGATCGGATCTATGACTTTGTCAATAAGTGCTATTATCGTCCATACGAAGTGCGAACTCTCCTGCTGGGAGTTCCCATGGCGGCTGCCTTACATACGAAGGTTGACCTGTTCGCGGTGGAAATGCCGCTTTAGTCCTCACTATTGCATCGCGGGCAGAAGAACTGAAGGAAATCGTTACTGATGTCGACGGTGAACGGGTAATAAAGGGTCTACAGCGTTTGGATCTATCTGATTTGCGAGGTAAGTGAAGGAAATTCCACTGGCAATAAGTACTCCTCATTTTCTCACTCAGTGACCCGTTGTTCCCCTCCTGTTCAAGGTGTTGAGGGTAAAGTTGTGACATTAGAGTCTCGCAAAATTGCAATCCAGAGAATTCAGAATGAGAGATGGATAAGATCAGAGATTGCCAAGGGACTGTATATGACGTAGCTGCTGTAGAATAGCCACGCAGACTTCAAACTTTGATGTAGTAGGAATGTAAGGATGCGCATCAATATTTATCGATAGGAACCGGCGAAGTCTAATTGATTGACTAGTACTACATTACTCATGTGTGGATGTGATTATGCCCTTTGCTGCCATGCCCGCATTTCTAATCTACTCCCTTCTGTTGTGCGATGTGAGAAGACGAATCAGAACATAGTGTGTCAACGTGCGCTAAAAAAGAAATAAGATCAAGCTAATGCCTTGTAACAGTCAGACATACGTCGAATTGCGCTTCTGCATGAACTACAGCCTTCTCTGCGACCACGATTCTTGACGGAACAGAGCATTCCGTATCGGAACGCATCTCTGACACATCGTTTATCATGTAAACGACGGCCCTTAAGATTTATCAGAATAGGATCAGGACGCTTTGATACCACTCACTCAGCCAAATCATCAAGCACGATCCGGGAATCTACGACAAAGTCGGTTTCTGCGACATTCAAGGCTTTCTCCAAGGAGGCGAGAAGATTATTGATTCTAACAATAACACGAGAATAACCCTGTACGCAAGTTCAGTAGTCTGACACAGGAGCGGTGTTGATGGCGCAAACCGTATCTTCCCCAATGCACTGGTTGACCTCGTCAACGACGACACGAAGAAGAGTGACCATTGCAACAATAATTCTCGGACATCCCACCTCCATAGGAGTAATACCAGTATCCCCAGCAGCAAGCGAGAGAATGTTTTGCTGCGAATACTCCTATCTGACGTGTTAGCGCGCATGAAGTTGCTGAATGTAAACGGCGTGAACCTGCAGTTTCTTCCATGCTTCCGGGAGTTGCAGCTCAGACGAGTCCCGGTCGGCGGACGGGCGAGGAGGCAGTATCTTCGATAGTTTCCAGTTAACCTGGTACTCAAACAGTGAGCTAACACGGAGACATAGAAAACAAGGTAGTCACAGATGAGCGTTGGAAGTATGCCTCCATTTCCTCCGCGAGAACACTCAAGGGCTTTTGCTGACCTTCAACGACCTCAGTGTCTTTTGACGGTTAGCCTAAGGACTAGAGACAGTAAAAAATCGCAACGAACGAGCTACAATTGATTGCGGTTGAGAGTTGTCCTCGATGGCTGTAAAGATCGTCAGAGAGAAAACCTGAGGAGCGACTGTGAAACGAACAGGAATTTACTGAGCGAGCCAGTGAGGGCACCAGTGAGAAGGGCGAGGTCGGTGAATGGCCTCCAGAAGCACCATTGATGCTGTCAGGGTCTGTCTGTTGATGATGATGAGGGCGTGAGCTGTTGGCATTTTCTGACATAGTGCGCGACAATATTGGTTGAATCGCCCGGCGAGAAAGAGAATAATTTGTAGAATATCGCTCAGCGAGAATGTGAAGGTGGGAGTACAAGACGTGAATGAAGGCAACGCACTCAACGCTCTTATAGCAAGTAAATTCAAACCCAGACCGTCATATAGTCAGTCCTTCGTCATAGTCATCATCATCGTTAGTTGGACCGAGCGCAGGGCCAGGAGTTCAAGTCCCTTCAGATGAATATTCAGATAATTCGACTTTCGTTATACTACACACGCCAGGGAAGAGTCAAAGGAAGTAGATTTGGACAGGGTAAAATCTGTTGCAGAGTTCCACGCGCGTTATTAATCATCCAGAGAGCATAGAGTACAGTCCAGTGTGGTCCAGTGGAGGTTCGGCGAACGCGACAAGCGAGCACTGACGTAATCTGTTGGCCTTCGGAAGTCGCCGGAGCGCTCCCTTTCCTTTACTGTCGGGTTCGTAACAGCTACCGCGAAACAATGTTTATTTCTTATTCAGAGAGTTGGCTCCTTGAGGTATGTCGCATCCTGTTTAAGTTTAAGCTGAATGTTGATACAACCACATTTTACAGGGAATAAGCTCGACATCGCTTGCTCCGCTCTCTACCTGCGTCGACGACCAATCCTAGTTACATACTGCATATCACGGTTTTACTTCTGCCCTCTCCCTCCCTCGTCGTGATGCCGCTGGACAAGTCTGTGTTCTGAATTCATTGTTCTCTTTGTTGAGCGCGTCTTTGCGGCGGCGGCGTGGTCACCACCATGTGCTGTAGATGCCAGGAATGATACCATATCGTGCTTCCTGTATTATCTTATTTATCTACTTCTCTGCGTAGTGTGGACTGACTTCTAGCATCCATTAGACCTTGATTTGCGCAACCAAACTTTTAGTCAAATCATCTGCATCATCAGCCAGAGTTGTCCACGGTTACAGATCCGCCATAGCGTTGTCAGAGAGGTTTCATCAAAGTTCCCGTCGCGTGAACGCGCCTGAAGAATCGTTAGTGTATTTAGCTTAACTGATTGGAAATGCTTTCTCATGTCGATCCTCAAGTAAGGCAATGCGTTGCTTTCGTGTGCGATATAGGCCCACAATACCGCCATTGTCACAATGGTTTCCTTCTTTCGTCCAAAGTTGGCGGTTGATGATCTTGCAGTATCCTGATGTGCTTTCTTTGGACTCTACTATGGTTGCTGAAGACACAGTGCTTGGCATCATGCTACCGAAGGCTATTGTTCTGCATTCAGGACTTCGTTGTCTTGGAGCTCTCGTAAATGTCGACCTTTATGATTGTTTTTCGGGCGTTCTATATCCCCATTAAATACGGTATCGGTTTCGATATCCCTCGGAGAGGCTTGTCGTCCAGCTTCGAGCTTCAAATCGATATGCGCTATTCGCAGAGGCCCAAGTATTTGCTGTTATTTCTTGGCGTATTCATCTGGCTCTGGATTTGGTTCAAGGTATAAAGGTGCCTAAGCATTGTCCTACGCTCGTTGCTTCTATCAACATCTCTTGTAACAGACCGAATTCAGCATCGAAGTTCACAGTACCTCATCCGACCTCAAGAATGCGGCTATTAGCTCGGAACCCCACGTTACATTGTTCTCATTTGATGATCACAAGAGCGTGTATTGCCGAAATGAAACTAGAATCATTCACTCGTTTTCTTCCATTTTCCAGGTGAGTGCTGGTGATTTTATATCTTATCGTAGCTTCACATAGGGTCTGACTATTTTCCTGAAGTTGTTCGCCTTTCAGTGCACAGTCCGCTGTCGCGATCAAGCATTGATGCGTGGCATACTCTTAACATTGAGCTAGCGCGGTCGTCGGGTCTTCCTTAATCATGTCAGGCGTGTCAGCTGAAAGAACAATACGCTGCGGGATAATAGGGGGGAAGATTCCCATTACTATCATGGAAGGCCGCTGACAAGGTGATTATTGGCGCATGGGCGGCGTGCTGTCATTATGTAATAGCAGTATTCAAGGATCTTTGCTTCAACGCATCCAGCCCAGCGTCCAGCACTCGTGCGAAGTCCTCAACGATGCCACATTGCTTGATTTGCTTTCAGTTAAAGCGCCATCGAAAGCGCGATTGACAATAACAATGTTGCCTTGACGCCACGAGGAAAACACGAGGCCCTAATAATTCCTTCTTTAATTCGCAACTCTGGAATTCTGGAATCCCTACACATTTTCTTGTTTATACAGACCATTATTTCCATACAGTGAACAAAAGATTCCCAACGGCGACGATGAAGACTTGCCGCATAAGTACATAGACAATTGAGCCTCGAGGCAACCGGAGATTTCGCTTCCTGATACAAGGCGATTGCCACGCGATTATAGGCGATTATCTCCGATTTGCCGCGAGGCCAGCCTCACGTTTTGAGGACGTTATAAGGCTCGGCTACCGTTATTTCAGGGATCTAATCTATTTAAGCTCTTAGCTTGTCCCTTTCCCATCTTTTCTTCCCCCATTTCTCTCTTCCCTCCAGCGACGCCCCCCTCACCCTTCCCTATCTACCAAGTACCCATCATGTCGTCTGATGAAATTATTGTAAGGTTTTTTTTCTTGCTTCGTGAAGACCTCAGGCTAATGAGTACTCCCTTCGTTGCTAGCCAGGAGACGTCGTCGCTGTCCAGCATGCATACTCAGGACGCCGTGAGGGCCTAGTCATCGGCTCCCACGTTGATTACGCAGTACGTCTAGGCATTGATGCGGGCACCACCGAAGCCTGACCGTTACGTTTAGGGCCGTCAAATAGTCGAAGTCCAGCTCGACGGCGGTGAGGTGTACCAAGCCTGGTGAGCGGAGTTCTATATTACCCGTTTCCAATTTTTTTCTCACCATCATCATCATCACGACAAGGTACCCGACCGTCACCCGCGTTAAGCGCACAATTTCCTACTCCCGTCCTTCATATGTCAAGCCCAGGACTATCGAACGTCGGATTTATTGGTGATCCCCTCCACCACTACCAGACATCACATCGATCAATGTTGCTATGGGCTGTTTTCTTGTTTATACGATGTGGGACAAATGATCACCGGGGAAGGAAACGATCTGGACGAAAAGTGCGATTGGAGATGATCTAGATGGACCAGATATTTCCAACCTTTTCTAAGGGAAACTGTACGGTTTGAGTACGAGTACATACCCATCCAATGCACACGTTGTAAAGGCCTCCGCGATAGAATTCGAAGCCATCAAAATGTCGGATATATAATCAAGGACAGGTGAATCTAACAATACAAACCCTCCAGGCTGGGTACTAAAGCATGCTTGCGAAAAGAGAAAAGAGGGATAAGAAATGTGTCATGATTGTAATGCAGTAAGCGGCTGAGATGCACCGTTCGATGAAGAGTCTGGTTTGTGGTTGTGAGGTTCCAGCTGATGGGAGGTCGCCGAAGACGTGGACAGAGAAGTCGGTGGTTTTGGTGAGAACAAGGAAGCAGGTGCTGAGGAACTGAAGGAAGACATCGTCATCGGATCAGTATCGCTATCCTCCACGGGTCCGTTATTTAGACCATTCGATATTGATATGGACTTCGACGATGACGATGATGGAGGGGACGAAGACATAGTCCGTTGTAAGCCAGGCGTAGCGCTACTACTCCGTCTTCTCCTTCCAGCAGCAACACTCCGCACTATTCGTGGCCCCAGATGCGACTGGTGGACTTCCAGAAACGCTACCCGTCTTCTCATTGTCCTCGCTTTTCACCGTCCCACTGATGCTGACCAACGATCGAACACTTCCGTTCCCATTGGCCAACCTGGTCATGGTCATCATCATCTCGGGTTTTAACGTCTCTTCAGAACTTTCTGGACTCGTCGTGCCCACACCATATGCGTACCCGTTCGCGATTCCGTTGGCAGCGGTATATGGGTGATGCTCCGGCGGTGTAGGTATAGACAGAACGGCTCTCTCGTAGTACAGCATGAACGCTCCTGAGCCTTCTCGCAAGACGTTTTCAATTCCGCATTCATTAACAGAATCGTCGGATATTCGAAGCCATCCTTTACCGGTTCCGGCACTAGAAAGGGAGTCCGCGTCTTCCCATTCAAAATCGACAGGCGGACCAGACTCTTCTTCTTGTTTAACAGGTATGCGGTCTTTGATTATAATCCTCGGCGGCTTCCAACGGTCTTGTGCACTCGAATTTGGCGGCTTCCGGCGAAAACAAACGTAGTGTCCGAACGAATGCTGGCCGTAGTGACACACGACTGCAGAGAGCCGATATATTGTTCGGGAATGAAGATTGGCGTACGTTGTAGGAGTGGGGGTGCCGGATCGGGGAGGGAAAGGGGATGGTGTCGATAAAGAACTTGTGGGAACGGTGGACAAGTTTCCTGAGGTGGTGAAAGGTGTTAGATCGAGCACTTCGGGAAAGATAACTCGAATGTTGTTCTTCGTGGCGTAATGGGAATAATGGACGGAGCGATTAATGTGTAGCGCGAGGACAGGAGGTGGCTGCGTTCAATGAGCCATCAGAACAAAGACGAAAGACCAGGAGACGTACTCTGGCTATCATCGCCTGCTTTGTAGACATCGAACTAAATACCTTCTCCATACGGATATCTTTGAGCTCGTCTTCAATACGACCCTCATCGAGAGCTGCTTTGACGCGTGCTTCCATCTTCCGGACATCTTTCAGACGTCTTTTCTTCGATGCAGATGGTTTATTTTCTGGCTTTGTGGCTTCAACAAGAGTTTCAACTTCCTGTTTCAACCGGCGATGAGTTGCGAGCATCGAACAACGACGACATATACAGTCACGAAGCACCTCTAAACGGGTGTAGTCTTCGAGACAATCTTCAAGTGTACAACTCATCTAGTCCGTAATCAGTAACGGCCAAATGCAACAGAACATCCTTACCGCCATACGGGGCACTGCAAGCTGCCAATTGTCGAAGGCGAAATGCATCACAGCCTCTGTGTATCCACAGATAACGCAGCTTCGCCGATTTGCTGTCAATCCGTCGAACACGCTCTTCCCAATCTCAGGGTTAATGCCAGCCTCTCGAGAGAGGGCATTCAAGCCGTGATCTCGGAGGCCCTCCTTGTCTACATTGATCGTCTCGTTCTTGATGCACTCGGACACGAGCTGGAATAATTCTTGGGCATCCTGATGCTCGCGGGAATTGAAGAGGGAATTAAAACGTGCTGACGATGGGGATGACAGTACGGATATGAGATCGACTGGTCGTATGGAGGATGGTGCTGACGTCTGGGTATTTAAGCCTAGAGAGGAGGTATGAGAATCCATAACTTTCTATATCATCGGTGGATGGGCAGCAAGGTCGACAACCGCCGCCACTGGGACAAGACCCCGTTAAGGCTTGTAGCTTGGGCATTTTCTGTCGACTCAAGATCTTTGCTGAACTTTGTTGGGTTTTCCTGGAGCACACTCGCGTCTTCGTGCCGCTGTCGAAGACGCGACGTTTCCAGGACAGGGGGAGTTGAATGTACAGGATCCAGCAGAGGTCGTAAGTCGAAAGAAACGCCACGGTTTGCATGTTATAGAATGCATGCAGGAGAAGGAATCAAGTCATCTGGACCCATCCAAGACGATATGTTTCGATGTGAATGACACGCACGATGAAAAAGGTCTTGAAGGATGTCGATAACGGGGGTAGGAATATCCAATGCTTCGGCCTTGAAATGAACAGCATCGATCTGAGGTTGGAGATATGATAATGAAGATAAGGCCTGGGAAATTAGAATGCACCCGGTCAACCAAATGCTACCGAGACCTCATTGTATGCATACCTGGACCGTAGAATTCATGAAGCAATAGGTTCCCGAGATATTCACAAGACCAGGGTAATACCCATCATCGACAGCTTCTTCTTCTGATGAAATAGTTAACAGGGCAGATTATTATGGAAAGGGATCGTACCAGTCTTTACTGATACAAGTTCTAGCTCTCCCTTCGACTTTTTGCTCTTTCTCTTTTCATAGTGATGGTGAGCCTGGCGACCATTGGGAGTAATCGTGCCTCCGTTTCCCGTATTTGAGAACCAATTCCATGGCATTGAAAGACCAAGACTTTCGAGGCCCATTAAAAAAGGGTAATGTGGCGAAGTCGATTTAAATTTGGAGGTAATTGAAAGGACTAGTAGTGGCACCAGGAAGAGCACGACAAAAGGGAATATTTGCTGGAACAAGCTGGATGATACTGTCTGGAGCAATGTGTCGCGGATGGTGAAGGCATTCATAGAGCCCTTAGTACCGATGTCATGGGAAGGAAAGCCAAGTTTTGCTTGCAGGGTCACGGATGACGTTGTGCTCATATTACGTAACGTAGAGTCGTGGTGCAATGGCACGTTTGCGATCCTGCTCGCGATTTGCTGCCCTCGTTCGAACCCTGCTCAGACCCGGTTTCTGTGGCCGTAGCAGAATATAAGAAGTCAACTCTTACAACATTCGTCACTGTACAAAACTAGTGTAAATTCCACCTCCCAAGTAATCTATACCACCACGCAAGGAAAAGGTCTCTGAACCGAATTCTTTTAACCATTTCCCCAGGTTCATGGTGGGCCTCTGCCTCTGAACGATATCCTGGCGTTCCACCATCTTGTCCACCCTTCACTCGTTCTGCCAGTTGTTTCACGATATCGTCTGCACAATTCTCATACAGCATCCCTATTTCCACACTTCGATTGTAATAGGGCCGCCGGACAGCGTACGGCGCTAGTCCATTATACTTCCGGACCAACGCATTCACCTCCTCCACGGCGGCATCATGATACGTTCGTTCCCGCATTTCCCAATCGGGGTCTCTGTGGCGTTTCACGTCGCTGACAGTAAACTGTGCAAGTATCGAAACTGGGTGGTTGGTGGTGAGGTTGCGCAGTGTTTGGCGAATCCAAGACTGTCGCAAGAGCTCTCGAAACGACTGGACAGCTATATCAAGCTCTAGTTAATGCATCAGATACCGAAAATGCCGATATAGGGCAAGATACTTTACCCCCTTGTAGTTCAACCCAGGGAGGTGCTGCACCATTTCGTTGAACGATACGGTTCATAAGGAACTCCTCGCGACCAATGAAAGGATTGCTCTCTTCTACGGTTCGTGCCATAGGTTGACCGCGGCCCTTAACGGTATTGAAGACGCCAGAAACACGGGCTTTCTACAGAGAGCATGAGATATGCTTGACGTACAGTAAAGAACAATACCTCTATCTTGTCTTCGACCAGCGCAGCCCATCCTTTCATGCTCACAGGATTCGGCCGCCTTCCCATCCCCTCAGAACCCTTCTTGATCCCTAGACGATAGTCCAAAGTAGATTCCCGCGCCCGACTCAACCTCCCTACATGCTCAACTCGCTTCTTAGCCTCTTTCTCTTTTTTCCTCGTTAGCTCATCAACAGAGTGCATTGAAGCTGATGGTCCCGAAGAAGTCAAAGGAAAATATGCAACTTTGACAGAAGCGCTGACATGAGAAGGAACCTTGAATTCGGTGTGCCATGGCCTATGTCCTTCTGTCGACGGCAGCAAAGACTCTGTCGCCCAAGAACCCGTAGAAGGCTGTAACAGCTTGGACGAAGAGGGCTTCGTCTCCTCAGATACAGCGCTAAACTCGCCGTGATATGTCCCAGCAGAGCTGATTGCAGGCGGCGCTCGTTTCAATTTCTGGTCTGCAGACTGAAGGGTACCGCTCCGCAAAGGCTTGTACTTGTCGACGAGCATACGAAGCACAGCATCTTGTATGCTCTCATCTCCCGTCCAGTTAGCATGTTCATTCTTGTAACGAGCCGGCCTTTGGCCCGGTCCTTACCCTTCATTTCTCCCCCTCGTTGTCGCTCCACACGCTCCACCGTTCTCGACGCATTCGATAGGATCTATTTGATATTAGCTAGTAGTATATAAGAGCTACGTACCGCTGTAGTAGCTCGGGTTTTTCGCAACGACCAGCCTTTACACCTGTCACACACTGCGTGAAACTCCTTCGTGAGAGTACGTGACTTTCGCCACCCTCTCATATTTTTGACAGCTCCATTGGCTGTTTCTCTGCTTATTTCTATATCTCTCTCTCAACTACATCTGCGCTTTTTTTCTTTAAATCTCTTTCTCTCTCTCTCTCTTCGTCGATCTCTGGAAAACCAAGGCTTGATCACCCGAGGCCACTCCGAATTCGACACTGTACCTTCTGTATACCTACTAGGATGTCTCGTTACGCCTTGCGCAGCCGCCGCAACACTGTTGCAACAGGGCCAGCCTTGCCAAGGGTGGAGAGTCCTTTATCCGAGTTATCTGGTGAGCTGTCCCCAGATATCCGTAATACTAAAATCCCGGCAGAATCCAGCACTGCGAGTGCTCAGGGCTCTGCTCCTGGTCCGGCTGCGAGCCGTGTTCCAGCGTCTGGCAATGCCGCGCTGAGGAACCCTCCTTCTGCTCATGTACAAGCGGAGGAGGAGAAATCGTCTCCTTCTGACTCGGAGGATGATGAGGATGTCAGTTCCCAAGGGAATCTGACTGCTGCGGGTATTTCAAAGAAGAATTTGTCTCGTAGTAATGTAGAATATGATGATGAATCTGATACATCTAGTTCTAGTAGTAGCATGGAATCCAAGAAAGCATCTAGTAAGACTGATGCTGAGGAACCTACTCCCCTTCAACCGGCAAGGCCTGCAAGGCTTCGTCGTACTCAGAGTCTGGATGACCTGAGTAGGAATGCAGTTCGCTTTAAGGAGCAGCATAAAGCAAAGAAGCTCACCAAGGAACAAGCTTCTACAGTTAGGGCTGCAGAACGTAATCTGACTACCGAGCAGCGAGAAATCCTGGCAAAACGTCAGGATAAGGTTGCTCAGAAAGCAGGCTCGCAACCCCACCTGAAACCCATAATGCAACACCAGGCCCAAGCTCATACGTTGCGAAGGGAAAATTTGCCGATCAT